GATTCCCACACACCAGAGTCAGTACCCAGATTATCCCAAGTCCCACACAGAGTCAATACCCAGATTATCCAAAGTCCCACACAGAGTCAGTACCCAGATTATCCCAAGTCCCACACAGAGTCAATACCCAGATTATCCCAAGTCCCACACAGAGTCAGTACCCAGATTATTCCAAGTCCCACACAGAGTCAGTACCCAGATTATCCCGTCCCACACAGAGTCAATACCCGGATAATCCCAAGTCCCACACAGAGTCAATACCCAGTTTATCCCAATTATCATACACCAGAGTCAGTACCCAGATTATCCCAAGTCCCACATACCAGAGTCAGGACCCAGATTAACCCGATTCCCACACACCAGAGTCAATACCCAGTTTATCCAAAGTCCCACACAGAGTCAATACCCAGATTATCCCAAGTCCCACACAGAGTCAGTACCCAGATTATCCCAAGTCCCACACAGAGTCAGTACCCAGATTATCCAAAGTCCCACACAGAGTCAGTACCCAGATTATCCCGTCCCACACAGAGTCAATACCCAGATTATCCCAAGTCCCATACACCAGACATAACCAGATTATTCCCCAAGTTATCTCCATGTTACACGTGTAAAGTGCCCCCCTCCACCCAACCGTAAGTGATAGCGAGATGGTACTCGCTGTTGAAATCACTGCAGACCCACTTGTTTGCTGCGGGCCAGTTGTTTGCTGCGGCCCAGTTGTTTACTCGCTGTCGTCTTGTAGAGTGGGCGGGGTGGGAGGTAGGCCCACACCGACATGTATAGGTCGATGATACCATAAGGTTTTTTTTTTTAAATGGCTGATTCAGAGCACAGAGACACCTGACTTGATTGAATTTAGGAAGATCACTAAGGGGCTGTAATAAATAAATGAGTGTGACAAAAGAATAGAAATTTTTATTTCCCTTCAATATTTTACGATTTATTTTAACAGTATCTGGAGAACCAAGATAATATCACCCAAAGCAAAATTTTAAGATGGTATGACTGCAGGTAAATAAAAAATTTAGATTTTAAATATTTGCAGACAATCAGAATAATTCTGATGGGCTAAATAGCTTATGCCAAAAATAGTATCACATAAAATTGATTGTTCTACATCTTGTCTAGCCTAATTCTTTATTTCGCGAGATTGATCAATATAACATAAACATTTGTAGCTATCGGTTCACAATGACCTTCCCTTTTTATTTGCATTTCTGATCCTTCACTCTCATTCAGAAATCACAAAAAAAAGAGAGTTACCGTTCTTTAGTTTACAGGTTGGCTGTCAATAAAAGTTGTCTGCCCTTAGACAACATGAAACTATCGGTTATCTCCCCAATGACTGCGCCCAACATCGCTGCTGATGACATCACTATTTTTATTATTCAGATGTAAATAACGTAGAAACGTTTAGTATGAGATGTTACGGTAATGACGTCAATGTGATGAACAGGAAGCTATGGCATATTATTTTTCAAAAACCTGGAAAAAATATGCGAAAGAAATAAGTTGTTCATAATTTTAGCTCAACGACACCGTTTCAGGAGAGGGTGTAGAAAGAGAGAGGAATAGTTTACTGGTGTAAAGAAACGATGAGAACAACCAGACCGACGGATTACGTACACAGGTGCCGGGATTAATGTCAGAGTTTCTTTCAGGCATCTCTTCGGGGGAATGGGGGGGGGGGGGAAAGCCCCCCCCCCCCCCCCGAATTTTTTTTACCCCCCCCCCCCCCCCCGAACGTAATGAAATTTATATAATTTATATAGAAAATATATACTTTTAACATTGTCCGCCCCCCCCCCCCCTCCGAAGAAAGTCTACCCCCCCCCCCAAAGTTTCAAGTGCCCCCCCCCCCCCCTGGAGAAAAAAGTCTGGAAGAAACACTGATTAACGGCTTTCTGGCAGGCCACCTAGTCATTACGAGTGTGATGGGTTTTTTAGGGATTCTGACTGCTCTGGGTGGTAAAAATGTACCAGATATCAGGGACGGACTAAGCTAACTAGGATCTTTAGCTAGAAATGGGCGGCGGGCAACTACCATTTGTATGCCTCGTGTAATATGGGGGTATTTAGGGTGGCGAAATTTATTCTAGAGGTTGGACATGCCAACTCGGTCCGATCTTTTCTATTTTTGTGCATCTTTGATTAATAGTGAATTCTGATCATCCAGTAAGCAGAGGCGTCGCGAGGCGGGGAAGGGGTGGGGGGTGGTGGTGCCGACCACTTCGGGTGACACCATTTACGGGGGGGGGGGGGGGTGACACCAAGATTTAAAAAATTACAAGATATATATATAATAAAAATGTTTTTGCCAGTTCAATGAATGGTTAATTAGAGTTAAAACATTTAAGTACATAAGGACGATCAAGAAAACGGGGTGTGTGTGTGTGTGTGTGGGGGGGGGGGGTTACACCATGACGTAAACATGCAAACTATAGACAAAACTATACTACATCCAGCTGTATTAACAACTGGCTATAGATAAACATCGTTAGTATTAAATGTGAACACTTTAAAGCTTTTCTGGGTGGAGGGGGGGGGGCAAATGTGACACCTACTGCAAAATATACAAAGAAGAAAAAAAAGGGGGTGACACCATGGGGTGCCGCACCGGGTGACACCCAACCAAGCGACGCCACAGCCAGTAAGTATTGCCGTGTTGTACGATACAATCAAGCACGCTACACTTTCAACTCAGTCAACAATCTTATTGCTGTAGTTTTACGGGCTAGACCTGACAACTAGACTCTTCAATATTCCATAAAACACTTTTTTTTCTTCTCTTATTAACACAGCATAAGTTTTTAATCTGGTTCAAATGAAGACACATCCAACAATTTCCTCTACAATGATGTGGTTCCCGTATTTAACGTTTTGAACATGAGTGTTTGATGGGGGGGGGGGGGGGGTGGGAGGGGGGGGGGGGGGTTAACTCCAACTGTCACCCGCTCCGCCAAAGACTATGTATCTGATCTACTAAAGCTATAGAAAATTTGGTGTCACCCTGCGTCTAATGATAAAGTTGGTGTCACCCTGTGTCTACTGATGTATATAATTTTGAAAAACAATCAACTTAAATAGATAAGCAGATTTTCTAATTGAAATGAACTGTTTTGTTGTGGTGTCACCCGGTGCGGTCCGCACACCTCGCCCCCGCATGTTGACGCTACTGGGTTGGGTCAAAAAGATCACAATTTTTTTTCTGTTATATAATAAGCCCATGTGCACGATCTCTAATGTAATAAATGTCGCCTATAGCTAGTAGCGCGCAGAAGACAAACATTATTGCTGGCATAACTCCACACTGTTGGTGTGGACTAAAGTGGAGTATTTCTAACCTTTATTATTGGTTAAGTAAATCTACTTAAAACAAATTAAGAAAAAAAAGATAAATTTATTAAGACAAATGCTTGATCAGCAAAAAACAAAGTTTCCCCTTTCCCAAACATGTGGGTGTTTCAAAACTAAAATCTACCGGTAGTGTGTATTTTTTCATGTTGTTAAAATGTTACCACCTAAATATCTAAAATACCGCCCTCTCCATGAAGAAGCTGTCCACTACCATATGAGAACCACTGCTTTTGTCTCTCCCCTTCATTTGAGTCGGGACGCGCACATAAAAGATGTTCCCGTCCAACTTTTTCCTTCTTCTCACGATTCGACTCTGACTGGCGTTAATGGCACTTGTTGGCTCGGCCATTGGGTTGTTGCCCCTGGTCTATTCATGGGGTCACGTCTGGCTCACCCCATGCTTTGCGTAACACACAAACACATACACGTAGTCCCACAAGCACATACACACTCACATTAACACATAGGCATACATAAACTCAAACACCCATACAATATCTTCACGTAATTTTTTTTTAAAAATCGCATTTCGTCTTTCAAACAAAAACTAATCTAATTTAATAGTACAATTAGATCTAGCGCTAAGCCTACTGGGCTAGCTATTTTTTAATGAAAGATAGTTATGTTTAAATAAAGCCTTAGTACTAAACTGACATCCGAGTAAAATTAGAGATCCAATCGTACCCGAGCTACCCTGATGGTAGGGCCGGGTACTGGGCGGTGGGTTACGAGTTTACCCTGCGTTAAGAGGGGGTGGAAGATAAGTCTGGTGATAACCAAAACGACCGATACACGGTAATCAAACTAAGATACAAGCCAGTTAGTCGGAGTTTGTCGTGTTTTGTTGAGGCCTGCCTGGCTAGTGGGAGAAAGAAAATTTGGTATATCTTTAACGCATGGACTTTCTGAGAAAGTTGTAAAGGTTATTTGTGTTGCTAAAAACTTCACCAAGCCTACGATACACATCTAACCTATCAAGTCTAAATCAGTAGACCACGGTCACACACACAAACTGTATGTTTATGAATACGGTGCTTTGTGCTACACGGTGCCTGCACGTAAACAGCAATGGTAGTGTAGGCATGAGATACTTGGGACTAGAGTGTATATATATATATATATATATATATATATATATATATATATATATATATATATATATATATATATATATATATATATATATATATATATATGATATAATATAAATAAATAAAGACTAGTGGTTGTATAAATTGAAAAGTACTAAACGAGTGAACCGGAAAAAAAGGTTGTTTAACTAAGGTACTGGGCGAGATAAAAACATTGACAGACTACCTGTGTGAATTAGGTGTAGTACGGTAATGGCGCATTTGTATTCATAAGTCAAGTGGTTATGTAGCCATTGTGTTACATGTGTCAATAAACGCAACACGCTTGATTTAGCTGGTAGCACAGCCAGGATTGGCACAGCGTAAAAACAAAAACAAGAAAACACGAACAACATATATATATATATATATATATATATATATATATATATATATATATATATATATATATATATATATATATATATATATATATATATATATATATATATATATATATATATATATATATATATATATATATATATATATATAACTAGATCTACTAACCTCCATTGAAATCGAGACTAACGTCTGTTCCAGAGACTGGGTGGCTCATCCTTCCTAATCACGAGCTCTATGAAAATGGATCTATACGCCAAATGTCACTGTTCTATATGACAACTTGACATCGGTCACTGATCCTAATATGCCACGGGTTGGCAGGAATAACGATATACCACACAGACACAAATTCCAGGACAGCAGACGATTGAATAACCTGCAGTGATTTGTTTCCCTGTGCCAGACTAGCAGCACACACGGCTGGACCACGGTTGGGTGCCTCAGTTCGGGCGTGACCGAGAGATTTCGTAAGAGAGAACCCGATAAACCGGCTACCCCCCCTCGCGGCTCCCGGGCATTCAAAGCTTCGTCAGTTGATGTTAATAATATGCTACAAAGCACATAAATAGGAGCCCTCTTAATAAATAATAAGCTTTCTCAGTGGCGTAGTTACGCATCTTGATAAGGGTTTCTTGTCGACTTTTTGTTTCTCCGGGGAGAACTTGAAACCTCCAGATTGGGGGGGGGGGGGGGGGGGGGGTAGGAGTAAATAGAACTCACAGGGCAGGAAACTAGTTAAATCTTTTTTTTATGAAAACATCACCCCCCTTTTTTCCCAATGGAGAGATGCCTAAAAAAACTACTGATCTTAATCCGAGGGAACTTAGGCCCACAATTTGCCGTGCCCTGCCCAAAGCCCCTCCCCCCACTGTTAACGACGTCAGTTTTCCCCAGTACTTTTTCTTTTACTTTCTCAAGTTCAAATAGTTTTTTTGAAAAAAAAAGACCCCGCCCCCTTGCCTTTTCTTCTCCTTGTTTACTTTATCATATCTTTACAACCTTGTTCAATTAGACTAACACGCCAACGCTTCCAGTTTAGTTTAGCCGCTGCGCTGCACGGGAAAGAGGGGGGGGGGGGGTGTAATAAAAAAACATCTGTCTGGGTCTATCAGCCGGCAATACATAAGTACGTGAAGTGTTCGATGTTTCAACCTGTTATGGTCAGCCCGACCAGATATCAGTGCCGCAACCAGTGGTATCCGTACAGGAGAGGGAGATAAGCAATGTATCAGTTTACAGTTTTATGATGGAGTCGGAAAACTGATGAACAGTTTGAAATTCACAGTACAAATTTTGCTGTGTAGAAATTTAAAATAATACGAATGATTCTGATATAATTTTTCTACCCCCCCCCCCCTTCACCCAACTACCTGAGTCCCTAACTGGGCAATAGTTATTGCTGTTTAAAGTAAGTTAAAGCTATTGAACAGAGAACTGCTTGGTTGAGGTGTTCCTTGATTAAGATTGTCAAGAAACACAACCAATTTAATGACAGAATCATGTTTTTTTTTTAAATGTACAAATCTCATAAACATAAATGAATTGTCAATAAATAGTACACTAATATATATGAAATCAGCTCTTATTTCAAATTGATGTGAGGCGAGCTCTAGTGAGTTGGAGTCTTGACAAGCGCATTAGCAACTGTTATCACTTGGTCAGATCTATTATCAATTTTTCATAATAAATTGTAACAAATAAACTATTTTATTTGAAGCCATTTATTTATTTCGATACACATCAAATAAAACAAAAATCTAACATGAATGATTCTAATTGTGATATTTTATTCATTGAGTATAAATTTAACATTCAGTGTCTGTTTTGTACCAGAGTTATATGGCAGAGTCAGTGCTGTATGTAACATTTTCTAACTGTAACAGCTTTCATAGTTGTACAGCTTGTTTTCATTTCAAACAGTAGCTGTACACTCAGCTTCTGGTACAAAAATCCTGCCATTTAACAGCCTTTTGTACACACAGCTTGCTGTGCAAAGTCCTGCTTGTACATGCAAATTGCTGTACAAAGTCCTGTTTGTACACACAAATTGCTGTACAAAGTCCTGTTTGTACATGCAAATTGATGTATAAAGTCCAGTACAGTTTAGTCATCCCTCCCTGGTACACAAGTAATCTATGGGGTGCTATACGAGTGATCTATTTGGTGCTGCATTAGATGCGTTGTGTGAAGACGTATATATTTTCCTCTGTTAGACCATTCAATTTAGCTAAACTGTAAGTAGAGGTTGTTAGAGCCAAGTTAGATAGACCTAGTCACCTAGTGTAGGCTAAGTTAATGACAGAACAGATGTAGACTAAGTTAATGATAGACCAGGTGTAGACTAAGTTAATGATAGACCAGGTGTAGACCAAGTTAATGATAGACCAGGTGTAGACCAAGTTAATGATAGACCAGGTGTAGACCAAGTTAACGATAGACCAGGTGTAGACCAAGTTAACGATAGACCAGGTGTAGACTAAGTTAATGATAGACCAGGTGTAGACTAAGTTAATGACAGACCAGGTGTAGACTAAGTTAATGATAGACCAGGTGTAGACTAAGTTAATGATAGATTAATGCTAAAACATATGTAGGCTAAGTTATTTGTAGAAGAGATGTAGACCAAATTAACGTTAGAAATTTAGTGTTTTAGACGAAGCTAATGATGGACCAGGGGTAGACTAAGTTAATGACAGACAATATGTATATTGTTCTGGTGGTGGCTTGGCAAACCTACCTTTCTACAACGTCGTTGTAGGCCCACTGGCCACAAATACAAAACAAAGGGTTGGGTGTAGTCTTCATTTCAAGGACACATTTCTTGACATGGTCCCCACTGACACGCCCCCTCAAACCCTTCCAACTGAGATCAGTTTCTTGAGATAATACATGGGTCACTGAAAATCTAGGGAGGTGAGAGGTCACAGTTACTTACAGTGGAAATAAAAAAAAAAATTAAAAAGTAAAATTAGAATTCCCATCAATGAAGCCAGTCAGCTATAAGTGAGCAGTGAAGCACTCACCTAGATGGAAACATTTTTTCCAGCTCCTGAAGTTGATCGCTCCACAGAATGTCTTTTTGTGCTTTGTTAAAAAACATCAGCTTTACAGGGCTGGGGAAGAGAGAAAGATGTGTAATGTTGCTAGGATATTTTCTATCTTTAAGAGTGAAGAGTGATTACACAATAAGACTTACTATTTTTGTCTTAAAAGTGAAGAGTGCATCACAATAAGACTTACTATTTTTTGTCTTTAAGCGTGAAGAGTGCATCACAATAAGACTTACTATTTTTTGTCTTTAAGAGTACATCACAATAAAACAATTTTTTATCTTTAAGAGTGAAGAGTGCATGCACAATAAGACTTACTATTTTTTGTCTTTAAGAGTGAAGAGTGCATCACAATAAAACAATTTTTAATCTTTAAGTGTGAAGAGTGCATCACAATAAGACAATTTTTTGTCTTTAAGTGTGAAGAGTGCATGCGCAATAAGACTTACTATTTTTTGTCTTTAAGTGTGAAGAGTGCATGCGCAATAAGACGTATCATGGATGTGAATCCTGTACCAGCAGCAAACATTGTGAGATATGTCGTCTTCTCCAAGACAGAAAAATCAAAGTCTCCATCAAAGTTACTCATGTCCACTTTATCTCCTAAAACAGAGCAGACATTTTCAGATAGGGATTTAAATTCTAGATAGATTTGGTCTAACTTTTTTCCAAACTGTAAAGAAATAAAAAAAAAAAAAAAAAAAAAAAAGCAAACCTTAGTAAATGTGCTGTACTAAATACAGTAACTAAAGTTTAAATTACCAGACTTTAAACTACACAACCAGGGTGATAAGGCTCCGCCTGGGTAATTTTTCACCATAAGATAGAGTGACTTCCCCTTGAGGGCATCTGCATCACTAAAAGGTTTGGTCAGTGATGGTAAGACAACAGTGAAGCTACGACCTATTTCCATGCCTGCAAAAGTTTGAAAAAAATAATGTTTTAAAGACTGTGATGACAACTTTTATTACCACAACACCAATTTATTCAGATTTAATTACTATGTGTACGGGATGTAAGACCTGAAATGTCCGCTCGTATGTGTAAGTGATAGCCAATGGGTACAATCATACGACATCCTGCTGGAGCCTTCAGACAGATGAGCCTCGTGTCGTGGGTCACACCCTGGTTGCTCACCACTGTCCACTGACGATATTTACAATCTGGGTGGAAAATTAAGTTGAAAGGTTAAAGGGTGGTACAGTGTCTGCTTACTTCAGCCTCTGCTTACTACAGCTGTTGACTTCAACAGATGTGCTACTAAAACTGCATGCTTCAAAAATAAATCTTTATCAACATGCTACTCACCCCCACACTTAGACTTGATAAAAGCATCATTAAACTTGAGTGACGTTCCTAAATAATTCCAGTTTTCTTTCACATTAGCCTTTTCAAAAAACACTTCAACCTTTCCGTTGGCAGTCACTTCAACTAGAGAAAAAAAGGCACACATGTGATCACATGACTATGTTTAAGTCTTGCTGTTGATCATATGACTTTATGTCTTTAAGTCTTGTTGTTGATCATATGACTTTATGTCTTTAAGTCTTGCTGTTGATCATATGACTTTATGTCTTTAAGTCTTGCTGTTGATCATATGATTTTATGTCTTTAAGTCTTGCTGTTGATCATATGACTTTAACAAGGGAGAAATGTGACTGCTGATGACACAATAAAACTTATCAACAGGAAATATTTGCTTACTCACCTCTACAGTTATCTGTCACAGGGCATATGGGATCTGGAAAAAAAAAGTTTGCACTAGACACAATTGGAGAAGATAAATTACAGATTCTAAAGAAATTAGAGTCTCAACAGAAATTATAGACTCCACTACAGAAATTATAGACACAATAACAGAAATTATAGACACGACAGAAATTATAGACACAACGACAGAAATTATAGACACAATTACAGAAATTATAGACATCGACAGAAATTATAGACACAACAGAAATTATCGATACAACGACAGAAATTATAGACACAACGACAGAAATTATAGACACAACGTCAGAAATTATAGACACAACGACAGAAATTATAGACACAACGACAGAAATTATAGACACGGCAAAAATTATAGACACAACGACAGAAATTATAGACACAACAACAGAAATTATAGACACAGCAACAGAAATTATAGACACAATTACTATTACAGAAATTAGAAATAGAGACACCTAAAGAAGAAAAATAATTGACAAATCTGTATAAATTAGAGACTCCTAGAAAAATTGCATTGACCGTTCAAACACTACTAATGAATGAATGCTTATTAAAACTCGACTTACAAATGAATACAAATTAAAACTCCACTTACAAATGAATACAAATTAAAACACTACTTACAAATGAATGCAAATTAAAAAGCTACTTACGGATGTGTACAAAGTATGAGAAATCCTTGATTAATGTTTCGACCATGATTTCTGTTGCAGAGATATCTACGATAACAAATTCTTGTTTCATTTCTTTCCATCTTGTGTAGATAGCTATAACTACTTCTTTATCATTCTGGTACCAATCTTGGCTGAAAACAGGTCAATTGCATAAATTAACTCCACTCAACCACCACTGGGTTTGTTATGACAAAAACAATGTTTGATATGGTAAAAAATATATATGTAAAACTAGCGGCTGTCAATGTACTTATGTGGTGTTCTGTCAAAGTACTTAAGTGGGGTTCTGTCAAGGTAACTAAGTGAGGTTCAGTCAAGGTACTTATGTGGGGTTCTGTCAAAGTACTTAAGTGGGGTTTAGTCAAGGTACTTATGTGGGGTTCTGTCAAAGTACTTAAGTGGGGTTTAGTCAAGGTACTTATGTGGGGTTCTGTCAAGGTAACTCAGTGAGGTTCAGTCAAGGTACTTATGTGGAGTTCTGTCAAGGTACTTAAGTGGGGTTCTGTCAAGGTAACTAAGTGAGGTTCTGTCAAGGTACTTAAGTGGGGTTCTGTCAAGGTACTTACGTGGGGTTTTGGGGAATTGGTTTACTACTGCTGATGGAACCTGTGTTAGAACCAGGACAAGAGAATGCTGGGTTAAAATATGGAGTTAACTAGTACAAGGTTTGTGGCAAATTAGAAAAATAACAGAGTAACTCAAACATTTGGGAGACTTGTGCCGATCAATGCTGAGCCCTAAAATTGGACTCTAATGAAAATATAGCCAAAATTACCCCCCCCCCAAAAAAAAAAACCCCAACAATTTGACTAGTCTCTAAGTTTATGTAGCTATTGTATTAGGTATTTAAATTTGTTGAGCAAATAGTGCCACAAGTAAACATTTACCTTTTGTTTTAATCTAGCGTAACCATTTTGTAATTATTAAGTCAGTATATTTAGTAGATACTAAATTACAAGTAGGCTATTTACTCAAAAAGTTTTTTACAATCAATAGTAAAATGAAGCTACTAATGTAGCTAGATATCAGGTAGTGTAAAAATACATCCTTTTAGCCAGAATGTTTGCAATAAATAAATACTTACTGACTGACAACTGGCGTACTTTGGAAATGCGAACTAAAAAAAAGGAACAGAAAAAAATAGTAACAGCAACAGTTAACAAGCCGAATCAAAAGAAAGTAACAAGGAACAAAACTCAATGTCATAATACCTCGTGGTCTAGCCACAGAGACTCCTGGAAATTAATTGTTCTTTCATTAAAAATAAATACATACACCAAGTACTTAGAAGTAAACTTTGTAGAAGTGTCAGTGCTGTTAGCCTCTTGTCTGTTAGGCTTTGCAATACAATTTTCTATTAATCAAGTGAGACAAACTGATAAATTCTTCACTGAATCAAGCTGCATGTTTTATTAGTTTGTCACTATGTCCACTCTCTCTTATACTGCCGTCACCAGGCCAAACAATGCTCTTAAACAAGGCAGGCTGAAGGGTGGGGCATCTCTCACCAATGTGCCATCCACTGGACCTGTCCCACTAGACTTTTACTACCTCCCCTAGTGTATACAGGCTGAAGAGTGGAGCATTTCTCTCACCAATGTGCCAGCCACTGGACCTATCCCACTAGACTTTTACTACCTCCCCTAGTGTATACAGGCTGAAGAGTGGAGCATCTCTCTCACCAATGTAGCCATCCACTAGACCTATCCCACTAGACTTTTACTAACTCCCCTAGTGTATACAGGCTGAAGAGTGGAGCATCTCTCTCACCAATGTGCCAGCCACTGGACCTGTCCCACTAGACTTTTACTACCTCCCCTAGTGTATACAGGCTGAAGAGTGGAGCATCTCTCTCACCAATGTTGCCATCCACTGGACCTGTCCCACTAGAATTTTACTACCTCCCCTAGTGTATACAGGCTGAAGAGTGGAGCATCTCTCTCACCAATGTGCCAGGCACTGGACCTGTCCCATTAGACTTTTACTACCTCCCTACTGTGTCTTTAAAAAAATTATTAAACTTTCAACTTTAACCCTTTGAGCCCGGACCTCCCTGGCCTATTTCTGCTTTTAACTTTGCCTATAACTTTTTAACCGTTTGAGATAATCAAGCCAAATTTGGCTCAGGATCAAACAACAATTCAGCTAGATTCGGAAATTCTTTATTTTTTTTTTACAATGTATGAACATAACGATGTATATAAAATGAACACAGTCGATGGCTTTGGCTCAGTTTTTTCGTTTCGGCGGCATTGCTACAAAAAAAAATAAAAAATTATTTGTGCAACAAAAGTTTGCACTAATAAAATATTTATATACTGATAATTGTTTTATATACTTACTAAACATAATTACAAAACTAGAGTAACGTACCTATTTACTGTTATTATAATGATAATTATAACCGAATAATAAAATAATATATAATAACCGATTTTTTTTTGTTGATAATGTATTTTACGAAATGCAAACACTTTCACTTTCAACAAAATCTATTTTGAATCATAATCCCGCACTAAAAAGACATGCGCAGTTTTATTCAGTACATCGCTAATTATATTTAATAAGACGGTATTCCAGCCCCTAGGACTGTGACGCTAGATCATCGGGCCGGAAAACCGCCTTTTCTGGCATATATGCCTGATGCTAAAGCCGGTTTTCTGGCTTGTCTGGCTCAAAGGGTTAAGGTTAGCAGATGTGTGATTTATTGCTGGACCACGACATCCCATTAATAAAATCCACTAAAACAACTCATTTTGTCAACATTAGAGCCACAAACTAGGACTTAACACTGTCAAATACATAACGGTAGCAGTGCTAAATGTTACCTGGAGCTTTGGCTGAATCTGATAATGTGCCGACAAAACATTTCTCTAGCATGGACTCAGCGTTAACCCAGTTATGGATCTGAGGAGCACACACAAATTTGTTATCTGGTGTTACATCATTGTGTCATTGATTGTTGAGAAGTCGTACCTGGACATCAAGAGGTAATATATTCAAAGAAATTATGTAGGGTTTGTATCCTGCAGTGTCTAGCCTGTGATCAAAAGCATTCAATACATTCATTCTCTTAAGTCCTCCAGCAACAATATCCCCCATTAAATTACCAATCACAGCCCCCATAAAACCTTGTGAACCATGTGCCATGACTATAAGAATAGGCTGAACATAGGAGAAACATTACTTTTGTTAAACTAGCTTGTCAATTTAAACAAAACGATCTAAGAACATCCACATAAACACAACAATTAGTGACTGACCTCATCAAAAAGGTCTGTCCCATCCTTGCCAGCTGCCCTCATCAACTCCTCTACTCCACCAGGATGGTAATCCAAGTAAGGTGTGAGATTATAAACTTTACCTACAGAAGAGTGGATGTATTAGTGATGTCAGGTCAGAGATTATAAACTTTACCTACAGAAGAGTGGATGTATCAGTGATGTAATGTCAGAGATTATAAACTTTACCTACAGTTGAGTTAATTTATCGAAATTGTCCTGTCACTCCAAATTAGTGTAAGGAACTTATTAATGAAGTTTATCAAATAAACAATGAGCATCCATCAATATGCTGTTACCCTATGACCATCACTACAGCTTCATCACATAGATGTGAGCCTTATAATACCAGTCACAACTAACATTTAAAAAATGAAACAAATTTTCTAAATTAATAGTAGGCTAAAGAAATAGTTAAAGCCAAACACATGAAAAGGATGGAATTAATTCAGGGATTTTCAACACTGTGCCAACATACATATGAAAACTGTGCAACTACATATTACTAGTCTTAGCAGTAAAAAAAATAAACTCTTGTTTTCCCTACCTCTGATACACATCCATATATCTTTCTGTGTATTGTGCATGGCCAGCTCAGCAGCTGTGACCTGCAATTTGTTGTTCCCTACTCCACTGAGATCACCCTCTGATCGGCCAAGTCTGATCCAGTCCATCAGGGAATGGCCTGGAGCCAAGAGTACTTTCTTGCGGCCAGTGAAAGACTCCATCTTGGAAGGAGTGCTAGATGGCATGAGTTTATTCATGACGGCGCAGCAACCCTTGTTAGGGCTGTTAGATTTGGATTTGCTGCAACCCAGCTTGGTAGTTTGTCTAAGAGTACACAAAAATGTGGAGTTTTTTTTACAGAAACATGTGTTACATTTTATATATATATATATATATATATATATATATATATATATATATATATATATATATATATATATATATATATATATATATATATATATATATATATATATATATATATATATATATATTCTGGTGTTTATGGTTTATGTTCTGTTGATAATGATTTTAACTTTGGTATAAACCAAATACAATTTTTTTGGAAAACAATTTGTAGCACACAAAATACTAGAATACTACGGAGAGTCATGCCTTTCTCCCAAAAAAACAACATCCCATACCAAGTCCCATAAAAAAGCCCAATTAACAAAAATGTTTAAACAAAATTTCATTAAGATTTTCTTTTTATAAAATATATTCAGTAAGTTGTCAGAAAATGTATACTTTAAAAAAGCTCTAGGATTTACAAATGTGGTACAGGATTAAAATGTAATATGCTGAACATTTAACATTGTAATAAAACATAAGGCTTGTTATCTATGGAACTAATAATTATAGGGTAATGTAAAAGAAAATGAAACAAAAAAAAACAAGACTCATGCCATGATGATAAAACAATATTTGAAACAACTTGAAAGTGCTTGATTTATGTTTGCTGGACAAATCTCTGACACATGCATTTGTTTTACATGACAACCACATCAAACATTCTTAATTGAATTCACTTTTGTGTGCTCCCATTGTAAAAAAATTTTGTGGGGCTTTTTTTTACATGCAATTATACACAACAAACTTACAAAAATAATAAAGGACACTAGTCATGGTTGACAACAAGAAATTTACTTTTGTTGGTGAGTGAAAAATCATTTACAAAATCCTTTTTGTCAAATATATTACTTTCCCTGACTGTGATATAGTTTTGATTTTTGTTGAACTGAAGTACTTTTAAAAAAATTTCTTATTTTACATTTGAATGATTTTAATTGACAACAACTAAATAATTATATACTAAAAACACAGCTTTTTAAACAATCACACATGTAAAACTAAGCAAAAATAAACTTAACTATAAACATTAGAAAAACCTGACATATTCAATACAAAATCTTGGTAACTTGCCAGTTAGGCACAATACAACATTCTGACAAAAATATACATGTCAAGAAAAAAAACAACAACTGAAGTGAAATAAGATGCTATACTATAGCATTCAAAGTGCAAAATACAACAGAAATAAACTAAGTGTACTATTTTCTCATTCTTCAGTCCAACATGGTTAGGGTTTGTACATAAACTGTAATGAGAAGAACAAGAAAATAATGCCAAAAACAACAACAACAATACTTAAGGTTTCTCTAACTTACGATATTCACCAGTTCCAAAAATTTCATTTGTCAGCCTGGAAAGTTGTTAATCAAAGCAAGAAAATGTCAGTTTATAAGCTGTAGGCAATAAGCAAGTGGTCAACTGCAACAATCACTATCTATTAGTACAACTGGCTTTGGGGGTTGGGAGCGCGCAGACTAAATCTCTAGCAAATGGCTTTATGGGCACATTTTTTTTTGGGAGAATGCAGAATAATTCTCTAACAAACTAATGGCTTAATAAAACAAACACATTTTTTTGGGTAAACACACACCTTTTGGGAATATCAGCCAAAATTCTACTTATGTTTATTATCAACTGTGACAGGTTTAAGCACAATGTAAACATCAACCATAAGTAACAATGTCTTGTCAAACTAAAGTGGGGCAACCTACCAGTTATCCGTGCAACCAACTAGTCATGGTTTCTTCACTTATAAATCCATGAATTTCTCATTCCAGGGCATACAGTTTTATTCACAAAACACACATGAAACTACATAGTGATATACACAATGCAAATATTAGTAAATATACACATCATTTTAACACAAAATTATTTGCAATCACATTAGTTTTTGAAGTACCAAATATTAAAGTTTATACATTGCACAGATGTTACATACTTATATTGAATAACTTAAATGTGCAGATCCTAAAATGTGATATATTTTTACAACAGTCAAATAGGTTAAAAAATGTCAGACACCATCTTATAGCAGTCATATACAGCTGTTTATGAGTATTGAGGGGCATCACCTAACCAGTACAGATGGATAATAAACACTGACACTGTAAAAATGTTTCCCTTTTGTACCAGGTGGCTCAAGGGGCAGATGAAGTAGAATTCACGTGTTTCTATGACCTTGGCATATGAAGGAATAGTGTGGTCAGCATTATGTCCAGCTGTCTTTACTTTCACTACAGTGAGCCAGGCAGAACTCTTAAGAATTTTGGATTAGCGGTCATAAACACACTGCAAAGCAAAACGCTTAAAAATATTGTGATATGTTCTTTAAATTGACATACTACAAGTTAGTGATTGCATATGAGAATAGTTTATTGGTTGTAAAAAGTAGAAAGCTGCTAATACAATCACATGCCTTTACAAGTACTATACAGTATTTGAAAAAACCATTTTAGATAAATGCCATACAAATGTACAGCTATTTTTAAAATCTAAGGGCCAAGAAACTTGTGTATTGCTTATTACTGTGTTAGTAGTCACATGTACATATAATAAATGTAAATCATGAAACTATAGAAAATTCTTCAATGAAACAACTGTAAAAGAAAATTCTTCCATGAAACAACAGTAGGGAAAACTCGTAAATGGAAAATCAGTAAGGAAATTTCTTCAATGAAACAACAGTAAAAAAAACTCTTCCATGAAACAAATGTAAAGAGAATGCTCAACATCCTTCTTCCCACAGGCAGATTTAATTCTCATTTGCTGCCCATTGACACAAGCAAAATCAATACTCCTGATAAACAGGCTTAGATACAAAAATTACCACGTTTATAGCCGTACAGATTATAAAGATGTTAGGAACCAGGCATTAAAATATTTGATAAAGATGTATTTTGTAATGGCTATTTAAAATACTCGTTAACATCTCTGCAGAAACTAATGTTGTCAAATCTTTCAACAAGAGATGGCAAGATTGTAGTGAAGTATGTCAGAATTTCTGGTCTTAGAAGTCAGAATAATTGCTCTTTCGTGTTATTGACTGGCAATGCAGGGCAATCATTTCAATGAAAGTCTATTAGCGCTGATGATTATTACTGTTAATATCATCAGTACCAGCACTTTAGTGATTATCAACACATTTTGAATTATAGTATAAAGTAAAGATCTACTGAATGTGGTATACAAATAAGTTAAGATAACAGTAAATAGAATCAAGTTCTGTATGGCTAAGAAATAACTTTCTTAAAAAAAAAAACAACTAAGCTAATTAGCTAATTACTTTAAATAACCAATGGTCATATAGTCTAGCATTTATTTATTGAAAAAGTTATAATCTGGAAACAGAGCTGAAGCAATGTTTAGTAAAAAAAAATTATTTGTTATTATCTTAGCAAAATGTGTATTTAATTCTTAGTAAAAAATAGTGATTTGTTGATCTCCTTGTAAAGACTTAAAGTGTGTATTAAATGCTTAGTAAAAACAATCACATTAAGACAAAAAATTTATCAGACTACAAAAATTATTTTAAAAGCATGCAAACAATACATTTTTAATATATTTGGAAACATACATGAAAGGTCAAAAGACAAATATTTAAGAACCTGAAGGAAATGAGTGGTTCAAATGTACAACAAGTTGTAAGGCATGTTGAACCCAGATTGGAAGTCTGCATTAAACTTTAGCCTAGGGGAGTAGGAAGTTGTACTGACCACTATGGTGATAGAAAGGCATTAACTTTAAATACACCCACACCAAAAGACGGGGTAGCTGAATCAATATTGTTCACCATGGCCTACTTTACTTTCTTTAAAACTCAATACTTTTAAAAAGCTGTCTCCTTATAAATGTTATATTTAAAAATCACCCTTGCTTGTGGTACACACCATTCAATAGCCAGTCAATAGGACGTTGCTTGGTCAATGTATGTTAAACTTTTTAAATTTAATATACAATATATTATTTTTTTATATTATTACGTAAGCATGCCAGAAGAAACAGATATTTTTTGCATCAGAAAACCTTTTTTTAGAGAGGTAAAATAAAGCCTTGAAAGATTCAAAAAAAAAAAAGAAGAACAATTGATGCATGCAACTCATCTAATGGCAGAGAAATGACAAAAACTATATAAAAACTAAAGTTAATAAATCAAATATGTAGTTATCAAAATTATTTGGATTGAAAAAGTAACTTGTTTCTATCATCAAGGTATTCCGTCCCTCTCACATCAAAAAGTAAATCAATAATAATTTTTTAGCTGTGCAATATTAAAGATATTTTTTGCTGGTGTTGCTGCTGGCCCTAAGTATGACTCCAGCCAGTAAAATGGGATCCTTACTATATCAACTGTTGCACCGACAGAAAATAGATCATGAGCTTGTAAAAACCAGACAGGTCTGACTCATATTATGGGATGATAACGCATACTATATTAACCCAAAAGTCTGGAGTTTGAATCTAGGTTCAAGTCTGTAGAACGGCCATGACCACACTAACCCTTTGTATGCTGAGGTCACAGAAACAGGTTAACTCTTTTACACTTGCCACATGGGCCATCAGGCTTGAAAACTGCACTTTACTACTTACTTACTATCTAATATAATAAGGGACTATTTTTAACATTTTATAACCAGCATCAGATAATATGATAATGTAACTATTGTTTGGACTCTTATGTAAAAAAGGTGTTAATTTATGAGAAATAAGGCCTAAATAACTAATATTAATTACTAATATTATCAATCCCCTTATTTTTATCATATTTTATGAACCTGTGTCTGACAATACAACTATATTGAAATTTCCAAATAAAGAGGTGTTAGGCCCTAATTACTAATTTAATAATGTCAACAATAAAAACAATCCCTGAATCAAACCAACTTCTATCATTTTACAACCCTAATCCTAAGCCTACTCTTAGAACTGTAAAATGATATGGATTATGCATATGTATAACATGAAATGGATGCTTCATCACATTGTTATATTGCATTATACATAGGGTAGGTTGGTGGTATAGAATGTCACAGAGCCGAAGGATGATACTTAGAATTGAACCTTTGAATCCGGGACAGATCGTCCACCTGGCGTGGCCTCAACCAAACGGCAAGCTTGTTACATTGACTCATTTAGTTAAATATAAACTCAAAACAATAATATAAACAATCTACTTTAAGTCGGTCAGGCCACATACAAAGCACTCACTGAGAAAAAAAATGTCTTTTTCTGCCCTTTATAGCTACAAAAACTCGCCACGGGACGTCATTGTTATGTCAGCCGCCGACCAAAACGCGGAGAAAGCGCGCGTTTGATTGGTCAGTAGCAGATACTATGAAATCTCAAGGGTTTTCTCTCAATTTTTACAGAGCAGAATGTTATATGATCAATGATACTGCTTTTATTATTCTAATCTTTGTCATTTAAAATGATTGGGTGAATAGGTTGACCTTACTGGCTAACTAAAATAATAATACTAGGCATACTAGCTAAATTGTTACGAACAAAACTAACCACAGAACATCCTTCTCCTTAACACTACCACCACACACTGAAATTATTGGAAGAGTCCATGGTAATATCAGCAGTGAAGCTAGATTCTAGCTGAAATGGAGGGGTTTTAATTGATTTGTTGACCTATAAAAATAAAATAGTATGCCTAATTTCAAATTAAATTAACTTTAGGCCTAAATTTTTAAAATTAGGCCTAATTATTAAAAAATAGGTAGGCCTAGACTCATAGAGCTAGGCATAACTTGTACTAAAATGCAAGTAGGCCTAATTAGCAACTAATTAATTAGGCCTACTAAAGTTAAAGTAAAGTCTTAAACTAAAAAACAACTGAACTATAATTTTATCAATTTACAAACTAGGCCCTACAGACAAACTATGAAAAAAAAAAACAACAACAACTGAACTGTCAATAGATTTGAGTTTGAGTAGGCTTAGAATCTAGATTTAATCTAGATCATTAGAAAATTAGAATCATCTATTTTAGACTCTTTTTTTTTTAGTATAGATCTAGAATTCTAGATCTCTAAACCTAGACTAGAATCTATATCTATTCTTTCAAGATTAGTTCTAGATTTCTAGATCTTGATCTAGAATCTAGATTTTGGACTAGCAGAGAATGATGAGTGAAACTCGGTGACTGAGAATGTCTGAGATGACTACCAAAATTAAAATCATAAAATCAAATAAAAAATAATTGCCCAGATCTCAAATTCTAAATCTTTCAAGTTTTAGTTAGTTTAGTTACATAGAATAGATAATTTAAATACAAACCATTTTAAATGGCATTTGTCCCTAAAGCTGGCCTACAGACTGAATTTTAAAATTCACATTGATCCAGAAATTCTTGAACTAAACTAAAGGCTACAACTACAACAAGTGTTATTACTATCGACCAGTTCCCTGCTATGTTCAATTTTTAGGAAGCAAACACAAGAAAATTAACTCCAGAAACAAACTTGTCGTTAGCTCTTTCAAGTTACCCTCCCTTGGAAGTTAAGTCTAAAACCATCGCTATAATTATAATTAAGACAAAATGAAATAGTCTAGTTAGTAGTTAGACTATATCTTTCCTGATTTTTCCGCATACCATACATAAAATATAGACTCTATAGTAGTCTATAGCATAGGTTCTTTACTTTATTGCATAAATATGAACAGATCTAAGTATCTTACTAGTAAATTCTGTTTATAGGGTCATCCCATAAATGACGTCACGCTTTTTGACAATTTTTACCTCCCCCCACCCTTCTGTTACACATCGTCACAAAAAGCCAGACCTCCCTAAAATGACGTCACACCTCAGCATACAACCCCCCCCCTCAAATTGCACTTGAATTTTTCTTAAAACATTGATATTTTTTTCCAAAATCTTGTCTGAACTCTGTGAAAAAAATAGAGTATTTTAATCAATCCCTATTACAATTTATTAAAACAGTTTTCTAAAACGCGAAATAACGACTAAACTCGTTTGCTATTATTGCTTTTTTATAATGCAAAAGTGTTACGTCACACCATCTGAACCCCCCCCCCCCCCCCCACATCACACACCGTCACAAAATTACGGATCCCCCTCCCCCAACGAGTGTGAAATCATTTGATATAGAACGTAGATTAAAACGTTTATGGGTGTGAGGTAAAGGGAGGGGGAGGGGGTGCACAAGGACCCAAAAAATAAGTAAACAAAACTGATATTTAAATATAGCTAATCACCTGGCCCGTACGCATATCTTGCGTTAATCGATGCGTAATATTAGTTTATTTTAAATTTTATATATTTAACATATTAACACACAGAGATCGTCCGTAAACGACGTCACACTCCTAGGTAAGAGGGCGTTAGACGGAGGGGGGGGGGGTTCAGACAATATGTGACGTTGCTAAATTTTTACTCGTTAAATTTCGCGTTTTTTTTAAAATACTTTTTTTGTTGTAAAATTGATCAATTTCAATGTTGACCGTAAGTGCCATCCATTAGCGTGACGACGGTTATGGATGACCCAAAATGGTCATTGGAAATTTAATGGCTTTGCGTTGAATGTGTGCCGATTTATAAATGCGGTTTTGGAGTATTGTTGCACGAATATCGTCTACATTAAAGATGTTCAATAAGGAGAGCGTCCATAAATAACTTTACATTCCTGTGGGAAAAAGGGGTCTGACGTTTATGCTGAGAGGGTGGGGGTTAAGACAATTTGGCATATTTATTTCAATGTTTTAAATGCCCCCAAAATAGAATATAACACTAAAATTCTTCATAAGATCTCTTGAAAAAATTGTGAATTTTTAAAAGCTTGTTGTTACAAAGTTTTGTTTTATACAGATTACAGACAGGCCCTTTCTTTCGTATGCTCGGTAATTAGATTATGGTATCCCTTCAACTTTTTTTTTGGACTGCTGAACTGAAATACACTACAATCAATAATATTATAGTCTAGTCCTAGAGATCTAAAAAGTCCACAAATAATTAAATAATTTTAAATTTATTAAAATATTAGGGCCTAAATATCAGCCTATTCAATATTAAAATACTAAATTCACAATCTGAAATTAATTAATCTAAATCTAGAAATCTAGGTAAAATTTAGTATTAAAAAAAAAATTGAAGGCTAAAAATAATTTTTTTAAAAATTAAACTAAATTCTACTTAATTTCTAGTCCCATCGATTTTTCCAAAAGTCCAACTCCAAGACTAGTCTGTGAGTCACTAGTGACTAGAATCTAGATCTAGTCTAGCTAGATCTAGTCACTTGTGTGTAGTCAAAGACTTAAAGACAAACAACAAAGATTAAGAGTAAGAGATTCTCTTAGAGTCTTAGAGAGTGAGACAAATGACAAACACTAATAAATAAAAATATGTAGTATGTAGATCTAGAGTCTAGAGACTATCACTAGAGCGAGTAGAGAAGTCAACCCCACTCAGAACGAATGGCCTTGGAACTCAGACTCAGGCCACCTAGTTATATTCAATTAAATAATTAAATTCAATTAAAAATTTAGGCCTATGATACTGTATGTTCATGTTGTATGTACAATGTAGCCAGCCTATTGATTGAAGTCTGCAATGTCCATTTCTAGATTCTACTTCACTAACTTCAGTTTCTAATTTCTCGATTTAGATTTTTAGAATTTAAATTTTAGTAGATCCATTCTCAATTTCTAGAAGGGGGGGGGGGGGGGGGGAAGTTGTCACCATAATTATGATAGTAATTGATAATGCCTTATGATGCTGTCAATAAATGGCACACAATTTAAAAAATATATATATATATTAAATTAATTTAAATGACACCAGTGACGACAGCATGCGTTTTCATTTTTTGCTCAATTTTTACCCCCCCCCCCCCCTTGAAAATCAAAGTGACATTACATCTCAACCTACACACCCCATCCCTCTTATCAAAATTGCATTTTTCTAATTTAAAACATTGATTTCTTTCTAATATATTTACTGAACTAGTGAACTTGGTCTTCACTTGCTTTATTGAATGTAGACCTACTGAGTATATTAATCAATTTCTATCACTATTGTCACTATTACAATTTACAAAACCAATGTTATTTTAAAAGCCTGAAAAAACTGCTGAAGTTCATTTCTAATATACCTTTTTAAAATGCAAAATTGTCATTTTCCAAACCCCCTCTCCCCCCTTGTAACAAAAATCAGAAAACCCCTCTCCACTTGTAGTTTGATGTTTTTTATAGACCACGTCTGTGTGAATGTGGTTATCGGTGGTTTTGTGGCTTGTGACCTCTTTTGAGAAAAATACAACTTTATGCTATACTATAACTATATTGTTTATTTTTTTCAAATTTCTTTTTCCAAACCAAAAGTTCACAGTTGTACATTTTATTGGTAAAATTATCTTTTGTTGCTTTGCACTGTCATATTCATTACTAAAATTAATATTTTATCTGCAGGTAAAAAATGTCACACATGACTTTAAAACAGGTTTGTAAAGAAATGTACCTTAGTTAAGTTAATGTTGCCAATGGCCTGTACAGTAACATAGCAGTACTTTAAATTAGGGATGATTAGGCCTAATGAATAACCCTGAATAGTTTCAAGTTTGGTTCCTGTGCTTGTGTAGACTGTTGTCTTCCCAGTTTACTGTTTACCCATCTCTTATGGAATCCTGTCTGGGAAAGCTACTTCGTTTATACTATATTTCAAGTCATAGACATGGTTATTTTATTTAATGAAAAAAAAGGCCAAAATTGAGTATTTTAAAAAAAACAAATTACAGATTAACTCGTAGGCCTATTAAAAAGCATTATTTCGATGCATTGATAATTTATTATTGTTATAGACAGACCTAATATAAATTGTTTAATGATAATGATGTTTGTATTTCTACAGTTTATGTTAAGATCAGAGGTGTTGAAGTTGTACCGGACAATGTTGCGTGTGACATATCAAGTGGATAATCCTGCACAAAGAAAGGAACTGCAGCAATGGATTAGAAAAGACTTTGACAATAATAAATGTCACACAGATGAGGTATGTTAACATATTAATTTCAAAGTTATTTTTTAGTCAATTATAAATCTTATAGTTTAATATTTTCTTACTCAAACCAAGTGAAGTATCATTCTAGACCTGGTGTATTTATGGCCATATAACATTAAGTGGAAGCACAGTGACCAAAGACTATTAATCAATTAGCTCACCTTTCAGAGCTTGGCAGCCTCATGGATATACCATTATTTTACCATTTTCACATGCGTCACATTGGGGGGGGGGGGGGGGGGGGGACGACGACGACTGCTAGTCTAGTTGTACCATATCATATCATGTTAAAAGACAAGCCTAGTTTACAGGAAATGTGTCTCACAAATTCAGTTCCCGTTTTAGTCTAGCTACTATTTTTTTTAAAACTGTAACTAGAATATGAAAAAATAACCTGCATAAGACAAAAGATAAGTCATCACATATAGCATTAGATGGAGGGGTGAACTATTTCAAGATTAGGCATAGATAAATGCATTGTGTTCAAGGGTATGATGATGACTCATTGTAAATAACGTAGAAGTACTTTTACTTTAAAACTCCCAGAAATGTGATAGAAAATGAGAAAAAAAGAGGAAAAAAAGATGATTTTACATCAGATAGCATCCTCTCAAGATTAATAAAACTAGTCTCTTCAAGTTTGCTATCTAATTTTTTCTTTTTTTTTTCTTAAGGTTGCCATTCGAATGATGCTAAGTAAAGGAAAACTTGCCTTAAATGAATTAAATCAAGCTGTAATGTTGGCCAAATGAGACAGTGTGAATAAATGTAATTTCATTTACCCGAGTCAGGTCCAACTACTGCTGTCAGTGCCTGGTACTTACACAAATATAAAACAGACGAAATCTGTGACAGATGTAGTATTACTGACCATTCTAGATAAAATATTTTCTTGAGTGACCACTTGTGTGCTGTTGTTGCTAAAAACAAATAACAAACATTACCTCATTGGCTAGAGTGATTGCTCTTGCTCATCTCAATGTATATTTATAAAGATAATTGCTATAAATAAAATAAATGGTAGCAGTACTTTGATTACTAGTCTTTTTCATATAGCTAGTGTACAATATTTGATGTTATTAATTATTTATAATACAAATACAGAATATTCTGACAATTTTTAATGGAAAAAAAACTTTAATTGATTGATATTTTTTTTTATATGAGCAGAGTTTGTAACCCTTATATTTTAAAAATACCTAAATAATATGTTAGTATGTATGGAGACCACCTGATAGTAAAAATTTCACAGGCAAAGGAAGAGATGATCAATGATAGAACAAGGTCTAAGATGCAAACTTGTGGTTGATAGCAGATGGATGATCCTTGCAGTCAAAAACACTAACATGATAAAGGGATTATTCTTATAGGGACAGTCTGTTGTCACAGTTATACACATCCCCACTAATTATACAGATGGCTATATCCCAGTTACTTCATTCATTGATGAGATGCAGTAGCTCATACTTGCAGTCCTTGAATGAAACTTCAAAGTGTAATAAACAAAGAATAACATTTTGGTAAACTGAGCAACTGCAAGTTTGCTGGCCATTTTAGTATCTGCACATTTTAATAATTATTTTTGAGTTAACTTATTTTTACCACTTGTTTTGTTCATGGGTCTTTAAAATTTGAGTTTCAGTTAATTTTTACAATTTCTTTTCCTCACTTTTTCTCAATTGTGGATTTGTTAATTTTAACTGTTCATATTCAACTATTGTTAATGTTGCATTTTGTTATTTTCTTGGAATAAAATCTACATAAGAATTGCAATTATTGTTATATTAATATATTTTCAAATAAGATATGCAATTTGATAATACATTTTACAAACATAAACCAAAAATATAATTCTATATAAAGTGAAGCTTTTAATAACTCAAAAGTTTTAGAACTTTTTTGTATCCGGACAATACTTGTTTCATCAACTACAGGAATTATACCATGTTTACTCTTGTGACATGTATACTTAACATATCTAGGGAAATAACCTCGCACAAAAGGTAATGTTAACAAAAGTTAATGTTATGTAAAAACATTTTTCCCACGGAACATGTATGCTAACTTGCTACGAGTTTTTTTTAAAGACATGTTGCAAATGTAAATGCGGTGTTAGAGATTTAAAAAAAAACATCTTTGGAAATTAGTCATTACAAAGAAATGTAAAATTTTTATACAGTAAATTTTTTTTTTCTTTGGAAACAAACTAAGCAATAAAAGCTGTCAAAAGGTACAATATCTGCATAAAATGCGGCAACTGTTCTAAGGTAGGTAACCGGCAAATTAATCGTTTTTCTAACGTAAAAGTTACGTCCCCTTTTTAGTAAATATTTTGACTTTTTTATATCATCACCGACATTACTCAGTACGAATATTAAGTTTTTCTCTGTTAACTTCAGTGGGGTGGGTTTTAATCCCCTATTGTTTGAAACGGTATAACAGCTAACTACCGACGTTGATATAGGCTTATTTATTATTTATATAACCTTTGTAGGCAACATTTTTTTGTTGATAGTTCCCTGTAAGCCCTAATAAAATATGAGTGCTAAATATTTGTGGTACAGTATTATCTATTTACAATGCATTCGCCAATAGTGTAAACTAAAGATTTGCATATGTAATCAAAAGTCGCAAAAAATAATTTAAATTATCAGTCTAGTTTACTCTTGATTATGCAGAGCTTTTAGTTTACAATTACGCAAAAGAGCTCCGGTGTTCTAAGCAACGACGTGACGGAAGTTTACCTTACCTTGGTTACACAGTCGATTTGACGAGTGCTAAAATTAAAGCCGAGTTTAAGTTTGCTTCAATTCAACAACAACAAAAAATAATTAAAGGATGTGTCTTAATTCATATGATTTGATATTGTTGAGCCATATTTGAACCACTGTCTACTTATAGCTGGATTTTATTATTTAATAAGTAAGTTTACAAATAATTCAATTCTTTCTTTTAGGCCTAGGCCCCTATCTTTTTTAATTTTATCGAAGGCGCTGACAGAGATTTTTTTTTATAATTACATGTGATTTAATGCAATTCGAACATAGAGACCTATATTTTAAGCTAAATTAGTTAAAATCAGTTTAGTCTACTAGACTTCGAGATCTAGAACTACATCTTATATTGGATTGTGTTTAATTTAATGCCATTAATTTAGGCCTAACTGTTTATTATTTATTAGTCAAGTAGTATTATTATTAAATATTATAGTAGGCCTACTCAAAACCTATTTTATAATTTTAATGTTTAGGTCAGTCTAACTTTTAAGTCTAAACCTCATCAATATTATCATGTTGTGCAACATGCTAATGTTGTCAGCAGTTTGACAAAAAGTGTTTTCTTCCACTGAAGTAAATAGCACTGCACATTAAAACAATAAGAAAATAAATACATAAGTCTATTAGAACCTTACATTTTTAATAGGCGTACCTGAAGAAAATCTACCCCCCCCCCGAACGAGATGGATTTTATATAGTAAACATACACTTTTACGAAGTAAATAGCAATGCCTATTAAAACAATAAGAAAATAAATACATAGGTCTATTAGAACCTTACATTTTTAATAGGCGTACCTGTAGGCCTACTTAAGATATCAATGTTAGTGTAATTATAAAATAATTATAGACCCTTTATGAAATTTGACTATAAATATTTCCCATATTAAACATGAAATTAAAGAATTAAAAAAAAATAGTGTTTTTCATCAATTTTCAATGCTTTAATTTAGTCCAGCCCAAAATGTCTGCGAGGCCTTTACGCAGCTCTCATGGTCGGCCGTTCACTGCCAATAGAACCCAAACACCAAGAGGGGATCAAAAGAATGGCTACCCAGAGATCAAACAGAGGGGCTACTACTCAGACATGATAACACAAGAGTGTAATGAGGATGGTGTGGAGGTCTGTTTAGTTGATTATTGCTGATTAATTATTATGGCGCTATAGCTGATTTCTCTTTGTGTAAAGAGTAAATACGTGGTAGAATTTTCTTTCTTTTTAGAAACTTTACTTGAGAAAATGTTCACTTTTTGCATGTTGCAATCACTGGTAGATCTTAGTGCATGTTTTAATGGTTCTAAACCAAATATCTATTTTATTAGATCAGAATAACTTAAGTTTGCCTAGCAATAATTTTTAAAAACATAATGTGGGGGGGGGGGCTTAGAAAAATAGTGTTTATTATCATTGTTATATTTTTTTGCACACTGTGTAGCAAATGCTACTGTCAAGAGTTAAGTAATTTAACTGGTAAGCCAGGATTTGCTGCATGACTTAGAAAGTCAAACACTTTAGGTAATCTACAACACACATGTGTCTTTGTTGAATGAATATATGCATGTAGTAGCCAACTCTTTGTTGAGAATCACTGACATTGACTATAATCAATCTCTTCACATCTTAATACATGTGTCACTTTGCCTCACTGTGTGTTTTATGTTGTAGAAAATACTAGCAGGTCCCAACACTTACCAGGGAACCTTCTGGAATGTTGCTAAAGAAAATCACCTGCCACTAGGTATCAAGTATCTTTGTTGAAAATATTTTTTAAAATTAGCATTTTTAAGTAATTTTCTTTTAACTTTCTTTTTGTGTGCTAGATAGTGCATGCAGTAATTGGTTTTAAAACAGCTGGTGTAAAGATTAGGATAAAAAAATTATTGCCGTTGCTGACAATTGTCTTTTTTGTAAAACTTTAAAGCAAGTACTTTTGCTGCCGACATGAGTTTGGTGGATGAGCAGGTCAGTGTCCAGAAGTATGGACCAAGCACTGAGGATCTTACAGTTTCTGTGAGTACTGTCCTCACCTCATGAATGTGATAACAGAGTTACTTTAAAAAGCTGAACCGTTTTTTTTTTCAATCCCGTACTGTAAATTGTAAAACATTTAAAATCTGGTTTTAGGACTTTGATCCTAAGTCTTTCAAGCCAAAAGTTCAGATGCCATTTTTTACCAAACCTGGAAACCATCCCAGAAAAATTGAGATTGAAAGGTGTGTAGTATATAATAGACTATAGTATTGATGTTAGTTCTAACTCTGGAATAAGTTATATAATAGTCAAAGATAGGCTACAAAAGTTGCTATCTCTTAAAAATCTAAAAATATTTTACATATTTTTTTAATAACAATTATAAATCCATTTATAACTAAAAGTGAATTTTTTTTTCCTTGAGCTTTTAAACTGAGTTGTGACGATCATTTTCAGACGGCGACGCCTGTACAAAAGTTTGATCCTTGAAGACCTGTTGGAAGAAAGGAACATGAAGACAGAGTACCTGATGCCCAAACAGCAGCCAGATGTCAACACACTCCTCAACAGGGACGACAGTGATCCCGCCCCCTTCCCAGCCTACCTCCCACTTCACATTTTTGATGATGATGACTACGACTGCCGTACACCGCAAGAGTGGATGAACTTGAGTGAAAAGAAAAACCCCATCCCTGGATTAGCACTGCTCCCAACAAAAGAAGAAGATAAATTCAGTGTGTATAACTTGATTTTACAAACATGGTTAAATATCTATGTACATGCCACATATGAAAATTCTTACTGATCTATTTATTTAGAGTTTCTTAGATAAATGTTTCACAAACAAATACATTATTTCATTCATTTACTTTTTTTAATACTACTTTCAAAAAACTACTTTGTGTATATAATTTTCATGTCTACTAAATTTTTTAAATTCATTTATTTGAAATACCATAATGAAATTTTTGAAGTAGTTTCCTACAATTGCTTTCTGTGTGTAGAAAAGCCAACAGACCCTACCATCATCTACTCCTGGTATGACGTTGGGGTCCTGGGCTTCAACAAAGACTCCCACCTCTACCTGGTCCAAATTTGCAACAAAAAAGGACGTGTTGTAGACCAGGACGGCAAACCTGTCCTCAATACAGGTATCATCACAAACGGGCAGAGAGTTGCCCTTCCTGGCCAGTGGTGGGTCCCTCGTATCCGGCTCATGTTTAGAGCTGAAGATCCACGGATATTTGCCGACAGGCTAGCCTCAGCTTTCAAGGCCAGGAAGATTTGTGAGTCAGAGCTGCGATACAACCTGTACATTGACTGTATGCCCATGGACGGGGTAGGTGAACTCGACCAGGCTTCTCTCAAACGGATGATTGAATGGGCACACTCTGCCCCAGGAATAGATAAAAACAAAAAGTTAGTACTTTTCTCTCTATGTTGATTTGTTTTCTCAAATAGAAACTAGAAAGATACTTTATAGATATATAGGATGTAGGGGTTGGTGTGGTTGAGTCAGTTGCTAAACCAAAAAGTCTTGAGTTCAAATCCTCTGGCAAATGAGGCTTGTTAGCTGCGGACAGCCACTCTTCTAGGAGAGACAACTCCAAAATCAAACAACTGCTGCCTTGTAGTTTGTTCTTGATTGGACAAAGGCTATGGAAGCAAATCCAAAAAGAAAAGCAGGCTGAAATCGGATTCAATGGCATCAATGGTGCATAACCAGTTGACACGTATACTTAATTATTTTGGAGGGGATCCCTTCAAACACTAAAATTAAGAACAAAGAAGAAGAAGATATATAAGATAATAGATATATGAGACAAGTGCTGCTTTTTAAAACTTCATAAAAGTATCTATTTATTTTTAAAAATAAATATATTTTTTGCTGTATTCCCCAACAAAACTGGAAGAGGTATAAACAATAATTTTTTGCTGTATTTCCTAACAAAACTAGAATAAATGTAAACTATAATTTTTCCTTTCTTTTCTACAGCCTTGAGGATTACACTCAAGTTTTAGAGAAAGAGGTCAACATTGATTTCTGCAGGTCAATGAACAGAATCATCTTTGAAAAAACTGTGAAGGATGACCCTATCACCTTTGCTTTTGTCTCTGTCCCTCCCAGCAATGACAAGCAAGTTCCACACACAGGTAACTAAAAGACATTTGAATCAATTAAAGCTTTTAAATACTACATACAGGTAAGTAAAACTGCTCTGATGGAAAGTAACGGTGTTACTTATGATAATTAGTACTAAAATTATTCAAAATAAAAAAATAAGCCTATTTGCAGGACCTATATGTCTAAGGTTTTTAAAATATTTACAATAACAATGTGTATTTGTTGTGTAATGGTTCTCAAAAAAGACATGGATTAAAATAATATTTCTACATACAATAGTTATCTTTGTGTTGTTAGGCTGCCACCCTGATGTCCCCAAGTACCCATTTGATGAACAGTACGACAGTTTTGCCTTCAATTCCCTGCTCACCTTCATACTTTATCTTTGTGTTGTTAGGCTGCCACCCTGATGTGCCCAAGTACCCATTTGATGAACAGTACGACAGTTTTGCCTTCAATTATCTACTTACCTTGATACAATATTTATCTTTGTGTTGTTAGGCTGCCACCCTGATGTGCCCAAGTACCCATTTGATGAACAGTACGACAGTTTTGCCTTCAATTCCCTGCTGACTTTGCCTGAGAGCATCCAGGCCATGGGCAAGGTCAGGACAGAGTGCAACCGTGTCAGCTGCACCAGCCTGTTCCACATCCCCACCACTAAACCCATGAAGCTGGAGGAGTTTGAACAGACACAGTCGCAGATGACAACGCAGGTGTGGGATCAAAGATTTATGTCTTTCAATTTGTGAAATAAATAAATCTAAAATTCTATTATTATTTTTTGTGGCATTTCTTGTCACTGAAGAACTAGCCTAGGATCATTTAGCCAAGTTTAAACATCCCACATATTCTTGAAAAAAAATGACTTAAGAATCATCCTTTGTGGCTTTAAAAATATCATTTTAGTATCTAGTTCAGAGTCTATCAGCTAAGAAAGCTCTTTTCAGCTACCTATGACTCAGGTGATGACAGACTAATCAACCTACTTTTACAACATGTCGCAGCTATCTTTTTAAATAATTGTCATTTCATACCTCATATCTTTTTCAAATATAACATATTTTATAGTACCTTTTTAAATATGATCTTCATCCTCGTCTGTCAAATAGTATTTTACCTCAGTTTTCAAAACATGCCCTATCTCATTAAATACATTGCCAAATTATTCCAATAGCTCTACCTAATTTTATTTTATATTTTAAAATATCTCTTTTAATTTTCTACCTTATTTTTCTTCCAATATTTGATTAAATAACCTAACACTTACTTTTTATAGAATCAGCTTCTTCTTTCTAATTGAAAAATCTTCCATCAACCCTAGGTTGGACTTTCATTAAGAGACGGCTGGATCACATCACTTCGTATCAACATCCGAAGTGCCTTGAGAGACGTGGGCAAAGGCTGGTTTAACATCCAAGAGACCAACTGGGAGGTGTACCAGATATCAAAGCTGAAGAAGTTTATGGAGACGGTCAAGTTCATCATGCAGGACTCTATGCGCTTCCTGGTCCAGGATTCCTTGATGAACTTGACCCAGATGATTGTGGATGCCTGTCACTCAACCATGGAGCTGGAAGAGGATTTTGTTTGGGGAACTGACCTTGTCAACAGCAACTTCAAGTATGCTTATATAAACCAGTTTTTTTTTTTACCATTTATCAAATTAAAATTTATAATGTTTATCTAAATCATGCCAAATTATATTAGCAATTATTTAATTCTGAGAAATAATCTTTATTTGTTTTTTAGTAGTTTTATTTTCTAAAACTTATCTCAGTTAATTTGTTACAAACAGTTGATTATAATTAAGAAACTGATTTAGCAATGAAACTATTGAAACTATTTTAATACATTTAATACTTTGTAGTAAAACCAAATTAAAATTTGGCTTATTTTTCTTGCACTAAGTTTAAACCCTAATGGCTAAAGCATTGTTTGACTTTTGTAAGCACCGTAAGAATGCCCTGTTCTTTAGCACTGTTTGACTTTTGCAGGCCCCGTAAGAATGCCCTGTTCTAAATCATTGTTTGACTTTTTTAGGCACTTTAAGAATACCCTGTTCTAAATAATTTTTTGACTTTTGTAGGCCCTATAAGAATGCCCTGTTCTAAAGCATTGGTTGACTTTTGCAGGCCCCGTAAGAATGCCCTGTTCCTGATAGACCTAGTGATGGACAAAGAGGGCGTCCACTTCAGCACCAGCCTGCCCAACTTTGAGAGCACCCTGATCTCCCTATTTGACAAGGGGATACAAGCCACCCAGAATGTTCCACAGCTGGAGAGGGTGAGAAAAAACTTTTTATGACACTAATGTAACTTGTAATACAATCACTTTTTTCAACCAAATATTTCTAGTTAATTACCACAAGAATTTCTTTAACAGTGTTTAATCAATTAGCTGACACAGAAAGTTTTTGGTAATGAAATTCAATACCCAAGTTTTAGAAAAGCTGTTATGAACAACTTTTTAGAATAAAAAACTAGATTCATTGATAATTTTATTTTAATCAAACTAACCATCTCTCAACTATGTAATTGTTTTATTCAAATATTTGCACCTGTTTAATGAAGATAATTTTCAACAAGTGGCAAATAATTGTTGCACAAAACACAATGTAAATTATTTTTAACTAACACTCAATGTTTTCCATCAAGATCCCTGCACCATATAATAATACAAAAGCATTATTAATTTCTCCTGAAAGGAAATTTTGAAAGACATCTTCTGGTCTGGCATCCCCTTGCTGGAGTCTGTAGGAGAGCATGAGCCACCAGTGGAGGACCTACGGAACACAATACGCAGAGCCATCCAGCAGGCTCTTGTCCCACTCAAAGCTTACGCTCGGGAGTACGAAAAATATCTGGAGCTGATTAACATGGACATCAACACTTATGTGAAGTAAGGCATTGCATGTTCTTTGCAGCTATCCATATGTTTAAGTTAAGTGCATGCTTTTTAAGCATATAATATTTCTATGTTTAGTATATGTAGTATCTCTTCAATATTACACATCTTTTATCTCTTTATTTTAATTTGTTACTAAGAAAAAGGAAACTTCATTAAAGAATACAGTTAAATTTAAAGCAAATAAGTTTTTTTTAAAGTAAATTATAAAAATAACCTTTTTAGCACTTTCCTTAAATTTGATTGTCTTTGCATAGCTCTTTTATTATGTCTTATAACTGTTGTTAAGAATTTGTAAATTTCATTTCCATCATTTAGCAAATCCATTTTTTTTTCCAGAAACTATGAAGCTGCTGGCCATTCCGCAGAAGAGGTCAAGGCTGAAGTTGAGATGCACTTGCGTGAGAAAGAAATCATCGAGACACTTGTCCCCAGTTCAATCACCATTGGGCCATTTCACATCAACACAGAGGGGACACGCCAGGCTTTGGGGAAGAAACGTAAAGCTCTCAGTAATGCTGTGTTGGAGCTGCTAGCCAGGCAGCTGAGGAAACAAGCTGATGATGTATGTAACAGTTGCTAGCAGTTTTAAAACAGATAACCTAAATAAGAGCACACAACAGTTAACAAATGATGAATGTTTTGTTTCAGGCGTGTGAAGAGTTTAAAACCATCAGCAGAAAACTCTATGACAAGCCCAACTGTGTGGAGGAGCTGGCTGAGATGAGGGAGTGGATCAAAAGTATTCCAGACAAGTTGAAAGAACACAGTGTAAGTCTTTGATTTATGTTATTTTTTGTATTTTTTTTTTTTTTGTTGCAAGAACACAATGTACTATGTACATGCCTTTTGCAACAGCTTAGTATTTTTTCAAATTCTGGCATTTCTGCATAGAATTCTGGAGTTGTTAGACTACTGTCAATTAATGTATTTGAATATAAAAATATGCTGTTAACCTACGAAAGATACACTGTTAACTTAACAAGTGTATGTTTTAACCCGATTTAATGACCTATTAATTTACTCATTCACACAGGAACTGATCGTAAAAGCGATGAGTGACTATGAACTGATTGAAGATTTTTACTACAGTCTCCCAACTGATGACTTCAATGCCAAGTAGGTGGATAAATTAGCTATAAAGAACATCTTTGTAGATTAAGTAGATAAAATATTTAAAAACACAAGACACTGACTTATTTTGTTTCCTCCATAAAAGATGGACCACCATTGGCTGGCCACATAAAATTGAGAACCAGATGGAGCAGACACAGCTGCAGCTTGATGAGGATGAAGAGCGATTCCGCAAACTTCAGCAGTCAGATCAGACCAACTTTGAGGATAAGCTTGATGGACTGCAGGTGACATTGTGTTGACTAATTTAGTGAACTTCAAAGATAATCTCAATTTACTTCAGGCTAGGCAAAGTTGTAAATAAAGAAACGTTTTTAAAAGTTTGACTTTTTTTATCAAAATTAGTCCATGAATTACACTTTTTAATAGTTTAAAGTTTTAACAAAAATCTACTAAGAATTTAGGTAGTAAACTTTTTCACACATTTTTTAACAAAAATCTTCCAAGGATTGAAACAATAAACTTTAAACTATTTCACATATTTTTAACAAAAATCTTCCAATAATCTAAACAAACTTTTTCACATATTTTTAACAAAAATCTTCTAAGAATCTCAACAATAAACTTTTTCACACATCTTTTTAACAAAAATCTTCCAAGAATCTCAACAATAAACTTTTTCACGACTTTGTACTTATAGATGGCAGTGGCAGGAATGGCTGCCTACTCTGAGATCACCAGAGCCCATGAAGTGGCCAATGAGATGAGGAGAATCAACAAGCAGCTGAAGGATGCCCAACAGATGGCCATCACGTACAACAACAGGGAGAGGCTGTTTGGTATGCCCGTCACCAACGTAAGTCTGCACGTAATCCTGGCTTTTGTTGTACAGGTCTATGTTTATTAACAGGCAGGTTACAATGAGCTGTTGAAGTCACCTGCAGAGAGTTGGAATGTGGAAGGCAATTACGAGACCTCATACTTAACATTTTATTTACCAGGATTCATACAGCTGTGGTGTCTATTTTGTAAACAATTTTTTTTTAAAGTTGATCAATACAAAATATAGATAACATTAATTTATTCAACAATATGTTTAAATATATCTTAAATTTGGAAACATCAAATTTTCCCTCATTATGGATTAGACATGTGAGGTTCATTTTATGACCATAAATTGGTACAATTTTAACATTTAAAATTAAGTAGTGTTACTTAAATAATCGTAAATAACCTTGATATTAATCACTTGAGGTAGAGGAATATATACACACATCTTGTGCATTTTTACTGTTCAAATCCACTCTTTCAATTCTGAATTGGAAACTTTCAGTAAAGAATTTAAAATCAACCAATACTCCCATATGTCTAGTCTCAGATCTAAGCCTCAGTCTGGATGGGTTGATAAGCTTAAATGTTGTCTCTGATACATCAGTGTATGTGGCAGCAGTAGTTTACATGCAGGTAGAGCTTATGTAAAAGACAACTTCCCATCTGAATATTTGCTCATAGTGTACCAATTAGTTTTACACCAGCATGTTCTTCTTTAATTTTCTTAAACAATTGGGACTTGCATACGAAAGTATATAAATTGTATTTGCTTTGTTAGCATTGGGCACTGATGAACTTTAGGTAGATGAGAAAGAAACTGTTTCTGTATTTTTTAAATATTGTGTTATAAAGAGAGATTTACTCATCTTTCATATCTTCTTGATACAAATCTGTTACTATCTCAACTTTTTAACTTTAAAATTTTGTTCCTACTTCATACTTTAATTTCATGTATACAATATAATAACAATTTCTTTAACAAAACTATATCATGTATTCATCTATAATCATATATATCATCCTATACATAATTTTTCAAATGTATACATCTATTTAATGCAATTACCTTTCTATATATAAACCAAGGGTTGTGGTTTTATCTAGATCTCTTCTGATTTCAGTTGATCTTCTAACATGTTTAGTTATCCTCAGTAAAACACAAGAGACCCTCAAGGTTTAAAAAGTATTTTCAGACTTGAAATGCTCTAATCTTAAAATAATTTCCACCAACTACGTGACTTTGTCAACTGAGCGACTTGGTTGGGAACTTGCAACAATTGTCAATTTATTTACAATACTAGCCAATATGAATACACACTGTGCCACGAAGTGAAGTCTCACTTACTGAAATAGTTTTTTTTTTAATTAACCATTTACCTTCTATTCACTAGATCTAATAATAATAAAAAAAACCACTTAGCTTAGAGCAGTTTAACATAAACTTTTCAGCCTGTTCATTTTAAAACCAAAGTGTGCTCTGGAGCTTTTACTTACTGGACACTGTAATCTGAACTCCTTACTTTAGATTAGTAAAATACTGATCCAAAATTTCTAAACTACTTACTTAAAATTAGTCCAATATTGATTTAACATTTCTAAACTGACCAACACAAGATGGAAATTAATGCATAACAATCAGCTTTTTAAAAACACCTTGAGGTAACACCCCCCCCCTCCACCCCCCTCCTTTTTTTCTCTCAATCTTGAATTGCAACATGGTAATTTAATATATAGTGTTTGGTCAATATCTAAAAAATTAGGCTAAAATTAAATTTTTTTGAAAATGTGGATCTTTATAAAAATGTTTAATATTAATAGACTTGATAGCATTAAAAAAGAATTTATCATAGAAGTAAAGATCTAATAAACTTTTACTCAGATTAAAAATTTTAAATTATTTTTTTTTTTATTATAGGTGTTTATGATTTTCCAATACTGTAGTAATTATTTTTCAAAAGGAAAGCAGTCTACAAGTTTATATATAGTACTAACATAACTACAAATCTAAACCATTTGACATATCAGCTTGCTTTTAACACAACTTATATAATTAATTTTTAATTGCAATAGAACTAACAAATCCATTTTAGTTAAGTGTTCCTGTATAATAAGGGAAGTTTACAATGATCAAATTATAGGTGATAGGTTTGTGCTGGTGATTTTAAAAAAATGATAGCTCTCTTGTCTTAAAAGGAGAAAATGATCAGATCCCAACTTTGTGTTGCAACCTTAATACTTTAAAGGCTAATGCCTTGTCTTTAAGGAAATGACATAAAATACAGCTTTTGTCTTTTTAATGAGAAAAAGTGGGAGAGATCAGAACAGTGTTGCAGACAGTTTTATTTTTTGTCATATTCTGTCTTTCTTTTTTTTAAAAAATGCTTATTAAAATTTTTCCTAATTTATTTTCCTCAATTTTGTGTTACATTTTCTTACAGTTTTAAAACTAATATTTCTATTTATTACTGATTCTAATGTTTTTTTATTGTTTAACTTTTAATTTTCAGCTTTGTTTTATTTATTAACTTCAGTGGGTGAGGTCCTGTCTGGTGTATGATAAATACACCAACAACCTTCAGCATCACACAGGGCTGATGGCTTTATCTGTGTATTGTATTTGTTATTATAGTATGATAAGCTGGCAAAGCTTGTCAAAGATTTCGAACCATTTCGCAATCTCTGGGTCACGGTGTCAGACTGGCAGAGGTGGTACGAGTCGTGGATGACCGACCCCCTCACTGCCATCAACGCTGAGGAAGTGGAGAAGAATGTCACAGAGTCGTACAAGATCATGCACAAAAGCGTCAAGCTCTTCCAAGAAATTCCAAGTAAAATTTGTTACCATCTCCACATGTTTATTTCTATTTATTTATTTACTGTTTATAAAGTTTAAAAAAATATCCTTCTAATTTTTTGCTTGTGGAAGCAATAGTCATGTCCATTATGTTGTCATTCCTCTAAGAAACCAAAAACTCTATCAATTCATGTAGGCTTACTTATTAGTTTTGGGTGATGCATATATATATTCTTCAATCATTATCTTTTCCTTTTGTGCCCAAGACACATGAGGCAGCATATTTTTAAAATCCACCATAAAAAGTACAAATAAATTTTAATCCCAACTCACTTTTGTGATTTAAGTTTATATATGATTTTTATCCTCTTTAGAAAGTACTAAGTCCATTTTAATCATTCCTCATTCAACTTTACTTCCTCTGTTCAGCTGTGCAAGAAGTTGCAACTGAGATCAAAGAAAAAATTGAACTGTTCAGACCGTACATTCCCCTCATCCAAGGACTCAGGAACCCAGGCATGAGGAACCGCCACTGGGAGCAGGTATTGACTTGTAGATTTTTTAATTTATCTTTTTATATCTCTTACATTGTGTAGTGTGTGAATAAATAAATATAGGACTTTAAGTGTGTTATGTATTTTGATAAACTACATGATCTTTTATAATAAAATTTATTTGTGATGTGGTAAGTGAGTTAAGATTTCAATTCTTCACTTTTTGGCCTCTGAGGATCAAAGGGCTGTAGCCACACCTCTCCATCAGACTCTTGAACGGCTTTCTTTATTTGCACCCAAGTAATCCCGGCAGCCCTTGTTTCATCTTCTATTTAAGTTCTAGTATTTAATTATTACTTTATGTTTCCCATTGTAGCTGTCAGAAGACCTTGGGTTCCCTGTCAGACCAAAGAAAGATCTCACCTTCCAGAAATGCCTGGATATGAAGCTCCAGGATCACATCACCACCATTGCTAAAATAGCAGAAGTTGCTGGCAAAGAATACTCTATTGAACAAGTAATACATTTTTCTATTTCAGTAGCTAAAACCATGAAATTGTTTTTTGTTGGTAAGATAGCAACTAATTTCAGTGGTGGGTAAGAAATAATTTATCACGTTTGAACTGATAACTAATTTTATCAATAACTCATGTTGCTGATTATTTATTTAGAGAAGAATAAAATTGAACATTTGAAACATCAGACTAGCAGTAAAGAAACTAAAACTGATACACAACTAATGTAATAATGACTATGATCTCGCAGGCTTTGGACAAGATGGAGAAAGAATGGGAGCCAGTGATGTTTGAGATCATGCCATACAAGGAGACTGGCACGTACATACTGAGGAGCTCAGAGGAGACGTCCCAACTGTTGGACGACCACATTGTCATGACACAGAGCATGTCCTTCTCACCTTTCAAAAAACCTTTTGAGGATCGCATCAGTACCTGGGAGAGTAAGCTGAGAACCACTCAGGTATGTTGTTGGGTTTTTTCTCCTGGTTTGTCTGGGATCCACTCAAATATATTTAATGGTCTTTCTACTGATTTGTTTGAGAGCTACTCAGATATATTTAAGTTTAATTAGGGCCTTTTATACTGGTTTGTTGAGACCCACTATGGTACACTTCACAGTTCTGGTTTACTTAACATTGACATTTTAAGTTGAATCAATAGCTTGTAAATTAAAGGGAGCTTTTACATATACCCAGTGATCAATACTTGGGTGAATTATATTCCAACAGTTATTTTGATCTAGATTTAAATTTTTTTTAATGATAGTACTCCTCAACTTGTCCATATCTTGCCAGTTACCCAACAAAGCTGAGTGGACTCAGTTTTATAAAGGTTTTTAGCTTGAAATCAAATTGAAACCTGGAAATTAGCCATTGTTTATTCAACCTCTAGACCTTACAATCCCATGTTGTCAAATTACCCTTTTAAACCTGGCAGTCGTCGATGGGGAGGATGAAGTAGATTTCACCTGTTTGTGTGACTTCAATTTATGCACTATGCCCACCTTTACTTTCCATAACAAAAGTCCGGCACCAATTTGAGCTTATTGGTTTGTTAAGAGTTGAATGCATTGGGCCTGGGGTTTGATATTGAAACTTTTGGGTTTGCAGTCAAGTGTTGTCCTGTCCGACCCAGCCATCCCATAATCCACTGTTGTAAACTGCCATTGAAATTGTGTTTTGATTGTCACAGGATGTACTTGATGAATGGCTGAACTGCCAGAGAGCATGGCTTTACCTGGAGCCTATTTTTAGCTCTGATGACATCAATCGCCAGCTTCCTGTTGAAAGCAAGCGCTACCAAACAATGGAGAGAATTTGGAGGCAAATCATGAAGACTGCCAAGGAAAATCCACAAGTAAGTCTCCAACAAATGGGAACATTTATAACAATTTTCAAAATTTTATTTTTTTAACTGTTGGCAAAGATAAAAACATTAAAAAAAAAATAAAACTTGTACAAAAGATCATTTCCTACATTAGATGTGTATAACTAATCTTTTTTAACAGGTCAAGTTTCTGAATAATCTTTTCATTCATGTAAAGCACATTAATGTTCTGCTCTAATGTACTTAGAACATTGTCAGTGTTTCTTTCAGGAACCTTTCTTCAATTTTTGGGGTGGGAGAGGGGTAAGGCTTGAAAATGTTGAGTCAAATTTCTTTAGTGGGGGTTTGGGGGGGGGGGGGGGGAGGCTGATACTAGTGGATGTGTTTCTGAAGAGATGCCTAAACATAAAACTCTTAACATTACCCCTGTCATCTAGCCCCTTGGTCATTACCCCTCTGCCATTTCACCACAAATCATTATTAGGGTTTAGGGTAAATGAAAGATAAGTGACAGGGGGGTGTCCTGTTCCCATTTCATCTAAAGCTTACGAGTTATGTTTGAACTTTTGAAGTAACTTAATGATGTGTATAAAAACCTAGATGTATACAATCTGTTAAATGAACTAAATTTATGACTGCTCCTCTGTTCCAGGTGATCTCTCTATGTCCAGACAACCGTCTGCTGGACAACTTGAGAGAGTGCAACAAACTGCTGGAGCAGGTACAGAAGGGCCTGAGTGAGTACCTGGAGACCAAACGTAACGCCTTCCCAAGATTCTACTTCCTGTCTGACGATGAGCTGCTGGAGATTCTCTCACAGACCAAAGATCCAACCGCAGTGCAGCCCCATCTGAGGAAATGTTTTGAGAACATTGCTAAGGTTGGTAGCTAAACTTAACAGCAGTGCAGCCCCATCTGAGGAAATGTTTTGAGAACATTGCCAAGGTTGGTAGCTAAACTTAACAGCAGTCCAGCCCCATCTGAGGAAATGTTTTGAGAACATTGCTAAGGTTGGTAGCTAAACTTAACGGCAGTCCAGCCCCATCTGAGGAAATGTTTTGAGAACATTGCCAAGGTTGGTAGCTAAACTTAACAGCAGTCCAGCCCCATCTGAGGAAATGTTTTGAGAACATTGCCAAGGTTGGTAGCTAAACTTAACAGCAGTCCAGCCCCATCTGAGGAAATGTTTTGAGAACATTGCCAAGGTTGGTGGCTAAACTTAACAGCAGTCCAGCCCCATCTGAGGAAATGTTTTGAGAACATTGCTAAGGTTGGTAGCTAAATTTAATAAACAGCAGCCCTATCTGAGGAAATGTTTTGAGAACATTGCTAAGGTTGGTAGCTAAATTTAATAAAGATTCATATTTACAACCTTTTTTATAAATTAATATGTTTATTCTATATTTAATTCCACTTTACAAGTCCATAAAAAGTATTCTTTTCATAACTTTTTTTTACAGTTGTGTAATTTAAATTTTAATTAATTTCATTTGTTTTTATACAAAAATTTTTTAAGAATTAAAATTATTTATCTCTGCCGTGAAATGTTTAGCTTAAGTTTGAGGAGGATCTGAAGATCACCCAGATGTATTCTGGGGAGGGAGAGTGTGTCAACTTTAGAGAGACTTTGTATCCCACTGGAAATGTTGAAGACTGGATGCTGGAGATTGAGAGAGTCATGAAGGAGTCACTCCGGATGATCATCAAGGAGTCACTCAAAAACTACCAACAGGTTTGTATTTCTGAATTTTATTCTATTTAATTTGTATGTGTCTTTTACAGTAACACATTCAACTTGTTTTTCTTTAACATCATTCTATCAACCAACTGGAAACTTATTTGGACCATCATGTTCTCAACTCACCTCTTCAAAACAGACCATACATAGCACATACACATAGAAAGTTTTTGGCTAATGATATGGGTGATTATATTTGTTTAGATTCCAAGAACAGAGTGGGTTTTGAAGTGGCCAGGTCAAGTGGTCATTGCAGGATGCCAGACGTACTGGAGCAGTGAGGTCACAGCTGAGCTGGAGAAGGGTTCTCTGAAGGAACACTTCAAGGTAAACACAGACACACAACTTTTTACATAACTTCAACATGCAACTTTTTACATAACATCATCAACATGCAACTTTTTACATAATATCACCAACATGCAACTTGTTACATAACATCATTAACATGCAACTTTTTACATAACATCACCAACATGCAACTTGTTACATAACATCACCAACATGCAACTTTTTACATAACATCACCAACATGCAAAAAGAATATTGCTCTGCTGTGAAAGTGGGTATTTAAACTGACTCCAGTTGCGAAAGTGGGTTTCTAAAAGAATATTGCTCCTGTTGTGAAAGTGGTTTTCTAAAAGAATATTCCTCCTGTTGTGAAAGTGGGTTTCTAAACAAACAGTGCTCCTGTTGCAAAAGTGAGTCTCTAAATAAACATCGCCCCTGTTGTGTCTCCCTAGCTGGTGCTGGCCCAGCTGGATGACCTGAGAGGTCTGGTGAGGAAGGACATCTCCAAGATTGGCCGCATGACACTGTCAGCTCTTATAGTCATAGAGGTGCATGCTAGAGATGTGGTAGCCAAGATGGTGGATGAGAATGTCAACAATGCTAATGACTTTGAGTGGATCAGTCAGCTCAGGTGACTCTCACAGCAAAACTTTATTTATTTCTACATGTTTACATTCAGTTTCATTTCTGTTTTAGATGGATTCAATTCATTCAGTTACATTTTTCTTTTACATGTATACACTCAAAGCTTAAGTTCTGTTTTAGATTTATTCTCATTTAGGACTGTTCATTCAAATCTTAATTTCATACTTACATAATCAATTTAATATGTTAATTAGATGTAATCTTTTTATAATTAAATTCCATTTAAAATTTTTAAAAAAATGTTCATGTAAATATTTTAAAAAAAATGTAGGGCCTATTCATGCAAAGCAAAATTTCTTTCATTGTATGGCATTAAGTTCTTTGTCCTCTGCCTGTTGTAGATATTACTGGCTGTATCATCTGTGTATAGCATTAAGTTCTTTGTCCTCTGCCTGTTGTAGATATTACTGGCTGTATCATCTGTGTATAGCATTAAGTTCTTTGTCCTCTGCCTGTTGTAGATATTACTGGCTGTATCATCTGTGTATAGCATTACGTTCTTTGTCCTCTGCCTGTTGTAGATATTACTGGCTGTATCATCTGTGTATAGCATTAAGTTCTTTGTCCTCTGCCTGTTGTAGATATTACTGGCTGTATCATCTGTGTATAGCATTACGTTCTTTGTCCTCTGCCTGTTGTAGATATTACTGGCTGGAAGATGAAAACTTGTACCAGCGTGCTGTCAATGCTCAGTTCCCCTATGGCTATGAATATCTGGGGAACACTGGACGTTTGGTCATCACCCCCCTCACAGATAGGTCAGTGTCTGGGAGAGGTTAATGAGATATATAACTGCTTTAAGAATGGCATTTGACTGATTTTGTAATGGTTAACAGAGCCTGGTGTCAAATGAACTATGGGAAACTGGTTTGGGGTGTTGTCCACATTGTTTTATTGTGCAACTATTATAAAGATGTGTGGGTAACAACGGTATATTATGATAGGATATGCACATCAATCTTTAAACTATGTAATTCAGTGGTCTAAAGTTGAACGACCTGTGTTGTTTTAGGTGTTATCTGACCTTGACTGGAGCTCTTCACCTGAAGTTTGGTGGAGCCCCTGCAGGACCTGCAGGAACAGGCAAGACAGAGACCACCAAAGTAAGGGGACATAACTATAACATCAAGTGCTAACAACATTGAGTTATCTTGCTATGGCATTCTTCTTATGGATTTAATATTATTATAAATAAACAATATATATTCATCAAAAAATTTTAAAATATTTCAATTGTTTGTTCTTATTTCTACTGTATTTTTAACTTTCCTTCAGGATTTGGCCAAAGCTTTTGCCATACAGTGTGTTGTCTTCAACTGCTCTGATCAGCTTGATTTCATGGCTATGGGAAAGTTTTTCAAAGGACTTGCCAGGTAAATTCTCAATTGAACAAGCCAGAGTGTATCTTTTTTTTAATAAATTTAACTTATAAATTGAAAAGAAAAATGGAATATAACTTCTCAACTTCCTTTTTAAAATTTGGTATCTAGAACCTGACCTGACCACCATTTGTAAAAAAAAAAGTTTTTCACATTCTTCCTTCTATCTGTAGTGCTGGAGCCTGGGCCTGTTTTGATGAGTTTAACCGTATTGACATCGAGGTGTTGTCTGTGGTGGCACAGCAGATTACCACAATCCAGAAAGCTCAAGCTGACAGAGTGGGTCTCAGTTCACATTCTTAAACCTTTTAACTATTGAACATTGTATAGGAACACTGTTTTTTTTAAAGCTTTTAGATAACATTTAATTATTCTAAGTCCTCCATCTAACATAGTAAACATTTAGTTAACTTTTTTATTTAATTTTTTTTTTTTAATAAGAGAAATGTATATTACATATATTGTGTTCACCATAGGTGATAATTAATTTAAAAAATCCTTTCATGTACAAGTATGTTGTCAACATTTTAAACAAATTTACCTTGTTATGACTGTGTGTAACCATTGAACATGTTTTCCCCCAGATTGACCGTTTCATCTTTGTTATGATTGTGTGTAACCATTGAACATGTTTTCCCCCAGATTGACCGTTTCATCTTTGTTATGATTGTGTGTAACCATTGAACATGTTTTCCCCCAGATTGACCGTTTCATCTTTGTTATGATTGTGTGTAACCATTGAACATGTTTTCCCCCAGATTGACCGTTTCATCTTTGAAGGAGTGGAGCTGGTGCTGAAGGCCTCATGTGCTGTGTTTATCACCATGAACCCTGGCTATGCTGGGAGGACAGAACTTCCTGACAATCTCAAGGTAAAACCTCTAGGTGTCTCAACACAAACTTTTCCACATCAGGTTTCTATACAACTATGTGAATATCTGAATATACATTTCTTGATAAAATAAAATTTAACTTTATGGGAGGACAGAACTCCCAGACAATCTTAAGGTAAAACCTCTAGGTGTCTCAACACAAACTTTTCTATACAACTATGTGAATATTTGAATATATATTTCTTGATAAAATCAAATTTAACTTAATGGGAGGACAGAACTCCCTGACAATCTCAAGGTAAAACTACTAGGTGTCTCAACACAAACTTTTCTATACAACTATGTGAATATTTGAATATATATTTCTTGATAAAATCAAATTTAACTTAATGGGAGGACAGAACTCCCTGACAATCTCAAGGTAAAACTACTAGGTGTCTCAACACAAACTTTTCTATACAACTATGTGAATATTTGAATATATATTTGTTGATAAAATAAAATTTAACTTAATGGGAGGACAGAACTCCCAGACAATCTCAAGGTAAAACCTCTAGGTGTCTCAACACAAACTTTTCTATACAACTATGTGAATATTTGAATATATATTTCTTGATAAAATAAAATTTAACTTAATGGGAGGACAGAACTCCCAGACAATCTCAAGGTAAAACTACTAGGTGTCTCAACACAAACTTTTCTATACAACTATGTGAATATTTGAATATATATTTGTTGATAAAATAAAATTTCACTTAATGGGAGGACAGAACTCCCAGACAATCTTAAGGTAAAACCTCTAGGTGTCTCAACACAAACTTTTCTATACAACTATGTGAATATTTGAATATATATTTCTTGATAAAATCAAATTTCACTTAATGGGAGGACAGAACTCCCTGACAATCTCAAGGTAAAACTACTAGGTGTCTCAACACAAACTTTTCTATACAACTATGTGAATATTTGAATATATATTTCTTGATAAAATAAAATTTAACTTAATGGGAGGACAGAACTCCCAGACAATCTCAAGGTAAAACCTCTAGGTGTCTCAACACAAACTTTTCTATACAACTATGTGAATATTTGAATATATATTTGTTGATAAAATAAAATTTAACTTAATGGGAGGACAGAACTCCCAGACAATCTCAAGGTAAAACTACTAGGTGTCTCAACACAAACTTTTCTATACAACTATGTGAATATTTGAATATATATTTGTTGATAAAATAAAATTTAACTTAATGGGAGGACAGAACTCCCTGACAATCTCAAGGTAAAACCTCTAGGTGTCTTAACACAAACTTTTCTATACAACTATGTGAATATTTGAATATACATTTGTTGATAAAATAAAATTTAACTTAATGGGAGGACAGAACTCCCTGACAATCTCAAGGTAAAACTACTAGGTGTCTCCACACAAACTTTTCTATACAACTATGTGAATATTTGAATATACATTTGTTGATAAAATAAAATTTAACTTAATGGGAGGAGAGAACTCCCTGACAATCTCAAGGTAAAACCACTAGGTGTCTCAACACAAACTTTTCTATACAACTATGTGAATATTTGAATATACATTTGTTGATAAAATAAAATTTAACTTAATGGGAGGACAGAACTCCCAGACAATCTCAAGGTAAAACCTCTAGGTGTCTCAACACAAACTTTTTTATACAACTATGTGAATATTTGAATATACATTTGTTGATAAAATAAAATTTAACTTAATGGGAGGACAGAACTCCCAGACAATCTCAAGGTAAAACCTCTAGGTGTCTTAACACAAACTTTTCTATACAACTATGTGAATATTTGAATATACATTTGTTGATAAAATAAAATTTAACTTAATGGGAGGACAGAACTCCCTGACAATCTCAAGGTAAAACCTCTAGGTGTCTCAACACAAACTTTTCTATACAACTATGTGAATATTTGAATATACATTTGTTGATAAAATAAAATTTAACTTAATGGGAGGAGAGAACTCCCTGACAATCTCAAGGTAAAACAATTAGGTGTCTCCACACAAACTTTTCTATACAACTATGTGAATATTTGAATATACATTTGTTGATAAAATAAAATTTAACTTAATGGGAGGACAGAACTCCCTGACAATCTCAAGGTAAAACCTCTAGGTGTCTCCACACAAACTTTTCTATACAACTATGTGAATATTTGAATATACATTTGTTGATAAAATAAAATTTAACTTAATGGGAGGAGAGAACTCCCTGACAATCTCAAGGTAAAACCTCTAGGTGTCTTAACACAAACTTTTCTATACAACTATGTGAATATTTGAATATACATTTGTTGATAAAATAAAATTTAACTTAATGGGAGGACAGAACTCCCAGACAATCTCAAGGTAAAACCTCTAGGTGTCTTAACACAAACTTTTCTATACAACTATGTGAATATTTGAATATACATTTGTTGATAAAATAAAATTTAACTTTATGGGAGGACAGAACTCTCTGACAATCTCAAGGTAAAACCACTAGGTGTCTCAACACAAACTTTTCTATACAACTATGTGAATATTTGAATATACATTTGTTGATAAAATAAAATTTAACTTAATGGGAGGACAGAACTCCCAGACAATCTCAAGGTAAAACCTCTAGGTGTCTTAACACAAACTTTTCTATACAACTATGTGAATATTTGAATATACATTTGTTGATAAAATAAAATTTAACTTAATGGGAGGACAGAACTCCCTGACAATCTCAAGGTAAAACCTCTAGGTGTCTCAACACAAACTTTTCTATACAACTATGTGAATATTTGAATATACATTTGTTGATAAAATAAAATTTAACTTAATGGGAGGAGAGAACTCCCTGACAATCTCAAGGTAAAACCTCTAGGTGTCTTAACACAAACTTTTCCAGTTATGGATGTTTTATGCAAATAAAATTCACTATACATTTGCTGATAAAAGCAAATTTGTGATTGTCAAATCATTTCGTCTTTTTTCACACACACCTATTTTGGGGATTTATTATATACTTTAAGGTTGTTTTTTTATGAACATTAAAATTTGCATTTATTTACGATAGATTTATTTTTTTCCCTTACAAATAAAATTTTTAAATTTGCTTTAAAATTTGTTGAAACAAGTTATACTAAATCTTAAAATTTTTGTTAATTTGTGATATTGAGTCAAATCACTGGGAACATACTCTGTATAACTGTGTGAGACTAAAAAATTTGTAATCTTCAATAGTTTATTTATTTCTCTATAACCATGAAGCTAAAAGATTTGCAATATTCTATAGTTTATTTATTTCTGTATAACCATGAAGCTAAAAGATTTGCAATATTCTATAGTTTATTTATTTCTGTATAACCATGAAGCTAAAAGATTTGCGATCTTCTATAATTTATTTATTTCTGTATAACTGTGTGAGGCTAAAAAGTTTGCGATCTTCTATAATTTATTTATTTCTGTATACTTGTGTGAGGCTAAAAAGTTTGCAATCTTCTATAATTTATTTATTTCTGTATAACTGTGTGAGGCTAAAAAGTTTACAATCTTCTACTCACCAGGCCTTGTTCAGACCTGTGGCCATGATGGTGCCTGACTACGCCCTCATTGCTGAGATTTCACTTTTCTCTTTTGGCTTCTCAAATGCCAAGGCCTTGTCTCAAAAAATTGTGACAACATTCAAACTATCTTCTGAACAGCTGAGTTCACAGGTAGGTCAGGGTTTAGTTTATAGTAGGTCATGGCCTAATTCACAGGTAGGTCATGGTTTAGTTTATAGTAGGTCATGACCTAATTTATAGGTAGGTAATGGTTTAGTTTATAGTAGGTCATGGCCTAATTTACAGGTAGGTCATGGTTTAGTTCTCAGATTTAGTGTACAGGTATATCGTGACTTTCTCTATCAGCAGTACAAACTGTTACATTATAGTTAATCAAAGAAACTGTTAAACTTTGAATAGGACTTTGGTTAAACTGTTAAACTCTGTACAGGACCATTATTACTTTGGTTAAACTGTTTAACTTTGTACAGGACCATTATGACTTAGGTTAAACTGTTTAACTCTGTACAGGACCATTATGACTTTGTTAAACTGTTAAACTCTGTACAGGACCATTATGACTTTGGTTAAACTGTTAAACTCTGTACAGGACCATTATTACTTTGGTTAAACTGTTAAACTCTGTACACTACCATTATGACTGATTAAACTGTTAAACTCTGTACAGGACCATTATGACTTTGTTAAACTGTTAAACTCTGTACAGGACCATTATGACTTTGGTTAAACTGTTAAACTCTGTACAGGACCATTATTACTTTGGTTAAACTGTTAAACTCTGTACAGGACCATTATGACTTTGGTTAAACTGTTAAACTCTGTACAGGACCATTATTACTTTGGTTAAACTGTTAAACTCTGTACAGGACCATTATGACTTTGTTAAACTGTTAAACTCTGTACAGGACCATTATTACTTTGGTTAAACTGTTAAACTCTGTACAGGACCATTATGACTTTGTTAAACTGTTAAACTCTGTACAGGACCATTATGACTTTGTTAAACTGTTAAACTCTGTACAGGACCATTATTACTTTGTTAAACTGTTAAACTCTGTACAGGACCATTATGACTTTGGTTAAACTGTTAAACTCTGTACAGGACCATTATGACTTTGGTTAAACTGTTAAACTCTGTACAGGACCATTATTACTTTGGTTAAACTGTTTAACTCTGTACACTACCATTATGACTGATTAAACTGTTAAACTCTGTACAGGACCATTATGACTTTGTTAAACTGTTAAACTCTGTACAGGACCATTATTACTTTGGTTAAACTGTTAAACTCTGTACAGGACCATTATTACTTTGGTTAAACTGTATAACTCTGTACAGGACCATTATTACTTTGTTAAACTGTTAAACTCTGTACAGGACCATTATGACTTTGGTTAAACTGTTAAACTCTGTACAGGACCATTATGACTTTGGTTAAACTGTTAAACTCTGTACAGGACCATTATTACTTTGGTTAAACTGTTAAACTCTGTACAGGACCATTATGACTTTGGTTAAACTGTTAAACTCTGTACAGGACCATTATTACTTTGGTTAAACTGTTTAACTCTGTACACTACCATTATGACTGATTAAACTGTTAAACTCTGTACAGGACCATTATGACTTTGGTTAAACTGTATAACTCTGTACAGGACCATTATGACTTTGTTAAACTGTTAAACTCTGTACAGGACCATTATGACTTTGGTTAAACTGTTAAACTCTGTACAGGACCATTATGACTTTGTTAAACTGTTAAACTCTGTACAGGACCATTATGACTTTGGTTAAACTGTTAAACTCTGTACAGGACCATTATGACTTTGTTAAACTGTTAAACTCTGTACAGGACCATTATGACTTTGTTAAACTGTTAAACTCTGTACAGGACCATTATGACTTTGTTAAACTGTTAAACTCTGTACAGGACCATTATGACTTTGTTAAACTGTTAAACTCTGTACAGGACCATTATGACTTTGGTTAAACTGTTAAACTCTGTACAGGACCATTATGACTTTGTTAAACTGTTAAACTCTGTACAGGACCATTATGACTTTGTTAAACTGTTAAACTCTGTACAGGACCATTATGACTTTGTTAAACTGTTAAACTCTGTACAGGATCATTATGACTTTGTTAAACTGTTAAACTCTGTACAGGACCATTATGACTTTGTTAAACTGTTAAACTCTGTACAGGACCATTATTGCTTTAGTTAAACTGTTAAACTCTGTACAGGACCATTATGACTTTGTTAAACTGTTAAACTCTGTACAGGACCATTATTGCTTTAGTTAAACTGTTAAACTCTGTACAGGACCATTATGACTTTGTTAAACTGTTAAACTCTGTACAGGACCATTATTGCTTTAGTTAAACTGTTAAACTTTGTACAGGACCATTATGACTTTGGTATGAGAGCAGTCAAGTCTGTCATCTCGGCCGCTGGTAACCTCAAGAGGATGTACCCTGACATGGAGGAGGTTAGTAGCTTTATCATGTTTAAATTCTACCTGTGTCCATCTTTTATCGACACTATTTAAATTCCACATAGATTATATGTGGCACGCTGCACATAAAATGTGTAATTCTATGAATCCAATGTAAATGACAGGAGCTGATTGCACTCAGAGCTATCAGGGATGTGAATGTGCCCAAATTCCTGGTGGATGATCTCAAACTCTTCAGTGGTATTGTGTCTGATCTCTTCCCTAACATCAAGTGAGTTTTATTGTAACTAAACTTTTCATTACACTGGGTAAAATCTACAGTCTAACATCAGGTTTGATGATTTGCCTTCTTATCTTCAATTTTTTAAACTGCTCAAGCTAAATTGCTAACATTGAATAATTTTTATTTAGTGTTTTATGCCTTAAAATGTCTTCAAATTAAATGATTATTCAATCAATTTAGTAAGCTAATAATTAATGAGTGAAGCTGACAATTTTTCTGTGATATGTTTATTAGAGAAGAGCCCATTGATTATGGAGAGATGGAAACTTCACTTAGAAAGTCTTGTACCAAAAGTGGCCTCAAGGATGTTGATGGTGAGATCCTAATTGGCATAGTAAAAAAATTTATGCATTTTATGTTTCAAAATTAATCTGGCTTTTTTTATTGTAGTTAAATTATAGTTGTTATATTTAAAAAAAAATTGGAAGCAGGTGAATACTTGGCTCCACATTAAAAACCTGAATTAAAACAATGCTAAGTAATTGTGTTTTACCCTGGCCAGGTTTTATCAACAAGTGTATCCAATTGTTTGAGACAACAGTTGTCAGACATGGTCTTATGTTGGTTGGTCCAACCTGCTCAGGTAAAACAAAGGTAAGAAAGGTTTTGTTAACAGCTCTTCATTTCAAACATTACTTTTTGCTTACAAATATTTAAAAAACTAAACCTAAAATATTGTCTGTGCCCAATTTATTTATTTTTGGATGCTCTAGAAAGCTCATTGTTTAACCATAAACTCCTCATGTGTCTAGTGCAATAATGCTCAGTATTTAACAATAAAATCTTCCTGTGTCTAGTGCTATGAAATGCTCAGTATTTAACCATAAAATCTTCCTGTGTCTAGTGCTATGAAATGCTCAGTATTTAACCATAAAATCTTCCTGTGTCTAGTGCTATGAAATGCTCAGTATTTAACCATAAAATCTTCCTGTGTCTAGTGCTATGAAATGCTCAGTATTTAACCATAAAATCTTCCTGTCTAGTGCTATGAAATGCTCAGTATTTAACCATAAAATCTTCCTGTGTCTAGTGCTATGAAATGTTCAGTATTTAACCATAAAATCTTCCTGTGTCTAGTGCTATGAAATGCTCAGTATTTAACCATAAAATCTTCCTGTCTAGTGCTATGAAATGCTCAGTATTTAACAATAAAATCTTCCTGTGTCTAGTGCTATGAAATGCTCAGTATTTAACCATAAAATCTTCCTGTCTAGTGCTATGAAATGCTCAGTATTTAACAATAAAATCTTCCTGTGTCTAGTGCTATGAAATGTTCAGTATTTAACAATAAAATCTTCCTGTGTCTAGTGCTATGAAATGTTCAGTATTTAACCATAAAATCTTCCTGTGTCTAGTGCTATGAAATGCTCAGTATTTAACCATAAAATCTTCCTGTCTAGTGCTATGAAATGCTCAGTATTTAACAATAAAATCTTCCTGTGTCTAGTGCTATGAAATGCTCAGTATTTAACAATAAAATCTTCCTGTGTCTAGTGCTATGAAATGCTCAGTATTTAACCATAAACTCCTCCTCTTTCTAGTGCTATGAAATGCTCAGTATTTAACAATAAAATCTTCCTGTGTCTAGTGCTATGAAATGTTCAGTATTTAACCATAAAATCTTCCTGTCTAGTGCTATGAAATGCTCAGTATTTAACCATAAAATCTTCCTGTCTAGTGCTATGAAATGCTCAGTATTTAACAATAAAATCTTTCTGTGTCTAGTGCTATGAAATGCTCAGTATTTAACAATAAAATCTTCCTGTGTCTAGTGCTATGAAATGCTCAGTATTTAACCATAAAATCTTCCTGTGTCTAGTGCTATGAAATGCTCAGTATTTAACCATAAACTCCTCCTCTTTCTAGTGCTATGAAATGCTCAGTATTTAACAATAAAATCTTCCTGTGTTGTCTAGTGCTATGAAATGCTCCAGAAAGCCCAGACCGCCCTCAAAGGTCGGCCATCCCCAGCCATGTCAGATTTCCAGACGACCCACACGTATGTTCTCAACCCCAAATCCATCACCATGGGTCAGCTGTATGGTGAATTTGATCTGCTCACCCATGAATGGTTCGTATCATACACTCACTTTATACAACGTTATGCTTAGAAAATTAATTTAAAGTTAGCTTTAAATTTTAACGGTATGTCCATGTGGGCAGGTGAAGTAGAGTTCATCAGTTTCTGTGACCTTGGCATATAAAAGGATAGTTTGGTCAGCACTATGCTAACCAGCCATAACTTTCCCTATTGTGAGTCATGTACCCATCAGAGCTGGGTGGACTCAGGGATGTACTACAGACTCTATCCTGGGATCCGAACTCGAGCTATCCAGGTTAGCAATCGCATGCTCTACCATCCCACCATGCCGTTACTAAATTTTAATAGGCTGATATAAATACCTGAGTTTAAAATAACTCTTTAAACAATTTTTGTGGCGACAGGACTGATGGGATCCTGTCAACTCTGATCAGATTCGGAGCCTCGTCACGGGATGAGGAGAAGCGCTGGTTCATCTTTGACGGCCCCGTGGACGCTGTGTGGATAGAAAACATGAACACAGTCCTGGACGACAACAAGAAGCTGTGTCTCAGCAGTGGTGAGATCATCAAACTCACTGAGGTAGGTGCTAGATTTATAGAGGGATGTTGGATATAGCAACAAGAAGCTGTGTCTCACTCACTGAGGTAGGTGCTAGATTTATAGAGGGATGTTGGCTATAGCAACAAGAAGCTGTGTCTCACTCACTGAGGTAGGTGCTAGATTTATAGAGGGATGTTGGCTATAGCAACAAGAAGCTGTGTCTCACTCACTGAGGTAGGTGCTAGATTTATAGAGGGATGTTGGCTATAGCAACAAGAAGCTGTGTCTCACTCACTGAGGTAGGTGCTAGGTTTATAGAGGGATGTTGGCTATAGCAACAAGAAGCTGTGTCTCACTCACTGAGGTAGGTGCTAGATTTATAGAGGGATGTTGGCTATAGCAACAAGAAGCTGTGTCTCACTCACTGAGGTAGGTGCTAGATTTATAGAGGGATGTTGGCTATAGCAACAAGAAGCTGTGTCTCAGCAGTGGTGAGATCATCAAACTCACTGAGGTAGATCCTAGGTTTATATAGGGATGTTGGCTATAGCAACACACAAGAAAAGATAACTATAACTGTATACATAGCTATGTAGAAAAATACATGTGTAAACTGGAACAATACACAGGTATGAAACAAAACAATACAGTTGTATACTTGAATAAAGAAAATTAAGCAAAAGAGGAGGTACTAGTAAAAAATGTAATCACAGGAACTTTACTGCAGGAAGTTAAAACAAACTCCTGAAAAATACTGAATTTAACACTAGAAAAACAAAGTTAATACCAGAAAAATACTGAAATTAACAATAGAAAATGCTGAAGTTATGAAAACATTCCTATATTTTGCAGGCCATGACAATGATGTTTGAAGTGGCTGATCTTGCAGTAGCCTCCCCTGCCACAGTCAGCAGATGTGGAATGGTTTATTTGGAGCCAAGTTACATCGGCCTGGACCCATTTGTTGAATGCTGGTTGAAAAAAGTACCTGAACCAATCTGGCAATACAAAGAGAAGTTTGAAGAACTATTCCAGTTTTTCCTGCATGTAAGTTTTAAAAACTCATAAATTCCAAAAATTATTTTATTTCCTCATTTTATGAAAAATAAAATAATTTGCTTACAATGAAAATTCTCTTTGCTCAGTTTAGTCATGTGTTTTTGTATCTGGATAATTTTTGCTTTTAGCCTGCAATAAAACTACTGCGCAAAGAGTTGCGTGAAATAGTCCCAACAGTTGATGGTGCGGTGGTGTTTTCACTCCTTAAAATGTTGGACTGTTTCTTTGAACCTTTTGTGCCGAAAGAGGTAAAGTTTTTTTTAATGGATTTTATTTTTATTTTGGATTTTAAATCTCTTGATGTGCAACTAATATCTGGTTTAACAAGTTTTTTGTTAAAAAACTGTTGCAGTTTTTTATAAACAGTAGTGCTGCTGTAATTTTAACCCTTTGATGCCTACAGCACTGTAGCTTAAACAGGTCTTGAGCACTGTTAGCTTCATGTGTAGGCTGTCTGGTGTCAGAACCACCCTAATGCTAAAACAGTTTGGATGCTGTACTCTAAGGTTTTAATTAACTCTAAAGTACCCAGTTCCCAAGTGCAAACAGTACTAAAGTGTACCAAGTACCACAATGTACACAGTACTAAATTGTACAAAGTACCACAATGTACACAGTACAAAAGTGTACGCAGTACCACAATGTACAATGTAGCAAAATATAGACAGCACCATAGAGCAATAGCTTAATTGTTTTATTTGTTTTGCTATCCTGTGTGAAGTGATTATGCTTTTTGATTTACCCTCTAACCCAAACCTCAACTCTTAACACAGCCTTTAATAAATGTCACTGTACAGAGTGTTTGATTCGGTTAAGTTAGGAGCTTTTCAGACGTATGCCAGAACGTCCTATTTGTATTAATTAGTGCTTATCCCACACAAAATGACTTCCAGTATTAATTAATTAAGAAAAGGGAGAGATTAAATGTAAAAATGATAAAAGGTAAAATTTTCAAACAGTTTTTAAAAAAAAGTCGAGTAATGTGTGTACAATGAAGTAAATATTTGGTACCATATTAAATTTAATGTTTTTATGGGGATCAGATTAAATAATTTTATATTTACGTTATTTTGACCCCACTGTTTTAGAGTTACAAGTTCTACTAATAAAATAAATAAGGCTATTTATTTTTGTGTTATGTGGTTTTCCATAAATGACGTCACACTCCTAGGGGTGGGGGTGGGGGTTGGAATTTTGAGATTTTGTGTGACAAGGAAGGGGATCAGGCTTTGTGGTGACACACTTTTGCACTTTAAAAAGTAATGTTATAAACGGAATTTTAGCCATTATTTTGAAATTTTAAAAAATCTGTTATTGTAATAGAAATTGATTAATACATGTGTACTCAATTCTGACAGACTGACCAAGTATAGTTAATATTTTAAAAAGAAATCAACAAAAAACTGCAGTTTTGAGGGGTAGTTGTTGGCTGATGCGTGATGCAATTTTAAGGGTGGGTTCTAGGTTTTTGTGATGATCGTGAGGGGGGCAAGGTAAAATCATTATGGATGACCCTTATTGTTAACAAAATTTGTTTTTGCATTAATTAAATATTTGTGAGGTTTTAAATGAGTAGTTTAAATAGTTTAATAAGAAAAAAATCTTAAGTGGTTTGAAGTTACAAAAGTTAACACTAATTTTGTTATCATGATCTTGTTTTATTTTCTTGCACAACCATGTTAACAGTTTTCATGTGGTATGAAACTAACACAATTTTTTAAAATGCACCCTGGCAATGCCACCCACTGTGTGCTGTTTGTTACACCTCACTGTGTGCTACTGACTTGTGTGTTGCTCTAATACACATCTTTCATGTGTGTATGTGTAGAACTCAATGGGCTACAAGAAAGTGGTAAGTTTTGCTTCACCTTTTTGCTTTTGTACTTTAAGACTTGTAGGTTTAATTATAACAATGTGAGAAGCACTCGTGGTTGTTTCTAATGTTGCCAGATTTTTAAAAAAAGTTAGTCCTGTCCTAGATTAAGGTTGTTATCCATTTTAGTAATGATACACTCTTAAAGCAACAGTGGTTGATAAGTTTTCTTAAGCTTTTTCAATTTAGCCAAGGATTAAGTTTTGGGGTTAAGTTTATGTTTGGCTAAGGGTTAGTAAAATCTTCTGTTCTTATATTAAGTTGAAGGTTAATGAGCATAATGGGAATACTCAGTCATCTATTAATGAATTAGTCATTATATTTACAGAGTATTAAAAATAAACATGAGAAAAAGCTATTTGTTGTTTTTAAAGTTTAACCCTAGTAAGTAGAATACTACATTATGACACTGTGTAGGATCTTACATTAGACTACATTGTGTTTTGTAGATAAAGTACTAAGCTTGAATTTGTTTGATTTGGTTGAGTTCTTGTTTGTACCAATTCAATATCATAATAACATGATGTAACACTTCTTTTAACCAGTTGTAATGACGGGTCCAATCAAGTGAGAAAACTAATATAAGCACCTTCTGTCACTATCTAGTACATTCACAGTCACTGTGTGGAATGATACTTCAGTAGTTTATTCTAGACACAGGAAAATATTTTTCAACACACTTAAAATACTCATTACAACATTTCAACTGTGTGTGTAGTTAGCAAAGTTTGGTTCAGATGGCATATTTTCTTCATTAGCTTTAGAATCCACATTTTAACGCATGGTTTTATTTTCTCACACTTTTTGATTTGTGATGTTCTGAGATGCTGCATGTACGCATTCTATAAGTGGTTTAAAAAAACAGAAATTTAAATCTTACATAGCATTTTTAATATTTAAGTGTAAAGTATATATACATATATATATATATATATATATATATATATATATATATATATATATATATATATATATATATATATATATATATACATATATATATATGTATATATATATGTATGTATATATATACATATATATATATGTATATATATAAACATATGTTTAAGCCATAACACATACCATAACTGCTGATTTCAGGGTGAACAACCCATCCCTGCTGAGCGTTTGGCCCGTGTGGTTGAACTGATTGAGCCCTGGTTTCTGTTCTCCCTGGTCTGGTCAGTTGGGGCCACATGTGACAACGACAGTCGCAAGAAGTTTTCACACTGGCTCAAGGAGAAGATGAAGGAGGCCAATGTAAGCTTTGGTCAAGTTAATCAACTGGTTTTAGATTTGGTCAAGTTGATAAACTGGGTTTATATTAGGTTAAGTTGATGAACTGGGGTTTATTTGGTCAAATTGATCAACTTTGTTTATATTTGTTTATACTTAGATGAGATTCTAGTGTCCTTGTCTGTTACAAGCTGTAAATACTGATAGTGTTGCTTAAAAATGTAGAGAGCTGTGAAATGCTGTACAAAACTATTATAAGCTGTATAGGGCCATTTTAGGCTGTGCAAGACTGTATAATGTTGTATAATGCTGTACAGAGCTGTTTACGGCTGAATAATGTTGTATAATGCCACCAGGTGAAGCTGATGTTCCCAGAAGACGGTCTGGTCTATGACTACATGTTGGATGATGCAGGGATCTGTAGCTTAGCTCCCCCAGGGATAGATGAAGATGACGATGTTATGAAGAAGGTTAGCCTTTTAGTAGTTTGACATAAAAAATAAATTGATGACCCAGAATTTAATACATTTCATAATTTATTTCTTGTCTGTAAATTGTTTATGTATTTTATCAAATCATTTATCAGTGAATTGTACTGGTATGTTCTAGAAAGTGCTGTGGAAAAATTGGATGGAAACCATGTCAGACTTCACCATTGCACCAGATACCAAGTACTCAGATATCATTGTCCCCACCATTGACACCATCCGCAGTTCTAAAATACTAGAGATGCTGGTCAGCAGCAAGAAAACTGTGAGTAACACACAAGAATAACATGCTCTCATGGCATTCCATTTGGTTTTACTCTACTTTTACATATAGCAACATTATTTATGTTATGAATTTGTATGAGATTTTAGTAAAAAATGTGTCAAAACTTTATGAAATTGAATAAAAATGTTTTTAGGTCTTATGTGTGGGACCAACTGGCACAGGGAAAACTTTGACCATAGCAGATAAGTTGTCCAGGAGCATGCCAAAAGAATATGTGCCAGAATTCATCATCTTCTCAGCCAAAACTAGTGCCAACCAAACACAAGATTTGGTGGATGGAAAACTGGACAAAAGGTAGCTCTTTTGGAAAAAAAGTTTGTTAAACTGAACATTATAATATAAACATTTGAAACACCCAGTCTTTGAAACAAGCTTTTTTTTAAACCTTTACTTTAATAATTTTCTTGCTTATTCTTTTAGTTTTATATTTGAAATAACCCAGAGTAGGTTGAGTGTGGTACATTTTAATAGTTAAAAAGATTGCTTTGATGATATTTTAATTTTAATAACACAAGTGATTTTTGTTTCACTATTTCAAGTTTTTGAGTAATGTTTTTCTTACTTAATCTTCTGTCTCCCTTCAAGTGAACAAATGAAGTAGACAAAGCAATATCTATAATTTTTTGTTTTTTAAATTTTCAGACGCAAGGGTGTGTTTGGTCCTCCACTTGGCAAATACTTTGTTTTCTTCATTGATGATCTGAACATGCCTGCCTTAGAGGTGTATGGAGCCCAGCCCCCCATAGAGCTGATCAGGCAGTACATGGACTTTAAGGGCTGGTATGACAGGAAGTCTATTGGTGAGTTTAGGGCTGGTATGACAGGAAGTCTATTGGTGAGTTTAGGGCTAGGTCCCCCCACTTTAAGAGCTGGTATGACAGGAAGTCTATTGGTGAGTTTAGGGCTGGTATGACAGGAAGTCTATTGGTGAGTTTAGGGCTGGTATGACAGGAAGTCTATTGGTGAGTTTAGGGCTGGTATGACAAGAAGTCTATTGGTGAATTTAGGGCTGGTATGACAGGAAGTCTATTGGTGAGTTTAGGGCTGGTATGACAGGAAGTCTATTGGTGAGTTTAGGGCTGGTATGACAGGAAGTCTATTGGTGAATTTAGGGCTGGTATGACAGGAAGTCTATTGGTGAGTTTAGGGCTGGTATGACAGGAAGTCTATTGGTGAGTTTAGGGCTGATATGACAGGAAGTCTATTGGTGAGTTTAGGGCTAGGTCCCCCCACTTAAAGGTGGGGTACTTGGTCTAGGTGATTTGGTTTTATATTTAGAAGAACATTTTCAGTGGTAGCGTCAGCTTGGTCAGGCAATAGAGTGCTTGACTGCTAATCTGAAAGTCCTAGTGTTATTATCCTAGTCTGTCAGGTGTCCCTGAATTCACCCAGCTCTGATGGTTAACTGACATATGTTAATTAAAGTAAATTTGGCTCTGCATAGCACTGACCACATTACCAGCAGTACTTGACTATATGTTTTTTTTGTACATTAAGGAGTTTTATTTAAGATTTCTCCATGAAATAAAATGTTATTGTATTATCTCAGGTGAATTTAGAAACCTGGTGGATGTGAACTTTGTCTGTGCCATGGGTCCACCTGGGGGTGGTCGCAACCCTGTTACAGCGCGTCTTCTGCGCCACTTCAACTTCCTGGCCTTCACAGAGATGGAGGATGAGAGCAAGGGGCGGATTTTCACAGCCATCCTTAATTCTTGGATAGGTTAGTTGGTTCTACCATTTATTTTGATGAGAGCAAGGGGTGGATCTTCACAGCCATCCTTAATTCTTGGATAGGTTAGTTGGTTCTACCATTTATTTTGATGAGAGCAAGGGTATAATATATATATACACATACTTGCATGCTCATACACAATTACAAATACAGTGAGTTTAAAAATAAATGATAGACAATTAGGAAATTTTCCAAAATATTTTAATAGTAAATGACAGTAATTTGACTTCAAATAGCTGAATTGATTATGATAGAGAAGTTTTGATTTTTTTTTTTCAAATGGTGTATCATAGTACCTGATAATTTGGGCATCCTAAAAAATAGGTCAATGTAAAAAAATTCAGAAAAACATGTGGTTTACAACTAGCTGTATAAAATAACTTTATATAGCAAAGTGCAGGTTTTCTTTCTTTTTCTTCTTTGTTTTTAATTGTAATATTGGTGGTTCGAATAGTACTATGTATCCCATTGTCTCTGACTTGAGCCTGCTTTTCTTCATGATCTGCTCTGCTTCAGTAGACTTTGTGGCCCCAAGAATAATAATTTTTATTTCCCCAGCCCACATCCCATCCGTGTCAGACTACAGCAAGCAGATGGTGAGCACGTGTATATCCATGTACAACACCATCCAGACCCAGCTCCTGCCCACCCCAGCCAAGTCTCACTACACGTTCAACCTCAGAGACCTGTCCAAGGTGTTCCAGGGCATTCTCATGTGTCAGCCTGACAGCATCAAGGTCAGTTGTGCTCAGTTTTTCTAGCACATTGTTGGTGTTGCTCGTTGTTGGATTAGCTCATTGTTGGATTAGCTCATTGTTGGATTAGCTCATTGTTGGATTAGCTCATTGTTGGATTAGCTCATTTTTGGATTAGCTCATTGTTGGATTGGCTCATTGTTGGATTGGCTCATTGTTGTATTAGCTCATTATTGGATGAGCTCATTGTTGGATTAGCTCATTGTTGAAATAATATGTTATGTTAATTCATGAGTGGATTAGTCCTTGGTTAGTTCAAGACAAGGAATGAATCATCCTTGAATAATGTCATGCTCCTTTAGGGTAGAGAGGAGACTTTTTCGGGTGATGAGCTACAGAGGAAAGGGGAGGTTAAGATATGTGAAAGCACAATATATATTTTCAAAAAATAAAAAATATATTTTAAAATATACTAATTGGGGAGAGGGGAAGGGAGGGTGTGTTTTGACTTGACAACTTAGATAAGGAAGGGGGGAGGCAAAAAATTGCCAAATTAACATGACACCATTTTTAATGGTCAAAGTGCTAATTTTATTTAAACCCCAAAAGTCTGATATGAAGATTAAAGTCTGGTTACCGAAATCATCAAAAAGAGGTTTTAGAAATACTGTTGTCTTTTAATCATATCTACCCCTAAAGCAGCATCACTAAACTGGTACATGTGTGTAAACCCCATGTGACTCCTGTTTCAGAACATTCAAGACTTCCTGAGGCTCTGGTACCATGAGTGCTGCCGTGTCTTCCAAGACCGCCTTGTCAACGACGAGGACCGCGACTGGTTTGACAACCTCCTGAAGGAGAAGATGGAGCAAGATTTTCACAGCAACTTTGACGAGGTTGTTGTGCAGAAGCCAGTCATCTTTGGTGACTTCATGAACACCAATGTGGAGCCGCGTCCCTACACACTGATAGACGATCATGTCAAGGTAAAGGTCACGGCAATCTGACAGTTGGGGTATGGAGGGGTCAGTGGTAGAGAGCTGGACTGCTAACCCGTAAGTCTCGAGTTTGAATCCGGGTTCAAGTCAGTAAACCGTCCCTGAGTCCACCCAACTCTGATGGGTACCTAACTCACATTAGGGAAAGTAAAGGCGGCAGGGCATAGCGCTGACCACACTATCTCTTCATATGCGGAGGTCACAGAAACAAGTGAATTCTACTTCACTTGCCCTATAGACCGTCAGGTTTGAAAGGGAACTTTAATCAGACAGTTATTAAAATAAAAAAATTTTCAATGTAATGTCATGTAGATTTAATGTAACTGGCTCAAGTACTTATTCATTGTTTTATAAAAAAATATGTTAAGTATAATTTTCAACATTTAAGCATAGACATACTACAATATAAAACAAAATGATGCAAGTATTGAAATCATTAGTAATATCACAATTATAAATAAACCGGGAGTGATCTCCCCTAAACTTTCTCTAATATTCTTATATAAAACAACAGAGGATGGGAACTCAGGATATAGACATGATTTATTTTTTAATCCATTTTAAATACTTAAACTTTTTAAAATAAAATAAAATCTCATAGAAAAAAGAATTGCACACCAAGTGAACGCCAAATAAAATGTGCATAATAGTGCGGAATATTATTAGTAATTTATAAATTTACATTCGTTTTTTGAGAAATCGGAAATAGAGAAAATTACTACTTCCGGTCAACGGAAATTACTCAAAATTTGACATAAGGTAGATAATTACATCTTTTACTCACATATGAAATTTAATTTATCTATCTGAAATAGTACTCAAGTTAGAGGCTTTTGAAATAATACTCATATATGAAATTTCATCAACCTAGCTGTAACGGTACTCAAGTTATCGTGTTTACAGACACACACACACATATATACACACACAGACATACGGACCAGATTGCAAAAGTTTTTCCGATTCAGGGAAATGTAAAACGTCAAGATCTGCAAAAATCTCAATTTTTTTTTGCACGATTACAAGACTTTCTCTATACTTCGTATATACAAGAAAGTAAAAAAGAGATTATTTACTGCTATTGTTTAAAAAAAAAAATACTTAGGCTCGGGACATGTGGACAGAGAGAGACAGAGAGAGAGAGAGAAGTGTGCACATGGACTTTTATATATTAAATAGTTTAAAAATAATCAAGGGAGGAAACCTATATCTGTTTCCCAAGAGTAGTGGGAAAAAAAAGAGAAATTTAATAGTAATAAAGCAATATATTGAATTCATTAATTATTATTTTAAAAAATATGAATATTGAAATTCTAAAATGTTCCTTTTGTCTACAGTTTATACTTCTTAGGTTTTTGCATTATCATTGGACTCTAGTCTGAACAGTAAAACTTTAGCTTTATTAAATACCTAATTTGTTGACTAGAGAAAATTAAAAAAAATTAGTACTGCCTTGTTGTGGCATTAATGGTCATAAAAAACCTTTGTCTTTTATTTGTTTGAACAAGAAGTGTTTTATTATTATAAAAATTATGTGAATATTAGACCACTTTTGTCAATTATTCTGTGATTAAGGGAGGGGGGACCAGTAGTTAAAAAGGCACTTTTCATGATCTTTTTGTCTATTTATATTTATATGTTTAAGTAACTCTAACATCCCATCAATGACCTAAGCCAGGGGTCGGCAACCTGCGGCTCGCGAGCCGCATGGGGCTCTTTTGATATCAAGATGCGGCTCTCCAACTCCTTGAACAAATACTAATAATCTTAATAAAAACATAAAATATTTGAAATAAAAAAAATTTTAGTGGCTCTTTAAAACCAGGGAAATTTTGAAAATTGTAACTTTTGGCTCTTCCGCTTCAAAAGGTTGCCGACCCCTGACCTAAGCTAATGTGTTATACTCAAAAATGTGGTGAAACACTTATTTTAGTGTTAATAGATGACTAGTTTTAATAACATTTTATTTTTTTTACAAAAAATAGCCACTGGAATTTTTCTGCCAACTCCATCATTTCTAATTAGGATATCTTAAAAACTGTTTCACAAAATGCAGTGCAACTTGCACAGTCTTTACAATACATTTTGTTCTGCAACATGATAAAAGTTTTTAATGATAGCTTTGTTTGTTTTATTTTTAAAGTTGTTTAAAGTTTATGTCTCTCCACCAAAGGCTCTTTTTTTCTGTGACGTTTAAAAAAAAATTCATATTTTAAACAGTTTGTATTTTATCTAAAAAATCTTTCTATAAGGTTGTTTTGCAACCATTTCCAAATGTGGTTGTTATTTTATATATAATTAAAATAAATAGGTACTGAGATGTTCAGCATACAAAACTGCTTATAAAAATGCATATAAACTCAACTTTTTTTTTCTCAGTACGTTTGAGATAGGTTATCTTAATAACATATCAATATCTTTGTTTTAGATATGAAGACGATGTTAAATAGCTTATCTTGAATTTTTAAAAAATAAAGTATTAACCCCTTCAGGGTTTTGGGGAGGTGCCAAGATTTTAAAAAATGAAAGTGTCGTGAAAAGTTTGAAAATAAACTCTGCTCTATGCCGTTTGTTTCTTATAAAGATTGCATGAATTCATCCTTCTACATGTAGTAGAGTGGTTTTCAGGCTTAACCAACTGTTTCTTTGATAACATTTTCTAAATGATATTTTGCCCACATGTCAGAGAAATGGAAATTCCACACCTATCAATAGATTTACAAAACAAAGGGAAATAACTAGGAACATACCCTCAGTTGTTGAATTTGGAGCAGTATTATTTTTGTCATGTGAACTCTCTCTTCCCCAGCTTGTTAAAGCCTTAAATGAGTTTCTGGAAGACTACAACCAAATCAACACCGCCCAGATGAAGCTGGTCCTGTTTATGGATGCTGTCACCCATGTCAGTCGCATCGCCAGGATCATCAGGCAGCCACTGGGGAATGCCCTGCTGCTGGGCATGGGTGGGAGCGGTCGTCAGAGTCTCACACGTCTGGCAGCTCACATGTGAGCAGGCTTTTTTTTATGTGGTGGTGGGGGGTCTTATGGTGTCTTATGGCAGGTGTCTAATGGCAGGCGTTTAATGGCAGGTGTCTTATGGCAGGTGTCTAATGGCAGGTGTCTAATGGCAGGTGTCTAATGGCAGGTGTCTTATGGCAGGTGTCTTATGGCAGGTGTCTAATGGAAGGTGTCTTATGGCAGGTGTCTAATGGCAGGTGTCTAATGGCAGGTGTCTTATGGCAGGTGTCTTATGGCAGGTGTATTGGTAGTGAGGTCTAAGGGCAGGTGTATTGGCAGCATAAGTTAAAATATTATCAGATGTTCAAAGATCAATTACCCAGATGTTTATGTTTGAGAGCCTCCCTACAAGGATCTATCTATCTGTCTCTCCAGGTCAGAGTTTGACTGCTTCCAGATAGAGTTGTCAAAGAACTACGGCACAGCTGAGTGGAGGGAAGACCTGAGGAAGGTGATGATGAAGGCTGGCCTGGAGAACAAACCTGTTGTCTTTTTATTTAGTGACACACAGGTAAGCGGACATTACACACTGCACAGGTGTGTCAACTGTACCCATACACACTACACAGGTGTGTAAACAGTACCCATACAAGTACACACTACACATGTAGGTCAACATCACAAATTTCCAGAGCTACATTACACAGGCAAGAGAGCATATAACACATATATGTAGACAAACGACACAGCTATCTTAAGTTTTTTTTATGTGACATTATTATGCTAATTTTCATGTTTATAAATATGTCACATTTACAGTTTTTAATGTTCTGAGCTGATACATTATAAAAAACCTATCCTTGTGTTTAACATACATTTTCAATTCCCAAACTAAATGCACACGTATGATGATTGAAAAGCTAGTCAAAGTTTATATAATTGGCTTCTAGGGAAATATTCATATGGTCTAAAATGCATTAAAGTTTATTAAATGATCTTAAAAGGATCTACTTTTAGGTATAAACATCTAGCTGAAGTTTGTAAAATGGTCTCTAAAAGACCTATTTTTAGGGTATAAACATCTAGCAGAAGTTTATAAAATGGTGTAAAAATGTGAGTGATACAAAATGTCTGATCTCAGATCAAAAGTGAATCCTTCCTTGAGGACATCAACAACATCCTCAATGCTGGCGATGTACCCAACATTTACGGCTTTGATGAGCTGGAGAAAATCTACACGGACATGAAGCCGGTTGTACAGGACATTGGTCTGCAGCCCACCAAGACCAATCTGTTCTCAGCGTACACTAAACGTGTACGCAGCAACCTACACACTGTGCTGACCATGAGGTAAAGATAATTTTTCATGGGGTTTGCGGAGGTGTCACAGTATTAGGTTAATTTTTATGGAATGTTTTGTATATTACTCTCTGTTATGTTTATTTTAAAAAGGTTGTTTTTTTTTAGATTGTAATAGCCTATTTAAGGAGTTTATATCTTAACTTCATTTTGAACATGGTGTTTTTTGACTTGCCACAGCAGTACCTTCATTGTGTGTAAAGGGGTTTATTTGGGTATCATACAATCATATAAACTTGTTTTAATACAATTGACATTAATCCTAAATGTTAGATGAAGATTCTAAGCCACCAATATATTTGTTTTGCTGCTATTATTTTCCAGTCCTCTGGGTGAAGTATTCCGGGCTCGTCTGCGTCAGTTCCCCGCCCTGGTCAACTGCTGCACCATTGACTGGTTCAGCCAGTGGCCAGCTGATGCTCTCAAGTCTGTGGCCCAGAACCTTCTGAGTGACATACCTGATCTGGACACAACCACCACAGTGATGGAGGGGCTGGTGGGTGGTTGTCATGTCTGTGGATGGTTGTCATGTCTGTGGGTGTTTGTCATGCCTGTGGGTGGTTGTCATGTCTGTGGATGGTTGTCATGCCTGTGGATGGTTGTCATGTCTGTGGGTGTTTGTCATGCCTGTGGGTGGTTGTCATGTCTGTGGGTGGTTGTCATGTCTGTGGGTGGTTGTCACGTCTGGGTGGTTGTCATGTCTGGGTGGTTGTCATGTCTGTGGATGGTTGTCATGTCTGTGGGTGTTTGTCATGCCTGTGGGCGGTTGCCTGTGGGGGCTATGTCCGAGGTTGTTGCCCAGACACTGTGTGTGTCACATTGTTAAAGTTGTTAAACTTTTATGTGCTCTATTTTTAAGGAACTTTTATTTGTATGTACATATCTAAGTCACTTACATACTCAATGCTTCTACATTAAATAAGGTTGCTTCTTTGTCTTGAAACTTTAGTAATAGACTTTCACGGTCTGTCAGGTCAATGTGTCAGATGTTTAGGTTAAACTGATATTTTGTTGGTCTAGGTGTCAATATGTCAGGTGTTTAGGTTAAACTGATATTTTGTTGGTCTAGGTGTCAATGTGTCAGGTATTTAGGTTAAACTGATATTTTGTTGATCTAGGTGTCAATATGTCAGGTGTTTAAGTTAAACTGATGTTTTGTTGGTCTAGGTGTCACTGTGTCAGGTGTTTAGGTTAAACTAATGTTTTGTTGCTCTAGGTGTCAATTTGTCAGGTGTTTAGGTTAAACTGATGTTTTGTTGCTCTAGGTGTCAATGTGTCAGGTGTTTAGGTTAAACTGATGTTATGTTGGTCTAGGTGTCAATATGTCAGGTGTTTAGGTTAAACTGATATTTTGTTGGTCTAGGTGTCAATGTGTCAGGTGTTGAAGTTAAACTGATGTTTTGTTGGTCTAGGTGTCAATGTGTCAGGTGTTTAGGTTAAACTGATGTTTTGTTGGTCTAGGTGTCAATGTTTCAGGTGTTTAGGTTAAACTTATGTTTTGTTGGTCTAGGTGTCGATGTGTCAGGTGTTTAGGTTACACTGGTGTTTTGTTGGTCTAGGTGTCAATATGTCAGGTGTTTAGGTTAAACTGATATTTTGTTGGTCTAGGTGTCAATGTGTCAGGTGTTGAAGTTAAACTGATGTTTTGTTGGTCTAGGTGTCAATGTGTCAGGTGTTTAGGTTAAACTGATGTTTTGTTGGTCTAGGTGTCAATGTGTCAGGTGTTTAGGTTAAACTGGTGTTTTGTTGGTCTAGGTGTCAATGTGTCAGGTGTTTAGGTTAAACTGATGTTTTGTTGGTCTAGGTGTCAATTTGTCAGGTGTTTAGGTTAAACTGGTGTTTTGTTGGTCTAGGTGTCAATGTGTCAGGTGTTTAGGTTACACTGGTGTTTTGTTGGTCTAGGTGTCAATGTGTCAGGTCATCCATGAGTCAGTGACGGTCAACTCCGCCAAGTTCCTGGCCGAGATGTCACGTTACAACTACGTCACACCCACAAGTTACTTGGAGCTGCTGGGCATTTTCTCCAAGCTGGTGGGCATGAAGAAGATGGAGCTGATCACTGCTAGACACAGGTTAAAGACTGGCCTCGACAAGGTGAGACCCTAACCATTCGATTACTTAAATAAATATCCATTGAATTCCTCTCAAACATTCTTGTTTTTTAAATTATGTTGTTTTAATCACATTCTTCAAACTTGTGTACAAGCTGTTTTGTTTTATCCACAATCCTTGTGTACAAGCTGTTTTTTTTGTATCCACAATCCTTGTGTACAAGCTGTTTTGTTTTATCCACAATCCTTGTGTACAAGCTGTTTTGTTTTATCCACAATCCTTATGTACAAGCTGTTTTGTTTTATCCACAATCCTTGTGTACAATCTGATTTGTTGTATCCACAATCCTTGTGTACAATCTGATTTGTTGTATCCACAATCCTTGTGTACAATCTGATTTGTTGTATCCACAATCCTTGTGTACAATCTGATTTGTTGTATCCACAACCCTTGTGTACAATCTGATTTGTTTTATCCACAATCCTTGTGTACAATCTGATTTGTTGTATCCACAATCCTTGTGTACAAGCTGTTTTGTTTTATCCACAATCCTTGTGTACAATCTGATTTGTTGTATCCACAACCCTTTAGCTTCTGTCCACTGCTGAGGAGGTTGGCAAACTGCAGGAGGAACTGGCCACCATGAGACCCATGCTGGAGGAGGCAGTGAAAGAATCCATCACCACTATGGAGAAGATCTCCAAAGATACAGTAATGGCTTTTTTTTCATTGTTTTTTCATCAATAGTTTAGAACGCACATCACTCACTGAAATACCTGCCGTTTTTTACCCCCCCCCCCCCCCCTTGTTGTCATGGCAACATGTTTTTGTTGACACCTGTGCCTGTTACTCACAACCCTATCATAACCCTAAGTTATTACCCCTGCCCACGCTTACATGAATAACCAAAATCTCAACTACTAAAATATTGCGATTGTTCAAAGTGTGAGTCAGTGTGAATATCCTCACTAACAGAAAATAGCAGAAGAGACCAAAATCACAAAAATCTCAACTACTAAATGTTAAAACAAAATATTGCGATTGTTCAAAGTGTGAGACAGTGTGAATATTCTCACTAACAGAAAATAGCAGAAGAGACCAAAGCCGTGGTCCAGAAGGAAGAAGCTCAAGCGTCTAAGAAAGCTGTGGAGACCCAGGCTATTGCAGATGATGCCCAGAGGGATCTCAACGAGGCTTTGCCTGCTCTGGTCAGTTAGCTTACTAGTTTTTTTTTAGTTTTTGCTTAAGTGAAAGTACTTTCATATCTATCTTGTTACCTCAATTGTGGCTCGCCATCCAAAATTATTTCATATTTATTTTACCTGTAGTCTGGTAAATTAAAAATTAACCCGATAATTTCTCTTGTCTGTCTAGTTTGCAGTAACAAAATTATTTTAAAATAATTAGTTATTTGTCTATTTTTACTAAATTACCTGAACAATTATTGTATTTTTTTTTGTTCCTCTGATAAAAAATTAACTCAGTTATGTGTTTTCTTGCCTATTTGGTGTGTTGTTAAAATAAAGATTTTAACCTGTTAATGTGAACCCAGGATGCTGCCCTGGCCAGCTTGAAGTCCCTGACCAGAGTGGATGTGGTAGAAGTGAGAGCACTACAGAGACCTCCTGATGGTGTGCGACTGGTCATTGAAACTGTCTGTATTATGAAGGTAAATGTTGAAACATAGGCACCTGGTAGTCAACTAAACAAGTAGAGTTTAAAGGTCAAAGCTGCAAGTCTTGAGAAATAATTAACAATAGGGAATATATGTGCGTAAATGCTTCTTCAGACACCCGCAATGACTTACAATCCTTGAGGGAGGGTTAGGGGTTTGGTGGACGTTTACAATGATTTATGATGATTTGTTTTATGGGGGTGGTGGTGGTGGGATCTCAGAAAGTGTCAAGTCACACTTGTGCATTTAAAAGATAATTTTTAAATCAAATTTTAACTAAATAGATAAACCCCTAAAGAATATTTCCTATTTACCTAAAGTAAGAGAATGATTGTGTTGAGATGTTAAAAACTTGTTATAAAACTGTCAACAGGGAGTGAAGCCCAAGAAGGTGGCCGGAGAGAAGCCTGGGACCAAAGTGGACGACTACTGGGAGGGTGGGCGTGGTCTGCTGCAGGACCCCACCAAGTTCCTGGAGAGTTTGTTCAAGTTTGACAAGGACAACATCCCCGAAGATGTCATCAAGAAGATACAGCCATACATCGATGATGAGGCTTTCACTCCTGCAGCCATAGCTAAGGTAAGAGGACACCCAGAGAATACAGCCATACATCGATGATAAATCTTTCACTCCCATAGCCATAGCTAGGTAAAATACCTTGCTGCTTGCTCAGATGTTCACAAGTGCAATTATATTTAATACAATAATATTCATTAATAAATTTTACTTTCTTCATAAACTGTATGAACATCATCAATCTGCTTGTGTCAACATGGAGAACTTTAAAATTATCACACTATAAAATGTTTTTTCATTCATTATAAGAATGTCTTACATACAGTTTTTAAATGAATTATATATATATATATATATATATATATATATATATATATATATATATATATATATATATATATATATATATATATATATATATATATATATATATATATATATATATATATATATATATGTAAATATATATATATATATATATATATATATATATATATGTTTGATGTTATTTCAACCACTTAAGAAAAAATAATTATTTTAAAGACAAAAGTTTATGGGTAGACGTTTACATTCTATCTTTAGATCAGCTAAGTTAGCGTGTTGAAATAACATATTTTACCATTGTATTGCCACAAGACTTGCTTGTATTTCCTCAGTTGATTTGACCTCTGATAAAAAAATATCTTTAAACGAAAACAATGATGAATGAACTTTGTTTTCAGGTGTCCAAGGCCTGCACGTCCATCTGCCAGTGGGTCAGGGCCATGCACAAATACCACTTTGTGGCCAAGAGTGTGGCACCCAAGAGAGAGAAGCTGCGCATCGCCCAGGAGGAGTTGTCTGAGACCCAGCGCATCTTGGACGAGGCCAAGGCCAGGCTGGAGGCCGTGGAGGAAGGTTTGGCCACCCTACAGGCCAAGTATGACGACTGTGTGAGGAAGAAAGATGAACTGGAGAACAAGTGCAAGGAATGTGAGGCCAGACTTATCAGGGCAGATAAGGTAAAGTTGGGGGCAGATGAGGTTAGATTAAGGGCCTACAATGAGATTAGCTCAGGGGCAGACAGGTTAAGGTCAGGGGCAGACAAGATAAAATTAGGGACAGATAAGGTTAAGACAGAGAAGACAAGGTTAGGTTTGATTAGGAAAAGAAATGTCTTGGAGAAGGTTGTTTTTATAAGTTAAATTTAGTTTAAAAGTAAACACTACAATTTAATGGAAAAATTAATTTTTTAAAAAAATTTAAGTCCATAAAATGTAATAAATATTATTTTAAAATTTTAAGCAGTTCTTCAAACAGGAAAATCATAATTGGCTTATTATGTTTGAAATTATTTTACTTTATTTTATTCCAATCCATCAAAAATTTAAATCATGTTCACTTTATCTCCCAGCTGATTGGTGGACTGGCAGATGAGAAGGACAGATGGAGAATATCTGTAGATGGCCTGGAGAAGATCATTGATAACTTTGTGGGGGATGTCTTGGTGTCTGCTGGCTGTATAGCGTACCTGGGGCCATTCACTGTAAGTCACATTGATAACTTTGTGGGGGATGTCTTGGTGTCTGCTGGCTGTATAGCATACCTGGGGCCATTCACTGTATGTCACACCACAAAAGTTGCCATCTAATGGCGTTAAGGAGGAACCTGAATAGAGAAAAATGTAGAAAATTATTTTAAATTCTTTGAAAAATCTAGAGGCTAAAATAAATTGAAACATAAATTTAAAAAAAAACACATTTAGTCACAAAGTAATGGTTTGAAATAAGGATATTTACAAAATAAAATTTAGATTGTCTTAGTTATAAAACTAAGTTGAATGAAACTTAATACGGGTTGACAAAACTGCACGTACATTTGATATGTGATGTATGTGTGCTTGTTGTCCATGTAATTTTGGTCCATGTAATGTTTGTCCATGTGATTTTTATGTGATGTTTCTCTATGGGATGTTTTGTCTGTGTGATGTTTTGTCTATGTGAAGTAAGCTTTCTCTGTTATGTGTATATTGTGTCATATGTAATGAGCTAGTTCTCCTGACTACATATTTTCTACCCCCCTCCCTCCCAGGGCGCCTACAGAAACAGCATGGTCAGCAGCTGGGTGCTGAAGCTGGATGAGTGTCAGGTCCCGCGGACAGAGGAACCCTCCCTTGTCGGCACCATGGCTGACCCGGTCAAGATTCGCAGCTGGCAGATCGCCGGACTCCCCAAGGACAACCTGTCTGTAGAGAACGGTGTCATCGTCCAGTTCTCCAGGCGCTGGTCTCTGTTTATTGACCCACAAGGCCAGGCCAACAAATGGATCAAAAACATGGTAGGAGATTCCGTTGTGATTGTATAGTCAGTAGCTTTCGGTATTATAGATGATTTGTTAAAGAGCTTGAAAATAAATAAATATATTTTATTTAATTAATTTTTTTTTCTCTTGAGTTGATAAAATTATTTTTTCATAATATGGTAAAATGTTTTCTTTTTTAATTTGGTAGAGATTTTTTTAAAACTTAGCTTTTAAAGTTGTTTGAAATGTTTCTTTTGCTCTATTCTAGGAGCTAAACGTAGCTTTTAAAGTTGTTTGCAATGTTTCTTTTGCTCTATTCTAGGAGCTAAACGTAGCTTTTAAAGTTGTTTGCATTGTTTCTTTTGCTCTATTCTAGGTGCTAAAGTAGCTTTTAAAGTTGTTTGAAATGTTTCTTTTGCTCTATTCTAGGAGCTAAACGTAGCTTTCAAAGTTGTTTGCAATGTTTCTTTTGCTCTATTCTAGGAGCTAAACGTAGCTTTCAAAGTTGTTTGCAATGTTTCTTTTGCTCTATTCTAGGAGCTAAATGTAGCTTTTAAAGTTGTTTGCAATGTTTCTTTTGCTCTTTTCTAGGAGCCAAACTTAGCTTTTAAAGTTGTTTGCAATGTTTCTTTTGCTCTTTTCTAGGAGCCAAACTTAGCTTTTAAAGTTGTTTGCAATGTTTCTTTTGCTCTTTTCTAGGAGCGTGAAGCCGGCCTTGATGTCATCAAGCTCTCGGACAAAGATTTCCTGCGTAGTTTAGAAAACGCAGTGAGGTTTGGCAAGCCTTGCTTGCTAGAGAATATCAGCACAGAGCTGGACCCTGCTCTGGAACCTATTTTACTCAAACAGGTCAGATACAATCTTTACTAGTAAAATAATTTTTTAAAACTCTGAAACTGGTAAAGACTAATCTAGCATTCAGACAGGAGTAATTTATTTGAACCTAAGAATAAACATCTATTTTTAGAATAGGTATTATCTGTATTGATACATCCATAAATTTAATATTTGAATTTATCCCATTACAACAGAAATGCTGTCAGTATTTTGCAGTAGTATTTTCCACATGCTAAAACTTTACTAATGCTGTTGTTTCATAGTTGTATTTTCTACATTCACTAAATTGACCTAACTGTTCAAGCTATATTGTCTTCATTCACTAAATTTACCTTAATTTTTTCATGCTATATTCGCTCAATTCAATAAGATGATCATTGCTATTGTCTTGTAGTCGAATTTTCTACATTTTCTAAATTGACCTTACCATTAGCATGCTATATCTTCAACATTCAATGTGTTGATCATTTCTGTTGCCTCATAGTAGTTTTTTCTGTATTCACTAAATTGATCTTACAGTGTTCATGTTACATTTTATCCATTAATTGACCTTTGCTGATATCCCACAGACCTACAAGCAACAAGGCAGTACTGTGATCAAACTGGGAGATGCTGTCATACCCTACCACGACGACTTCAAGTTTTACATGACCACCAAACTGCCCAACCCACATTACACACCCGAGGTGTCCACCAAGGTTACACTGGTCAATTTCACTCTCTCCCCCAGGTAAGTTGTGCTGGTGAACTTCACTGTCTCCCCCAGGTAAGTTGTGCTGGTGAACTTCACTGTCTCCCCCAGGTAAGTTGTGCTGGTCAACTTCACTCTCTCCCCCAGGTAAGTTGTGTTGGTCAATTTCACTCTCTCCCCCAGGTAAGTTGTGCTGGTGAACTTCACTGTCTCCCCCAGGTAAGTTGTGCTGGTCAACTTCACTGTCTCCCCCAGGTAAGTTGTGCTGGTCAACTTCACTCTCTCCCCCAGGTAAGTTGTGCTGGTCAATTTCACTCTCTCCCCCAGGTAAGTTTTACTCGTTAAAACAGTTTTGCTTGGTGGGTCATGTGACCGTTATTAAAGTTTGACTGAGCTATATTCATTAAGCAAAGAGTTCAATTGCTAGTATATATTAGATTGAGTTTATACTTTGTGTGAACAGGCAGTATAAATAGTTCCATAGTCTTATTGGAGTTTGTCATTCAAAGTGCAAAGCCCAGTTAACAATTTTTAAAGTGCCAGATTTTGCCCATGTATCGGGCACCCTGTATTCACACTGCTGATAGGCCCAAGGGTGATATTTTACCTGTACAACTTGGCATCAACTGTGTCTTCAAAGCTGCTTATGGGAAACCAGAGTTGATAATCCCATCTCCTAAGGGGCTTCACTCTTGTTTTTATTTTGGAGTTTTCTCTCCTAGATGGGTTGCTGGCTCCAGCTAAAGAACCTTATCTGACTGGGTTTTCAAACTCAGGGCTTTACAAGTTAACCCTGCTATCTACTGCCCGACCACGCAAACCCACAGCTAACAGTATAATAGGTATAATGTATTAGGTTGTTTCAGCACTTTTCATGGGCTATCAGTATAGTTGTTGTTACTCTCCCAGTGGGCTGGAAGATCAACTCCTGGGCATTGTTGTGGCTGAGGAGAGACCTGACCTGGAAGAGGCCAAGAACCAGCTGATTGTCAGCAATGCCAAGATGAAGCAGGAACTCAAAGAGATTGAGGACCGCATCCTCATGCGCCTCAGCTCCTCCGAGGGCAGCCCCGTGGACGACATCGACCTGATTCAAACACTGGAAGCTTCCAAGATCAAATCCCAGGAGATTACTGTAAGTTGTTTCCTTTATTGTTATATTCCAGAGTATACTTAGTTTCACAGATTTAAGAGGTGTGTTAAGATTATGAGTGTGGAGAAAAAAATTAGAGTAGCTTCCCTTTAGTCTTTAGTTACCAATAATTTACCTGTTGTGAATTTGTATTTAACGAAATAAAACTTAGCTTAGAAACCAATGGAAGTGTTAGGGGTTTGTTCTTATATATAACAGTTTAGAGCCCACTATATGCGTTGTAACAACGTCTTTCATTAAGAGTGGGATTGTTGATGCTTTAAGATTTTAACTCTTGAAGCAAAGAAAATGATCTTTGATTTATCACTGTTGTCACTGTCATTTTATCTTGACAGTAACATGATATATATCTCAGAAGTTTTCAGTCTTAAATAATGCTATTCTTGGTTAAGTTTCTATTTATTTATTATTAATAGGATATTAATACATTTAAAATCATGTGTGATGTGATCTCCTTATCACATGTGTGATGTGATCTCTTTAAGGCATGTGTGATGTGATCTCTTTAACACATGTGTGATGTGATCTCTTTAAGGCATGTGTGATCTCTTTAAGGCATGTGTGATGTGATGTCTTTAACACATGTGTGATGTGATCTCTTTAACACATGTGTGATGTGATCTCCTTATCACATGTGTGATGTGATCTCTTTAACACATGTGTGATGTGATCTCTTTAACACATGTGTGATCTCTTTAAGGCATGTGTGATCTCTTTAACACATGTGTGATGTGATCTCTTTAACACATGTGTGATGTGATCTCCTTATCACATGTGTGATGTGATCTCTTTAACACATGTGTGACGTGATCTCTTTAACACATGTGTGATGTGATCTCTTTAACACATGTGTGATCTCTTTAACACATGTGTGATGTGATCTCTTTAACACATGTGTGATGTGATCTCTTTAACTCATGTGTGATCTCTTTAACACATGTGTGATGTGATCTCTTTAACTCATGTGTGATGTGATCTCTTTAACTAAAGTGTGATGTGATCTCTTTAACACATGTGTGATCTCTTTAACACATGTGTGATCTCTTTAACACATGTGTGATGTGATCTCTTTAACACATGTGTGATCTCTTTAACACATGTGTGATCTCTTTAACACATGTGTGATGTGATCTCTTTAACTCATGTGTGATCTCTTTAAGGCATGTGTGATCTCTTTAACACATGTGTGATGTGATCTCTTTAACACATGTGTGATCTCTTTAAGGCATGTGTGATCTCTTTAACACATGTGTGATGTGATCTCTTTAACACATGTGTGATGTGATCTCTTTAACTCATGTGTGATGTGATCTCTTTAACTCATGTGTGATGTGATTTCTTTAACTCATGTGTGATGTATTCTCCTTAACACATGTGTGATGTGATCTCTTTAACTCATGTGTGATCTCTTTAACACATGTGTGACGTGCTCTCTTTAACTCATGTGTGATGTATTCTCCTTAACACATGTGTGATGTGATCTCTTTAACACATGTGTGATGTGATCTCTTTAACTCATGTGTGATCTCTTTAACACATGTGTGATATGATCTCTTTAACTCATATGATCTCTTTAAGGCATGTGTGATCTCTTTAACACATGTGTGATGTGATCTCTTTAACACATGTGTGATGTGATCTCTTTAACACATGTGTGATCTCTTTAACACATGTGTGATCTCTTCAACACATGTGTGATCTCTTTAACACATGTGTGATCTCTTTAACACATGTGTGATGTGATCTCTTTAACTCATGTGTGATCTCTTTAAGGCATGTGTGATCTCTTTAACACATGTGTGATGTGATCTCTTTAACACATGTGTGATCTCTTTAAGGCATGTGTGATCTCTTTAACACATGTGTGATGTGATCTCTTTAACACATGTGTGATGTGATCTCTTTAACTCATGTGTGATGTGATCTCTTTAACTCATGTGTGATGTGATTTCTTTAACTCATGTGTGATGTATTCTCCTTAACACATGTGTGATGTGATCTCTTTAACTCATGTGTGATCTCTTTAACACATGTGTGACGTGCTCTCTTTAACTCATGTGTGATGTATTCTCCTTAACACATGTGTGATGTGATCTCTTTAACACATGTGTGATGTGATCTCTTTAACTCATGTGTGATCTCTTTAACACATGTGTGATATGATCTCTTTAACTCATATGTGATCTCTTTAACACATGTGTGATATGATCTCTTTAACTCATGTGTGATGTGATCTCTTTAACTCATGTGTGATGTGATCTCTTTAACACATGTGTGATCTCTTTAACACATGTGTGACGTGATCTCTTTAACACATGTGTGATCTCTTCAACACATGTGTGATGTGATCTCTTTAACACATGTGTGATCTCTTTAACACATGTGTGATCTCTTTAACACATGTGTGATCTCTTTAACACATGTGTGATGTGATCTCTTTAAGGCATGTGTGATGTGATCTCTTTAACTCATGTGTGATGTGATCTCTTTAACTCATGTGTGATCTCTTTAACACATGTGTGATGTGCTCTCTTTAACTCATGTGTGATGTATTCTCCTTAACACATGTGTGATGTGATCTCCAACAGGCCAAAGTTCTAGTGGCCGAGCAGACAGAGAAGGACATTGACCAGACCAGGAGTCAGTACATCCCTGTGGCCATCAACACCCAGATCCTCTTCTTCTGTGTGGCCGACATGGCCAACATTGACCCCATGTACCAGTACTCACTCGAGTGGTTTATCACAATTTTCCTGGGTGGGATAGCCCAGGCTGAGAGAGCAGGTATGTACCAGTACTCACTCGAGTGGTTTATCACAATTTTCCTGGGTGGGATAGCCCAGGCTGAGAGAGCAGGTATGTACCAGTACTCCCTCGAGTGGTTTATCACAATTTTCCTGGGTGGGATTGCCCAGGCTGAGAGAGCAGGTATGTACCAGTACTCCCTCGAGTGGTTTATCACAATTTTCCTGGGTGGGATAGCCCAGGCTGAGAGAGCAGGTATGTACCAGTAGTCTAGTGGTTTATCACAATTTTCCTGGGTGGGATTGCCCAGGCTGAGAGAGCAGGTATGTACCAGTAGTCTAGTGGTTTATCACAATTTTCCTGGGTGGGATTGCCCAGGCTGAGAGAGCAGGTATGTACCAGTACTCCCTCGAGTGGTTTATCACAATTTTCCTGGGTGGGATAGCCCAGGCTGAGAGAGCAGGTATGTACCAGTACTCACTCGAGTGGTTTATCACAATTTTCCTGGGTGGGATAGCCCAGGCTGAGAGAGCAGGTATGTACCAGTACTCACTCGAGTGGTTTATCACAATTTTCCTGGGTGGGATTGCCCAGGCTGAGAGAGCAGGTATGTACCAGTACTCACTCGAGTGGTTAATCACAATTTTCCTGGGTGGGATTGCCCAGGCTGAGAGAGCAGGTATGTACCAGTACTCACTCGAGTGGTTTATCACAATTTTCCTGGGTGGGATTGCCCAGGCTGAGAGAGCAGGTATGTACCAGTACTCACTCGAGTGGTTTATCACAATTTTCCTGGGTGGGATTGCCCAGGCTGAGAGAGCAGGTATGTACCAGTACTCCCTCGAGTGGTTTATCACAATTTTCCTGGGTGGGATTGCCCAGGCTGAGAGAGCAGGTATGTACCAGTAGTCTAGTGGTTTATCACAATTTTCCTGGGTGGGATTGCCCAGGCTGAGAGAGCAGGTATGTACCAGTACTCCCTCGAGTGGTTTATCACAATTTTCCTGGGTGGGATTGCCCAGGCTGAGAGAGCAGGTATGTACCAGTAGTCTAGTGGTTTATCACAATTTTCCTGGGTGGGATTGCCCAGGCTGAGAGAGCAGGTATGTACCAGTACTCCCTCGAGTGGTTTATCACAATTTTCCTGGGTGGGATTGCCCAGGCTGAGAGAGCAGGTATGTACCAGTAGTCTAGTGGTTTATCACAATTTTCCTGGGTGGGATAGCCCAGGCTGAGAGAGCAGGTATGTACCAGTAGTCTAGTGGTTTATCACAATTTTCCTGGGTGGGATAGCCCAGGCTGAGAGAGCAGGTATGTACCAGTAGTCTAGTGGTTTATCACAATTTTCCTGGGTGGGATAGCCCAGGCTGAGAGAGCAGGTATGTACCAGTAGTCTAGTGGTTTATCACAATTTTCCTGGGTGGGATTGCCCAGGCTGAGAGAGCAGGTATGTACCAGTAGTCTAGTGGTTTATCACAATTTTCCTGGGTGGGATTGCCCAGGCTGAGAGAGCAGGTATGTACCAGTACTCCCTCGAGTGGTTTATCACAATTTTCCTGGGTGGGATTGCCCAGGCTGAGAGAGCAGGTATGTACCAGTACTCCCTCGAGTGGTTTATCACAATTTTCCTGGGTGGGATAGCCCAGGCTGAGAGAGCAGGTATGTACCAGTAGTCTAGTGGTTTATCACAATTTTCCTGGGTGGGATAGCCCAGGCTGAGAGAGCAGGTATGTACCAGTACTCCCTCGAGTGGTTTATCACAATTTTCCTGGGTGGGATTGCCCAGGCTGAGAGAGCAGGTATGTACCAGTAGTCTAGTGGTTTATCACAATTTTCCTGGGTGGGATAGCCCAGGCTGAGAGAGCAGGTATGTACCAGTAGTCTAGTGGTTTATCACAATTTTCCTGGGTGGGATTGCCCAGGCTGAGAGAGCAGGTATGTACCAGTAGTCTAGTGGTTTATCACAATTTTCCTGGGTGGGATAGCCCAGGCTGAGAGAGCAGGTATGTACCAGTAGTCTAGTGGTTTATCACAATTTTCCTGGGTGGGATAGCCCAGGCTGAGAGAGCAGGTATGTACCAGTAGTCTAGTGGTTTATCACAATTTTCCTGGGTGGGATTGCCCAGGCTGAGAGAGCAGGTATGTACCAGTAGTCTAGTGGTTTATCACAATTTTCCTGGGTGGGATAGCCCAGGCTGAGAGAGCAGGTATGTACCAGTAGTCTAGTGGTTTATCACAATTTTCCTGGGTGGGATAGCCCAGGCTGAGAGAGCAGGTATGTACCAGTACTCCCTCGAGTGGTTTATCACAATTTTCCTGGGTGGGATTGCCCAGGCTGAGAGAGCAGGTATGTACCAGTACTCCCTCGAGTGGTTTATCACAATTTTCCTGGGTGGGATAGCCCAGGCTGAGAGAGCAGGTATGTACCAGTAGTCTAGTGGTTTATCACAATTTTCCTGGGTGGGATAGCCCAGGCTGAGAGAGCAGGTATGTACCAGTAGTCTAGTGGTTTATCACAATTTTCCTGGGTGGGATAGCCCAGGCTGAGAGAGCAGGTATGTACCAGTAGTCTAGTGGTTTATCACAATTTTCCTGGGTGGGATTGCCCAGGCTGAGAGAGCAGGTATGTACCAGTAGTCTAGTGGTTTATCACAATTTTCCTGGGTGGGATTGCCCAGGCTGAGAGAGCAGGTATGTACCAGTAGTCTAGTGGTTTATCACAATTTTCCTGGGTGGGATAGCCCAGGCTGAGAGAGCAGGTATGTACCAGTAGTCTAGTGGTTTATCACAATTTTCCTGGGTGGGATAGCCCAGGCTGAGAGAGCAGGTATGTACCAGTAGTCTAGTGGTTTATCACAATTTTCCTGGGTGGGATTGCCCAGGCTGAGAGAGCAGGTATGTACCAGTAGTCTAGTGGTTTATCACAATTTTCCTGGGTGGGATAGCCCAGGCTGAGAGAGCAGGTATGTACCAGTAGTCTAGTGGTTTATCACAATTTTCCTGGGTGGGATAGCCCAGGCTGAGAGAGCAGGTATGTACCAGTAGTCTAGTGGTTTATCACAATTTTCCTGGGTGGGATTGCCCAGGCTGAGAGAGCAGGTATGAACCAGTAGTCTAGTGGTTTATCACAATTTTCCTGGGTGGGATAGCCCAGGCTGAGAGAGCAGGTATGTACCAGTAGTCTAGTGGTTTATCACAATTTTCCTGGGTGGGATAGCCCAGGCTGAGAGAGCAGGTATGTACCAGTACTCCCTCGAGTGGTTTATCACAATTTTCCTGGGTGGGATTGCCCAGGCTGAGAGAGCAGGTATGTACCAGTAGTCTAGTGGTTTATCACAATTTTCCTGGGTGGGATAGCCCAGGCTGAGAGAGCAGGTATGTACCAGTAGTCTAATGGTTTATCACAATTTTCCTGGGTGGGATAGCCCAGGCTGAGAGAGCAGGTATGTACCAGTAGTCTAGTGGTTTATCACAATTTTCCTGGGTGGGATTGCCCAGGCTGAGAGAGCAGGTATGTACCAGTAGTCTAGTGGTTTATCACAATTTTCCTGGGTGGGATAGCCCAGGCTGAGAGAGCAGGTATGTACCAGTAGTCTAGTGGTTTATCACAATTTTCCTGGGTGGGATAGCCCAGGCTGAGAGAGCAGGTATGTACCAGTAGTCTAGTGGTTTATCACAATTTTCCTGGGTGGGATAGCCCAGGCTGAGAGAGCAGGTTGACATTTAGAATTTTTATAATGTCTCAGAACAGTGACTGAGCACACTCAATATCATATTGAAGTTTTGTTTTCTAGTAGGTTTAGAATGGAGTTCAGGTTAGGGCAGCAAAAGTATGTTTTGTAGTAAGGAAAAAAATTAGCAGCATTTATCGCTGTAATGATTGGATTAACTCTGCATTCACTGGAATATTTTTTAACTCTTCCCAGAGTATAATTTGTATCTTTTAGATGACATTTACCAGAGGACAAATGTTTTTTTATCTAAATAACATCACCTAGAGAATAACATTTTTCTCTTTACTTAACCTTCCTCAAAAGATACAATTTTTTCTTTAGATAACATTCCCTATAGAACAAGAAATTATTTTTTCTCTCCAGATAACATTTTCTCTATAATAAAAAATTATTTTTTCTCTCCAGATAACATTTTCTCTATAATAAAAAATTATTTTTTCTCTCCAGATAACATTCCCTACATTACAAAAAAATATTTTTCTATCCAGATAACATTCCCTATAGAACAAAACATATTTTTTCTCTCTAGATAACATTCCCCAGAGGATAAAGAACATCAACAACTTCTTCACCTTCAGCCTGTACACCAACGTGTGCAGGAGTTTGTTTGAGAAACACAAGCTGCTCTTTGCTTTTCTGCTGTGTGTGCGCATACAAATGCATGAGGGCATCATTGATATGGTAAACTTTAATTCTCATTAGAAAATTGGTTTGCTCTTTTCAGTCCATTAATATATATATATATATATATATATATATATATAGCCATAATCTATTTTATTATGATTTGTTATCAGCAGAATTTTAAACCATGTTACGATGTCAAAAGTTGACATATCTTGATGTTTTAAAAAAAATTAAAATTGAAGTAAAACTAATTAAGTACTAAAATTGTTTAATTAATTAATAATCAGACATTTCTTAGAGATTTTTTTGTATAAAATACTACATAATTGTTAAATGTTAATTAATAAAAAAAACATAATTGAAAATTATTTTAAAAAAAAAAACTATCACTTAATCTATTATGATATGAGTTTTGGGTGAATGGATGAAGTTGTCTCCCCTAGAATGAATGGCGTCTGCTGATAGCAGGAGGGACCACCAGACCCAAAGACCTGCCCAACCCAGCCAGAGAGTGGATCTCTGACAGGTCCTGGAGTGAGATCCTCACTCTGCCATCCCTGCCAAAGTTTTCCCTGTTTGCTGAGGACATCAAAAACCATCTAGACGGCTTCAAAAGAATATTTGACAGTGCAGAACCCCACAGGTATCTAAATTAGTCATTGATGGCTATTAAATAGCTTTAAATAATGAAAAATGAACTGTTTTTGATAGTTTTTAGTATATAAAAGGGCAGAATACCTTATAGATAGGATTTAGTATTAAAAAGCCAAAAAATAATCTAAAGGGAAATAACTCAGGTAAGCAAAATATTTTATTATAATAAAAACCAATTGTATTATATTACTTTTCTTCTAATGCATAGCCTTTCTCCACACTTGTATCACACATTTGTATCACACATTATAAATAGTTGATTCACCAAAGACTATCAATGAATCCCAATCAACAGTTATAAATATTTTACAAGACTAAAATTTTAATTTTAATTCCAGAGAGCAACTGCCTGGCCCATGGGCAGACAACTTGGACAAGTTTCAAGCTCTCCTTGTGCTGAAAGCTTTCCGTCCAGACAAAGTGACCAATGCCATGCAGGACTACGTGGCTGCCAATATGGGCCAGCGGTTCATTGAGCCCCAGACCTCCGACCTTGGCCTAGTTTACAAGGACTCCTCCCCCACCACACCCCTGGTCTTTGTGTTGTCCCAGGGCACTGACCCCGCCAACGACCTGTACAAGTTTGCTGAAACCATGAGGTTTGCCAAGAAACTCACAGCTATTTCATTAGGACAGGGGCAGGTAAATCTGAAATTTTGTTTGGGCAGGGGCAGGTAAATCTGATATTTTGTTTGGACAGGGGCAGGTAAATCTGACATTTTGTTTGGACAAGGGCAGATAAATCTGACATTTTGTTTGGACACGGGCAGGTAAATCTGATATTTTGTTTTGACATGGGTAGGTAAATCTGACCTTTTGTTAGGACATGGGCAGGTAAATTTGACATTTTGTTTGGACAGGGGCAGGTAAATTTGACATTTTGTTTGGACAGGGGCAGGTAAATCTGATATTTTGTTTGGACAAGGGCAGGTAAATCTGATATTTTGTTTTGACATGGGTAGGTAAATCTGACCTTTTGTTAGGACAGGGGCAGGTAACTTTGACATTTTGTTTGGACATGGGTAGATAAATCTCATACAGCCCTATTATCAGGACAAGGGCAGATGAATCTGGCTCGTATAGTTGTAGCTGGAAAGAAAGATCTTATTTTTCTCAAGTTTAGCTAGAGGAAAGAGCGGTTTTCCTATATAATGAATAATAACTAAATTTAGCAGGAATGAACACTTTTTACAAAGTATAAACAGACAACTGAAACAACTTAAATTACTGTGAACTAAAAAATTGTGTTGCTATAATCCCCAGGGTCCAAGGGCTGAAGCCATGATGAAATCCTCCATGGAGAGGGGGAAATGGGTTTTCTTCCAGAACTGCCACCTGGCACCCAGCTTCATGCCCATGTTGGAGAGGCTGGTGGAACAGATTGATCCTGACAAGGTCAGCTCCACTCACAAAACTTGGTTTAGACAAAAAATTTGGTTTAGAAACAAAAAATTTGGTGAAGACACAAAAATTTGGTTTAGACAAAAAAATTTGGTTTAGAAAAAAAAAACTTGGTGTAGACACAAAAATTTGGTTTAGAAAAAAAAAAATTTGGTGTTGACACAAAAATTTGTTTTAGACTCAAAAACTTGGTTTTAGACAAGGTCAGCTAAACACACTAAACCAAGTTTAGACAGGATTAGATACTAAGTTTGGTTTCTTGACAAAAAATTCAATTTAACATAAAATCAGATCTATACAAAAATTTAGGATAAAACAGGTTTAAATACAAATCTAACTTAATCTGGCTTAATCACAAAATGGTGATTATGGTTAATCACTGTTAAAATAAAGTTGGGTAAAACTGGTTCTTTAAATTGGTAAACTACAAAAACAGTTTTGTTCCCAGGTCTAGATGCAGACATCAACAAATGTGTTCTCCCACTTCCCCAGGTACACCGAGACTTCCGTCTGTGGCTGACCAGCATGCCCAGTGAAAAGTTCCCAGTGTTTATTCTACAGAACAGCTCTAAGATGACAGTGGAGCCACCTAAAGGCATAAAGGCCAACCTACTGCGCTCATACATGGGCTTCACTGATGATTTCCTCAACCACTGCGGAGATAGGGTCAGTTTAGGTCTAGCTTTGAAGGAGTAGTTGTTATATTGTATAGGACACTGGTCTATGACATAAACAATACATAATTGCTCTGTGTGGGGTTTAAATAAAGTCAGATGTCTAAAAATGTACACAAATTCAATATTTTAAAATAAAGCAAGGTTCTACAACTCTAAACTTACCTCCCTTCCCAACTAAATAGTTCTAGCTTTTTTGTGTAAATATGATCTCTTAACTATGTTAAATACAATGGCTTCAGTAGAGTGTGTGAAAGATTAGGAGCAGGGTTTTTTCAATTTAAGTCTTAAAAATGAAAAGTATGTTTCTCTACATTCACCATTTATTCTCTAAGATAATCTTGATTTTAAGAAACTGCTAGTGATCTTCTGTCTCTATAAAAAATTAAATACTACAGTGCTAAAATAATGCAAAAATGGCTGTAAAATAATTTATTGCTCTAGTATATGTTAAAGAACTTCAGTAAACAGTATTTCAGTAGTTTCTGTTTTTTTTAATTTGTTATATATGCATCTGGAAAACTTAAATTAAAATCATTTGTTTGTGTAATTGATCAGGCCCTTTCATTTATCATGACAGCAACACATTATAACAAATATTACTATTTCTGAAATTGCACTGATCAGTGTCCTAGAATTCTCACCTGTATTGTCTGTATCCAGGTGAGTGAGTTCAAACACCTGCTGCTGTCCCTGTGTTTCTTCCATGGTGTTGTCATAGAGAGAAGAAAGTTTGGGGCCCTAGGGTTTAACATACCCTATGAGTTCACTGACGGAGATTTGAGGATCTGTGTCAGCCAGCTCAAGATGTTCCTGCAGGAGTATGCTGACATTCCCTTCAAGGTTGCTACTTTTTTATTTTTTAATAGACTGAATGTATCTCATCAACTGGTTTTATTTCATAAACTTAATTTATTTCGTAAACCAATTTTATTTTACAAACTAATTTTATTTCATACATTGATTTTATTTCTTAAACCAATTTTATTTCATAAGACAATTTTTTTTCATAAACAGATTTATTTATATGTTGATTTTATTTCATACAGCACCATTTTATTACCTTTTTTTTATAAACTGTTTAATTTCTGAACGTACAATCTAATATTGTTTGAGCACATTGTTGTGAATTAGCTACCACAAAGTCCTTGTGAAGACATAAAAATAATTACCATAATACAAAAGAGAAAGTAAACAAAACAAGACTCATTAACAAAGACAAGGAAATTCCACCTTCAACACATGCTGCACACTCACTTTGCGGCATCTCAACAGCAACTTAACACTAATAGAAATTATCACAAACTTATACTTTAAAGTTACTCATATAGGTTGGGGTGGTAGACACTTCTGTGTGGCCTTACAGACACTGCTTTAGCTCACAACCTGATTAAATATTTAAGCTCACACATATATACAGTGTTAGATTGAAAAAAAGACTAAATTTGTATTAAGCTCCCAGTGACTTAAGCTCCAACTAACAGAATGAGCTCTCCCCACAGGTCCTGGTGTACACAGCCGGCCACATCAACTACGGAGGTCGTGTGACGGACGACTGGGACCGGCGCTGTCTGATGAACGTCCTGGGTGGCTTCTACAAACCTGAGATCATCCAGACGGACTACAGCTACTCCGAGTCTGGCATCTACAAGCAGATCAGCCCAGACCTAGAGCTCAGTGTATGTAGAGGTTTTTTTATTGGTCTGGTTCATTTAGCTGTAAAAGAGAAAAATTTATGTCATTTTACTATATAACCAAATGTTGATATAACAAGAGTGTTAGTCTACATAAAAGTCGCACTAACCTAACTACTAGCAAGTCACTCAACAATGTGCTTGACTCGTATATCAAGTCACCCAACTAAACACTTTATATGTCAAGTCACTCAACTAAACAATTTATATATCAAGTCACTTAATAAAACACCCTGTATATCAAGTCACTCAACAATACACCTTGAATTGTATATCAAGTCACATAACTAAACACCTTATATATCAAGTCACTCAACAAAACACCTGATATATCAAGTCACTCAACAAAACACCTTGACTTGTATTATTTCAGGGCTACCTAAGCTACATCAGGAGCTTGCCCATCAACGACACCCCAGAGATCTTTGGTCTCCATGACAACGCCAACATCACATTTGCCCAGAATGAAACCTTCAACGTACTGAAGGCCCTGGTACAGCTCCAACCAAAGACCAGTGCAGCTGCTGGCCAGTCCAGGGAAGAGGTCAGTCTATACATTTTGTTTTCAATGGTCATTTTTTTAATTAAAATAAAATTCAAGAGTCCATGAGGCAGATAATGAATGGATTTTTTTGGTTAGTTTTTTGTGTATAATCTTGTTGCATTTAAGTAACAAGCTCTAGTAACTAGTACTCCTGAGTTAAAATTCAACTCAAAACACTAAGTTTATGTAGTTCAGAATAATGGTAACAATGTCAATAAAGGATTTAAAAATTCAGTGGGAATAGAGATGATTTTTTTTACAAAATTAAATATCCATTTGTAGGATTTGTTTTTGTTACAAAGTGTTTGTGGCCAAAAAAATAAATGTACTTTTGGACTTAGGTGATGGAGAAAACTGCCCTGGGAATTATAGAAAAGGTCCCTAAAGCTGTGAACTTGGCATCTGTCATGGAGAAGTACCCAGTCCTGTATGAGCAGTCGATGAATACTGTTTTAGTCCAGGAGGTTATCAGGTGAGTGCTCCTACATGGTTCTCATCCTCTTTTCCCATTCGTGGCCAAGGCATATGGAGCATATGAAGTAGAGTTGATGTTTCAATGACCTCAGCATGCAAGGTGATAGTAAGGTCAGCACCATGCCCAGCCACTTTTGTTTCTCTAATTTGAGTCAGGACTCATCAGAGCTAGGTGGACTACAGACTTGAGCCTGGGATCTGAACTTGAGACATTTGGGCTAGCAATTGTGAGCTCTATAATCCAACTATGAATATCCTGTGAAGCATTTGATCTACATTGACAGCTAGAAGTTAGAAATAAGAGGTGTCAACATATTAAAACACTGATTGGTTATTAATCCAATCTAGGTACAATCGCCTGCTGAATGTGATTCATCAATCACTGCTGGACCTGCAGAAGGCCCTGAAAGGTCTTGTGGTCATGTCACAACAACTTGAGGACATGGCAAACAGTCTCTTCAACAACATTGTCCCATCTATGTGGGCCTCCAAGGTGAAACTTTCAAACAATGCATTATCATTGGTTAATACAAGTCTTCTGATATATCTGATCTTTTCTTAACTTTATCTTTAAAAATAATTTTGTTTCTTTTATCATTAGCTTTTTATTTTTTTTAAACATGTTCTAACTTTAATCATGATCTTATTTAAAATTTTCCATCATTTCTTGTAAGTTTTATAATTTTTTATTTAAAACTCCAGGCCTATCATTACTGTTTTAAATCTTTAAATATCCTGTTTTGCAGGCTTATCCATCACTGAAACCCCTTGCATCCTGGGTAACAGATCTCATAGCTAGGATGTCATTCATCCAACTTTGGATAGACAAAGGGATCCCAGCTGTAAGTTTACTATCATTTTTTTTTACTTTTGGATAGAGTTATCCTATTATGTTTATACAAATTATGTTCCATTATTAGCAATCACTGTGATGATGAATTTGCAATAACTAACACATTCTAACTAAGTCCAGCAACTCTGGTTTCAAATTGTGTAAGTCCAGCAACATTAAAAAAAAAAACGTATGTAATGAAGGCCAGCAACTCGTTTTTAAAATATTTATATAACCAAGTCCAGCAACTCTTTAAAAAAAAAATGTATGTAATCAAGGCCAGCTACTCTGGGTTAAAATATGAGTAACCAAGTCCAGTAGCGCTTATTTTTTTTTTTAAATAATGTAACCAAGTCCAAAAACTCTTGTTTAAATTATGTGTAGTTTATAATGTATATAACCAAATGTTTCACTGTGTTCCCAGGTCTTCTGGATCTCTGGTTTCTTCTTCCCTCAAGCCTTTTTGACTGGAACCCTGCAGAACTTTGCTAGGAAGAAAGTCATATCCATTGACTCCATCACATTTGACTTCCAGGTACAAACTGTTTGATTTTTCTTGTGATGGTTATAACAGATTACTGTTTATATTGGGTTATCAAGGTAATATGTTGGTTATGGTTATTAGATTTGTTTTTGAGAATTTCAAAAATATAGTTCTTAAAATTTTTAAATCTGGGTTCAAGTCAGTATAACGTTCCTGAGTCTACACAGTTCTGATGAGTATCTAAGCGGCTGGGCTTAGTGCTGACCACACTATCCTTTCATAGGTCACAGAAACAGGTGAACTCTACTTCATTAGACCATCAGGTTCAAAAAGGGAATTTTACTAGTTCTACAAATTTAGTTTCCTGATCATCAAAATGCAGTTTTGCAACAGTTGTTCTCAAGTTACCAATACAATTGTTCTACAACTCTTATTAATCTAGTTTAAAAAAATAATGCTTGTGTTTGTAGGTTATCGTTTAGCTTTGATGTCATTATGAAACTGTTGAGCCAATTGTGTCTGTAGGTTTAGCATTGAGGTCATTATGAAACAGTTGAGTCAATTGTGTTTGTAGGTTAACAGTAGTGCCAATTGTGTCTGTAGGTTTAGCTTTGATGTCATTATGAAACTGTTGAGCCTGTCTCTGTAGGTTTAGCTTTGAGGTCATTATGAAACAGTAGTGCCAATTGTGTCTGTAGGTTTAGCTTTGAGGTCATTATGAAACAGTAGTGCCAATTGTGTCTGTAGGTTTAGCTTTGAGGTCATTATGAAACTGTTGAGCCTATCTCTGTAGGTTTAGCTTTGAGGTCATTATGAAACAGTAGTGCCAATTGTGTCTGTAGGTTTAGCTTTGAGGTCATTATGAAACAGTAGTGCCAATTGTGTCTGTAGGTTTAGCTTTGAGGTCATTATGAAACTGTTGGGCCACTTGTGTCTCTAGGTTATCATGTAGCTTTGATTATGAAACTTTTCATTATGAAACAGTTGAGCCAATTGTGTCTGTAGGTTATCAGAGAGAACTACACTGAGCTGAGTCAAGCCCCTGAAGACGGCTGCTACATTAGAGGGCTGTTTGTTGAAGGCGCCTGCTGGGACCACGGCACACAGATGCTGGCAGAGTCCAAGCCCAAGGAACTCTACAACGACATGCCAGTTCTTTGGCTCAAGCCCATGGCCAACCGCAAGGCAGCGACCTCAGGGGTGTATGAGTGTCCTGTCTACAAGACTTTAACCAGAGCAGGTAGGTCCTACAGGGGTGTATGAGTGTCCTGTCTACAAGACTTTAACCAGAGCAGGTAGGTCCTACAGGGTTTATGAGTGTCCTGTCTACAAGACTTTAACCAGAGCAGGTAGGTCCTACAGGGGTGTATGAGTGTCCTGTCTACAAGACTTTAACCAGAGCAGGTAGGTCCTACAGGGGTGTATGAGTGTCCTGTCTACAAGACTTTAACTAGAGCAGGTAGGTCCTACAGGGGTGTATGAGTGTCCTGTCTACAAGACTTTAACCAGAGCAGGTAGGTCCTACAAGGGTGTATGTGTGTCCTGTCTACAAGACTTTAACTAGAGCAGGTAGGTCCTACAGGGGTTTGAAGGTAGCTGTATACAGAGCTTGTGTCACAATCAGCTGTATGAAAAGCTTATGCTTTATGTATAAAGATTTTATGTCACAGACAGCTGTATAAAGATTTTATGTCACATTGTCTGTGCTGTCCATGTTGAACATTGTCTTACTAAGTTAAACATTGTCTAAGTTAAATATTGTCTAACTAAGTTAAACATTGTCTAACTAAGTTAAACATTGTCTAAGTTAAATATTGTCTAACTAAGTTAAACATTGTCTAACTAAGTTAAACATTGTCTAAGTTAAATATTGTCTAACTAAGTTAAACATTGTCTAACTAAGTTAAACATTGTCTAAGTTAAATATTGTCTAACTAAGTTAAACATTGTCTAACTAAGTTAAACATTGTCTAAGTTAAATATTGTCTAACTAAGTTAAACATTGTCCAACTAAGTTAAATATTGTCTAACTAAGTTAAACATTGTCTAACTAAGTTAAATATTGTCTAACTATGTTAAATATTGTCTAACTATGTTAAATATTGTCTAACTATGTTAAATATTGTCTAACTATGTTAAATATTGTCTAACTATGTTAAATATTGTCTAACTATGTTAAATATTGTCTAACTATGTTAAATATTGTCTAACTATGTTAATCATTGTCTAGCTGTTGAACATCATCTAACTGTGTTAAACATTATCTATGTTAAACATTGTCTAATTGTTTTGTCCATGTTGAACATCGTCTAACTATGTTAAACATTATCTGTCTGTGTTGATAATTGTCTAACTATGTTAAACATTATCTAACTATGTTAAACATTATCTAACTATGTTAAACATTGTCTAACTATGTTAAACATTGTCTATCTCAGGCACACTCTCCACCACTGGCCACTCAACCAACTTTGTTTTTGCTGTGGAGATTCCAACAGACAAATCCCAAGAGCACTGGATCAAGCGAGGTGTAGCGCTTTTGTGTGCTCTTAACTACTAGACACTAGACTTCACTGAATGATGGTCACATTAGAGCCAAAATAAAATGCTGTTGTACATGTTTGGATTTGGTACTGCTAGCTACTGTTTTACAAAATATATTAATTTATTCCATAAAAAGTTTAATTACAGTTTACTTTACCATGTATATTTCTTTTCCAATGTATTGATGAATATGTACATTTTATTGTAAATTAATTGGATGTATTAAGTGGATAGTTAACATTAATTGATTAATTAATGTCGTTAATGGTGATGTGTGATTGAGCTAAGCCAAAAGTGAGCTAACACATTCTTTGTAAAGCCACACGGTATACAACAAAAATACATTTTTATACTACATATTGTTTTAACCATGTTTGTGAATAAACACTAGATTTAAAATAACTTTTACCATGGATTTAATGTGTGCATTATGTTAATAAAATAATAAGTAAATAAACATATAAAATAAACTAACATTGAAACATTGCATTTTTTGATGTTGTTAAATTTAGCTTATGTCAATATTTTGTTTTTAAATCAATTTTTATTTTACAAGACATCAGATAGTGGTGATATTAGGCCACATTTGACATTTGTGTCTGTGTCTTACAAGACTTTGGTGAGGTGGGGTGGTTAAGGAGGCTGGGTACCTGATTACATAAAGCTGCGTGTCAGGGCAATTTAATATGCGGAGACATGAACGGATCAACTCTACTTCTACTACCCTTAGATGGAAATGGTACTGTTCATGGAATTAGATATTGGTGACATGAATATAACCGGATGTGATAAGATAAAAAAAAACTCATTGTTGAAGTCTGCAACATCTGGGTCTAACTAAATAACTAGACTAAATAACAAAAATGTGAAGACTGGCAATAGTTGTGTAAATAGCCAAAGATAGATATCAAAATTGGAAAAAAAACAGACTGAGGGGGGCGGGAGAAACAACAGCATACAAATCACAGGGAGGTGGACACATAGACAACAACACAGGGGAAAAACAGCACAATTACAAGAAGTAATTTCACACAGTACACCCCAAATAAAACAATTCACACCCCAATAATTGATAGGTTATCCCCCCTTAAAATCAAAGTTACCTCCCTTACCACTTTTGTATAATTATTGTTCGTTAAGCCCATGGCAAAATGTAGGCTAACTACACAGTTGAAAGTTGAACTTTATCGTTCTTTTAATCAGCAATAGTTTATCTCCCTTTTCTAAATTTGAAACTAACAATTGTATTACGTGAACACATGGGCTTGGTAATAAAAAACAACTTGAACGAGGCTGGGTCTCGAGGCTAGGGCCTTGAGCTCGAGCTAAATATCACGAGCTGAGGCGTGATTGTTAAACTTGAACACGACAAATAACCACCCCCCCCCCCCCCCTTCCACGGCTGACTGGTTCTAACCAGTATCAGCTGTTGTTTGTTGTGACATCGAGGCTAGAAGAATGTAAACATGACACCAGTGGGAAGTGATTTCAAGAAGTAACAAGGAAATCTAATGTATTGTATTATTATTGGGGGGGGGGGTTATAATAGTATGGCCCATTCGGGGTGTAGTCAATGCTTAAGGTTTATTTTCACTACAACCCACATCATAGAGGGACCCCCACACTAACCCACATCTTAGATGGACCCCACACTAACCCACATCATAGAGGGACCCAACACTAACCCACACCATAGAGGGACCCCACACTAACCCACACCATAGAGGGACCCCACACTAACCCACATCTTAGATGGACCCCACACTAACCCACATCATAGAGGGACCCCACACTAACCCACACCATAGAGGGACCCCACACTAACCCACATCATAGAGGGACCCCACACTAACCCACATCATAGAGGGACCCCACACTAACCCACATCATAGAGGGACCCCACACTAACCCACATCATAGAGGGACCCCACACTAACCCACATCATAGAGGGACCCCACACTAACCCACATCATAGAGGGACCCCACACTAACCCACATCATAGAGGGACCCCACACTAACCCACATCTTAGATGGACCCCACACTAACCCACATCATAGAGGGACCCCACACTAACCCACACCATAGAGGGACCCCACACAAACCCACATCTTAGATGGACCCCACACTAACCCACATCATAGAGGGACCCCACACTAACCCACACCATAGAGGGACCCCACACTAACCCACATCTTAGAGGGACCCCACACTAACCCACACCATAGAGGGACCCCACACTAACCCACATCTTAGATGGACCCCACACTAACCCACACCATAGAGGGACCCCACACTAACCCACATCATAGAGGGACCCCACACTAACCCACATCATAGAGGGACCCCACACTAACCCACATCATAGAGGGACCCCACACTAACCCACACCATAGAGGGACCCCACACTAACCCACATCATAGAGGGACCCCACACTAACCCACACCATAGAGGGACCCCACACTAACCCACATCATAGAGGGACCCCACACTAACCCACATCTTAGATGGACCCCACACTAACCCACACCATAGAGGGACCCCACACTAACCCACATCATAGAGGGACCCCACACTAACCCACACCATAGAGGGACCCCACACTAACCCACACCATAGAGGGACCCCACACTAACCCACATCTTAGATGGACCCCACACTAACCCACACCATAGAGGGACCCCCACACTAACCCACATCTTAGATGGACCCCACACTAACCCACATCATAGAGGGACCCCACACTAACCCACACCATAGAGGGACCCCACACTAACCCACATCATAGAGGGACCCCACACTAACCCACATCATAGAGGGACCCCACACTAACCCACACCATAGAGGGACCCCACACTAACCCACATCTTAGATGGACCCCACACTAACCCACACCATAGAGGGACCCCACACTAACCCACATCATAGAGGGACCCCACACTAACCCACACCATAGAGGGACCCCACACTAACCCACATCATAGAGGGACCCCACACTAACCCACACCATAGAGGGACCCCACACTAACCCACATCTTAGATGGATCCACACTAACCCACACCATAGAGGGACCCCACACTAACCCACATCATAGAGGGACCCCACACTAACCCACACCATAGAGGGACCCCACACTAACCCACATCTTAGATGGACCCCACACTAACCCACATCATAGAGGGACCCTACACTAACCCACATCATAGAGGGACCCCACACTAACCCACACCATAGAGGGACCCCACACTAACCCACATCATAGAGGGACCCCACACTAACCCACATCATAGAGGGACCCCACACCAACCCACATCATAGAGGGACCCCACACTAACCCACATCATAGAGAGACCACATTCAAACTCACATAAAAAGGGGTCGCAAACAAAATCCACATAAAGAGGAGTGCCTCACAAAACCCACATAAAAGAGGGGTCCCACAATAAAATAAAACAGTGCTTGCAATGACAGGCGGTACGTGTATGTGTGTAGGTCTCAACTGTAGGTTTATGTGTAGGTTTTTAGGTTTATATTTATGTCTCTACTGTAGGTTTATGTGTAGGTTTGTAGGTTTATGCGTTGGTCTCTGCTCTAGGTTTATGTGTAGGTCTTTACTATAGGTTTATGTGTAGGTCTACTGTAACTTTATGTGTAGGTTTAAGCAGTAGGTTTACAAAACGTAACCCCTTCACAGACATGGAGGTTGAGTCGACATGTCAATTCGATCTGTCTTAATCCTCGCACTGTTTGATAGCTGACAGTTTCTGCTGCTGTTTACACATTCGTCACACACCACACACTGCTTGTCATATGAATTACAATAGATGCACAAATCTACTTTCTTAGGCAGGGGGGGGGGGGGGTCTTCCATAAATGACGTTACACTCCTTGGAGAGAAAATGAATACATGCGGTTATTTTTTATGTGCTATACATGAAATGGCAACAAAAAGTATCTTTGACATTCCTTTAGACACTCCCATCTTAGCAGAGAGTTAGCTGGTATCCACCCTATTCAAAGCTTAAGCTGGTAAAATGCTAAACTAATCTGATAATTGACTTAAATCCATTGCAGGGAATGTATATAAGGGAGTGCGCCCACTTATATATCTATATATATGTATATATATGTATATATATATATATATATATATATATATATATATATATATATATATATATATATATATATATATATATATATATATATATATATATGAAAAGCGACAAGCAACAGCCACTTAAAGAAAGCAACATTCACATAGATAATGCAACATTTAAGAAAGCATAAAGTGAAAATGTGTTGTTTTTTTAAGATTTTGTACGTGTCTTCCATGACCGAAAAAACCTGGACACTCCCCTGATGTACATCTATGTATGCCTGTATGTCATTCCTCTTACGAGAGTGCCTCGGTTAAACCAGTTCTCATACTTTTAAATTCCTGGCTACATAACGTGATGTCCCTAAACAAATCGACCACGAATTTATGACTCTACCTGCACATATCGGTCGCTGTCACCCCCCCCCCCCAAAACTTCCTTTACTTTAAACCCCTCCCACCCATTCAGTTTTGGCATGGCGTCAAAAAATTAATTTCCGTTATTCCGTTCTTCCTTCTCTCTTTTTTTTTCTCTCTCTCTCTCTTGAAACTATGATTCAACGCTTGAATGCACAGAGTTCCACCTGAGTGTCTGGACCAGACGACACATTCCAACATGTGTACACTCCGTCTGCCGGCACAGATTTATAACTTACGTTTTGGTGACGGTTGAAAAATATTTTCATTGAAACCTCCCCGGCTTATGACCTTGAACTTGAAAGGCCAATCCCACTGCACAATATCTCCGGGCGGAGTAGGTGTGTGTTGAAAGTATTTGGGACATCAACATCGAAATGACATTCCTGTCATCGAAATGACATACTTGTCGTTAGAGACCTGCGCAGCGTTAAATCATCTTCCGCAGCAATCTTACGTCACCAACAATGACACAATTACGTCACTGAGCGAACCATGTTACATCACCATATAACATCGTGACGTCACCATATAGAACATCTTTTTATCGCCAGAAATAATATCGTTACATCATTTTATATTATGTCAGGTGTAGCAAAATAAAGACAACAAATGAGGTTAAAACAGCACACATAATTGTTTAAAACAACAGCATACATACATATTTAGTTAAACAGCATGCATGATGATAAAAACATCACACATACGAGGTTAAAAAACGCCAAACATTATGTAAAAACATCACAAATTATGATGTTAAAAACAGCACATATTATGTTAGGAACAGCACAAATTGTGATGTTAAAACAGCACACATGATGTTAAAAAAAACAGCACACAAGTACACAAGCTATTTTTAAAATAGCACAATTGAAGTTAAAACAGCACATTTGATGTTAAAAACAACCCACATTTCTAGGTAGGTCTGTAAACAAATGACTTTCATTCACACAACACAACCCGCTCTCTTTATAAAACCGAAAACATCTACACAACCCCACACAACGTGTGATCTTTACAGCACAATAATCTGCGTGCACCTCAAAGATCATGCTCTTTGCACCACACAAACCAAGTTTATCATCCACAAATTACATATTTTATAACAAAGATCATGCTCTTTGCGTCACAACAACCAAGTTTAACATCCACAAATTACATATATAACAAAGATTATGCTCTTTAAACACACAGACAATATTCTTTACACAGAGAAGATTGTATTTACATCACACACATATAAATGACACCACATAGATCTTACACATTAAGACAAAGATCATACACACTAAAACACACAGATCATACACACTAAGACACACAGATCACGATGTGTTTGAGCAGATCTTTTAATTTTACTTGAACAACAAGGACCAATACATTTTCCCCCCGGTCCCCGCATAAGCAAGCAATGGGAATGTTTGTTTGGAGTGTTGAGACCATCTCTGGACTGGCAAGTAATGCGCGCCCCCCTAACATCGCGAATTTGTGAGGTGGGTTGACACTACCTCGCGTCACGCAGGCCTATAGGGGCTGGGACTCTCTGTAGTACCGAGGTTAGACATTCCTGAATGTAGACAAAATATTTATGGCATTGGATTGAAGCCTTGTGTAGTGTGTGTTTTTGGAGGAATGAACTAGCATAACAAGTCATTGAGGAATACTGTATCAGTGGGGGATAGGTAGAGGTGGATACGGTGGCTTTTTTCTTTTCTTTTTATCTTCTAAGTTGGAGCTTTAAACGTCGAACGCATAACTTGGCATAAGGTAACTACTTTTTTAAACGTACGATAATATTTATCTATTTTATTATTAAACGCAGATTGTATTGAGAATTTATTTACTTTTGTAACAAGTTAAACGGTTTTTTAAACAGTCGAAGCAGTCAAGAATGCACGGCTGAAACGAGTTATCAGCCTTTTGTGATAAACAAACAGGGAGACTATTCGTTTGTTTACCTGGGTAAAGGCCCCTTTTTTTTAAACGTATGGTAAACAGTAAAAAGTTAACCGTTACAGTAGGTCAAGAGAATACAAATAGTAGGTCAGGTGAAGCTTTATTGTGTTGATGTGAACCCTCCGAATAGGTCGAGTAAAGCTCTATTGTAGGTCATAAATTGCTAATTAATGACAGGTCAAATAAACGATTAAAGATGGAGCAATTAGCACTGTGCTAGAGAGAGGTTGCATGGAGTTTTGCATGTACAGTTGCATGGAGTTTTTGCATGTACAGTTCCATTCTCGGACATACCGTGTACGTCTTGCTGCAGGCAAAAGATCAAACCTCCCCGGGGGTCACGTACAAATGTTTGCTAAAAAACCGAGTCACGGGCTCGCTAGGCGTGTGCCGACGCTCAGGAAAGACAAAAAAAAAAATCTTCAGGGATGAGCGACCTGATGCAAACATTAAGGGCAAGTGGGGAAGAAGGGGGGCGGGGGGGGGGGGGGGGGGAGGGTAGAAGAGGTATTTTACTACAAAAGGTCTTGTTGTGTAAGCTAGCGATAATATAGCTTAAAATAATGTCACTGAGTAAAAGACGCGAAACTTAAGTAAAAAAATTGTCGAACAGGAGCGTAACCACTGTTAGCTGGACCGGATAACAAACGGTCTTGCCCCCCCCCCCCTTCACCTTATACATATGTGTACGTAGCCCCCCACCTTGTACATATGTGTACGTAGCCCCCCCACCTTGTACATATGTGTACGTACCCCCCCCCCCACCTTGTACATATGTGTACGTACCCCCCCCCCACCTTGCACACATGTGTACGTAGCTCCCCCTCGCGTTACGCCACTGTATTTTATTACATTTGCAAACAGCGCACATCAAACCGAGATCAAGTTGTCCCTAGCTCTTTTTATTGCTGTCAGTTTTTATTGTGCGCAATGCTGCAATGACTAATCGTGTCAATTCGAAATCATTCTTAGCGTGCAAACAACAATTTCGATTGTTTAAAATTTGGACCAAATTAACAATTCATTCAAGAAAACCAATCATACGTAGAGTTTAAATAGGAGGGAGGGGGGGTTAAAAGGGGTGAAAGGGGCGCTGAGTTCGGTGTGCTTTTCGTTCCAGTCAAGTTGACACCACACTAACCTGTGCCACCGGTTGTCGTCAATCGACGCCCACTCGGGGAGATCTTAGGGCAAATGACTGTACGGTCTAGGACTTGCTTGAGCGGCCGGGCTAGAGGACATGTAACCATTAGTCACCCAGACTTAGATCCTAACTTGTACAGTCTACGTGGTGGTCAAATTGAACATCGAGAAACTGTTAATGAGTTGTTTGTAACATTATATGCAACTGTCACTAACCATTTCATGTTACTATCACTGTCAGCAGTAAATGCGTCTGTCACTGACCACAGTCATTGCAACGGTCACTGACACTAATCCATGCAACTTTCACTGACCACAGTCCATGCAACTTTCACTGACCACAGTCCATGCAACTGTCACTGACCACAGTCTATGCAACTGTCACTGACCACCCAACTGTCACTGACCACAGTCCATGCAACTGTCACTGACCACCCAACTGTCACTGACCACAGTCCATGCAACTGTCACTGACCACTGACCATGCAACTGTCACTGACCACTGACCACCCAACTGTCACTGACCACAGACCACCCAACTGCCACTGACCACAGTCCATGCAACTATCACTGACCACAGTCCATGCAACTGTCACTGACCACCCAACTGTCACTGACCACCCAACTGTCACTGACCACAGTCCATGCAACTGTCACTGACCACAGTCCATGCAACTGTCACTGACCACCCAACTGTCACTGACCACAGTCCATGCAACTGTCACTGACCACCCAACTGTCACTGACCACAGACCACCCAACTGTCACTGACCACAGTCTATGCAACTGTCACTGACCACAGTTCATGCAACTGTCACTGACCACAGACCACCCAACTGTCACTGACCACCCAACTGTCACTGACCACAGTCCATGCAACTGTCACTGACCACCCAACTGTCACTGACCACAGTCCATGCAACTGTCACTGACCACCCAACTGTCACTGACCACAGTCCATGCAACTGTCACTGACCACCCAACTGTCACTGACCACAGTCCATGCAACTGTCACTGACCACTGACCATGCAACTGTCACTGACCACAGTCCATGCAACTGTCACTGACCACCCAACTGTCACTGACCACAGTCCATGCAACTGTCACTGACCACCCAACTGTCACTGACCACAGACCACCCAACTGTCACTGACCACCCAACTGTCACTGACCACAGTTCATGCAACTGTCACTGACCACAGACCACCCAACTGTCACTGACCACAGTCCATGCAACTGTCACTGACCACAGTTCATGCAACTGTCACTGACCACCCAACTGTCACTGACCACAGACCACCCAACTGTCACTGACCACCCAACTGTCACTGACCACAGACCACCCAACTGTCACTGACCACAGTTCATGCAACTGTCACTGACCACTGACCACCCAACTGTCACTGACCACAGTCCATGCAACTGTCACTGACCACAGTTCATGCAACTGTCACTGACCACCCAACTGTCACTGACCACTGACCACCCAACTGTCACTGACCACAGTTCATGCAACTGTCACTGACCACAGACCACCCAACTGTCACTGACCACAGTCTATGCAACTGTCACTGACCACAGTCCATGCAACTGTCACTGACCACAGTCCATGCAACTGTCACTGACCACAGTCCATGCAACTGTCACTGACCACAGTCCATGCAACTGTCACTGACCACAGTCTATGCAACTGTCACTGACCACAGTCCATGCAACTGTCACTGACCACAGTCTATGCAACTGTCACTGACCACTGACCACCCAACTGTCACTGACCACAGTCTATGCAACTGTCACTGACCACTGACCACCCAACTGTCACTGACCAGAGTCCATGCAACTGTCACTGACCACAGTCTATGCAACTGTCACTGACCACTGACCACCCAGCTGTCATTGACATAGCTACTCCACGTCTTTAAAAAAAAATCCCAAAAGAGTGAAGACATTAACAGTAAACCTCCTCTAAATTGATGTCTTCTCACGACATTATCGTCTTTGTATTTTGTTTCAGCCCATCACTGGACCAATTACCTAACCTCATTAGTACCTGACCAATGAAACAGTTGGCGCTTGTCACGGCAGTTGAAATGATGGTAAGTTAGTTAGTAGGCGTACACTTGTGACAATGTCACTTTATCTGACTAATGACCACGTCTAACTTTATCTGACTAATGACCACGTCTAACTTCATCTGACTAATGACCACGTCTAATGTAATCTGACTAATGACCAAGTCTAATGTCATCTGACTAATGACCACGTCTAACTTTATCTGACTAATGACCACGTCTAACTTTATCTGACTAATGACCACGTCTAACTTTATCTGACTAATGACCACGTCTAACTTTATCTGACTAATGACCACGTCTAACCTTATCTGACTAATGACCACGTCTAACTTTATATGACTAATGACCACGTCTAACTTTATCTGACTAATGACCACGTCTAACTTTATCTGACTAATGACCACGTCTAACTTTATCTGACTAATGACCACGTCTAACTTTATCTGACTTATGACCACGTCTAATGTCATCTGACTAATGACCACGTCTAACTTTATCTGACTAATGACCACGTCTAACTAACGTCTGACCAAGTTAGTTAAATGCTGATGTGTTTTACAGGCTAAAACGATAGTTTAATGCAGGCGTAGGTGGCAGAGGCGTAGCGAGGGGGGGGGGGGCGGCGGGGGGGGGGGGGGGACATATGTCCCCGGGCGCCGACCTTAGGGGGCGCCAAAATGGGTTGTATAAACAGATTGAAAGTTTGAGGGGGTGTAAATCAAAAGTTTGAGGGGGGGGGGTGCTAATCGAAAGTCGAAAGTTTGAGGGGGGGGATGCAAATCGAAAGTTTGAGGGGGATTGCAAATCGAAAGTTTGGTGGTAGTTTTATATAGGCGTAGGTGGTAGTTTTATATAAGAGTAGTTGGTAATTTGATGTAGACGTAGGTGACAGTATGGTGTAGGCGTATGTGACATTTTGATGTAAGCGTAGGTGGTAGCTTAATGTCAACATTGGTAATTTGATGTAGAAATAGATTGTAGCTTAATGCAAGCTCAACTGGTTGTTTAAATGTACACGTACAACAGTTTGATGTGGGCTTTAAAATAGTTTGCATTTTTATTTAAACTAAAAAACTATCTTGGGCAGGGAAGCAAACAAACAAACAAAAAATTCTTTTAAATCTTTGCAGTTTAAAACATAGGGCGCTAAATTAAGTTTTTAAAATCTTTGCTATTCAATCTAAAATATATACTCTACGAACGACATGCATAATCCCTTCATTGTTATTTACCCAAAATCTAGCCAATAAAAACACAATGTCGCCATTTTGGGTGTCGGCACGTATTTGATTTGCTCCATCTCCTCCCCCCTTCCCTAGGTATTCATAGGAAAACTGTATGTATTGAACCTAGGCGAAGAGCCTTGCATGGCTGGCTTACCTAATAGACTAGATGGGCAGGCACATAGATCATCTGCAACACGCGATAGGTGCAGCCTGCGACAGGCATTGGCAGGACTAGCCGTACAAACATTCGCTTCCCTACTGTACAAATATAATATGTTTATATTTATAGCTGTGTGTCTCCCCTCCTCCTCCCCCCACCCCACAGTGTAATGGATGACTGCAAATCAAATTTCCACTTGAGCAATCAAGCTAGGATTTAACCTACATTGGACCAACAGGTAGACAAGACATTCCTTCATCGACGTCACAGTGGTTCCCCTTTAGTGACGCTCTTGTCTGTGTAGAGTTACAACACAGATCGGCCGTATTGAAATACATGGAAATTCATTCGAACGTGAAAACCAAAGGATGTGCTCGGGGGTTAATCATGTGGCATAATCATTTCACAGGTCTGGTTAATCATCTGGAAAAACCCATTTCAAATGTCATCTAGTTAATCATGTGGTATTACCTATTTAAAATATTATGAAGTTAATAGTGTGGTATAAACTTTTCATATATTGTCCATAAATGTAGTTATGAGACAGACACATTATATATAGTTCAGTGGCGTCGCTAGGTTGGGTGTCATCCGGTGCGGCACTTCACGGTGTCACCCCAACCCCTCCGAAAATAAGTTTTATATATATATATATATATATATATATATATATATATATATATATATATATATATATATATATATATATATATATATATATATATGGTTACAATTGGTATCACCCCCTCCCGTTTGGTCTATTAGCGGCAATATGTGCGCACATTACATTAAGCTACCTATTAATTAATTTGGGAAAAGCATCAATTTCATCGTGAAGTATTAGATTTTCCTCTGTAAATTTTGTAGTTGGTGTCAATGGTGTCAACCTCCCCGCCCCGCCCGGGTGATAGTTTTAAGTATGTACAGTTAATAGTAAAGATGTTTATCTATAGTTAGTTATTAATACAGGTGAATTAACTTTAATTAATTATTGATTGAACTGGCAAAAAGCATATTTCTTCTATATATTTTGCAATTTTTCGCCATGGTGTCACCCACTAAATGGTAACACCCAGTGCGGTCCGCACCCCCCCCCCCCCCCCGCGACGCCTCTGATGTCGTCTGGCCAACTATGTGGCATGCATATTTCATTATATCGTCTAATTAATAATCATGAGCAGTGTTTCTTTCAGGCACTGGTCATGTTAATTTTTTTGTAATTTACAGACAAGCTAATCACACCAATCAGCCAACGCTCTGTGTACAACTTTACACTCCGTCATTTTCAAATTTTACCGTGCACCGTCAGAAAGGCTAGTGACAAAACGGCCTCCGACAAAAAAGTCTAGGCACATAGACCCTGTCAAATGGGCCCCTTCAAATGGACTCTCGACAAATAGACTTCCGTCATTTAAGCTCCCGACAAATAGACTCTTATCGTGTGGGATCCTGACAAAAGGGCCCCTATCAATACGGTTTCCACAGAGACAGTAAGTCTCCCGGTGAAACCCCTCATTGAAATTGACCCCATCCTGTTAACTTTGCCAACAACCTCACATAGTACGAAGTGTGTAGCTCTTAGTGAGTCTTAGTCGGTAGTATAAGAAATACTATGTTTTTATATAATTATTTAAGGGTAATCTAGTTTTATAACGTCTATCAAAGGAGTCGGTTGTGGGCTGTTCCGACTCCGGGTGTTGTTGTAGGCTATCAAAACAAAACATCGTTTATCCTGTTAACATTATGTAAATCATTCTTTTAATCATCTGGTCCCTTTTTTTAAATTATTGGCACTCTGTTGTTAAGAGCTCGATTAGTTTGTTGGTTCATGGTTTTTCATTCAGGCATGTATGGTGGTATTGGATTTTTTTAAAATTGCGAGTTGCTGGTTGGATAAAATGGTTAGGTCTGTGCAGAACGTGGCCATACGATTTATTTGTCTGGGGCCAAGTTGTCGAGGGTCATTTTCTCGGAATCGTATATGTCGTGAGCCCATTTGTCGGGAGCCAATATGTCTTGAGTCTACATGTTGGGAATCAATATGTCGCAAAACACTATGAAGGGAGCCCATTTGTCGGGAGCCAATATGTCGTGAGTCTGTTGGGAACCAATATGTCGCAAAACACTATGAGGGAGCTCATTTGACGGCAGACAATATTCGAGGAAATTTTACGGAGCCGTTTTGACGCTGCCGCCGTTGCACAAAATTTTACAATATGTGGTCAGTTTACAAATAAATTCCGTTGTATGTGTGTGTGTGCGTTCGTGTGTGTGTGTACCATAAAGCAAGCAAAGACAATCCTAATAAATACAATCAAGCAGTTCTATTGCGATATTACTGGTGATCTGTTTAATCACCACTTGGCCTACATATTTAGTCATTCTCTGGCCACAACACGATACTATTTTGTTCATGACGAGTCTTGCATGCGGCAGAAACAAAAAACTGTTACGGATATTGCATCGACCTGTATGGCGGGTAAACATTTTATAAAGTCACTTCCTTCAGATTCAGTCAGGAAGATCGCAGTCACGTGGCCGATGTCTGGGCATCGATTTGTTTCTCAACCGTTTTGGAAAGTTGGTCAGTCTGACAACTTGCCACATAGGCCGCTTAAGGCCAAAGATTAGCCTGTTGCCAGGTAACACCGGCCATTTTGACAGTCAAGGTCTCTGCCCTAAAGAGGAACAGACATTATAGTATCGGGTGTAAACAGACGGCTGTTATTGTGCGTGAGGGAATCAGGCTTGTGCGTAGTGGAAATGTGCCCTTTCGATTTTTTTTTAAAGATACCAATATAAACCAAAGGGAGGGGGGGGGGGGAATTAAACGACACAATAGTCTTTAGCTAGCTGGATCCATACAATGGAGAAACAATTTAAAAAATAAACCGGGAGTGATCTCCCCTAAACTCTCTCGCATATTCTTATATAACTTGGAATATAGACATGATTTTTAATTATTTAAATTTTTAAAAATATAAAAAGAATTGCGCACCAATCGAACGCCAAAACAAAATGTGCATAATAGTGCGCAATATTATAGTACTTTATACATTTACATTTTTGTAAATACTTATATATGAAATTTCATCAACCTAGCTGTAACGGTACTCAAGTTATCGTGTTTACACACAGACAGACACACAGACAGACATACAGACAGACGGACAAGATTGCAAAATTATGTTTTTCCGTATCAGTAAGGTGTAAATGGTCGAGATTTGTAAAAATCTCGATTATTTTTTTTTTGCACGATTACAATACTTTCTCTATACTTCGTATATACGAGAAAGTAATAATATATCCTCAAAATATTTTCTGTTTTAATGGAAAAACACTCGAAAAATAGAATAGCACTGGAATATTTGTAATATATTTATACCTAGCATTCATAGCCAAGCCCCAATGTAGATAGTTTTTTTTATTTTGTACCAGACACCGTGGCTAGAAATGTGATACTACAGTCTACATAGGCTTAGGGGCTGAATGAGCCGACGATATGGGGCACACCAGAGTTAGTTCTAAAGAGAGTTATGAATAAGTCGGAATTGTAAACTATTCAGCGGTTTTTTACGTAAGACGGTCTCTGTGCTGCTATTCGTCACACGAGAGATCAGCGGCTTACAAACTTTTTCTCCCTGCACCTCTTTTGAAAAAAAAAAAACTTGTCTCCATTGAAAAATATACATATTCCAGATCCCCCCTTAAACAGCCCCTTATCCTTTATATTCATTAGTATAGCCAATTGCCTCATTAATCTACACTTTAAACGATCTAATCACCAAAAGTCGAACAAGTTTGAAACTAATAAATGAAACAATTTAAACACTGATTACACCGACAATCCTTTAAAAAAAGTATTTACCTATTATTTATAACTGTCAGCATATATAGTTGATACAATTATGGGCAACATATATGTTTCTCCTCTAGCATTAGCCCGCCCCTCCCACTAGCCCGCCCCTCCCAGTTTGGAAACCGCTGTTCTGACTTAAGCCCTGGCATAAATTACCTCCCTTACCTACACAATTTTAGTGACGAGGGTTAGGACCCGACGTAAAATTCTCAGCCCAATTAAATGTTTCTAAAATCACATGTAGATCATATATGTACGTTATTATTCAACAGATTCTCGTTTTTCTTAGGATGATTCGCCTATAAATGACGGTACGCCAATTTAGTCTTATATAACAACACCCCATCCCATTTGTGTCAGCTTATATTATGGAAGAGGTGGGGGCGGTGTGGGAAAAGAGTATTCTAATACCCACCCCTAATTATGCTGGGTGTATTTGAACATAGGCATATTCATTCTAGGATTGTAATTAAAAAAATACTTGTAAACACGTTTTTTTAATCTTAATAACAGTTTTTTTTCTCGACTCGCAAACTTTCGACAAAACGCCTTCGTTTGCTACACTATTGATGTAGAATAGGCCAATGTTGTGAAATATGTGTGTAAAACCATGCGAAAGTCTCTACCTCGTATGTGTGTAAGGAATGTAGCTCACAATTAGCTTTTAAATGCATCTTCTTTCCACTTCTCCATCCCAGATTAAGCCCACCTATTGACCTAATATTCACAAAATTAAGGTCTTTTAAAGTCCTATTAAAAAATTCAACTATATATACTTATTTTCATTTTTGTTTCTAAGAATGAACTATCTCTTTACCCTCCCCCTCCCACCACATAACACAAGCTCTTAAACTCGGACCCTTTCCTTACAAAAGGTATGTGACGTTATTTATGGAATTAGAAGGGAAAATTATTAGCGTGTCTTGACCGGAGGAAAGACTAGCATTCTCGGTGGTAGTCGGCGGCCATGTCCTACTTTTATTTAGCCTAGGTTACTTTAAGAGCATGTTACTTTGTGCCACGGTTACTGTCAGCCTAGGTTACTTTATGCCACGGTTACTTTTAGCCTGTTACTTTGTGACATTGTTACCCTGTTACTTTGTGCCAAGGTTTCTATTAGCCTAGATTACTCGTTAGGCTTTACCGGACTCTGATTAAACTGACCTTCTGTATATAATTATGTGGTTAACCAGCCCTTCCTCTTAAATCGAACACATTCCTATTTCAATATGTGTCCCCAAAGACAAAAAGGCGATAACCATCAAAATTGACAAATGATTGGGTGAAGGAGTTATCTATCTTGAATGATGAAACTAGCTCAAAAACCTTAACAAGCTTTTAAATTCACTAAAAATAATAACTGTAGCATCGCGTTAGCTAAAAACAGAATAAAATAAAAGCTTTGGTCCATCTATACATGTCTATCTGTGATTACAGAGACACGACAAGTGTATCTGTGATTACATAGGCAAGTGTATATGTTATTACATAGACAAGTGTATCTGTTATTACATAGACAAGTGTATCTGTTATTACATAGACAAGTGTATCTGTTATTACATAGACAAGTGCATCTGTTATTACATAGAGAAGTGTATCTGTTATTACATAGACATGGCAAGTGTATCTGTGATTACAAAAGCGAGAGTCTGTAGATAACTGAACCAGATATTTAGCCGAATATCACCTCTCTTCCTCCCCCCCCCCCCCCCCCCCCAACGTCGGGATACAATATCACAAAGTAAATCCCATGTATAAATTCCCCGGTTTTATTACGGTGTAGCTACCTGTTATTAAAAATAATAAATATAGTTATATAAATCATGCTATAGCCTACTAATGCTTTGAAATAATATTCAGTTTCTAATTCTCCGTTCTAATAAAAATAAAAAGTTGTTGTTGTAAACGTTGTTATTTTAAAATTGTATTACACATCCGCAATCTGACTTCAATCGACGCACTGAATCATAACTTTTACAAACACACACACACATACAGACACACACAGACTATTCTTTATAACTTCTTTTACTGTTCGTCTTTGGTCTCTGAGTTACAATAGGGAAGCAACATTTTGCAGACATCTTTCATAACTAAGTGCTAATAAAATAGCGTGATGTCGCCATGTCATTCTTTCAATATTCGCTTCTCAGAGGTGCGCACATGTCGAAAGACAGCTGGTGTTTTCTTTTCCTTTAACCTTTCTATCGCTAGGTTAAAAACGAAACGATCTGGTTAAACCACAATGTTGAAATACCCCCCCCCCCCCACCCAGCATATTGTGGGAATTTAAACTTGTACAGAATCAGTGGGTAGAACAAAACTATGACCGTCCATTACAGCAGTAGACAAACTATGACCGTTCAACACAAGAGTGACAGAAAACTATGACCGTCCTTATGTACATATTTTTTTTTAAATACAAAAATTTACGATTTCGTTAAATTACATCTATTTCTCTCTGCAAACCACCGATAGACTAACTAACAGCAATTCTATTTCTTTAAAGGTTGATGTGTATTGTAGTTGAGTGTAATGGAACAGATTTTATACTAAAGGATTACAATGGGACAATGTAAGTATTACAATTAATAGATATAACAAATGCACTGAGATTAAATACTGGATTTAAAAATATAAAAAGCAAACATTTTGGGCGGATTTTAAACTGCTGTCCTTTTTCGCAGATCCTTCAAAGCGGGGCTCTTTTAGCCCCAAGCAGCGTGGTTCCGCCAAAGCTGAAGTCACGGTCGGCGCCCAAGGTGGAGCAGACTTTGATAGTCTGGAACAAAAAAATGCGAAATCACCAGGTCAGTTCAAGAAGTAGCTTTGGTGACGGAGTTTCACATCATATTTTCACATTTCACATTAACTCCAAACTTTTCACTACATTTCACATTAATGCCAAAATTTACACAACATTTCACATCAACTACAAAACTTTCACTACATTTCACATCAGTGGCGTAGCCAGGATCGTCTCAAGGGGAGGGTTCCAATTTTTACCCGGGGACAAACGTTCGATTTGCACCCCCCCCCCTAAAACTTTCGTTTTGCACCCCTCCCCCCCCCCTCAAACTTTCGATTTTCACCCTCCCTCAAACTTTCGATTTGCACCCCCCCCTCAAACTTACTTTCGATTTGCACCCCCCCCCTCATACTTTATACCGATGGGTCTATGGGGGGGGGGGGTTATAACCCCCCCTAACACCCCCCCTTGCCTACGCCACTGTTTCACATTAACTCCAAAATTTTCACTATATTTCACATCAACGCCAAAAAATACACTACATTTCACATCAACTCTTAACATTTTCACTTCAATTTACTTGCGCAGCGCAACAATATCTCAACATACAATCTTGAATCATAACATTCAAATCCAACTCACACCACAATTCGTGTCAGGTTGATTCTCGCACACAATTAATGAAATCAGCAGCTTTTTTTCATATCACCCGTATCATTAATTCTTACAAATTCACATCAATTCTAAAATTAACGGTTCGTGTTACATCAAATCTTACACACAACGTTTGTATTGATTCTAAAATCCAAACTTGATTTCCCATCCACTAATGTTTTGACTAAAACCTCCACATCCGGGTATACCTGAACTTTAACATCAAACAAATTATCAGCACAATATATCTTCAACAACACAGCAGTACAAATGACTCATAGTGATTCGTGAATTACATTGTATCACTTCAACATTCTGGTACACATGACTCCAAATATTCTGGTACACATGACTCCAAATATTCTGGTACACAAAGACTCCCAACATTCTGGTACACTTAGACTCCTAACATTCTGGTACACACAGTCTCCCAACACCTATTGGCTACCACATACACACCATCCTGCGTTTCCGTCCCTTCTACACCAACAGATGACCAGTATATTTTGACCGCTATATAAGACCAACCAGAAGTCTAATGCCAGAACTGGAAGGTTTCAATGTATGCCGGGGTACACAAATGGTTGCTGGAGATTTATTAACTAAGTAGACACAAAAAACCTACTTTTATTATTATTGAGCCTATTTTCAACTCAATGCAAACATCACCCTAACAGAGCCGGTCACAATACACCGCCTCTCTATCGTTGAAAGAAAAGTCTCGTTGGAAGTCACCTGACTACCACACACATCTTTCCCCAGTCTGGTGACTAAAAAAATTGGCGTGGCAGTTCAAAATAAAAGATTATGTTACAACAGATTCCTGCTATGATGAGCATTTTAAAAATTGGAAATCATGTTAATTTACTAAGACCCCCCCCCCCTCACACACACACGTACTAGAACGTTGAGACGTACATTCGTAGGCTTAGGAAAATAGCCGGCTATTGAATGTGTCTTCACTCGACTGTGGACGTCAATAGGCCAATGTGTACTTTAATGGGGGCTTTAAGCAGGTGTGCCCATCAACCTGCGCGCATTTGTAGGCCGAACCTGTTGCGTAGGCCGCACCACTGTAGGCTGAACTAACTGCGTAGGCCCACACAAACAAAAAATGTCGCTTTTCGAAACAAAATTATCGAGCAGACCTGCTTACATAATTATGTAGGCTACTGTTTCATATACTGTTAGTATCATTACCAACAACAGAATTATTTTCTCTGTAAGAGAGCCATCTTTGCGACAACGACATTCGTAAATTAGCGTACACAAAAGGTCTATTACAATAGGGGTCAAACATTGTCCCGTGATGAAGTTTAGATTTTCTCTGATCCCTTCCTTCCTTCCTTCCTTCCTTCCTTCCTTCCTTCCTTCCTTCCTTCCTTCCTTCCTTCCTTCCGACCCCCTCCCCCTCCTCCATTAGAAATAACATAAAATTTCTAGGTGTCATGTGTAAACTACTTTCGTCAATTTAATTTTTTTTTAAAATAAAATACGTATATTAAGTACCCCCCCCCCCCCCACTTCTTCACCCCGTAGGTGTCGATAAGCTTGTAACGGCATTTAACTACGACCCCCACGGTCGAGAACTCCGCACCAGTACATCATAACTTGTAGCCTACGTTCAGACGTCGGGAAAACCCGCAGACAAAAATAGCAGCACTTTTATAGGAGCATTAAACTGTCAAGCTGAACGTGCAAACAGGGACTTTGATGTTCATTGCACACAATGCCAATAGAGACATCAGGAGAGGCGGGAAGAAGTTTTAGTGCAGTGTTAAATCGCATCTGACCCTTAATTGGTGTTAGGCATACGGCACATTTGCATATGTTGAAGATTTAAAAGGAATTGCTAGTGTCCCTTGACGGCGGGTGGAGGGGGTGGGGGGGGGGGGGTTGTTGAGGTGGTCACTCGGCTACAGTCTTACTAATTTAATCGACAGTTTCTCTCATATTGACACGTATATAAAATACCTCTGTCTACTAAAACACATGATTCTATTGAATTCTACAACAAATCAGTGTGTTAAGTAGAAATAAACATGGTCTGTTTTTTTCCTAGTTATTGAGACAGAATTTGTTTTAAATAAGTAAAAAAAAAGTTTCTTTTATCAGATAAATATCTGGAGAAATAGTCCACTATTTTGACTAATCTAGAATTGTTTACCTGTTTTTCTTTTATATTATTATTATTATTATTATTTTTGGACAACTCTAAAGAAATCTATATTAAGCACGCAGTTCATGATTTTTGTAAAACAGCTATGTCCGAATACCGGTTATTATTTTCCAAATAATAACAAGGCTGCTCTTATAAAAAAAAAATATACAGTAAAACACCAATAACGAAAAACAAAATACCTTTCAACGCTTATAGTAAAGACAATATTTTCAAAATGATCTTTAGGTAACAGTTGTTTTACAAGTTACTAGAATCGTTATGGAAAACCAAATATGGCGTATTAACTACAGAAATGTTAAGCAACAGGGTAGTGTGCACATGTTTATTAGACAACATGTTGTTGTACGAACTCTGTAATCGTTGTTGTATGGGGTATGGTGGTATTGAGCAATGTTAATTGTTATATCCCTAGCCGAATAATTAATAACCCGCCAGTGTGTGTGTGTGTGTGTGTGTGTGTGTGTGTGTGTGTGTGTATGCCTGCGTAGGCCTACGTGAATTTTCTTTTTCAATTCGAATTTTTTTTAAAGTTTAAACCGGGAACGAAATTTCTTTTTTCGAGGCTTAAAAACCTGATAGGTACAATTTTTTTAAAAATTTGCTTTAAAAATGTTGCTTCTTTTAGTGTCCTTCCCCACTTCTTTTTTTTTTTTTAGAAAAATCTCGTATTGACTAATTTAGCGTAGTGATGTTTCGGCAATGTTATAAAGCATCTTTTACTTTGGCAGGCAATGTGCTATGGCACCGTCAGATTGTTTTGTACTCACTGCATCTCATAAGCTGATAAATTTGAAATACTATTTTAGAACAAGGATTTCATTTGAAGCCGTGGATTCGTAGAGTTAGAGACCAATTTTCAAACTGGGCAGATTATTGTAGATTCAAGTTTTGTATTGCTAGAACCAGCGATAGGTAGCCTCCAGAGCAAGGCCGAGAATGTCTTTGTGTCGCTGATCAGACTTTGTTTATCCAGGGAGAAAACGTCGAAGGTTTCGAGTCCCGGTGTTGTCACTGAGGAAAACACCCTCGGGGCGTTGGACCAGAAAAAAACGGTCCCAAAATGCTGCCCGCCCCGTGTCCTTACCGGCGGAGATCTACAGGCCACAAAGTGAGACTGAGTCACAAAGTGGTGGATCCAGGCCACAAAGTAGGTGGAGTAACAGATTTCACAGATTTGCATCCGCTTAGTTGACTAACCAGAATGCTTCTAACCCCCAACGCCTTTTCTTGTTGTTTTCCCTGGCAAAGATATGTTTTTTTAATTGGTGCCATTTTTATTATCTTTTCTTTTTAAATCGATTTATATTGGCGGAAATGTTATATATAAATATACCCAGTGTTGTAAGTCTAAATGTTTTACTTATCGTTTTGTCAGGATATTGTCGATAAGTATGACAACAACAAGTAACACACAGTGTTAAAGACGATCTTTGATATCGCCAAAGTAAATAAAAAAAACACCCCAACTTCATTTCAAATCAAATGTATCACAGGTTCCTACAAAAGGAAATACGTACCGCTAGAAAATATTTTATTTAATTACTATTTAATAATAATAATAATATTTTTCAACAGGAGCTTAACTTTTAAAATACCCCACCCTACACATTAACTCAATCAATTAGTGCTGTCTTTTAATGATACATTACCAAGTAGCTTAGAAGCGCTGAGCACAGTTATTTGGAACGTATTTTCATATTTTTATTTTGTTTTTCTAACAACATATATACTTTTGTCATTGCATTTTTAAAAATCATTTTTCATTCTTCTTTTGCCTCTTGTTTCGGGTGGGGGTGAGGGGGGGGACGATTTATGCTGGAATATTTGAAGGTAATATAACAACAAACACAATATGGCTGGCTGGTCAGTTACAAGTCTAGAAAATGCAACAATTCCAATGTCAATTATTTAGGCCAACATACATCATTCTCAAATGTCAGTATTTTGGTCTTCAACATACATGATTCTCAAATGTCAGTATTTAGATCTACAATATTCATCATTCTCAAAAAACATTCTTGTAAACTTATGTAATTGTATAATAAACATCATTTCTACATTAATTTAAAAAAAACGAATCAAGGGTTTGTAACATATACTTACTACATGTCATTATTTGGAACAAAATATTTCTACATTGTCTATGTAAAAACATACATTACTGCTAAATCATTGCTGAAAAGATAAGTACAATTACTGTAAAATACGAAATAGTTAACAATGACATGTAACCTTTTAATACATTGCGAAACAACATCCAATGACATATTTGTATAAAGAACAGCTAAACATATGCTTACATATTATATTATTTTTAAAAAATAATTTGTAATAAAAAGAATACAAACCAGAACGTAAAAAAAATTGGATACTCTGTAATAATAAGAAGAGTGACGAATAGTCTAATGAAATCCTTGAAGATGGTAAGATGTGTCAAATTTTGTATAGATGTGCTTATATCTCTGTGTGTATTTTTAAAAATCATAATATACTTTCATATATTTTTATATTGTGCATTTATGTTTGAACATTTTCTTTATAATCAGATTTAAATTTATATTGCTTTTATATTTATTACAAATTTAAATTGTAAATTGGCTCAAGGTAACTAAATATAGCAATGATTAATAATTTTTAGAAATGAAATTAAAATGTTTTAAGAAATATCATCCATCATTGCCAAATAAACAATAATTTCATTTGGATTATGCAATTTTAATTGTTAATTTGCTAAAACCATAATTTCTTGCAAAATTAAAAAATCAATAACATTTGTTCTTTACACACAAAAAAACTTTTTTATCATTCTAAATTTAATGTTGTATTAAATACCAGACGTGGAACAGATACCTTAATTTAGAAGATTAGTGTCTCAAAACATTTAGCTGGTTGATCACTTTTCATAGTGATCGCTGAGTGTTTCAGAAAACAGCTTAACCACATTTTATTTCAACAGGTTTATTTTTGGATGACCTACATATGGAAGATCAGTCGATGGAAGCAGTGGATTTATCAGATAGTGGTAAGTGTGTACATCATTTCTAGATATTTCCGGTAACCCAAAGTGGACCTTATTTAACTTTCGGTTTTTCAAAAGCCTATAACGTGAGTACTGTTTCTCATAGAAGAAATTTCACATATAAGTAAAAGATCGAATTCTGTTTACTGTCAAATTTTGTGTAACTTCCGGTGACCGGAAATAAAATTTACGGTTTCTCAAATTTTTTTTGTTTCATTAAATTAAGCGTCTTCCTAAAAATGCCTACAACGATGGTATACAAAATAAATTTGTTGTTTTAAATCTATTTAGAATTTAGTTATAAAGCAGTTATATACTATTAAACTATTCAAACTAGTTTAAAAATATAATTTCAATTACCATACATTTAACAGATGGCTGAACCGTTTTTTATAACTCACTTTTTACAGAACTACATGGTCAACTACGACTTAAAAGTCCTGGGAAAAAGAATACAGAAAAATCGAAGAGCAAAAAGGGGCCACAACTAAGAGGATCAGGAAAGAAAAAGCAAAAAAAAGAAAAATCAAAATCTAAGCAAAAGGCTACATTGCCTGCAGGAAAAATTGGAGTTTCAGCACAAACTGCAGACATAGATACGGTTGCCACAGGCATTGTGAATGAATCAGTCACATCAGCACAACACAAATTAAAAGTGGAAACAAAGCAGAAAGGTGCACATTATGATGCAAACTTCACAGGGACAGCTGATCCTATTTCAGCTGAGGATATAATAGACCAAGTAATGAAGGCTAATATGCATGGGTCTTCAAAGACAGGAATTGAGTCCACAAAACTCGACATCTCAACAAAGGGACCAAAACTTGATGCCAAAATGCCAGGTGTTGCCATTTCTGGACCAAATGTTGACATTGGAAAAGCAGACCTTGGCGTCAAAGCCCCTAAAATTAAAGGTAAAGCACCAGACTTTGACGTCTCTGCAGACGCAGACTTTGGAATCAAAGGGCCTAAAAATGATGCTAAAATGCCTGGACTGGACGTTTCTGGACCACATTTTGATGCTCCTAAAGCAGACTTTGGAATTAAAGGCCCTAAGGTCGATGCTAAAATGCCAGGACTAGACATCTCTGGCCCACACTTTGACGCTCCAAAAGGTGATCTTGGAATCAAAGGTCCGAAAATTGATGCCAAACTGCCTGGCATGGATATCTCAGCACCACATATTGATACTCCAAAGGGAGACCTCGGAATCAAGGGACCTAAAATAGATGCTAAAATGCCTGGACTTGATATCTCTGCACCACACTTTGATGCCCCTAAAGCAGATCTGGGCATCAAGGGTCCCAAAATTGATGCCAAAATGCCTGGGGTGGACATCTCTGGACCACATTTTGATGCGCCCCATGCAGATTTTGGCATTAAAGGCCCTAAGGTGGATGCTAAAATGCCGGGACTAGACATATCCGCACCACACTTTGACGCTCCAAAAGGAGACCTCGGCATCAAAGGGCCTAAAATAGATGCTAAGATGCCTGGAATAGACATTTCTGGACCACATGTTGATGCACCCAAAGCTGATTTTGGCATCAAAGGGCCCAAAATTGATGCTAAAATGCCTGGTCTTGACATCTCCGCCCCGCATTTCGATGCTCCAAAAGCAGATCTGGGAATTAAAGGTCTTAAGGTGGATGCTAAAATGCCAGGACTTGATGTATCCGCGCCACACTTTGATGCTCCGAAAGGAGACCTTGGAATTAAAGGACCCAAAATTGATGCTAAAATGCCCGGAGTGGACATTTCCGGACCACATTTTGATGCACCTAAAGGAGACTTGGGCATTAAAGGCCCTAAACTCGATGCCAAGGCGCCCAATGTGGATATTTCAGGACCCGGTCTCAACATTTCTAAGCCCGACTTAAACTTTAACACACCATCCGTGGATGTGAGTTTGCCTAAAGGATCAATCGACATTGACAGTCACAAGAAAGGTGTAAAAGTGCCAGGCTTTGGAATTTCTGGACCCGGTTTGGACGTTGAAGGCCCGGGTGCTAACATTGGAGGTGATGCTGGATTGTCCTTAAAGGGGGATTTGAAGCTGAAAAAAGGAAAAGAGGACAAGGAACTCAAAATAAAAGCAGACAAAGGCAAGAAAGTTAAACTCAAAGACAAATTTAGCAACTGGTTGCACAAGAAAGGCGACGTGGATATTGATGCCGATGTTGACCTACCAGATGCCGAGATTTCAACTCCTGACATCAAGATTAAAGATCCAAAAATCGACGCCAAAATGCCAGGTGTTGCCATATCTGGACCAAATGTTGACATTGGAAAAGCAGACCTTGGCGTCAAAGCCCCTAAAATTAAAGGTAAAGCACCAGACTTTGACGTCTCTGCAGACGCAGACTTTGCAATCAAAGGGCCTAAAATTGATGCTAAAATGCCTGGACTGGACGTTTCTGGACCACATTTTGATGCTCCTAAAGCAGACTTTGGAATTAAAGGCCCTAAGGTCGATGCTAAAATGCCAGGACTAGACATCTCTGGCCCACACTTTGACGCTCCAAAAGGTGATCTTGGAATCAAAGGTCCGAAAATCGATGCCAAACTGCCTGGCATGGATATCTCAGCACCACATATTGATACTCCAAAGGGAGACCTTGGAATCAAGGGACCTAAAATAGATGCTAAAATGCCTGGACTTGATATCTCTGCACCACACTTTGATGCCCCTAAAGCAGATCTTGGCATCAAGGGTCCCAAAATTGATGCCAAAATGCCTGGGGTGGACATCTCTGGACCACATTTTGATGCGCCCCATGCAGATTTTGGCATTAAAGGCCCTAAGGTGGATGCTAAAATGCCGGGACTAGACATATCCGCACCACACTTTGACGCTCCAAAAGGAGACCTCGGCATCAAAGGGCCTAAAATAGATGCTAAGATGCCTGGAATAGACATTTCTGGACCACATGTTGATGCACCCAAAGCTGATTTTGGCATCAAAGGGCCCAAAATTGATGCTAAAATGCCTGGCCTTGACATCTCCGCCCCGCATTTCGATGCTCCAAAAGCAGATCTGGGAATTAAAGGTCTTAAGATGGATGCTAAAATGCCAGGACTTGATGTATCCGCGCCACACTTTGATGCTCCGAAAGGAGACCTTGGAATTAAAGGACCCAAAATTGATGCTAAAATGCCCGGAGTGGACATTTCCGGACCACATTTTGATGCACCTAAAGGAGACTTGGGCATTAAAGGCCCTAAACTCGATGCCAAGGCGCCCAATGTGGATATTTCAGGACCCGGTCTCAACATTTCTAAGCCCGACTTAAACTTTAACACACCATCCGTGGATGTGAGTTTGCCTAAAGGATCAATCGACATTGACAGTCACAAGAAAGGTGTAAAAGTGCCAGGCTTTGGAATTTCTGGACCCGGTTTGGACGTTGAAGGCCCGGATGCTAACATTGGAGGTGATGCTGGATTGTCCTTAAAGGGGGATTTGAAGCTGAAAAAAGGAAAAGAGGACAAGGAACTCAAAATAAAAGCAGACAAAGGCAAGAAAGTTAAACTCAAAGACAAATTTAGCAACTGGTTGCACAAGAAAGGCGACGTGGATATTGATGCCGATGTTGACCTACCAGATGCCGAGATTTCAACTCCTGACATCAAGATTAAAGATCCAAAAATCGACGCCAAAATGCCAGGTGTTGCCATATCTGGACCAAATGTTGACATTGGAAAAGCAGACCTTGGCGTCAAAGCCCCTAAAATTAAAGGTAAAGCACCAGACTTTGACGTCTCTGCAGACGCAGACTTTGGAATCAAAGGGCCTAAAATTGATGCTAAAATGCCTGGACTGGACGTTTCTGGACCACATTTTGATGCTCCTAAAGCAGACTTTGGAATTAAAGGCCCTAAGGTCGATGCTAAAATGCCAGGACTAGACATCTCTGGCCCACACTTTGACGCTCCAAAAGGTGATCTTGGAATCAAAGGTCCGAAAATCGATGCCAAACTGCCTGGCATGGATATCTCAGCACCACATATTGATACTCCAAAGGGAGACCTCGGAATCAAGGGACCTAAAATAGATGCTAAAATGCCTGGACTTGATATCTCTGCACCACACTTTGATGCCCCTAAAGCAGATCTTGGCATCAAGGGTCCCAAAATTGATGCCAAAATGCCTGGGGTGGACATCTCTGGACCACATTTCGATGCGCCCCATGCAGATTTTGGCATTAAAGGCCCTAAGGTGGATGCTAAAATGCCGGGACTAGACATATCCGCACCACACTTTGACGCTCCAAAAGGAGACCTCGGCATCAAAGGTCCGAAAATAGACGCTAAAATGCCTGGAATGGACGTTTCTGGACCACACTTTGACGCTCCAAAAGGAGACCTCGGCATCAAAGGGCCTAAAATAGATGCTAAGATGCCTGGAATAGACATTTCTGGACCACATGTTGATGCACCCAAAGCTGATTTTGGCATCAAAGGGCCCAAAATTGATGCTAAAATGCCTGGCCTTGACATCTCCGCCCCGCATTTCGATGCTCCAAAAGCAGATCTGGGAATTAAAGGTCTTAAGATGGATGCTAAAATGCCAGGACTTGATGTATCCGCACCACACTTTGATGCTCCGAAAGGAGACCTTGGAATTAAAGGACCCAAAATTGATGCTAAAATGCCCGGAGTGGACATTTCCGGACCACATTTTGATGCACCTAAAGGAGACTTGGGCATTAAAGGCCCTAAACTCGATGCCAAGGCGCCCAATGTGGATATTTCAGGACCCGGTCTCAACATTTCTAAGCCCGACTTAAACTTTAACACACCATCCGTGGATGTGAGTTTGCCTAAAGGATCAATCGACATTGACAGTCACAAGAAAGGTGTAAAAGTGCCAGGCTTTGGAATTTCTGGACCCGGTTTGGACGTTGAAGGCCCGGATGCTAACATTGGAGGTGATGCTGGATTGTCCTTAAAGGGGGATTTGAAGCTGAAAAAAGGAAAAGAGGACAAGGAACTCAAAATAAAAGCAGACAAAGGCAAGAAAGTTAAACTCAAAGACAAATTTAGCAACTGGTTGCACAAGAAAGGCGACGTGGATATTGATGCCGATGTTGACCTACCAGATGCCGAGATTTCAACTCCTGACATCAAGATTAAAGATCCAAAAATCGACGCCAAAATGCCAGGTGTTGCCATATCTGGACCAAATGTTGACATTGGAAAAGCAGACCTTGGCGTCAAAGCCCCTAAAATTAAAGGTAAAGCACCAGACTTTGACGTCTCTGCAGACGCAGACTTTGGAATCAAAGGGCCTAAAATTGATGCTAAAATGCCTGGACTGGACGTTTCTGGACCACATTTTGATGCTCCTAAAGCAGACTTTGGAATTAAAGGCCCTAAGGTCGATGCTAAAATGCCAGGACTAGACATCTCTGGCCCACACTTTGACGCTCCAAAAGGTGATCTTGGAATCAAAGGTCCGAAAATCGATGCCAAACTGCCTGGCATGGATATCTCAGCACCACATATTGATACTCCAAAGGGAGACCTCGGAATCAAGGGACCTAAAATAGATGCTAAAATGCCTGGACTTGATATCTCTGCACCACACTTTGATGCCCCTAAAGCAGATCTTGGCATCAAGGGTCCCAAAATTGATGCCAAAATGCCTGGGGTGGACATCTCTGGACCACATTTCGATGCGCCCCATGCAGATTTTGGCATTAAAGGCCCTAAGGTGGATGCTAAAATGCCGGGACTAGACATATCCGCACCACACTTTGACGCTCCAAAAGGAGACCTCGGCATCAAAGGTCCGAAAATAGACGCTAAAATGCCTGGAATGGACGTTTCTGGACCACACTTTGACGCTCCAAAAGGAGACCTCGGCATCAAAGGGCCTAAAATAGATGCTAAGATGCCTGGAATAGACATTTCTGGACCACATGTTGATGCACCCAAAGCTGATTTTGGCATCAAAGGGCCCAAAATTGATGCTAAAATGCCTGGCCTTGACATCTCCGCCCCGCATTTCGATGCTCCAAAAGCAGATCTGGGAATTAAAGGTCTTAAGATGGATGCTAAAATGCCAGGACTTGATGTATCCGCGCCACACTTTGATGCTCCGAAAGGAGACCTTGGAATTAAAGGACCCAAAATTGATGCTAAAATGCCCGGAGTGGACATTTCCGGACCACATTTTGATGCACCTAAAGGAGACTTGGGCATTAAAGGCCCTAAACTCGATGCCAAGGCGCCCAATGTGGATATTTCAGGACCCGGTCTCAACATTTCTAAGCCCGACTTAAACTTTAACACACCATCCGTGGATGTGAGTTTGCCTAAAGGATCAATCGACATTGACAGTCACAAGAAAGGTGTAAAAGTGCCAGGCTTTGGAATTTCTGGACCCGGTTTGGACGTTGAAGGCCCGGATGCTAACATTGGAGGTGATGCTGGATTGTCCTTAAAGGGGGATTTGAAGCTGAAAAAAGGAAAAGAGGACAAGGAACTCAAAATAAAAGCAGACAAAGGCAAGAAAGTTAAACTCAAAGACAAATTTAGCAACTGGTTGCACAAGAAAGGCGACGTGGATATTGATGCCGATGTTGACCTACCAGATGCCGAGATTTCAACTCCTGACATCAAGATTAAAGATCCAAAAATCGACGCCAAAATGCCAGGTGTTGCCATATCTGGACCAAATGTTGACATTGGAAAAGCAGACCTTGGCGTCAAAGCCCCTAAAATTAAAGGTAAAGCACCAGACTTTGACGTCTCTGCAGACGCAGACTTTGGAATCAAAGGGCCTAAAATTGATGCTAAAATGCCTGGACTGGACGTTTCTGGACCACATTTTGATGCTCCTAAAGCAGACTTTGGAATTAAAGGCCCTAAGGTCGATGCTAAAATGCCAGGACTAGACATCTCTGGCCCACACTTTGACGCTCCAAAAGGTGATCTTGGAATCAAAGGTCCGAAAATCGATGCCAAACTGCCTGGCATGGATATCTCAGCACCACATATTGATACTCCAAAGGGAGACCTCGGAATCAAGGGACCTAAAATAGATGCTAAAATGCCTGGACTTGATATCTCTGCACCACACTTTGATGCCCCTAAAGCAGATCTTGGCATCAAGGGTCCCAAAATTGATGCCAAAATGCCTGGGGTGGACATCTCTGGACCACATTTCGATGCGCCCCATGCAGATTTTGGCATTAAAGGCCCTAAGGTGGATGCTAAAATGCCGGGACTAGACATATCCGCACCACACTTTGACGCTCCAAAAGGAGACCTCGGCATCAAAGGTCCGAAAATAGACGCTAAAATGCCTGGAATGGACGTTTCTGGACCACACTTTGACGCTCCAAAAGGAGACCTCGGCATCAAAGGGCCTAAAATAGATGCTAAGATGCCTGGAATAGACATTTCTGGACCACATGTTGATGCACCCAAAGCTGATTTTGGCATCAAAGGGCCCAAAATTGATGCTAAAATGCCTGGCCTTGACATCTCCGCCCCGCATTTCGATGCTCCAAAAGCAGATCTGGGAATTAAAGGTCTTAAGATGGATGCTAAAATGCCAGGACTTGATGTATCCGCACCACACTTTGATGCTCCGAAAGGAGACCTTGGAATTAAAGGACCCAAAATTGATGCTAAAATGCCCGGAGTGGACATTTCCGGACCACATTTTGATGCACCTAAAGGAGACTTGGGCATTAAAGGCCCTAAACTCGATGCCAAGGCGCCCAATGTGGATATTTCAGGACCCGGTCTCAACATTTCTAAGCCCGACTTAAACTTTAACACACCATCCGTGGATGTGAGTTTGCCTAAAGGATCAATCGACATTGACAGTCACAAGAAAGGTGTAAAAGTGCCAGGCTTTGGAATTTCTGGACCCGGTTTGGACGTTGAAGGCCCGGATGCTAACATTGGAGGTGATGCTGGATTGTCCTTAAAGGGGGATTTGAAGCTGAAAAAAGGAAAAGAGGACAAGGAACTCAAAATAAAAGCAGACAAAGGCAAGAAAGTTAAACTCAAAGACAAATTTAGCAACTGGTTGCACAAGAAAGGCGACGTGGATATTGATGCCGATGTTGACCTACCAGATGCCGAGATTTCAACTCCTGACATCAAGATTAAAGATCCAAAAATCGACGCCAAAATGCCAGGTGTTGCCATATCTGGACCAAATGTTGACATTGGAAAAGCAGACCTTGGCGTCAAAGCCCCTAAAATTAAAGGTAAAGCACCAGACTTTGACGTCTCTGCAGACGCAGACTTTGGAATCAAAGGGCCTAAAATTGATGCTAAAATGCCTGGACTGGACGTTTCTGGACCACATTTTGATGCTCCTAAAGCAGACTTTGGAATTAAAGGCCCTAAGGTCGATGCTAAAATGCCAGGACTAGACATCTCTGGCCCACACTTTGACGCTCCAAAAGGTGATCTTGGAATCAAAGGTCCGAAAATCGATGCCAAACTGCCTGGCATGGATATCTCAGCACCACATATTGATACTCCAAAGGGAGACCTCGGAATCAAGGGACCTAAAATAGATGCTAAAATGCCTGGACTTGATATCTCTGCACCACACTTTGATGCCCCTAAAGCAGATCTTGGCATCAAGGGTCCCAAAATTGATGCCAAAATGCCTGGGGTGGACATCTCTGGACCACATTTCGATGCGCCCCATGCAGATTTTGGCATTAAAGGCCCTAAGGTGGATGCTAAAATGCCGGGACTAGACATATCCGCACCACACTTTGACGCTCCAAAAGGAGACCTCGGCATCAAAGGTCCGAAAATAGACGCTAAAATGCCTGGAATGGACGTTTCTGGACCACACTTTGACGCTCCAAAAGGAGACCTCGGCATCAAAGGGCCTAAAATAGATGCTAAGATGCCTGGAATAGACATTTCTGGACCACATGTTGATGCACCCAAAGCTGATTTTGGCATCAAAGGGCCCAAAATTGATGCTAAAATGCCTGGCCTTGACATCTCCGCCCCGCATTTCGATGCTCCAAAAGCAGATCTGGGAATTAAAGGTCTTAAGATGGATGCTAAAATGCCAGGACTTGATGTATCCGCGCCACACTTTGATGCTCCGAAAGGAGACCTTGGAATTAAAGGACCCAAAATTGATGCTAAAATGCCCGGAGTGGACATTTCCGGACCACATTTTGATGCACCTAAAGGAGACTTGGGCATTAAAGGCCCTAAACTCGATGCCAAGGCGCCCAATGTGGATATTTCAGGACCCGGTCTCAACATTTCTAAGCCCGACTTAAACTTTAACACACCATCCGTGGATGTGAGTTTGCCTAAAGGATCAATCGACATTGACAGTCACAAGAAAGGTGTAAAAGTGCCAGGCTTTGGAATTTCTGGACCCGGTTTGGACGTTGAAGGCCCGGATGCTAACATTGGAGGTGATGCTGGATTGTCCTTAAAGGGGGATTTGAAGCTGAAAAAAGGAAAAGAGGACAAGGAACTCAAAATAAAAGCAGACAAAGGCAAGAAAGTTAAACTCAAAGACAAATTTAGCAACTGGTTGCACAAGAAAGGCGACGTGGATATTGATGCCGATGTTGACCTACCAGATGCCGAGATTTCAACTCCTGACATCAAGATTAAAGATCCAAAAATCGACGCCAAAATGCCAGGTGTTGCCATATCTGGACCAAATGTTGACATTGGAAAAGCAGACCTTGGCGTCAAAGCCCCTAAAATTAAAGGTAAAGCACCAGACTTTGACGTCTCTGCAGACGCAGACTTTGGAATCAAAGGGCCTAAAATTGATGCTAAAATGCCTGGACTGGACGTTTCTGGACCACATTTTGATGCTCCTAAAGCAGACTTTGGAATTAAAGGCCCTAAGGTCGATGCTAAAATGCCAGGACTAGACATCTCTGGCCCACACTTTGACGCTCCAAAAGGTGATCTTGGAATCAAAGGTCCGAAAATCGATGCCAAACTGCCTGGCATGGATATCTCAGCACCACATATTGATACTCCAAAGGGAGACCTCGGAATCAAGGGACCTAAAATAGATGCTAAAATGCCTGGACTTGATATCTCTGCACCACACTTTAATGCCCCTAAAGCAGATCTTGGCATCAAGGGTCCCAAAATTGATGCCAAAATGCCTGGGGTGGACATATCTGGACCACATTTCGATGCGCCCCATGCAGATTTTGGCATTAAAGGCCCTAAGGTGGATGCTAAAATGCCGGGACTAGACATATCCGCACCACACTTTGACGCTCCAAAAGGAGACCTCGGCATCAAAGGTCCGAAAATAGACGCTAAAATGCCTGGAATGGACGTTTCTGGACCACACTTTGACGCTCCAAAAGGAGACCTCGGCATCAAAGGGCCTAAAATAGATGCTAAGATGCCTGGAATAGACATTTCTGGACCACATGTTGATGCACCCAAAGCTGATTTTGGCATCAAAGGGCCCAAAATTGATGCTAAAATGCCTGGCCTTGACATCTCCGCCCCGCATTTCGATGCTCCAAAAGCAGATCTGGGAATTAAAGGTCTTAAGATGGATGCTAAAATGCCAGGACTTGATGTATCCGCGCCACACTTTGATGCTCCGAAAGGAGACCTTGGAATTAAAGGACCCAAAATTGATGCTAAAATGCCCGGAGTGGACATTTCCGGACCACATTTTGATGCACCTAAAGGAGACTTGGGCATTAAAGGCCCTAAACTCGATGCCAAGGCGCCCAATGTGGATATTTCAGGACCCGGTCTCAACATTTCTAAGCCCGACTTAAACTTTAACACACCATCCGTGGATGTGAGTTTGCCTAAAGGATCAATCGACATTGACAGTCACAAGAAAGGTGTAAAAGTGCCAGGCTTTGGAATTTCTGGACCCGGTTTGGACGTTGAAGGCCCGGATGCTAACATTGGAGGTGATGCTGGATTGTCCTTAAAGGGGGATTTGAAGCTGAAAAAAGGAAAAGAGGACAAGGAACTCAAAATAAAAGCAGAAAAAGGCAAGAAAGTTAAACTCAAAGACAAATTTAGCAACTGGTTGCACAAGAAAGGCGACGTGGATATTGATGCCGATGTTGACCTACCAGATGCCGAGATTTCAACTCCTGACATCAAGATTAAAGATCCAAAAATCGACGCCAAAATGCCAGGTGTTGCCATATCTGGACCAAATGTTGACATTGGAAAAGCAGACCTTGGCGTCAAAGCCCCTAAAATTAAAGGTAAAGCACCAGACTTTGACGTCTCTGCAGACGCAGACTTTGGAATCAAAGGGCCTAAAATTGATGCTAAAATGCCTGGACTGGACGTTTCTGGACCACATTTTGATGCTCCTAAAGCAGACTTTGGAATTAAAGGCCCTAAGGTCGATGCTAAAATGCCAGGACTAGACATCTCTGGCCCACACTTTGACGCTCCAAAAGGTGATCTTGGAATCAAAGGTCCGAAAATCGATGCCAAACTGCCTGGCATGGATATCTCAGCACCACATATTGATACTCCAAAGGGAGACCTTGGAATCAAGGGACCTAAAATAGATGCTAAAATGCCTGGACTTGATATCTCTGCACCACACTTTGATGCCCCTAAAGCAGATCTTGGCATCAAGGGTCCCAAAATTGATGCCAAAATGCCTGGGGTGGACATCTCTGGACCACATTTCGATGCGCCCCATGCAGATTTTGGCATTAAAGGCCCTAAGGTGGATGCTAAAATGCCGGGACTAGACATATCCGCACCACACTTTGACGCTCCAAAAGGAGACCTCGGCATCAAAGGTCCGCAAATAGACGCTAAAATGCCTGGAATGGACGTTTCTGGACCACACTTTGACGCTCCAAAAGGAGACCTCGGCATCAAAGGGCCTAAAATAGATGCTAAGATGCCTGGAATAGACATTTCTGGACCACATGTTGATGCACCCAAAGCTGATTTTGGCATCAAAGGGCCCAAAATTGATGCTAAAATGCCTGGCCTTGACATCTCCGCCCCGCATTTCGATGCTCCAAAAGCAGATCTGGGAATTAAAGGTCTTAAGATGGATGCTAAAATGCCAGGACTTGATGTATCCGCGCCACACTTTGATGCTCCGAAAGGAGACCTTGGAATTAAAGGACCCAAAATTGATGCTAAAATGCCCGGAGTGGACATTTCCGGACCACATTTTGATGCACCTAAAGGAGACTTGGGCATTAAAGGCCCTAAACTCGATGCCAAGGCGCCCAATGTGGATATTTCAGGACCCGGTCTCAACATTTCTAAGCCCGACTTAAACTTTAACACACCATCCGTGGATGTGAGTTTGCCTAAAGGATCAATCGACATTGACAGTCACAAGAAAGGTGTAAAAGTGCCAGGCTTTGGAATTTCTGGACCCGGTTTGGACATTGAAGGCCCGGATGCTAACATTGGAGGTGATGCTGGATTGTCCTTAAAGGGGGATTTGAAGCTGAAAAAAGGAAAAGAGGACAAGGAACTCAAAATAAAAGCAGACAAAGGCAAGAAAGTTAAACTCAAAGACAAATTTAGCAACTGGTTGCACAAGAAAGGCGACGTGGATATTGATGCCGATGTTGACCTACCAGATGCCGAGATTTCAACTCCTGACATCAAGATTAAAGATCCAAAAATCGACGCCAAAATGCCAGGTGTTGCCATATCTGGACCAAATGTTGACATTGGAAAAGCAGACCTTGGCGTCAAAGCCCCTAAAATTAAAGGTAAAGCACCAGACTTTGACGTCTCTGCAGACGCAGACTTTGGAATCAAAGGGCCTAAAATTGATGCTAAAATGCCTGGACTGGACGTTTCTGGACCACATTTTGATGCTCCTAAAGCAGACTTTGGAATTAAAGGCCCTAAGGTCGATGCTAAAATGCCAGGACTAGACATCTCTGGCCCACACTTTGACGCTCCAAAAGGTGATCTTGGAATCAAAGGTCCGAAAATCGATGCCAAACTGCCTGGCATGGATATCTCAGCACCACATATTGATACTCCAAAGGGAGACCTCGGAATCAAGGGACCTAAAATAGATGCTAAAATGCCTGGACTTGATATCTCTGCACCACACTTTGATGCCCCTAAAGCAGATCTGGGCATCAAGGGTCCCAAAATTGATGCCAAAATGCCTGGGGTGGACATCTCTGGACCACATTTCGATGCGCCCCATGCAGATTTTGGCATTAAAGGCCCTAAGGTGGATGCTAAAATGCCGGGACTAGACATATCCGCACCACACTTTGACGCTCCAAAAGGAGACCTCGGCATCAAAGGTCCGCAAATAGACGCTAAAATGCCTGGAATGGACGTTTCTGGACCACACTTTGACGCTCCAAAAGGAGACCTCGGCATCAAAGGGCCTAAAATAGATGCTAAGATGCCTGGAATAGACATTTCTGGACCACATGTTGATGCACCCAAAGCTGATTTTGGCATCAAAGGGCCCAAAATTGATGCTAAAATGCCTGGCCTTGACATCTCCGCCCCGCATTTCGATGCTCCAAAAGCAGATCTGGGAATTAAAGGTCTTAAGATGGATGCTAAAATGCCAGGACTTGATGTATCCGCGCCACACTTTGATGCTCCGAAAGGAGACCTTGGAATTAAAGGACCCAAAATTGATGCTAAAATGCCCGGAGTGGACATTTCCGGACCACATTTTGATGCACCTAAAGGAGACTTGGGCATTAAAGGCCCTAAACTCGATGCCAAGGCGCCCAATGTGGATATTTCAGGACCCGGTCTCAACATTTCTAAGCCCGACTTAAACTTTAACACACCATCCGTGGATGTGAGTTTGCCTAAAGGATCAATCGACATTGACAGTCACAAGAAAGGTGTAAAAGTGCCAGGCTTTGGAATTTCTGGACCCGGTTTGGACGTTGAAGGCCCGGATGCTAACATTGGAGGTGATGCTGGATTGTCCTTAAAGGGGGATTTGAAGCTGAAAAAAGGAAAAGAGGACAAGGAACTCAAAATAAAAGCAGACAAAGGCAAGAAAGTTAAACTCAAAGACAAATTTAGCAACTGGTTGCACAAGAAAGGCGACGTGGATATTGATGCCGATGTTGACCTACCAGATGCCGAGATTTCAACTCCTGACATCAAGATTAAAGATCCAAAAATCGACGCCAAAATGCCAGGTGTTGCCATATCTGGACCAAATGTTGACATTGGAAAAGCAGACCTTGGCGTCAAAGCCCCTAAAATTAAAGGTAAAGCACCAGACTTTGACGTCTCTGCAGACGCAGACTTTGGAATCAAAGGGCCTAAAATTGATGCTAAAATGCCTGGACTGGACGTTTCTGGACCACATTTTGATGCTCCTAAAGCAGACTTTGGAATTAAAGGCCCTAAGGTCGATGCTAAAATGCCAGGACTAGACATCTCTGGCCCACACTTTGACGCTCCAAAAGGTGATCTTGGAATCAAAGGTCCGAAAATCGATGCCAAACTGCCTGGCATGGATATCTCAGCACCACATATTGATACTCCAAAGGGAGACCTCGGAATCAAGGGACCTAAAATAGATGCTAAAATGCCTGGACTTGATATCTCTGCACCACACTTTGATGCCCCTAAAGCAGATCTTGGCATCAAGGGTCCCAAAATTGATGCCAAAATGCCTGGGGTGGACATATCTGGACCACATTTCGATGCGCCCCATGCAGATTTTGGCATTAAAGGCCCTAAGGTGGATGCTAAAATGCCGGGACTAGACATATCCGCACCACACTTTGACGCTCCAAAAGGAGACCTCGGCATCAAAGGTCCGAAAATAGACGCTAAAATGCCTGGAATGGACGTTTCTGGACCACACTTTGACGCTCCAAAAGGAGACCTCGGCATCAAAGGGCCTAAAATAGATGCTAAGATGCCTGGAATAGACATTTCTGGACCACATGTTGATGCACCCAAAGCTGATTTTGGCATCAAAGGGCCCAAAATTGATGCTAAAATGCCTGGCCTTGACATCTCCGCCCCGCATTTCGATGCTCCAAAAGCAGATCTGGGAATTAAAGGTCTTAAGATGGATGCTAAAATGCCAGGACTTGATGTATCCGCGCCACACTTTGATGCTCCGAAAGGAGACCTTGGAATTAAAGGACCCAAAATTGATGCTAAAATGCCCGGAGTGGACATTTCCGGACCACATTTTGATGCACCTAAAGGAGACTTGGGCATTAAAGGCCCTAAACTCGATGCCAAGGCGCCCAATGTGGATATTTCAGGACCCGGTCTCAACATTTCTAAGCCCGACTTAAACTTTAACACACCATCCGTGGATGTGAGTTTGCCTAAAGGATCAATCGACATTGACAGTCACAAGAAAGGCTTTGGAATTTCTGGACCCGGTTTGGACGTTGAAGGCCCGGATGCTAACATTGGAGGTGATGCTGGATTGTCCTTAAAGGGGGATTTGAAGCTGAAAAAAGGAAAAGAGGACAAGGAACTCAAAATAAAAGCAGACAAAGGCAAGAAAGTTAAACTCAAAGACAAATTTAGCAACTGGTTGCACAAGAAAGGCGACGTGGATATTGATGCCGATGTTGACCTACCAGATGCCGAGATTTCAACTCCTGACATCAAGATTAAAGATCCAAAAATCGACGCCAAAATGCCAGGTGTTGCCATATCTGGACCAAATGTTGACATTGGAAAAGCAGACCTTGGCGTCAAAGCCCCTAAAATTAAAGGTAAAGCACCAGACTTTGACGTCTCTGCAGACGCAGACTTTGGAATCAAAGGGCCTAAAATTGATGCTAAAATGCCTGGACTGGACGTTTCTGGACCACATTTTGATGCTCCTAAAGCAGACTTTGGAATTAAAGGCCCTAAGGTCGATGCTAAAATGCCAGGACTAGACATCTCTGGCCCACACTTTGACGCTCCAAAAGGTGATCTTAGAATCAAAGGTCCGAAAATCGATGCCAAACTGCCTGGCATGGATATCTCAGCACCACATATTGATACTCCAAAGGGAGACCTCGGAATCAAGGGACCTAAAATAGATGCTAAAATGCCTGGACTTGATATCTCTGCACCACACTTTGATGCCCCTAAAGCAGATCTGGGCATCAAGGGTCCCAAAATTGATGCCAAAATGCCTGGGGTGGACATCTCTGGACCACATTTCGATGCGCCCCATGCAGATTTTGGCATTAAAGGCCCTAAGGTGGATGCTAAAATGCCGGGACTAGACATATCCGCACCACACTTTGACGCTCCAAAAGGAGACCTCGGCATCAAAGGTCCGAAAATAGACGCTAAAATGCCTGGAATGGACGTTTCTGGACCACACTTTGACGCTCCAAAAGGAGACCTCGGCATCAAAGGGCCTAAAATAGATGCTAAGATGCCTGGAATAGACATTTCTGGACCACATGTTGATGCACCCAAAGCTGATTTTGGCATCAAAGGGCCCAAAATTGATGCTAAAATGCCTGGCCTTGACATCTCCGCCCCGCATTTCGATGCTCCAAAAGCAGATCTGGGAATTAAAGGTCTTAAGATGGATGCTAAAATGCCAGGACTTGATGTATCCGCGCCACACTTTGATGCTCCGAAAGGAGACCTTGGAATTAAAGGACCCAAAATTGATGCTAAAATGCCCGGAGTGGACATTTCCGGACCACATTTTGATGCACCTAAAGGAGACTTGGGCATTAAAGGCCCTAAACTCGATGCCAAGGCGCCCAATGTGGATATTTCAGGACCCGGTCTCAACATTTCTAAGCCCGACTTAAACTTTAACACACCATCCGTGGATGTGAGTTTGCCTAAAGGATCAATCGACATTGACAGTCACAAGAAAGGTGTAAAAGTGCCAGGCTTTGGAATTTCTGGACCCGGTTTGGACGTTGAAGGCCCGGATGCTAACATTGGAGGTGATGCTGGATTGTCCTTAAAGGGGGATTTGAAGCTGAAAAAAGGAAAAGAGGACAAGGAACTCAAAATAAAAGCAGACAAAGGCAAGAAAGTTAAACTCAAAGACAAATTTAGCAACTGGTTGCACAAGAAAGGCGACGTGGATATTGATGCCGATGTTGACCTACCAGATGCCGAGATTTCAACTCCTGACATCAAGATTAAAGATCCAAAAATCGACGCCAAAATGCCAGGTGTTGCCATATCTGGACCAAATGTTGACATTGGAAAAGCAGACCTTGGCGTCAAAGCCCCTAAAATTAAAGGTAAAGCACCAGACTTTGACGTCTCTGCAGACGCAGACTTTGGAATCAAAGGGCCTAAAATTGATGCTAAAATGCCTGGACTGGACGTTTCTGGACCACATTTTGATGCTCCTAAAGCAGACTTTGGAATTAAAGGCCCTAAGGTCGATGCTAAAATGCCAGGACTAGACATCTCTGGCCCACACTTTGACGCTCCAAAAGGTGATCTTGGAATCAAAGGTCCGAAAATCGATGCCAAACTGCCTGGCATGGATATCTCAGCACCACATATTGATACTCCAAAGGGAGACCTCGGAATCAAGGGACCTAAAATAGATGCTAAAATGCCTGGACTTGATATCTCTGCACCACACTTTGATGCCCCTAAAGCAGATCTTGGCATCAAGGGTCCCAAAATTGATGCCAAAATGCCTGGGGTGGACATCTCTGGACCACATTTCGATGCGCCCCATGCAGATTTTGGCATTAAAGGCCCTAAGGTGGATGCTAAAATGCCGGGACTAGACATATCCGCACCACACTTTGACGCTCCAAAAGGAGACCTCGGCATCAAAGGTCCGAAAATAGACGCTAAAATGCCTGGAATGGACATTTCTGGACCACACTTTGACGCTCCAAAAGGAGACCTCGGCATCAAAGGGCCTAAAATAGATGCTAAGATGCCTGGAATAGACATTTCTGGACCACATGTTGATGCACCCAAAGCTGATTTTGGCATCAAAGGGTCCAAAATTGATGCTAAAATGCCTGGCCTTGACATCTCCGCCCCGCATTTCGATGCTCCAAAAGCAGATCTGGGAATTAAAGGTCTTAAGATGGATGCTAAAATGCCAGGACTTGATGTATCCGCGCCACACTTTGATGCTCCGAAAGGAGACCTTGGAATTAAAGGACCCAAAATTGATGCTAAAATGCCCGGAGTGGACATTTCCGGACCACATTTTGATGCACCTAAAGGAGACTTGGGCATTAAAGGCCCTAAACTCGATGCCAAGGCGCCCAATGTGGATATTTCAGGACCCGGTCTCAACATTTCTAAGCCCGACTTAAACTTTAACACACCATCCGTGGATGTGAGTTTGCCTAAAGGATCAATCGACATTGACAGTCACAAGAAAGGTGTAAAAGTGCCAGGCTTTGGAATTTCTGGACCCGGTTTGGACGTTGAAGGCCCGGATGCTAACATTGGAGGTGATGCTGGATTGTCCTTAAAGGGGGATTTGAAGCTGAAAAAAGGAAAAGAGGACAAGGAACTCAAAATAAAAGCAGACAAAGGCAAGAAAGTTAAACTCAAAGACAAATTTAGCAACTGGTTGCACAAGAAAGGCGACGTGGATATTGATGCCGATGTTGACCTACCAGATGCCGAGATTTCAACTCCTGACATCAAGATTAAAGATCCAAAAATCGACGCCAAAATGCCAGGTGTTGCCATATCTGGACCAAATGTTGACATTGGAAAAGCAGACCTTGGCGTCAAAGCCCCTAAAATTAAAGGTAAAGCACCAGACTTTGACGTCTCTGCAGACGCAGACTTTGGAATCAAAGGGCCTAAAATTGATGCTAAAATGCCTGGACTGGACGTTTCTGGACCACATTTTGATGCTCCTAAAGCAGACTTTGGAATTAAAGGCCCTAAGGTCGATGCTAAAATGCCAGGACTAGACATCTCTGGCCCACACTTTGACGCTCCAAAAGGTGATCTTGGAATCAAAGGTCCGAAAATCGATGCCAAACTGCCTGGCATGGATATCTCAGCACCACATATTGATACTCCAAAGGGAGACCTCGGAATCAAGGGACCTAAAATAGATGCTAAAATGCCTGGACTTGATATCTCTGCACCACACTTTGATGCCCCTAAAGCAGATCTTGGCATCAAGGGTCCCAAAATTGATGCCAAAATGCCTGGGGTGGACATCTCTGGACCACATTTCGATGCCCCCCATGCAGATTTTGGCATTAAAGGCCCTAAGGTGGATGCTAAAATGCCGGGACTAGTCATATCCGCACCACACTTTGACGCTCCAAAAGGAGACCTCGGCATCAAAGGGCCTAAAATAGATGCTAAGATGCCTGGAATAGACATTTCTGGACCACATGTTGATGCACCCAAAGCTGATTTTGGCATCAAAGGGTCCAAAATTGATGCTAAAATGCCTGGCCTTGACATCTCCGCCCCGCATTTCGATGCTCCAAAAGCAGATCTGGGAATTAAAGGTCTTAAGATGGATGCTAAAATGCCAGGACTTGATGTATCCGCGCCACACTTTGATGCTCCGAAAGGAGACCTTGGAATTAAAGGACCCAAAATTGATGCTAAAATGCCCGGAGTGGACATTTCCGGACCACATTTTGATGCACCTAAAGGAGACTTGGGCATTAAAGGCCCTAAACTCGATGCCAAGGCGCCCAATGTGGATATTTCAGGACCCGGTCTCAACATTTCTAAGCCCGACTTAAACTTTAACACACCATCCGTGGATGTGAGTTTGCCTAAAGGATCAATCGACATTGACAGTCACAAGAAAGGTGTAAAAGTGCCAGGCTTTGGAATTTCTGGACCCGGTTTGGACGTTGAAGGCCCGGATGCTAACATTGGAGGTGATGCTGGATTGTCCTTAAAGGGGGATTTGAAGCTGAAAAAAGGAAAAGAGGACAAGGAACTCAAAATAAAAGCAGACAAAGGCAAGAAAGTTAAACTCAAAGACAAATTTAGCAACTGGTTGCACAAGAAAGGCGACGTGGATATTGATGCCGATGTTGACCTACCAGATGCCGAGATTTCAACTCCTGACATTCAAAGTCCGACATATAAAGGGTCATTAAAATTTGACAGTGATAAGCCCGATGTTAGATTGTCAACATCTGATATTAATATGCCAAAAGCAGAAGTGAATGTTAAAACTCCTAAAATAAAATCATCTAAAAAGGACAAAAACATGGATATTAAAACACCAGACGTTGAAATAGCTGCACCTGATATTAATATTCCAAAAGCAGAAATGAATGTTAAAACTCCTAAAATAAAATCATCTAAAAAGGACAAAAACATGGATATTAAAACTCCAGACGTTGAAATAGCTGCGCCCGATATTAATATTCCTAAAGCAGAAGTGAATGTTAAAACTCCTAAAATAAAATCATCTAAAAAGGACAAAAACATGGATATTAAAACACCAGACGTTGAAATAGCTGCGCCCGATATTAATATTCCTAAAGCAGAAGTGAATGTTAAAACTCCGAAAATTAAATCTTCCAAAAAAGACAAAAAATCACAAAAAATTGATGTCAAATCACCCGATCTTAACATTTCATCTCCTGATGTCAATATGAAACCAGGATGGGGAATTCAAGCATTGAAACCAAATGCTAAATCACTTCTACTGGGGGTCACAGCCCCTGGCATGGACCTCACAAAATCTGACATGGGCATTCAGGATCCTAGCATTACTGTAAAAACACCAAGTGTTCATGTGGATTCAAACATTGACAGTTCTGGAGTACAAGAGAATTTTGAGAGTAGTCAAAAGGAAATGGATTTCATGGTATGCCCTACACTGCAGGGGCCTTCTTCAAGAGATCCAACATCATTATCAGTGAAGTCTAATATAAGCCTGGATTTTGATGCCAGTGTTGAACCAATGCACGCAAAAGGTAATTTAGATCAACCAGCAATGCTGAGGGTTCAGTCGACTGGTAGTGACACGTCATCAGATGATGGAAGCCAGGCATCGTCTCCAGGCTTAAAAAAAATCAGCTTAGGCTCTCGACTTAAAAAGGCCATACTGAGAACAAAAAGCTCGGAGGAAGAAACTCAAATCAAACCATCGGTAGGTGTGCGAACATCACAAAGAAGTAACCAAGACACAGGCGATGATGGTTTTACAACTATTGCGGAATATCAGATTGGTGAGATAGAAGTATCCACTGCCAAGAAGGGTTAGTATATTTAAGTTAACATCTATATTCATTAAACAGGATAGAGAAAAATTTTAATATACAGCAGAATTTGTTGGAACTGTATGATTATTGTTATCTGCTCTAAACTATAATGGTACAACAAAATTAAATTAAAAATATAAAAATGTTACTAATTCTCCTCATAAATATACTAAATGAAATAGTCTTGCACTTAATGTAGAGTTGACAAAGAAGTAATTTCCTTTGGTAAATTAACATTAAATAAAAAGATAATTATACCTTGCGACCAAGATAAAATGCATTGACAATCATTATCACAATCTAACTAATAAATTTAATAAAAGTTTCTATTTTTCTTATAGGGCTGGTAAGTAGGTCACCAACCAGTTCTATGGCCCATGCAGGTTTTATTGAGCCGTAGAGCAGGTTGGTGACCTACTTACCAGCCCTATAAAAGATATGTCATATCCAATAAAATGAACATTTTGTTTTCTATTGCACAGAAGAATGGAGTACAGACCTTTAGAAGTGGAAGCCAGTTAATTGTTTGAAGATTATCTTGCAATGTCTTCACACAGTGGGACATAAATCAGGCAGTCTGCAAGTTGCATCATAAGACCAGCATTTCTCTAACCTTTTTTGGTGGTGTAGAGCTACATGAATACTGAAATGCACAATACGAACTGTTTTCACAGAAAAATAAAATGCCTGCTATTATTATCTCTAACCTTTAACAATATATGTTGGTATCAACAAAAGTTCACAAAATGATGAAATATTGGTTGGCATTTTAGGTACAAATTTAACAAAATTTTGTGCGGTCAGCACTCTTTCAACACTATTCGCTATACATATTTCATCTCTTTACCATAACTGACCTTGAGCATTGTATACTGATTTTATATCATGATCATAATTGACCACTAGTAGTATATACTCATTTAAGTTTCCTAAAAACCTCAATTCATATCATGGATTTAATTGGCCACTATATAATCGGCCTATATACTCATTTACATATCTTAAAACATCATTTCATTTGATGATTTCAATTGGCCACTAGTAGCATATACTCATGTTAAATTTTTTGTGATAAATTTCAAGCAGCCTTTTTATTGCTTTTTTAATTTATTTATAGACACCTCTATATAATGTATGTAAATAAAAAATAACATGTATTGAGCACTTTATTTAAGTAATTTGCCCATGTAAACTTTTCTAGCTTAGTCTACAAAAACCACCTTAGCCCGGTGAAGGGATGGTATATATTTTAGAGGTATTTCATAAACTATAATATGCATAATTTTTGTTAATGTATACGTGAGGAAACAAGGTAACGCTTTGGTGTATGGCATCACTTAAAATTCAATTTTCAGATATGACCATTTAAAAAAAACAACCTTTTATTCTTTTTAATTCTAAATTAAGGCTAGTATTTTTTTTATTTTTTGTTTCTTTTCAGAGTAGACCTAGATTAAGATTTCAAATAGGTCAAATCTACATGGCATAATTAATGAGTTGTTATTAATAAGAGTTGAAATTCATTATGGGTCAAACATTTGTAAATGCTGAAATTTGTGGATGAATGGACAGCCTATACTATTATATATGGGCCTATATAAATTATATATATGTAAATTTTGAATCAGTGTGTGAAAGACATTGGCAGTGTAACATTTGATCTGGTAAATTCTCATGGGGTAAAAAAATTCTATGAATTGCTCAACTTTTGAAGTTTTGTTTAGTTTTTCATCTGGCGTTTACAATAATTCTATACTTTTTTTTTAAAATTATTTTAAATTTCTCAAGTTTAGAGTACTTTTATTTAAATGTTAAAGAATTTTGCAGGCAAAGAAAAATTGAAATGAATAATATAGCATGAAAGTCGCTCCACAATAATATATTTTATGAAAAATTTATTATTTTCATTAACATTTTTTTATTTACTACTTATGGTTTGTAAAAAATTATCTTTTTCAAGCATCTGCATTTTTTTTTTACAATTTTAAACAGCCAATTAAATTTATAAAAAAATTGACTTGAAAATTAAAATGGCCAAGTCTTTTATTGAAGAGTTTATGAAACATATATTCTTTCAATCTGTATAGCTTTTATATTTGTTTTTTTTTATATTTACACTATTTTAAAAAGAAAGATGTATAGCTACTTAATTATTTAGTTATTGCTCAGTAGTGTTAGGATGGTGATTTGTAAATAGTGATTGTTTTAAAAACCACTGTTTTATAAGAAAGTGGAAAAGCTTGCTTGTCAATTCAACAATAAATGTACTTGCTAAAATTATAATGTTTATATTTTATTATATTTTAATAATATGATTATTCCTTGGTGATAATGTAGAATACAAAATATGTAACAAAATGAATAGTTTTTAGTATTTTTAAACTAAAAGCTTTTAGTAACAATTTAGTGAAATGTACCAAATGTAGATATGTTATTAGAATACTAAGTTTTAAAAAACTAAACCTTTTTAAAAATATTTGTACTGTAGCTGGTTGTTGATAAAAAAAAATATCTACTGCTATAATATGTTACGTTTTATTTTTATTGTTATTATTATTTTTTTCTAATTGAGTGAAAAAACAGTGAGGTCACAAATTTTCAATGTAGGTTTATAATGACTAGAATTAAACCTTTACAATGTTCAGTAAACTATAAAAAAAGTAATACAACTTCTTTAATACCATTTTAAAAGTGAGATATTTATCAATAAATATGAATATTGATATAATTTTTTTTTATCAGTCATCATTATTCATTATATTTATAATGCATTCTATAAAACATTAATTTTTCGTGATATGCTGGTCTTAGCTATTTTGAGTAGAATCTAGATACATTAAATTTATGCGGTTTACCGCAAATTAGAAAACCTAGTAAATTAAATATTTTAATTTTAGTATGTTTATGGGCTTAAACAATTTAGTACCATATAGATTTTTTATTCTGAATTTAGATACATGTCAACCAGAGTTTCTTCCAGGCAACTCTTTTTGGGGAGCCTCCCCCCCCCCCCCCCCCAGCCTTCGAAGAAAGTCTACCGCCCCCAAACAAAATGGAATTTATTAAGAAAATATATGGAAATTTTTAATCTACCCCACCCCCCCCCACCCCCAAAATTCCAAGTGCTCCCTTCCCCCCCCCCCCCTGGTGTCAACAATTCATATTATTCTTAATTATGATGCCACTCCCACTAAATGTAATTTGGTTAGGAAATTATAAAATACTAGACTATAAAAATACATATTGATCTAGATTTAGATCTATTGCATTGTGACACAGTGAAGCTGGGGAGGGCAGAAGTAACAAATAATTATAATAATATGAAAATAAATATTAATATTTTCATTATGAAATAAAAATACACAGTGACGGATATAGATCTATTATGTAGGCTATAGCTAAACTAATAGTTTGAATTTTAATGGCTTATTTATAGTCAGTCTTTCTCTTAGTTAAACAAAAAGTTTGAACAGAAATTTAAGAAAAACAGATCTAATGATTATTAGTCTATTATTATTTTATGTGGCTAAGAGAAAAAAGGTGATACTTTTTAAAAATTCTTCAAAAGAGAGTCAACTAGGACTACTAGCACTAGGACTCTAAATTTAACTACGGTCGCTAAGGAAGCGTCTTTTTTGTCTAGGGCTAACTAACTAAATAAATTAATGAATTAAAGATAATCAAAGTGTAAGCTACGTATGCAGTCCTCTGTAATGTGTGATTTTTACAGTGTGTGGCTAGAAAGTTGACTTGTGCTTCAAATATTGGGGCCTAGGATCTAGATCTAGTCTATGTACTTTACTTAAATTTAGAAAAGCGTGTGTTCATCCAACTTTTTGGAAACCAATATAAAAACAACTAAGCGACACAACTGGCCTATTTTAAGCAAGAGAGTAGTTATTCCGCTTGTTGTATTCCTTGAATTTTGTTTGTAATGTAGCAATTTCCAAATACAAATAGCATATTTTAACAATAAATCACATTTTAGTGGCAAAAACACTCCATCAAAATCTCAAGTCAATATCGGTATAAAGTATATAGCCTTTCTGCTCCTTTAATTTTAATGTTTTAAAATGTAATTATCTTCTACATAATAAAACAGCCTATTTTTTTACACGAAAATGTTAGTTGGCAGTTTTTATTTGAAATCGCTGAATAACTGCATTTAATACAACCAGATCTAAAACTGCGGTTGTTGTACAAACAGCGTTCTTTCAGCGTCTGAAAAAATGCGCAAAGTTGTGGACAATTTTATTTTCCTTTCTACACTCAGAGTTTCTTCCAAGCATGCTCTGCCCCGCACCTATCCAAAACTAAATGGAATTTATGATGAAAATATAGTGTGTATATATATATATATATATATATATATATATATATATATATATATATATATATAATTTATAATGAAAATATATACTTCTACAAGTGTCCGACCCCCCCCCCCCTACCCCGGAAATTTAGTCGTCCATCCCCCCCCCCCCCCCCCCCCCCGGAGAAAAACGTCTGAAAGAAACACTGTCCACACTGCTGTACGCTGGTTGTCGAAAAGAAAATCTTGTCTTTGAATTGAAAGATTAAATCAAGTTCTTCATGGACGTGAAAAGGAAACAAACTTTGGTAAACTTCAAAATCAACCTTGGGTATATCAAGTACGAAATTGGCGAAGAAAAAAGTTACGAAACTGTAAAGAGGGAGATGAATACGAAGTTGGAATAAATACAATTTTGAAATAGGAGATCACTGGATACCTTGATTTCGTTGAAAACAATCTCCAGCGTTACTTCCCTTAGCTCAGGGGTTTCCAAACTTTTCAGTCCGAGGGCCGCATTGACAATCAAATTTCAGTTCGGGGGCCTCGGGCAGATGAGGCTCGTTAGCTGGGGACAGCAACTCTTCTAGGAGAGACAACTTCAATATCAAACAACTGCTGCCTTGTAGTTTGTTCTTGGTTTAACAAATCCAAAAATAAAAGCAGGCTGAAATCGGAGTCAATGGCCTCAATGGCGCATAACTAGTTGACACGTATCCTTAATTGTGATGGAGGCGTGGCCGAGTCGGCAAAAGCTCATGGTTGATAAATTCGAAAAAGTCTCGAGTTCAACCCTCTGGCAGATAAGGCTCGATCCCTTCCAACACTAAAAATTAAGAACAAAGAAGAAGAGAAGTTCGGGGGCCAGTTTCTTCCAGGCATGTCTTTGATATTTCTGGGCAAAGTTCCTCAGCAATCACCGACAAACAATTTTTCCTCGGACAAAAAGATCTCCGCGGGCCGGATGAGAGGACTTCGCGGGCCGTAGTTTGGAGACCTCTGCCTTAGCTGAAAGAAGAAGAATTACTTTGCAACGTTTTCCATTCTCTGCTTTCCTCGATAGTTGATTATAGTCTACAGCTTTTCCGATGAATTACAAGAATAAATTGGCGGAACGATTCCTCGGCACGTAAGTCGTTTAATAAAAAATTGTTCCAACAATCCTGCTGCGGTACATAACATACATACCCTATTGTGACGATACTTGCCTTTTGCGTTTTAGTTCAACAGGTGTCTACATATCACTGGGAGGGCGGATTTTCAACTCATCTTCGTTTTACACCAAAAAAAATGTATTAAATGTTGAGAATGACATGGGCTCAGAGGCATAGCGACCACTCCCGGCGCCCGGGGACAAACTTTCAATTTGGCGCCCCCCCCCCCCCCCCCCATGTATTTTACAATTCAAAACGAGCTAAAATGAGCTTTTCATTTTTTTTTCTAACCCACTTTGGCTCCACTATGGTCGGCACCCGGGAACATATGCACCCCCCCCCTCGCCCCGTCGCTACGCCTCCCCATGGGCTGGGCTTTAACAAAAACTCTTCCACTAATTTTGAAGCTGGTTGATAACAATTAATAACATGTACTTTTTTTTAGCTATCGCATTAATTTATTAACGCATGTTGGGAGGAAAATATAATGTAAAAACTTTAGTCATCTTTTTCTATATTACATTATTGAAATGATTTTTAAAAAATTGTTTTAGGGACGTGAGTTCCGGGGCTTTTTTTACAAGAAGGGGTTACATAGGAATTAGAGAAAAATATCCCATGACAGGGAGGGGGGGGGACACCTCCCTGATAACTTCAGAAGGGTCACGGTGGAGGTTGTTAGAGTAAAATCTCCCAGGACAGTGGTGGGGGGAGGGAAACCTCACTGGCGGCTTTAGAAGGGTTAGGGTTGTTAGAAAAAAATCTCCCAGGACAGAGACCTTGAGATCTGGGTTCGAACCCCAGCAGGTGCGGTGGGAAATGTTAAAGATGGTTGCAACAAAAATATAAGCGGCGTGGTCTGATGCTAGAGAGTATGACCGCTAACCCGAAAGTCTCGTGTTTGGATCCCGGGCTCGAGTCTGTAGGACGTCACTGAGTCCACTCAGCTCTGATAGGTACCTGACTCACGTTATGGAAAGTAATGGCGGATGAGCATAGTGCTGACCAAACTTTCCCTTCATAAGCCGATGTCACATTAACAGGTGAAATCTACTCTACCTGCCTCATGATGGAAATGGTACTTTAACTAACCAGCTTCATTTATTTTTACTAAGGCTAACTTATATTTAATGAGTACAAACAAAAAGTAAACCATTTTGTTATTATACAATTTATTTTTGGACCATAGTTCATTAAAACACTTTTATCATCGTTGTTTGAAGGAGACCGCCTACCCTAATTTGGTGAATACCAAAGGAAGTGTATATAGTGAAGTGATGTAGATAGAAAACAATGTTTGACAATGATTGAGAGCAGTGTTTCTTCCAGACTTTTTTCTCCGGGGGGGCACTTAAACTTTTCGGGGGGGCGGTAGACTTTCTTCGGGGGGGCGGACACTGTTAAAAGTATATATTTTCTATATAAATTATATAAATTTCATTTCGTTCGGGGGGGGCGGTAAAAAATTTTCGGGGGGGGGGGGGCAAAGCCCCCCCGAAGAGATGCCTGGAAGAAACTCTGATTGAGAGCAAAATCTTAGGAAATTTTACAAATCTTTCATCTTACCAAAAGGGCGGAAAATGTTAGACAAAGGGAGTGTACTCGTATTTCATAAGACGGTCTAGAATCATGTAAGGGTTAGTTTTCATAATGTGTCGTAAAGCAGTTTTAAAATGTAGGGCCCTACTGCTTTAGAATACTTTTGTTTTCAATTTTAAAAATTTAGGACCCTACTGCTTTAGAATACTTTTGTTTTCAAGTTTTGCTAAACTCCTGCTTTTTAAAAAAATATTAAATGTTATAATATGAGGGGTGGTGATATTTGGAAAAGTTCTAAACATTTATTTATAAAACGTTCAGATCTAATCGTATTCGTATTTGTGCTGTATAGTAAGTACACAATTTCTAATTTAATTATTATAACCAATTAGACAACGATTAATGAAACACCTGACATTTTTAAATTATTTTTTACGGTACTTTTAAACTAACATTAAAATAACCCACTACTAATTCATAGATTAAATAGTTAACATCCACAGACAGATACAAGATTAATCAGACCAGTGCTTGACGCCGAGTGCATCTACATCTAACTTTGCTTGTAAAATGAGTTTGTCTTTACATTATCAAATTTATATTACCGCATATCTCGCGGCGCCCGCAAAAGGGGAGATAAGCGATAAAATAAAAGATACTCTGGGCGGAAAATCAAAGATGGCGTCATTAATGAATCCTAATGCTTATCTCGCGAGGTGGATGGTGTATCTGGTCAAAAAAAAAAAAAAAAGAAAAAAAAAACACATTCTAGCCTAAAATTAAGCGAACAGAGTTCCTCTGTTTTGAAGTGGTATGCAGACACGGAAAGATCCGGTCACCTTTAAACTGGCTATATGGGACGGTGTTGCAATAGAGAAGTGAAGATCGTGTTTTATAACTCGGGCTGCTGGGTTGAACAGGCGTCTGGTTTAACGGAGTCAGGTTAAACTGTGACGTGGTTGAACTGGGGGGGGGGGGGGGTCTTATTGAAGTGTAGATGGGTCGAACTGGGGGTCTTATTTAAGTATGGCTGGGTACAGTGTTACTTCCAGTCTTTTTCTCACGGGGGGGGGGGGGGGGGGGGGGGGGGGGGGGGTGGGGGGGGGGGGGGGGGGGGGCACTGGATGGGTCGAACTGGGGGTTTGGTTAAACTTACAGTTGAACTCACTGGATAGCATTGCGTGCCTTGTTAACTGTAGGTAGGTTGAATTACGGTCTCGTTTAACTGTGGGTTTGGTTTAACTGTGCAGTGGTTGAACCGACGGCTGTTAACCAGGGTGTACTTCATTAAAGGTGTGGCTGACTCGTAATGAAGTTAAACTGGTGAGAGTTTAACTCAGATGGAGTTGAACTGAGCTGTCGCTAAACTGGAGGCTAGGGTTCTAGGCAAAGTTTCTTCCAGGCATCTCATCTCTGCCCCCCCCCCCCCCCCCCCCCGAGAAAAAAAGTCTGAAAGAAACGCTGGTTCTAGGTCCTGAGTAATCCGCGACCTCGTAGTACTAAACGGGGTTTCTTTCAGAATTGTTTTCTCTTGGAACGACGGGAGACACTTGAAACTTTCGGTGAGGGACGGACTAAATACTCCCGGGGGGGTATATTTATTTTTTATTTAAATTTCATTTCGTTCGGGTGTGGGCGGTAGACATGCTTCGTGGGGAGGGGGGGGGATTCCCGAAAGAAACACTGGTACTAAGTGCTTATTTAACTCGTTGGTGGTTTAACAAGGATCGTGTTTAACCGCCCCCGTTATATCCAACACCGGGCGGCGGTGGTTACACAGGTTTAAAATTAAGAGGCGCCAAGACTCGCTTTAAACATGGCCGACTCTGGCGATAAAATGTCCATCTATCAAAGCGGAGGAAGAGCCGAGGGCTCTGTCGGGGTGTGGTGTGATAAGGACGACATGAGGAGATGGGGTGAGACAGATTATTCACTCAGGGCTTGCGTTCTCTTATAAATTTCGAACATATTTTTTTTTCTATTTTAGGATGTACTCGAAGAGATTAGCCAATCTGTTCCAGCGATTTGCCGATGACGTCATAAGCTGCACCTCTTTTTATTTTTTATTTTTATTTTTATTTCTTGGCGGCAAATCAACTGGGTAGATTTTAAAACGATCATCTCAGAATGGCATTGGGTTTTCGGGTTTATCACGCTGTTTCTGATATTTGGACGCAAGGTCGCCTCGCGCTGTCGTGAGTTTATGTGCCAAAAATAAAGGTGGGAGGTGGTTGTTGATGGCAGGAGATTATGGCGCGGGAAGATGTTCATTGAAATTGATATTCGAATGTAAACGGGAGAGGAGCCAACGATGTTTATCTTATTATCTTTACCAAGATTTATATATATATATATATATATATATATATATATATATATATATTATTATATATGTATATATGTATATATATATATAATTTATTTATTTATTTACTTATAACTAATTATTATCTTGACAAAGATTTTAATATATATAGACATATTTTAAATAGTATATGTGTGTGAATATATATGTATATATATATATATATATATATATATATATATGTGTGTGTGTGTGTGTAAAAAAAATTAATATATGTGTGTCTGTGTGTGTGTGATATAGTATATACGATTGTATGTATTTGTGTCGTATTTGCTGGAGCGATGTAGATGTTCAGTATGCCACGCGGATGTGGGTTTATTGAACAAATAGTGTCCGCTGTTTTTTGTATGTTCTGTTGTTTTTAAAATTCTCTTTTTAATTTTTTTTTATCTAAAAATGTTTCTATATTTATATATTGAAGACAACGACCTTTTTTTTAAATTACTTTTTGGACCGGCATCACACCCAGAACATTCAAGCACAGCATCTTCAAAAGTACACTGTACGATCGCAGTCCTCGGCAGTCAATGTCATGCCATCTGTGTTTGTTGTGATATACATGTTCCATTCCCGGAAATTGCAATGACAATCAGATACAATGGCTATCATAGCAATCATACATGTTTTAACCATCCCCCCTCTTCACCTGTATTCACTTGCGTTTTCAATGACCAACAGCTACCGGTGTCACCATTTCTGCACTCACAGTTACCCGCATACCCAATAGCTGGCATTCGCCTCAACCGGCAACAGTCGCCGGCGGCAGCAACCGGATCCGGCAGTCCGCTGCGATTCCCAGTCGCCCACATTCGCCGTCACTGTCATGAGGAAATCCGATAAACCTGTCAGATTCATAACCCCCCAGAACTCAAACCTTAACCCCCCAGAACTCAAACCTTAACCCCCCAGAACTCAAACCTTAACCCCCCAGAACTCAAACCTTAACCCCCCAGAACTCAAACCATAACCCCCCCCCCCCCCCAGAACTCAAACCTTAACCACACAGAACTCAAACCTTAACCCCCCAGAACTCAAACCTTAACCCCCCAGAACTCAAACCTTAACCCCCCAGAACTCAAACCTTAACCACCCAGAACTCAAACCTTAACCCCCCCCCCCCCCCAGAACTCAAACCTTAACCACCCAGAACTCAAACCTTAACCCCCCCCCCCCCCCAGAACTCAAACCTTAACCACCCAGAACTCAAACCTTAACCCCCCAGAACTCAAACCTTAACCCCCCAGAACTCAAACCTTAAGCACCCAGAACTCAAACCTTAACCCCCCCCCCCCCCCCCAGAACTCAAACCTTAACCCCCCAGAACTCAAACCTTAACCCCCCAGAACTCAAACCTTAACCCCCCAGAACTCAAACCATAACCCCCCAGAACTCAAACCTTAACCCCCAACAAACCGAGCCAGGTTTAGATCAGAACAGCGCGGGGGCCTGTTATCCGTTTTACCTCCGATGACATCACGCCTCGTGTGGGCGCGCGCGGTTCCCCCGAGGTACCTGTACGAGGATGAGCAGTGAACGGTGCGTGTAGACTCACGTCAGAGGATGACAAAAACATGTCGGATTAAAAACACGCACCCGGGATTAGACAGGTAAGCGAACGTTTTCAGTTAGAACGTGTCCGTGGGTTTAAAATCTAATTACATTTTAAATCACGTGCGTGGTGTAATTAATTTATTATTGTGGTGGTTATTGATAGATTTATTGGATGTACTGCTAGATAGATTAGTTGCACTGCTCGATTGATTGGATGTACTGTATACGCTGTACTCTTGAAATGTATTGCTTGTACTCTTAGCTATATAAGGGTACTTTTAACCAACGTAAGTGTACTATTTTATTTTTCGTTGTTTTTTTTTTCAAACGAAGATCTATTGTTAACAAATTTCCTACTCTTTTTTCAAACGAATATTGTTTTATTCTTTTTTAATTGCATGTAAATATGTACTATAAAATTAAACTTTAAACTATTATTATTTTATTTCATGCTGATATAGTTGTATAAATTTACAGTGTTAAGTTTTTTATGGCTTAGTGTGGTAAACATGTACTTCTGAAGACTATGGCACAAATTATGTTAAATATTTCTAGTTATGATTTACAATTTTTAAACTAGCATACAATATGTATCATACCGGTGCGCCAAAAATAACAAGCTCAGAAACTCAAACTTAGTCCAAGTATTTTTAGTATCAGTTCAGACCCGACCGTCCTTGACATTGAGCTCATCTTTGACCTCCGAGCTGCGGTGTCGTCCTACCGGGATCCAGTATCCGAACTCGCGACTTCCGGGGTAGTAAGTGAGTGCTCTACCGCTCTACCCAGCCGTCCTATAAAGGTTACTAAGGTCCATCATTAGTTATACAAAAACGATAATCGCCAAATTTAGATTATTGGACTGCATAGGGACAGTACACATATTATATAACACATATTTCTATTGAGCACCAACCCAATATTATGTAATATTCCATTCACCACCAAATCAATATTATATAACATTCCATGCACCGCCAACCCAATATTATGTAACATTCCATTTACCACCAACCCAATATTATGTAACATTCCATTTACCACCAACCCAATATTATGTAACATTCCATTTACCTCCAACCCAATATTATGTAACATTCCTTTCACCACCAACCCAATATTATATAACATTCCATGCACCGCCAACCCAATATTATGTAACACTCCATTCACCACCAACCCAAAATTATGTAACATTCCATTCACCTCCAACCCAATATTATGTAACATTCCCAAATACCTAGCCGCCACCTCCAACACAAAACATTTTTTTTTTTAAATCAATAACATTATTTTTGAAAAGAATTTGAGTCTAAACTAGTCACAAAAGTGATACATATAAACCAGTCATAAAATGTATTAAGAACGGATTCATGAAATACCATGCCATAATTATAAAAATTAAAAAAAAAAACTTTATGTATATATTTCTGTTAGAATAATAGTTTATATATTTAATAAGTCATTATTTATGTCTACCCGTAATACTTAGCAATAAATTTGTCGGTTTAAAGTTGATTTGAAAATGTATCGCAGCAAAATTGGTACTTAAAAATAGCCGTCCTAAAATGGTTTGTAAATAAAGCTGTGAGTAAATAGTTAGTAAATATAATATAATCTATCTGTGATAAAATGGTTAGTAAATAAAACATAGCTTTAATAAAACGGTGAGTTAATTTAATCTATCTGTGATAAAATGGTTAGTGAATATAAAATATATGTGATAAAATGGTTTTTGAAATACTAAAGGTCTTTATCAAGTGAAGCTTAGGGCCTAGTATTGTGGTAAGTAAATGGTCCTGCACTTTAGAGGTTAGTAAATGGACTAAAATGGTTGGCAAAGGACACCAAAGTGGTTGGTATATGACATTAAAGTGGTTGGTAAATCGATTAAAATGGTTAGTAAATGACAGTAAAGTGGTTGGTAAATGACACTTAAGTAAAGTGGTTGGTAAATGACACTTAAGTAAAGTGGTTGGTAAATGACACTTAAGTAAAGTGGTTGGCAAATGTACTGATGTGGTTGGTAAACGACACTAAAGTGGTTGGTAAATGACACTAAAGTGGTTGGTAAATGACACTAAAGTGGTTGGTAAATGTACTGATGTGGTTGGCAAATGACGCTAAAGTGGTTGGTAAATGACACTAAAGTGGTCATTAAATATACTGATGTGGTTGGTAAATTACACTAAAGTGGTTGTTTAATGTACTGAAGTGGTTAGTAGGACTACATGACACCAAAGTTGCTGACAAATGACATTAAAGTGGTTGGTAAATGACACTATAATTGTATGTAAATGACACTGAATTGGTTGAAAGTGCCTGGTAAATGACACTAAAATGGTTGAAAGTGGATGGTAAATGACACTAAAGTGGTTGGTAAAGTGTACCAAAGTGGTTGTTTTAAAGTGCTCTAAAGTGGTTGGTAAAGTGTTCTCAAGTGATTGCTATACTGCACTAACGTGGACTTCATTGTGTAGCACAGTACTGCAAGACACTGTGAATAAAAGAAACTGCACCCGACCTGTGCATACATATTCCACATACATAACAACGGTTCCCATACCAGAGTGAGCACAATGTAGGTCACGAAAAGCATGTAGGTCACATGAAAATGTGAGGCAGGTACACACTCCATTCACCGCTCAAGACACCGTGTTAGATTTGTGCTATTTTAGTTCTGCTGATGAAAGATTTGAAATCAAATGTTAACGAAAGTAGATATCTATGATAACTCGTGTACTGCTGGTAGATGGGTGAGAGATGTTTACGGTGAGGTTCGCTGTTTTATACAGATTCTCTATGCCAGGTAATACATCTATGGTATGTTGTAATACGTAATTATGTACGAAATTTTTAAATAGAATATTTTAAATACATTAGGTAAAGATTACTTGTTAGGTTGTTAAATCGTGGGAGCTTCATGTTGTTTTTATTTTAATGAAAGCTGTTAAGTTTCAATTAAAAATTGAGAACTCTAAACTAGTGGTATGTATCGCTGTTGAAGTAAAGTCCAACTTTTTCTGAGACCTCGGCGTGTAAAGGGATAATAGGGGTCACATTTATGCTCAGGCTCAACTTCCAGGTACCCATTCGAGCTGGGTGGACTCAGAGACGTCCCGTGGAATCAAGTCCGGGAATCGAACACAGACTAGCGGGTTAGAAGTCGTGTGCTCATCCTTTAACCATCAGATGCCAGAACTGTACAGAAAGAAAAAGTTGAGAGAAGTAAACGATTGCACTGGGAGAAAATCGGAGAAGAAAATGGTTGCATTGAGAGAAAATCAGAGAAGAAAATGGTTGCACTGGGAGAAAATCACCATGGCTGTACTGGGAGATTAAGTAGAAAATCAGAATTCAATTCGACCACGATATCCTATTCAAGCAAACCAATGTCCGTAGCCAAACAAGCATTAAATTAGCGCTCTTTGATGCAAAAAGCAACAAACGGATTCAATGCAGGTTCATCAAATATTTTGTAGAAAGCTCTGCCTGTCCGTCCATCTTGAATCTTTACAACAAATTAACGAGCGACTTTTCATGTCCCGGTCAGGGAGATATCACACTTTCTTTTAAGTGGAGAACTAGAAACAGAAGAAGACCCATTAGAAAGATAAATGTACGATTTGAATATAGTCTGGAACAGTGCCTTGATAACCTAGTTAAAAGACCATCACGGCTACAGGATGGTGTGTGGTGAGGGAAGGGGTGGGGGGTTATGGGTGCCTTACCAACCCAAAATCTGACTGTAAAATCCAAGAATAGAAACGGGTATGGCGAGATAGAAAAATAAACAGGAAGAACAGTCAAGAGACGCGGAGAAAATATTATCTAAAGGCAGAGTCACGCGGTAGATATCAGCTGCACATGCGCAATAGACTGGTACTCTGAGGTCGGTCTTTTCAACCACGTGATGTTACAACACGTGACCTGTGATGCCAAACGACGACAGATGGTAGCAAAGTTAGCGACGATGGTGTGAATAAATGAAGTGAATAAGGTGTTGATGAGTGAAGTTTTAGTGAAGATGATGTTAATAATTTTAGTTTAAAAAAATATAACGTTCATCTGATGATAAAATTTAAAACCGATGTTATAAAAATTAAGAGCAGTTGATTTTAATGAATTTGATGTTAACTATTTTAATTTCGCAGATTGTATTGCTTTTACCAGTGGCGTAGCCAGGAATAGGTCATGGGAGGGGTTCAAATATTTTTCCATATGTATAAAATCATATATATATATATATATATATATATATATATATATATATATATATATAGGGGTGTAAGTCCATTGGAGGGGTTATAACCCCCCCTAACCCCCCCCCCCCCTTGCCTACGTCACTGGCTTTTACTATGTAAAAGTATAATTGCCTCTGCTAAAGTTTATCACAAAAGTTTGGATTACAGGAGGTTGTTGCCCCTTAATTTAACTCAACAGGAAATTAATTACAAATGTTGATGTTGATTACGCTGATATGCATCTGTGTAGTTTGAGTGTTTGTTTTTTTTCTACTCTGACTTCAAAGCGAATAAGATTTCCGTATGCTCGACACTCCGCTAGTTTGATTTTAATTAGGCATCAAACATAAAAGTTTTGTTGAGAATTATTATAATAATAATATAGTCTACAAAGTACTCTTCTCTATACACATTCACATACACGGATGCACGCTCTCACTTTGATCTTTACTCACCAACGTTTAATTAAACTTGATAAGCCATACCCCACCAGGAAACTCGTTAATTTACCCCGCCCGTAATTCCCCTCCCCACTGATGTAACCACGTCTTCCCTCTGACTTTTGACCCTTACACTGCAACAAATTACCTCCTTCATAAACATCCCTGTCAGTGTTTCTATAATCTAATTTCGACACAAAAGCCTAGCCCCTCCTTCCCCCTCTCCCTTCTCGCCCGTGTTTTTCTTTAAGATATTATTATAGTCAGCACTACATGAACAAGTTAGATCTAGTGCTTTCCCTTGGATGTAACATAGGAAGTTCCGCGCAGGCGGATGTCGGGCTATTTTTAGTAACACCACCGTTTGATCCACCCTACCTGTTGGTTGATGTGAGTCATGCGCTGCCGTCTGCTTATATCGCTGACAGACTTGTTTTTTTTTTCTTGTAAAATAAACGCTGCCAGACGAAATTTTATCAACTTGCAAATATCTTTGAGGTATTTTTGTATCCTTTTAGTTTATACTACCTGCCTGTGTGTTGTTACTAGTTAGTTTTTGCGTTTAGGAAGGATTAAGCTTGCTTATGGATCATATCCTAGATGCCTAATTACCCAGGGGTTGGGGGCGCGTGAATATTATATCACAAGGATTTTAATTATAGTTTTAGATTTAGGAAACATTTCTGCACCTCTAAAATGTGGATCCCCAGGCTAGAGCCCTATCAGCCTCGTCCTTTATCCACCACTGCTTTAAGTTTTCTTTTCTGGTGTAGATTGGTTTACAAAAAAAAAAAAAAATGTAGACAAAATAACAAAACACTTTTTTCCAATGGCAATACAAATGTGAAAGCTCTGCATAAATATTACCTTGTTTCAAGACATGTTTTTGCACAAATATTTTTTAAAAAGTTTCTTTATTAAGTTCAACGACTTGAAGTTTTACAGATAAAAATGAGGTAATGGGTTTTTTTAACTCAAAGCAAGGGAAATCACTCGAGATGCTTTTTACAAAAAAAAAAAGTTATTGGTCTTAATTCTTCTTCTAATGTTTTTAACTCTTACTATTGCAGTTGTTAGTCATTTGGTATGACTGATGGCGCGATTTGCGGAAATGACTGGGCAACACCTGGGCCAACCGCCACCACCACCTCACCCATCAACCACGTTTCATCACTAAATTACCAGAGCAGAAACTACCTCAAACTTACCTGTGCATATCACTGTATTAAAAACCCCGATACTAGCTGTAAGATTAGACCATTTCAACATCCCACGCCATGAGCCTTACATCTATAACACCAGGCATTTCCTTACATCTATAACACCAGGCAGTTCGCGGTTATCTGTAGCTTGGAGCGCTGGTCTCTTCAAAAAACACCTGACTGCGTGCTGCAGAAAGATCTCTAAGAAACTAGTTATTCCGTTTTCCTATGAAATGGTTTAGTATAATTCAGAATCTTACCCCATTCCCCATAAAATAAGACTCAACACTGCTCCTTCAAACTTGAGAAACATAATTATCCCCTTCAGTGGCGTAGCCAGGAATCGGTCAAGGGAGGGGTTCAAACATGTTTCCATATTATACAATCATATATATATATATATATATATATATATATAACTATATAGAAATATATATATATATATATATATATATATATATATATATATATATATATATATATATATATATATATATATATATATATATATATATATAGGGGTCCATTGGAGGGGTTAAAACCCCACTAACCCCCCCCCCCCTTGCCTACGCCACTGATCCCATTAACAGTGGAGTAGGCAAGGGGGTTAGGGGGTCATAACCCCCCCATAGACCCCTCGGTATATATATAAAGTATGAGGGGGGTGCAAATCGAAAGTTTGAGGGGTGGGTGCAAATCGAAAGCTTGTGGGGGGGGGTTGCAAATCGAAAGTTTGAGAGGGGTGGAAATCGAAAGTTTGAGGGGGGTGCAAATCGAAAGTTTGAGGGGGGTGCAAATCAAAAGTCTGATGGGGGTGCAAATCGAAAGTTTGTCCCCGGGTAAAAATTGGAAACCCCCCCCCTTCTTGAGACGATCCTGGCAGGACAGTGGCAGAGTGGTAGAGCACTCGATTACTAATACGTAAGACTAGAGTTCGTAGGGTCTCTGAATCAACCCAGCTCTGGTGAGTACCTGATTCACGTTGACTAGGTTTAGTTATGGCTGCTCTATTTCATCACATACCGAGGGGAAAAAACAGATGAACTCTACTTCATCTATCCGGTGGACAGTCTTGTCTGAAATGTTACTTTTCCTTGTTCACAACACTATGTTGCACCGTGCTCTTATTATAGAAAACGAAATATTACACTGTAACTACCTGACACTGTGTAATATTATATATTACATTCCACAGACACCCTCCCTCTCCGCGTCATATTACATAACTTTAAACCATAATTGTAATTAACAGAATTAATGAATCATGATGTAAAGTGCACGCATAAAAATGATACATTAACGTCACTTCTGCAAGGCGCCAGTTTACGTAATTTAAAAAAAAAATACCAGTTAAAATTGCTGAAGTTTCTTCCTGATTCAGCTAGATGCAAGTAGCCTACTGTTCGCACGTTACACTAACTTTAGAACATGTTTTCTGATCGTGTACGTCTACTGGTAGAATGAATGTTTAACTCTAATGTGTCACTTTACTCATCAAATCATTTTCACTTGATTTTCTTGGTAGACCAGTGGCTCTGTACCCTCGTAGTAAAACTGTTAGTCTAATTATTTAAATGAAGTCTAATTAAATACATCTATAGATCTATTTTTTTTTAAGTTATTCACTTTTTTCTAAGTTTTTTTAAGTTAATGTATATTAAAGAGAACGCCAAAAAAATGAAAAATTATATCTGATTACGAATATTACAATTTAAATTTATTTTCCAATATTGAGTTGTTTGCTGTTAAATATCATGGTTATTTTTTTTATGTACAACATTTCTATTCTTGAAATTGCTTTTTAAAAAAAAAAACAGAATTTTTTTTTAGATGGGACTGGTCATCTGGTACTCAATTGTCTTAAAACAATTATCAACTTTAAAATAAATTGTACATCGTGTGAGACTTTTCAGTGTAAAAACTTAGCCACAAAAAAATGTCATTTAATTCAATAAACAAAATTACCAGACATTAATGTTTTGTTATCACCTTGGACCAGTGGCTTAGCGAGGTCGGGTGTCACCCGGTGCGGCACTTAATGGTGTCACCCCCCAGAGGCCTAGCGACCCTTCCAGGGGACAAACTTTCAAACTTTCGATTTGCACCCCCCCCTCAAGTTTTTCTCTATATATTTTGCTCTTTTTTGCCTTGGTGTCACCCCCCTAAATGGTGTCACCCGGTGCGGTCCGCACCCCCCTCCCCCCCTCGCTACGCCTCTGCCTTGGACCACTATAGTATATTGTTATTATCTTCCATTGTTGATCTTATAATGCTATTCTCACGACTCAGCCCAATTGTTGTTTAACACCTATTTTTTTTCTCTCTTCAGTATCATCCTGGAGTCTTGCTGACGACAATGGCATCGGTTAATTCTTTCCGCTTGAATGCTTTATCACTCAGAAGTTCCGGTCCAAACAGAAACACCGACCTCACCTCTATAAACACCTTTACACCGTACATCTTCTAGACCAATTTTTTTTTAGTAACACCCTGCGGTCCCTGACTCCAAAATGGCGACCGGAACTCGTTTGATGGAGGAGATTAGTAATCAATTCCTCAACTGTAAGATTTGCCTGGAGAACTTTCAGGAGCCGAAGACGTTGTCCTGCCTGCACACGTTTTGCTGTGAGTGCCTACAGAAACAGTACGAGGAGGAGACCGTGAGCCGGACTTCGAGGTTTTCCATCTACAACAGAAACGTCACCTGCCCACTGTGCCGGAAAAAAACGGAGCTGCCGACTGGGGGCGTCCGGCGACTTCCGGACAACTTTCTCGTGTCCAGCCTGACGCAAGTAGTAGCTAAACGGTAACTTTACTACATCTTGATCTCCACTAGTACATAGATCTAGTAATGTTTGCTTCCGATTGATAGGATAATGCACTCTGTTGAGCTTACAATAGGTAAGATATATGCAACGAGCCGGCCCGCGGCATAACATACGCCGCTATTTAGTTGTTGTTTTTTCTACTTTTCAGTAATTCACAATTTGTGAATTCGACAGTACCAACGCTGACACTGAAAATATTTCTTTAAAACACTATAAGTAGCTCGTTAAGGACCATATAGATGGGTCGTCCATTGATGGCGTTACATTCCTGGGGTCGGATGGCTGTTCCAACTTTGATTATGATGTTTGACAAATGGGGGAAAGGGGGTAAAAAGTATGAGGTCACGTTTGTGTATTTTAAAATGTAATAATTTGAACAACTTTTTCAATTATTTTTTAAATTGAGGGAGTAGGGGTGATAGACTTTTTTTCGCTTCAATGTGACCTACTTTAGACTTAAGAAGAATCCGCCTTTTAGTGACGATGTGCGACGTTCTGAAAGAGGGAGTAAAACTATTTTAAAATCATGACATCATTCATGGACTACCATGTGAACAGCGATATATTTTTTTAATGTGATGAAAGAGTTGTTGGGCCAGTTGAAACACTAAAACTTTAACATAAATTTAACTCAAAAGTCTTTTAAATCGTAAAAGAATACAAAAGGTTTAGCTCTTGTTATATGTATTATTTTAATCTGTTCCTGGTTGTTGTGTAGCCTTGTAAAATTTTGAAATATTTATTGAATCAGGAAAGTTCTTAGAAAGTATCAGATATCGACATTTTTTAAAAAAATTAGTTTAGAAGGAAATCAATCCTTTAATTTACAAACCTGCATTTTTAAGATGGGGGGGGGGGGGGGGGTAGGCTGCGTTGTTATGTCATTTAGGGAGGGGGGGGGCTAGCTATTTGTGACGAAGTGTGACTATGTAGAAGGGGGCAGGTAAAATATCATTTTAAAAAGAGTGATGTCGTTTAACAATAACCCCCATTATCCGGCTATCGTTTTGTAAATGCATGTGGTTGTTTATATATCTTGCTCGTGTAAACTAGAGTAAGTTTGCAACCCAAGCTCCGGTCCACATCCCGAGAAAGTATCGCATCGTCTGAAGGTCCATAACACAGAAATTCCTCTTCCGGTTCGTTCGGCACCGCGCTGTTTCTATTTTTAACTTTCACTACATTTTGAACTTCCGGGAACAATAGAGGTTACATCCCCTTGCATGTGTGTACAGTAGCAGCAAATTCGGAGTCCTCCCCGGACGCGAGTCGTGTTGCGACGCCGAAGACGCCTAGCTCAGTCGGAAATGTGTAGAATAAACTTAGTCGCCGTTGGTGCCGGAGAAACATCGTGCTGAAGCTGATACCGGCAGTGAGAAGGAAGTCGACCTACACCTATGGAGCTCATAGACTTCGCTGGCGGGGAAAAAATAGGGTTTCGCGCTATAAACTGGTGATCTTTTGTTGTTAGGGAATTCGGGGTCAAGGTCTGACTGCTTTATTGCAGATGTCGCGCTAATCAGGGACCCCTAAAACAGGAATGCTTGATGTGTGGGCTGTTGTGGGGTTGTTTTTTTTTTTTCAGCAGATGGTTTACCTTTCATTTTATTTTTTGTCGTAAAGGTCTTGTGGTATCTGGAGTTTGTTTATTCGGCGTGTCTTGTGTCTTGATTTATTCTGCAGCGCGTGGTGTTAGGCTACACGCTACAGAATATAATAGATCGCTACATTAAGCCTACATTATAGCCTACCGTTTCCTATATCTTTGCCTATATCGTTGCTTTCAATCGTACCCTACATCGCTACATTACAATAATTACATCTTATTTTTTATTGTTCCTTTACATCGTAACCTTTATCGTTGCATTACATCCTTTATCGTTGCATTACATTTTATCGTTACATTATACTGTAACTTTTTCGGTACATTATATCGAATTTTTATCCTTACATTAGATCGTAACTTTTATCGTTACATTACATCGTAAATTATCATTACATTACTTTGTAACGTTTTCATTACATTATATATTTATATCCTCACGTTACATTGCAGCTTATAGCGTGACGTTACTTAGATAGAGGGTCTATTCTAGCTACATAGCTGGCACTACATTTAGCGTATCAAATTATTAACATATCAAATACAGACATTGTCGGATACTACATGTGACTCACTACACTAATTGTATACCGTAGTTGCTTGAATATTTCAAAATATTTTCACTCGAAAGATTGCCGTCTATATTTCGAATATTTTATGATGATTTTGACGGCACCTAACTCTAATGCATTAATTTATTATTTTAAAGTGACGTTACGGTCGTGTTAACCTTTCATTTATTTATGTTTTTTTTCTTCTTTCACAAGTTTTATCATCTAAATTTGTTAATCTGTCAGTTATAGAATTAAAAATAGCGCTTATAGCGCCTGGTAAAAATAAAACTGTGGGTGTAATCGGTGGCGTCTGGGCTTTTTAAAAAAAAATAATCGACGGTGTCTATTTTTAAAATAATCGGCGGTGTCTATTTTTTAAATAATCGGCGGTGTCTATTTTTTAAATAATCGGCGGTGTCTATTTTTAAAATAATCGGCGGTGTCTATTTTTAAAATAATCGGCGGTGTCTATTTTTAAAATAATCTGCGGTGTCTATTTTTTAAATAATCGGCTGTGTCTATTTTCTATAATAATCCCCGGTGTCTATTTTAAAATAATTTCCTTTTTATTTCCATGCTGCGACTGTGGCAGAACTTCCGTGTAGATTAAAATCACGCGGGGCTCGGAGTTATCCTGGTTACCCTCCGACAGAACGGAAGTCTAAAGTTGGTTGTGATCTGGTGTCTGCCATCTGCTCTCTGTGGGCGCTGCGTGTGTTGGTCTGCCCTTTGCTACATTCACTGCCACCGTAGCGCCAGGGTTATTTTTAGCCCCGCTTCTACTTCTCACATCCGCAATCCAGTGCTCTGGCACCATTTCAACGTTTGTCTCCCTCTCCTGTTGTTGTTGTTGTTGCTTTATCGGAGTTCTCTTTACACCCCCACGCCAGAAAGCAGGAGATCCTTATCAAGGGTAAAGAGCAGACTTTGCCATTTAGTAGTGTGGATTTCACCAGGGTTTAAGTGTACTTAACTTTGCCACTTGACTAGACGGGTAGATAACCGTAATAAAACACACAAGTAACCAAGTAGAGCACTTGTTATCTCGCTTAAAAACAACAACCAAGCAATTATTATAGATAAATATATATACGCCTATACATATACATATACATATATATATATATATATATATATATATATATATATATATATATATATATATATATACACGGTGACAGGACAAATGATCTCAGGACAAATGATCTCAGACAAAATATCTCAGACAAAATATCTCACGGACAAATGATCTCAGGACAAATGATCTCAGGACAAATGATCTCAAGGACAAATGATCTCAGGACAAATGATCTCAAGGACAAATGATCTCACGGACAAAAGATACCAGGACAAAATATATCAGGACAAATGATACCACGGACAATTGATCGCAGACAAAATATCTCAGACAAAATATCTCACACCCAATTTTAATAGAGTAGTTGATGATTTTAGCTGATCTGAATTTTTTTTTATTGATTGTCATATGGTTTTGTTTATTATGTTTTAATATTGTTTATAGGCCTATATAATAATTGTAAGAAATGTTTGCCGTATAAATTTGTAATATTGCACTAAACATTTTAAAGTTAGTATTAGTAATATAGTATACGAAGATTAAAGATTGTTTTTGATAGACAGCGTAGGTGGGCTTGCCAAACATGAGACAATCGTACCACGTCAGGTGGACGAAACTAGATAAAAGGAATGAAATAACAATAAAGACACACCTTCGTATCAAGGTGGCCGCCCGCTTTGATGGCAGAGACATGCCTTACGGGAAAGATATCTGCCCTCCATGGACAATACAACCAGCATCAACAGTCAATAGTTATGCGTCGGCCACACCTTAGTGATCAGGTGACAAATTCCTTTTTAAATAAACAGCGGTCATCGCGGAGCTAAGTTTGTCGTAGTGTGCATCAAACAAAGCAGTATTAGTGGTGATTACTCATTTATGGCCTCTTTCGTTACCTCGCAGATAGGTTTGAGAGATTTGGAAATGTGAAATTAGGACATGTCGAGCAAGAGTTCACACAATATATAATCACATAGTATATGAGAGGTGTGATCATACTGATGTACAGGGGCGGAACTACAGTGCCGCCAGACCCCGCAATGCGGGGGGGCCCAGACCGAATGGGGCCCCAAAAATCCCGGCTAAATTATTTAAAAAAAAAAATTAAAATAAAAAATTAAAAAAAAAAAAAAAAAAAAAAAAAAAAAGGTGGAGGTCGAGTTATCTTTCTTCTACAGTTACAAAAAAAAACACGATAGTCGGCAAACGTCTTTGAAAAAAATGTACAGACTATAGCTCGAGAGACCGCCAGACATATAGACAACTTCAAAGACGCAGGGGCGGAACTACAGTGCCGCCAGACACCGCAATGCGGGGGAGGGGGGCAGACCGATTGGGGGCCCAAAAATCCTGGCTAAATTATTTTTAAAAAAAAATGTTAAAAAAAAAATTAAAACAAAAAAAAATTAATTTTTTTTTTTTTAAATTAGGTGGAGGTCGAGTTATCTTTCTTCTACAGTTACAAAAAAACACGATAGTCGGCAAACGTCTTTGAAAAAAATGTACAGAATATAGCTCGAGAGACCGCCAGACATATAGACAACTTCAAAGACGCAGGGGCGGAACAACAGTGCCGCCAGACACCGCAATGCGGGGGGGGGGGGGAGGGGGGCAGACCGATGGGGGTCCAAAAATCCTGGCTAAATTATTTTTTAAAAAAAATGTAAAAAAAAATAAAAATTTAAAATTAATTTTTTTTTTAAATTAGGTGGAGGTTGAGTTATCTTTCTTCTACAGTTACAAAAAAACACGATAGTCGGCAAACGTCTTTGAGAAAAATGCACAGACTATAGCTCGAGAGACCGCCAGACATATAGACAACTTCAAAGACGTAGCCTACCTTTTTACTTTTAGTGGCGTCGATTAGGAGAACAAAAAAGGATTGTTATATTGTTTACATTATTAAATATATATATATATATATATATATATATATATATATATATATATATATATATATATATATATATATATATATATATATATATATATATATATATATATATATATATATATATATATATATGATTGTGTGTAAACTACTGGCCTGGACTCTACAAAAAATATAATTATTTATTTCGATGTCATACATTTATAATTGCGTTCATTTTTACTTTAACAACACTGTATCAATAAACTTGTGAAAGTTTAAGTTATCTCCCTTTAGCGAAGCATCTGAAGTTTTTGCCGGCACGCTTTGAAATCGGGCTGGGGAAATGTTGCGGCGACTATTCTGGTCTTCTAGACGACCGGAAAAAGTCGGCACTATTGATGTAGATGTTTATCGGCACTTTCTTGTCCCCTTCCCTTGAACCTTCCCAACTCTCACCCCTCCCCCCTCACCCCCCTCTCACCCCTACCCCTCACCTCTACCCCTCACCACACCCTTACTCTTACAATAAGATGTAATGCATAGATTAACGAACCGTCTATGAACTACTGAACTGTAAACTGACCACTTCTGCACATTTTGTTAAAGACACTAGTCAGTAGTTGTTCATTTACCTGATGAAGTATTTTGTTGACGAGTCTAATTCACACAACAAGGAAGGTAAGGCTCGTCTTTATATTATTAATTGTTTTATAATTAGTACACGTATTAATTGAACATTAGTTATTAACACTAAATACATTAAAGTTAATCAAATTTAGGATACAATGATCTAGCTTTTAAGGCTAAAAACAACCAAAAGATCTATATCACCTTTGAATGTATTAATGTTTAATTTCATGTTTAGCCCGTAACGGGGAGGGGTTATATTCGGTTATAATATGGGGTGGGTCTTTGGCAGTGTTTCTTCCAGACGTTTCTCTTCGGGGGGGGGGGGGGCGCTTGAAATTTTCGGAGGGGGGGGGGGGGGCGGGCACTGTTAAAAGTATATATTTTCTATATAAATTATATAAAATTAATTTCTTTCTGGGGGGGGGGGGTGACACCATTAAGTGCCGCACCGGGTGACACCCGACCTCGCTACGCCACTGCACCCGATATATATATATATATATATATATATATATATATATATATATATATATATATATATATATATATACATATATATATATATATATATATATATATATATATATATATATATATATATATATATATATATATATATATATATATATATATATACATATAGATATATATATATATAGGGGCCTAAAAAAAATTTTTGCGGGGGGGCCATTTTTTTCTAGTTCCGCCACTGCTGATGTACCTGCCAGCAAAGAAACGTAAACGTTATGTTTGTGTTAATCATGCAATAAAAACAATAGTTTATCGTTACGATCCTGAAGACCCATTCACATTTTTGACAAATATTTCGCGTGTTTTGAACCTTAATGTTGTATAACTACCATTACTTTATTAGTTTTATACATTATCATTTATTACAAATTTCAGGCTAAAGGAGTAAGTTTGTTATAATTTTTACTTTTTCAAATCAAATGCTACTACAAAGTTTGATAAATCTTTTGATGGTTTGTTAGGTTTAACAAATTCATTTTATTCACAATTATTATGCGTAAAAAAGTAAACAAACCCATATTAACAGTCAATAAAAAAGGTTCAAATCAACTAAAATCATCGTACATACTATTAAAATTTCGCTGTGAGATATTTTGTCTGAGATATTTTGTCTGAGATCATTTGTCCATGATATCATTTGTCCTGATATATTTTGTCCTGGTATCTTTTGTCCGCGAGATCATTTGTCCTTGAGATCATTTGTCCTGAGATCATTTGTCCTGAGATCATTTGTCCGTGAGATATTTTGTCTGAGATATTTTGTCTGAGATCATTTGTCCTGAGATCATTTGTCATGGAACCAAACACACACATATATATAATATATGTGTTTGTGTATGTGTGTTTGTATATATTTATATGCGTGGGGGACTGCTTAAATATCTTTTTTGTTAATGCTTATATGTATATAGGCAGAAATATAAATACGTACAATATAAGCCTATATATATATATATATATATATATATATATATATATATATATATATATATATATATATTCCTAAATAATTCTATATAAACTATACATGTGTTTGTGTATGTGTTTGTTTATATTTACCCGTGTGCGGGGCTGCTCATATTTGCTCAAAATATTTTTTCCAGAAAAATCTACAAAATTCCCGCCTGTGAAATTTGCATCAATTCCCGCTCCAAGAACGTGGACGCCTGCAACAAGTGCCTGGACTGCGGCAAGCTGCTCTGTAAGCGTTGTGTTGACCTTCACCTCTCCACCAAGGTCACACAGCAGCACAGCCTCATAGACATCGAGGGGGAGAAGGATATACAATGTAAAGTAAGTTGGTGGGGAGAAGGATATACAATGTAAAGTGAGTTGGTGGGGAGAAGGATATACAATGTAAAGTGAGTTGGTGGGGAGTTTGTCGCGAGGGTGTGATCTGACCCACTGGCATGGATAATTATCCCCCAGGGGAGTGTGGTCACCTGAGGTATATTTTATCTTCCTGCTATGTCACGAAAGGCTCATGATGTTAAAAGATCTTAAAGATCAACATCTCAGATTGACCTAGTTCGTTAGCCGCTCGTGGTAGGGTTTTTGACACAGGCAAGTGGGTTTTATCATGCGGGGGGAGGCGTCCTATGGGATTTTTCCCCCAGTGACTTAAACGTCACTTGCAGCTTTAAGATCTTGATTCATGTGTTATTTGTAAGCGCAAATGCAGACACTATCGAGATATAAATCTAGCTAGTAGTATCCATTTGGAACAAAAAAATGTCTTAAATTATAAACGATTTAAGTATGTGAGAGTGTCACATCTACCTTTTAGCATTAAAGTAGTAAATCAATGGAAATTTCTTTAATTTACAATTATAGTTGTTAATTCTTTTAATGGGTTGGTACTTATAATAGAGTCTATAGTTAACTCTAAAATATTATAATTATTAATAGACGGCAAATGTTCATATACCAACATATTTAAATAATAATCGATAAATTACATTTTTGTATTTTATTTTTTCGAATAATTTTTTTTTTTTTACTGTTTTTAGTAATATAGTTTTTAGTCGTTTCCCTTTGCAGTTTTAAGCTTTTGAATGGGAAGCAACTAACATAAATTAATGTTCAATGTCATCTCGACTTTTTTACAAGCTTTCCCTTTCACATTGGAGGGGGGGTGGCAAAGCCCTCCCGAAGAGATGCCTGGAAGAAACTCTGATTCCATTTACAAAGTCGATTAATTTAGAATTTTATTGCTCACCCTACAACCAGCCCACACTTTAGATGTATTAGATCTATAGACAGTCAAAATTGTCAAACTGGGGTTTTCCTACTCTGGAAGATGTGAAGCGTCTAGATTTGTTAAGATTTCAGTTTTAATTTTTTGGGTTTTTTTTTTTTTTTTGCAGGGTTACAATACATCATGTATACTACGTATTTAAGAAAGAACACAAAAAACCATTGCACTCAAACTCGTAATTATTGTAAAATCATTTTCTACCCTGGCCAACATGACTTCAGCATCTTTATGATCAGCCCATTCAGCCTAAATTATTTTACTTTTCCAATTATTCTAGAGCCACCCCGACGAAAACGTCCGTTTCTACTGCGACCCGTGCGACGCCTGCATCTGTGTCGTCTGCGCCTTCCAAGAGCACAGGGACCACGAAGTCTGCTCCTTCAGTGACGGCTCCGTCAAGTACCGGTGCAGGCTCGAATCCCTGCTGGGCTTGTGTAAGGAGCGGGTCGACCAGGTCAGCACCAGGCTACACGTCATTGACAAGTACGAGACGCAGATGAAGCACGTCAAGGAGTCGATACGGGACCTCGCCATCAGTTACATAGCGCAGGTAAAGCCTACATAGGTGAAAGGTAATTTGTTAGTGAGATTATATAGGTAAAAAGTACACAAATTATTCAGTTTTTATTTAACTAAATTATTCAGATAATAATAGTTATTTGCTATTATACACGCTGACCACAGCCACACTATCTGTTTTAATATGCCGAGGTGAACTTTACAGGTGAACTTCACTTTACTACTACTTCTACTACTACTACTACTACTACTACTACTATCTGTACTACTACTACTACTACTACTACTACTACTACTACTACTACTACCACTACTACTAACTACTACTACTTACACTACTACTCCTACTAACTACCACTACTACTACTACAAAAACTGCTACTACTACTAGTACTAAAACAACAACAACTACTACTACAACTATAACTACTACTACAACAACAAGAACTACTACTACTACCACTACTACCACTACTACTACTGCTACTACAACAACAACAACAACAACTGGTACTACTACTACTTTTACCAATTCTACTACTACTACCACTACTACCCCTTCTACTACTGCTACAACACCAACAACAACTACTACTACTACTACTACTATACACGCGGAAAGTATTTTAAATATTTTCAACTTGATTATACAAGTAGAATTGCATGATAGGTAAAAATATGCTTCATGGTTACATTTGACGGGTAAATAATCTAATCTAAAAGGTTGAGGTTCATGTATAGAATCGATCTAAGCTGAAAGGTTGAGGTACAGGTATAGAATCGATCTAAGCTGAAAACTTAAGGCTCAAGTATCGAATCGATCTAAGCTGAATCCGTATGCGAGCAAATTAATGACGCTTGTTCTCCTCCCGTATCCCAGTAAATTTCAGATGTTCACTGTTATCCTTCTTTTACATTTACAATCATTGCCAGGAAAACTATGAGCGTCAAAGCTCCATTGATCTGCGTAGTAAAGATTTTTACCACAAGTGAGAAATGTCAGGCTCAAAGGGAAACAAGACACGAATACATACATATATATATATATATATATATATATATATATATATATATATATATATATATATATATATATATATATATATATATATATATATATATATATATATATAAAAAGTAATAGACAGTGTTGGAATAGAATGTTGACACCGCCAATTTGAATAACTTAAGGGTAATTAATGTTTAGAGGCTTTAGAGAAAAATCCAAAACACTTCCGCTAGCATGAAGTAGCATTAACTAAGAACACAGAAATGATATGAAACGGAAGCGTGTGAACCCTCTACGATGTAAACGACCGACATGATTCAAATATTTGAACCAATGAAGTCAGACTGAATGTCTTATGTAAGATTTTAGTTTCGGGTTGGTAGTAAACCATTTAACCTCCCAGTCATGCCGTCCCATCTATTAATAATGACATCAGCCATTAACGTATTGAGATGTTGTTTGCAGGTACGGGCGAAGGAGAGAGAACTGATGAAACTGCTGGAAGAATCTGACGGCGACGACATCAAAAACCTGGTCAACCAGAAATCAGCTCTCCAGGAAAATCTCGACGAGCTCCAGAACACCTGTAACCTGACAGACATCATGCTGAAGGACAGGGGCGTGGAGCTTCTGCTGGTGAAGAAGGAGATGGAGGACAAGATGGGACGTCTGCTGGAGCCCATTCTCCCGGACCTGCCTTCAGATTCCACCTATGACGTTCAGTTTGTTCCTGGGGTTGTCGCCCTTGGTCGCTTGTCGTTTGGTCTGGATAAGGGTAAAGAAAAAGAGAACCTCAAAGACGTGGAGAAGGAGATCTTTTCGATAGAGAATTTCTCCAAAGACCCGGATGTCTTATCGAACTGCACGCAGACGGATAAAAGCCGCACGAAGGAAGAGTCGACGTCCATGCTCTCTGACATGAAAGAAGCGTGTCATATCTCCGTCCAGACGGACCATCTCGCGGAGGTGTGTCACGCGTTGAGTCAGACTGACCCCAACGTGCGTGTTATACAACGGACAGAAACCAGGGAGAAGGGGATAACGGCGCTGATCCTAGACACAAAATCAAAAGGCACCATGACGGAGAGGTCGGATGTCAGATCTTTGAAATGCCAGACTGACCTGGCCGCAGACCAACCACCGGCCACCCTCAGCTCGCCCACCCTCAGCGCTTCTTCCAGCACCTCAGACGTCACCCTCGAGAAATCCTCCAGCTTTTTCTCGCGGGCGCCGGCTCCCGATCTGTTGCCTAGCAGCGCGGGTATGACGCCCAGCATGTACGCAACAGGAAGGAAGATCAGAAGTGTGAAAAGCCAGACGGAGTTTGGAGCCAAGGAGATTGAAGAACTTATTTCATTGAAAGATGCGGCTGTGGTTGTTTCGGCTGATTTAAAATCAACTTCCGCTTTGGCTCCGGAAAATCATATACGTAAGACAGATTTAGCCGAGAATGAGAAAAATATAGTTAAAATCCCGGATGAAAAAGGTGGAAAACAAAATAGCTCAAGCAAGGCAAGAGACGGGCTTGGCGATAAAATAACGACGAGGGATAAAGTAGCTACCACTGATAGAGAAGTGTCTACCGTAAGCGTCGCAATGTCGGACCGCGCTACTGGGACTTGTTTAGTCAAAATGGGAGACGCCGGATGTCAGGTCACTCCCAGGGTCAACGTCGTCTCCACGAACACACCTTTAGTGCAGAAACACGACCAAGGCTGTCTCGTGGACATTGTAGCCACAAAACCTACCACGGCGCAAGCGGTACCAGAAAAACCAGCTGTGACGGCAGCTCCTAAAAAGACGTGTGACAAGGCCTCGGACCCGATAAAAATTCCATACTTTTCAAAAGCCACAGAAACGCTGAAAGTTAAAACATCGTCGTCTTCGACAGAAACAACCTCGGCTGCCCTTGTCGACAAGGATACATCTACCTCCCTCACTAAAACCGTGGACCAATGGACAGAAACACCCGCCGTTCAAATGATCAGCACCGGCGTGACCTCCCCCGTCCCCGCCACCCTCGACGTCGGGGTGGCCACGAACGTCGTCCTCACAGACGAGCAGGCCACCAGCACCGACGTCAGAGCATACCGCGACAGCCACACGGAAACAGTCCTCGTCGTTTGCGACAGCGAGACCCTCACAGACGCCAAGCTCTTCGCCGACGCCCAAACCGCAGTGGATGACGACCGGCGGAGCGAGTCCTTAGACCCGGTTGATACCACCCAGCGCCGCCCGGGTCTGCAGCTAAAGCAACAAGACAGTAGTAAACAGAAGGCGATGTGTGTCTCCTGTGGCGTCCGCGCCAAAGACGAGAATACAAAATCACCTCAGCACAAGCTACCAGCACCTGCCGGCGCTCACCACACCAAAGAGGACACGGCGCAGCATCCCATCAACACACAAGACGTGGGGACGATGGCCATCTCCTGCTTGACCACTCACCTTGAGCTGCAAGAAGCAGGCACGCAAACACTCTCGGAGCTGCTCGACAGGTCTGGCATCAGCTGTCAGCTTCTAGAAACAGCCATACAAACCTCCCACCCTCAGCTGTACGACAAAGCTTCGGCCACGTCGCTTGATCTAGAGCTCGGTTTGCTTGGCAGACATTTTTGTGTAAGTAGATATTTCACAGCAGACATTTTTGTGTAAGTAGATATTTCACAGCAGACATTTTTGTGTAAGTAGATATTTCACAGCAGACATTTTTGTGTAAGTAGATATTTCACAGCAGACATTTTTGTGTAAGTAGATATTTCACAACAGACATTTTTGTGTAAGTAGATTTCTCAAAGCAGACATTTTTGCAACCTTTCCTACTCCCCCAATACTTGGCCGGGCAACACAGAAATACTGGTCTTTTAGTTTGGAAACCGCTTGCGTAAACTATTCGGCATCTCACTTTCTTTTCATTCAGATAATAATATATGCTATAGGCCAGGGGTCGGCAACCTGCGGCTCGCGAGCCGCATGCGGCTCTTTTGATATCAAGATGCGGCTCTCCAGCTCCTTGAACAAATACTAATAATCTTAATAAAAAAATAAAATATTTGAAATTTTAAAAATGTTAGTGGCTCTTTAAAACCAGGGAAATTTTGAAAATTGTAACTTTTGGCTCTTCCGCTTCAAAAGGTTGCCGACCCCTGCTATAGGCAGTCATTTTACTTCGATTTAGATATTTCACAACAGGCGATTGAGTGAGAAGTCGTGTAAATGTTGTATATAACCCTGTTCTTGTGGCCTTTCACATTCTCGTGTTACCATCTCTACCATGGTCATTCACATTCTCGTGTTACCTTCTCTACCATGGTCATTCACATTCTCGTGTTATCTACCACAGGACGCGGCCACGTCGACTGAGTCCCTGCCCTACATCGGCCTGCTGAGTGAGATCGACGTGGACGAGCTGATCGTCGTGCCAGAGGCGGCCTTCGAGCTGGTCTCCGACACGGACTCGGAGCCCGACGTCGTCATGGTGGACGACGAGACGGCGACCGACTTCGTCCAGCTGGTTGAATCCGGTACCCTGACGGACGACTTCGGTGGGGACAGCATGACGGAGAGTAACAGCAGCAAAGGGGTGGGGGAGATTATACGATCCCTGGTTCAAGCTGAGGGCGGGGCCTCCCGGGTCGAGAGCAAACACTTGGTGTCTATCGGGGTCAACACGGCGACCAAGCTCACGTTCGAAAAAGAAACCTGCACGCCGATCCGGCATTTGTTCAGCAAGGGCACCATGACGTTTTACGTTTCCAAAATGGACAAATCGACCAGCACGCAGGCGCGGGTGATGACGGGACACGGTAAGGTCAAGGCCGAGGACAAAGCGACGATGACGCGCGAGGTTGCGCACAAGAACGCTGGGACTGAAACCTACACGGCAAGCATGGACGGGAAGATCACGGCTTGCATTTCAAAACTCAGGAACGTGTCGGAGAGGCTGAACAGCCCACCTGAGAAAAAGTCGGTCGACGTTTTCTTTAATAAGACTTTTAACACCCCCGCCGCCGACGAGGCTAAAAAATGTGATCAGCCACCTCTGGACGCCCAAGAAGACAAACGACAAAGTCAGTTAAAAACTCTGTTAGACCAGACGAATGCTGTGCTCAAGTCGCCTACTCGAAAAGCCCAGCCCATAACGACTTTAAAATGTCGTAAACCCGCTATAAACAATAAACCCGGTCCAAACCTCAAACCTGAAGAACCCAGTTACAAAAGTCAAAGTCTACCTCGAGCTTTTTCATCGGACCGCACTGGGACTGTTAAAATGGGTAGCCAGACACTGACCGACCGGGCAGGGACGGTGAAGATGGGCAGTCAACCGTTGACCACATCTGAACGCACGGGGACAGTTAAGATGGGCAGCCAACCTTTATCTTCAATGCGTCTTCCGCTTTTAAGATACAACTCAGCGCCGGGGAGAATCGCCACTGTGCCTTCCCATCCAATGAAATCAAAAACCTCACCACTGCCCTCCCCTAAGGTAAGCAGGATACCAATCACAAAAAAGCTTAGTCCGCCAGACTACATCAGCAAGCCAACCGTCCAGACGGCCAGCGTGGACACTTTACCTGAAGCCAAAAGCCCCAAGCCTCAAGTCCGGCGTCCACTGCCCAGCATCACAGAAACCAGAACCCCGTCCTCCTGTTCAGACGCCTCCACCGTCTCCCACACATCCGTCGGATCCCTGGGAGCCACGCATCGATTATCGTCCGGGTCTTCTCTGCCGGTCAACTCGGGCGTTGAGCCGGAACAAAGACTTTCCGTCGGACCGTCAGTGACGCCTCCTCCCAGGTCGCCTTCGGTGAGCACAGCGTTTTCCACGGCGTCCGATTCTTGTCCGGAGAGCATCTTGTCCAGCACCGGCTCAGCCGAAACTTTACACCTGAATCCGGAAGAAAAATCGACCAAAAAACAAGGTTTGGGCTTCATGCAGAGATTTTTATCCAAAAAGAAGAAAAGCCAAGACGACAAGAAAAAAGAACCTTTAAACGTTGTCAAATCAGGACCGACAACCGCATCCGCTGTTGCTGCCTTAGCCAGTGCCACCCCACCTTTACCCGCCCCACCTCCAGAATCCCACGCTCACATCAACCCCCAGTTTCCTCCGCATCATTACCCCCCGCCCCCTGAACCCAAGTCTCCTCCCCCTCCTCGCAAACCCCGCCCTTTTGTTTACGTCCGTCAACGAATTTTCGCCATCCAGCAGGACAATGTCGAGGACGTAGAAGAGAAAAAACTGAAATCGGACGAGAAGAAACCAACCGCGCCGGAAGCTGCCACCCCCCAGTGTGAACCAAGCTTAGATAAAAACAGTCAGAAAACAAAAAGCGGAACCAAGAAAGACGAAAAAAACAGCCGCGACAAAACCAAGAAGGCAGAAGGGAGTAAGTCAAAATCTTCTGCGGCGAAAAAGAAGACGAAGAAGACGGATGCAAAAGAAGAAGCATGAAGCGAATCTTATTCTACCTCCTGTTGGAAGACTGTCCCTAAGACCTCAACTTTAAATGTTTCGGTCAGAATAACAAAAAAATACTTGGTAGCACTAATGACTACCTCCTTTTTACTTTTTTATTTCGTTTCCATGTTGTTGTTCTGAAGAAGTTGAGGTTTTGAAATAGTTTTTGCTTTAATGTTAACTTTGCATATTAGTGCTTCGGTTGAGCTTATCTTATTTTAGATGGCTGTTTAATCACGTGTTAAATATTAATATTAATATGCAAGAAATTGCAAGACAATTTGTAAAATAAGCCTATTTCGTTATTTCGACATAATGGGTGAAATGTACTGCGCGGTAGATAGAGTACATTCTAACTATCGCCTTTCCGCAAAAACAGGTTAAGGGATACAAATTCCACGGAGGTAGATTCGCTGACTGATATAGATGTGTACACATTTTGCCTGCAATATTTCAGCTTTTAAATAACAATGTTTTCGCGTATTTTGTTTTATTTTTTAATTTGACATATCATACTATATTAAAACTGTTTTAGGCTATATATTATGATTGCAACCCTCCACGTATTTATTCACATAATAATGTATATTTGATGATGTAAAACAATTAATCGCGGTACCAATAGAAATTAGAAAGCATTGTTTTGTATATGATAACTGGTGTAGAGCCAAATAAAAATTGTTAAACTATATCATTCTCTCATCGTCTTTTTTTTAACGTTCATGGCAAAATATGTAGGCACACGTTGTACTTGCTATTATATATATATATGTTATATATTATATATTATATATATATATATATATATATATATATATATATATATATATATATATATATATATATATATATATATATAATATGCTTGTATGAAAAATATCAAGGGAAAGGTACGCATGCTAAGATCCCTTAATTAAAATGTTTTCTACAGTTTTAGTGACGAAACGTTTTACCAAAATAAACTTTTTATCTCCTGCAAATCAATCAGCAAATGCATAATTCTACCTGCATCAGAGAAAAAACAAAGAAGCTTGCGAGAAAATCAAAATTTAATCAGAAGAGTCTCTTTTGTATACTAAAACTGAACTGAAGCTCTATTGAACCCAGAAAGAGATTCTGACCTCCCTATTTTTAAGACTTCCCTTTTGGAACACAAATCTATCTGCTGTTGAGTGTATAAAGGAAGTTGAGGGTCGTCGCCAGATTCAAGTCGTCAAGCTGGCCTCATAAATTTCCTTGATATTCTAATGTGCACCGTCAAGTGGAGTCTTCAAATTCCAGGCCCTGGCGCTAATGATTTGGAAAAACAACATGATTACATTTTTAAAAACTTTTGTGACACTACGGATTTGTACCTACCGTCCATTTCACAGTTCTTGATAAGGTTCACTTGGACGTAAATATAAAAAAAAAAAAAAAAAAAAAAAAATTTTGCTCTTAATTGTAACATTGTATGGGAGAAACAACGGGTCAAGAGATAAAAATAGTTCTGTTTTTTTCAGGTATCTCTTCTGGCAATGCTAGGGGGCTGTTTATACCGGGGAGCTTTAAAAAATCCGAAATCGCAATTATTTAAAAATAACTAATTATTAATAATTGTGTTTATATTATATTAACTATAGACATGGTAATATAAGATAATTAAGGTATTTAATATAAATCTTTAAATTTCGAAATTTCAGATGGCTATCTATTATTAATGTTGATTTAGTGATCGCTCCAGCGTTCTAAAACACATGCAATGCAATTTTGATTTTAATAGGGCTTGTAAGTCTCATCTTCTCTCACTTTGAATTAGAAATCTCGTTAGCCAAGGAGAGATTTAAATTTTCAAACTAAAGTAACTGTTGTGAAGATGATTCTCACTGATAACAAAAACGTGGCTGCTATTTGTTTCTAATTTTTACTCCAATATTTAAAAATCATAATGAATTTCCAAAATGAAACCAATATTTTTTTAAACATTCAACTTTGTTTTGTACACATGGCTGGGAACTAATGTGTTTGCATTAACAATCCCAGAGTCCGTTGTTAGTGGAGAACGAAGTTTTCAAAACTGAAATTAATTAAAATTCACTTGCATTCAACTAGGTTGCAAAGCACACTTAGCACAATTTCAATAGAATGTGACATAAATAAAGGTTAGTAGAAGATTTTGCGAAGAAGAAGGCACGAAAAGTTAAATTCTGATTTTGTAGTCTACTAACTTGTAAGGTTTATGCAATAAATAATAAATTAATGAGACTTTAAATGTATTATTTTCTTATACATACCTATTTTTTTTTTTAATTAAATCGCGTGAAAGAGTGCGTTTTAATACGTTTTGATTAGGACGCTAAAAAAAAACTGGCGCCTGACTGCTGCTACCAACAGCTAACGAGCCTTTAACGAAATGATGCGGAAAACCAATAAATTCAGAAAACAAAGAAAATTCGGCTCACAGTCCAAATAAAAAAGATATATAAGCCTTTTATCTATTGATTTGAAACACATACACACACACACACACACACACACACACATATATATATATATATATATATATATATATATATATATATATATATATATATATATATATATATATATTAAAAAGCAATATTAAAAAGCAATGTTAGAAAACGAGTTTTTATTGCCGTTATTTCGCGTTTTAGAAAACTGTATTAATAAATTGTAACAGGAATTTATTAAAATACTCTATTTTGGCAGAGTTCAGATAAGATTTTGGAAAAATATCGATGTTTTAAGAAAAATGCAACTGCAATTATGAGGGGGGTTGTAGGCTGAGGTGTGACGTCATTTTAGGGGGGGGGTCTAGCTTTATGTGTCGATGTGTGGTGGAGGGGAGGACTGGTAAAAAACGTCAAAAAAGCGTGACATCTTTTATGGATGACCCATATATATATATATATATATATATATATATATATATATATATATATATATATATATATATATATATATATATATATATATATATATATATATATATATATATATATACATATACATATATACATATATATATATATATATATATATATATAGCCTATATGGGGACATCCACAAATGACTTCACACTTCTAGAGGGAAGAGAGGATCCGATGTTCTTTATTTTGCGATTACACATTTGAAGATTTTTAAAAAGTAAGAAAAAAAAATTGTGCCGTTATTTTGTTAAATAAGCAATAAAAGAATTGTTTAATATACTCTGTTGATTGATTTTAGTTAATATTTTAGAACCAAATCGATGTTTAAAAAAATTTCATGCTGCTAAAGCCTGACAGGTCACATGAAGTACATTAGAGCCATAAGACAAACTAGGTCATTTGCAATTTTGATCGAGGTGTAGGCTTTTTGTGACAATGTGTGACGTAACGGAGGAAGGGGGGGGGGGGGGGGGGGGGGGGGGTAAACATAATTTTAAAAGCGTGAAGTCATTTATGAATGACACCTAGATTTTAATTTATGCATGTGTGTGTATATACATATACATATATATTCAAATTATATATATATATATATATATATATATATATATATATATATATATATATATATATATATATATATATATATATATATATATATATATGTATGTGTGTATATATATATATATATATATATATATATATATATATATATATATATATATATATATATATATATATATATATATATAGGCATATATATATATATATATATATATATATATATATATATATATATATATATATATATATATATATATATATATAATTTTATTCCTTCTCGAACACTAAAATCAATTTACTCCCTTTCTTGTTTCTGGTCAGTGGGATAGATGGATGTCTGTTACGCAGCTCCAGTATTGTATATTCATTTTTATGCTTTAATGATATTTTAAATCTAATTGTTTTCCATTAGTGGACATTAACATTTTGCCACGAGGGTGTATCTTTATATTGACATGCCACGGCTAAGATTTATTTTTAAAATGATTAAGCTAGCAACAATTTCAATATTAGAATTAAAGTACATGTGTGTTTACTCTCTAAATATAGAGAATTTCAAAGCTATATTTTAAAATAATTTTCTGTTATCTGTTTATCTAGAAATAGCTGTAAATGACAGCAAAACGATCCCCTACTGAAAAAGGCTAGGACTAGCTAAGAACTGGGCGTCTCTTCGAATTTGTTCCACGTTGAATTGATTTCAGATACTGATTATTTACTTTAGCTAATCCTAAGAGTGTTAGTTTTAAATTAATTATCATAAAAATATACGATTTTAAAAATATAATACGGTTGTATAAATTTCATTCCTTGCACCTTATTTTACATTTCCTAAAATTTCCAATTTCAAAAAAATATTGATGTCAAGTGGATGTTGAATTTATTGCACATTTGGTAGCCATTTTCCCACGCCATAGCCGCTAATGAGCTATCAGTAGCGATGTTGATTATTTATTTTTTGACTTAGTTGAGATATAGCCTATAAATTAAGTATGGAAGCAGTACGTGCTTTTAACAATGAGGTTTGTGTTCATTTATATTATTAGTAATTTACTAACAATTCAGATCTAAAGCTAGATTTATGTAAGATTGTATTCTAAATTCTAGTGTTTTCACTTCACATTTTTCACGCAACAGGACTAGGGTAGAGATAAGATCATAAGAGATATTTCAGAGTCGGTGGTCGGCATAGTTACATTTGTCTTGCCTATAATCCCCTAGATCTAGCTCTAGTCTTTGTATTATTTGGAGATGGTAGTTGCTCTTTGATAGACAAAATTAGACACATCAGTAGTCTCTCTTGAGTAGACAGAAGTTCAGGTGCGGATACATCAACACTTCTGTTTTTTTGGCCTGTGGCTACTTTATTTAGATAGTTTGTGCCAAACCACAGCTTTTGGCGTGTTATATATATCTTGGCCTATGTTCATTTATGTCTTAAAACTTTCTGGTCATTTCGTTTTCAGTGACCTACTTATTTTGGTTAAGGCATGACACACTATGTGCTAGAATTTCTCACTAAATCTTAGGCTTCTTCTTCTTCATTCTTAATTATGAGTGTTGAAGGGTAGGCTTTTTGATGAGAATTACAGAATGATTTTTTTAATTAAAAATGTATTAATAATAGCTAGAATACTAGTAAACTAAGCTAATTTAGCATATTTTAACTTTCTGTGCAATGTCATTATTACTGAAAAAAATTCCAAAGTCAGGTCAGCCTGTGGCACCCTCCACTGAACTTGAAAGAAGGAAAAAAAACTTGACCCGTGACCTTCATTAAAACAGAATTTACTTATGTTTCTTTTTAACTATTAGTAAACATGTGCTTAATATTACCCAATAAGTAATAAAAATTTGACAATTAATTTTAATTACTGTTGTAAAGTGAGATAAACAGCTTAATAAACACGTGTTTTCTTGAGGGGGTGTGACCCGGGTGTGGCACATCGCATGTAACTTTTTATTTCTGTGTCTTATGACTATTTGTTCACAATCAGCATGCTATGCTTTTAAAATTGATAAAGGGTAAGTATACCAAGCTACAAAACCTAAAATCTAACTAATAATTCATACTTTCAGTTTAAAAAATAATAAAAACGATCATCAATGAAGAAAGCGTAAACATTCTATTTTTAGGTGTGACAAAAAAACAGTCATAAACCTAGCCAAATGATTGGATTCTTGCGCGGCACACATTTTCCCGCGCCTCGTGTTCACCAAAAAAGATTATAATAAAATGGCATTATTACTTGAACGGACCACATCTCATTCCGACCATAAGTTATTACCAGTTAATTGTAATGTGTGTAAAATTGATACTTTCAAGTTTCATATACACATAGTTTGGTTTATTATACACGGGGTATTTTAGAGTTATTTGATTCGAAAGATGAGAATTATATAGAGCTACTTTCACTAAGGCGCCGCTTGCGAGACAAACAAAGAAATTAGGCCAAAAGTAGATCCGACAATTCTTAATTAATAGACTTAAATAGAAACGGATAGTTCCGATTTCTAAAATTAACGATGGCTTCGTAATCATTAGTTTTATCCCTCTACCCATTAGTGAAAGCGAAACTGGTCGCCATTTTTGGTAAGCGCATGAGCCGTGAGATGGCTTCAAAACAACAAACCCGGAAGCTGTGAATCGAACGGCCTAGTTGAAGGGGATCGAGATTTATCTGCCAGTGGGTTTGATTTCGAGACTTTGTTCGAAATTATCAACCATGAACTTTTTGCTGACTCGACCACGCCTCCAACACAATTAAGCGTCAACTGGTTATGCGCCATTGAGGCCATTGACTCCGATTTCAGCCTGCTTTTCTTTTTGGATTTGCTTCCATAGCCTTTGTCCAACCAAGAACAAACTACAAGGCAGCAGCTGTTTAATTTTGGAGTTGTCTCTCCTAGAAGAGTGGCTGTCCCCAGCTAACGAGCCTCATCTGCCCGAGGGTTCGAACTCGAGACTTTTTTTTTTCGGTTTAGCAACCATGAGCTTTACCGACTTGACCACGCCGACCCCAGGCTAAACTTATGCAATTTTCAATTTAAACATGACTACTGAATAATAAACATCAATATTTAATCCATTAGGCACTAATTTTTATGTTTTTAGTTTTAAACTAAATTACTTAATTTAATAGTAATTGCCACTCACTGCCATGCACGACAGACCTCTCCATGACAACCTAACTTACGTCTGAAGCTGCGGCAAACCACGAATCGGTTCGACTTTTTAATTGGCTATGCACCAGAGTTCCTCACTAGTGATGAGCCAAATAGCGGTCACGTGGTTTTTAAAAAATAAAAATAAATTGGTTGTGATACGGACGCTGGTCTTCTGTATCTACACTGCTATTATTTTAAAAGTTCTATTAATTTTAATGAAACCCAACTTTTGAATTTAGCCTCCGTTCTCCAAACCAAATTTTAAAATGCTTTTCTGGCAAATCTAGCCCTGCCACCTATGGTTTGTTTTTATAACACGAAAATCCCGCCATTTTGCTCGTGGTAAACATTTCAATCAGTAATTCTAAGAAGGTCACTGGAACTAAGACGAAAAATCGTCGGAAGTCATGCATCCGGTCTGTACGCCATATTGTTGTTAGCAACCAGCCACGTCTCTGGGTTAGCGAGTAATACTACTATGTGCACATGGTATGTGGCCTGACTGATTTAGATAAGATTATTTAGGCCTATATTATTGTTTTGAGTTTATATTTTCCTCAATGTAACAAGTCTGCCTGTTGGTTGAGGCCACCCCGTGGGCTAGTTTTGCCAGGGATACAAAGGGTCAATTCTTAATATCCGATATTTAATTAAATTAGATCTAGAATCTAGATTTAATCAAACTCTGGAAAGAGTGGGGAAAACATGTCCTAGTTTGACTTATGGCTCTAATGTACTCTATGTGACCTGGCAGGCTTTAGCAGCATGAAATTTAAGACAGTGGCTGAATGGGAAGGGCACATAATGTAGATTCTATTCGTTTAGGATTAATAAACTCTAAATGAATAAAATAGCCCCATATGCAAGTGAGGCATGTGCAACAGGCTTGCCAGTTTTGGGAAAAAAGTGTCAGCGTGACTTAAAACAACATCTCAAATTCTTTGTGTAATAATACAAAATAACACATATTATTATAGTAAGATGGTTGCAGTAGGCCTATATTACAGTACACTTTATTAGTTTCCTTAGGCCTATTAAATGTTCCAGAATGGTGCCCAATGGAAATCTGGGGAATTCCGGGGTTTGTTTTTTTTTTTTTTTTTTTTGCTGTGACTGTGTGTCAGCAAGCTGTACCTTACTCTAGATCGCGTTAGATCTAAGAGTAGAATTGTTGCAATTTTTGGACTGGGTATTCTTCAACTTTCTGATATCTACAAGATCTAGAATCTAATTCTAATGTAGGCTAGATCTGGTTAAAGTAAAGCACTTAAAGAGTTAACTGGGCAAAAATTTTAATGGTCCCACTTGAAATTATTAAAGTTTAAAGAGGCCCTGTAATTACTGTAAGTAAATCATGTGCAGTGTTATTGAAACAAATGTAACAGGTAGGCATATAGACGATTTAGATTATCATGAAGAACGTTATGTTTATTTTACGAGTTTACCGGATCTAGAAAATCTAAATCTAGTCTATGTTGTTTTTGAAGTTTTAAAAGGCCAATAACAGTTGGACATGTTTTCTTCACAAGAAATATCAAATTTATTTATAACATTTCCTTGCTAAATTGGAGCATTTTCAAATTTTCTGCATTTGCATCTTTTTTTAAAACTGATTCTTAACATATTAAACTTTTAATTGTTTGAATATTTTTTGGCCTCTATAACTGCAAAAAGTGTATCCATAGCAATAACTAGGTGGATGGCATTAATTAATAAAGGTGCTAAAATATTGATTGCTATCGATATCCTTGGCTTTGAATGAAACTTCATTCAGTGACAACCGTTGCAAATGAATTTAAAAAGGACCACTGTAACTAAATATTTTTTCTGTATCAGATATTTCAGCTGGAGTTGCAATACCACTTTTAATCATATAGTTTGGTAAATGTGCAGCGTAATATATACCCCATTTTCATTCTCTAGACTCCTTCAAATCAATGCTAATTACATAAATCGTATCACCTACATTTACAAGATCTGCTAATAAAACAAACATTGGTTAGAAAGAGAGCATAACTGCTTACCCAATAGCCTCTGTTCAGAATCTAGAGAGTGTAGGACAAAGCATAATCTTGGAGTGAGAATACCTATTTGATCTAGTTTGGTAACCAAACATATATTGACCTTTCAAAGCCAGCCAATATTGACGATATTACTCTAAAGAACTGTTCAAAGAAAAGAATCATAATTCCATTGCCTCTATTGATCAAAATTAATCAGTGCTTCACTGATTAGGATTTACCCACTAAAGTTAACAAATAAAATTGCAGTTGATTCTTTTAATTACTGAGCTTTTTTTTTTAATTAAGCCTATTTATAGCCCATCACTTTGTTGACACAGGGTGGAAATTATCTTTGATCAAAACAATGATTGAGTTGTTTTCTATTTTCTGTTTTATCTGCAATGGAAGGGGTTTCATTTGGATGAACAAAAACACAGCTAGTCTCCTTATATCTGGTTATTATAACAAATTTTAGCTGGTATCTCTACCTCGAGTCTTGATCATACTATACTGATATACTAGCAGAAAAATCTGTCCTGCTATACCAATACTTTGCAAGAATAATAATTATTTATTGGTGGTTCATTAGTGTGCAGAGTTCAGATACCAGCCACTTTTTTTTTACCTGTCACACTATAGGTGAGATAAGTCTTTTTGGGTCAAGCACTGCAAACTTTCTGCTGATGAAAGCCCAGAAAGGAATATTATTTTTAACTCTAAAAATTGTTCCCATTTATGTGCCTACTAATTATGATAAAAGATTTACTTACACTAAATTCAGAAGTAAATTGTATAGGCTATTTGTATTAGTGACTTCAACCAATTTATTATTAAAGACTTAGCATATGAAGCTATATGCTATTAATTGCCTACTCATGCATTCCTAAAAGATCATCCCATCTAAAATGTTTTCTGCATGTTGCACACTTATTTTGACTACTTGGTGTTAAGATTAAAAATAGACAATTATTTTGTTATTCATTCACTGAAAATTGCAGGCACTTTTGAAACTTAAATTACTTTGATGTAGGCCTATAGTTGAGTATATGGATTTATAAAAATTTTAGTCTGGCATGCCAAATGTTGGTTGTATAAGGAGTTGGCAAATTGTATGTTAAATTTTAAGAATTTAGTTGTATTTTCACATACAGCCTAGTTTTGATTAAACAAAATAGATTGCTTTTTGGTGTTATATTTGTTTATATTGTGGGTTTGTTTGGCGGGTTGGTGTGAAAAATCTGTCTACATTGTGAGTAGTATTTATGAGTGGCTACTTCATGAATTATGCTCAAAAGCTTTCACGATTTGTAAATAGTATTTTAGGTCATTTTTACTTTTTTGTATTGAAAATATGTGCATTTCGTTTTTTGTTTCTTTCTAAATACAATAATAAAATATATTTTTATTTTTTGTGTTACAAATATAATAAATTCTGTTTTAAAGTTTTTTTTTAATGTTGTACTGATTATCATCTTCTAATGTTTTTTGTTGAGCATGTGGTCATTCTGACGTGTTGATACAAAAAAATAAAATGTACTTAAACTTACTGGTTTCTTTTTGTTATTTTTAATTATATCATTTGTAGTTTGTAGCTCTACTTCAAGACTAAACATTAGTTGGTCAATTTGTTTTACTTTTGGCAAACTGAATACAGAGAGTAAAGTTAAAGATAGTCGTTTGGTTTGTTTTGTGTAATAAAAACTTTTGAAATATCTCACTAATGCTGAGGAAATTTAGAGTTTTTAATTTTTTTAATGCATTTTTGTACAAGGTCTAAGAAAGTTCTAGTAGAAGGAATCAATATTTTGATAATCCAATCTTTTTATTTTAACTTAGAAAACATTACAATATAAAATTAGTATGGTATATTTTTCAGAGAAAGAATAAGCATTTTTATAGTCATTGCAGTTGTAATGTTAATGAATATTTTTATTTGCAAGTACAGGTCCAAGCGTATTTTGACTGTGAATACAAATTTGGGTTACTTTAGTGTGTTTATTCCCTCTGCAATCAAAATTGACAATTTCTATTAAAGTATCCATTGATTGTTTTCAAATGTTGGCGACAAGTAAACAAATTATTTACTCATGCTCTTATAAACCCCTATTTTAACAACAATAACCCTTATTTAGAAATTAGTGGTTTTTTTTTTTTTTTTTGCCTAACCATGTATGAAAGTGTCTTTTAATGTCTGGCTCTAATAAAGCATAGGGTAAGGTGGGGTAATTCCACACACGGGGTAATTCCACACACTATATACTGGATACTCTCTATTTTTAATGAGAGTAAAGTTTAATTAAAAGTTACTATTCCCTGTTTCTAAGAGGTGATTTCTTGTACTTTCTGATACTGTTAGAGAAGCGTTCACCTACATTCAGAGCAAGAATTTTAATTTTATCTGCATCTATCTTCAAACATCCTTAGGTAAGTACAACACCTGCACTTTTTAAAAAATATTTTTTTGGTCTTATTTTTAATTGTTGTCAATTATGTATTGATCATATGAAAGCTTAATCATTTTTGTTAATAGTAACAGTTAATGATGCTAGATTCAGCCTTTAATTTAGAACAGGAAAGCATATTTTTTCAATAGTTGGTGTGGGGCAATTCCACACACATGGTGTGGGGCAATTCCATACACTATAGTTTGTAATGTCCCATGTTGCTTTTTATACTCTTTAGAGGGTTTGACTTTTATTTTAAACCATTTAAACTGGTTGTGGCTAATTCTGTAATTCACAACTCATGATTTAATCTTAAAAAATACTTGAATAGTACTAGATCTAGTACTATTTATTTTTTAAAAAGACTCTGCTATTAAAGTTAAGTAAAATTGCCACATACTTCTTTTATTTCTTTATCTATTATTGTTTTTACTGTACCTATATTATTTATTATAATTTATGCAATATGTAGAGCTAAACATCCTCATACACACATTAGTAATTAGACTTTCTAACATTTAATTTTGTATTTATTTCAGAATGGTTTACAATTATAAACGAATAACTTCGGCCTATGACAGATGAGAGTAGAATTCAGGAGGAAGAAATTGAGACTTTCTCCTCATCCAGTGATGAAGACTGGTTGCCCCCATGAAAAATTGTTTCCAAGGGGAAAAATGTTTTTTACACATTTAAAATACATGAATTTTAAAATTTTCATAATGTGTGTGGAATTGCCCCACTTGCCATGTTTTTGCAATAAAAGTAAAATATTTAAAAATTGTATTTTATTTTGTGAATTATCTTTCTATTTGTTTGCCATCATATAAGTAATGCATGTCTAGTTTTACCCTCAATATTATATTGTGGTAGTGTTGATTTTAGATTTTTTACAATTTTTTTAGAAAAGTAGTGTATGGAATTACCCCGGGTTACCCTACTTACTTATTGGCTAAAATTTACTGCACAGCCAATCAACTGCAACTCAAAATAATTATTACATTTTGTTAAGGATATTTTGATGAAAAATGAGCTTTGTTGTGTGTTTTTTAACATATTGGTGTGACCATTGTTTTGACAGACAAGTTTATCTTCTGCTACTCAGTGATCTCACAGAGAAATAACCTGTTGTTGACTACCTTTGTATCATTTCAGCTTTCCTCATTGTATGAGAGTAAACCTCCTGTATCAAGGGCCAAAATGGCGCAGGTTACAAAATGTGCTATAAAAGCTATTAAATTTTATAAGCATGTTGTGCAAAGTGTGGAGAAATTCATCCAAAAGGTTTTTCACTTTTTTTTCTTTTTTATTAACAGTAAATTAAATTTTCTCAGTGATTGTATAAACATTAGAACTCTACATCAATGTATATTTATGGTTTTGAATAATTGTTTTATATTTAGGAATTGTAGTGATTTCTATTAATGTATTAAATTTTGTTTGAAAAACTGTATTTTTATTCTTTTTTTTTAGTGTAAACCAGAGTACAAAGTCCCTGGCCTCTATGTTATTGATTCCATTGTTCGTCAATCTAGACATCAGTTTGGTCCAGAGAAGGATGTTTTTTCACCTCGATTTACAAAAAACATTGTCAATACATTTGTTCATCTTTTTAAATGTCCTGTTGAAGAACGGGTAAGTGTTATATATTTATATGTGTATGTTGAAACAGAAAATGGATCTTAAGTTAAAATAAGCAGCTCAGGTTGCTGAAATGTATAAGTTGATTACACCTTATTTTTCAGAGTCGTGTTGTTCGTGTATTAAATCTTTGGCAAAAAAACACAGTATTTCCCATGGAAGTTATACAGCCTCTTTTAGATTTGGCAGCTGACCCAAACAATTCTGAACTAGTTACTGCAGGTAGGCAAATCTTATTTATGAGTATTTTTACTCTTAACTCCTGAAAGATATACATACAGAGTTCGTACGCTGTCTGGAAAGTCTGGAAAAAGTCTTGAATTTAGAAAAGTGAATTTAAGACTTAAAAAAGTCTGGAAAATCGCTAGTTTTTGGGCAGGATTTTTTAAAAGTCTGGAAAAAGTCTGGAATCCAGTTTTAGAAACAAAACTTCAAAGTCCATATTTTCCAAGTTAAAAAATTGCTATTTTTAGGTGAAATTACTCCAATTTTTTCCCCGCGCTTTTACGCGGGTTTACACTGTTGTGACTTTTTTCGCTGGTTCGCAGAAAAAAAACGGATGCTCAGTTGCTACGTCATTGGAAGAGGAGGGGAAGGGAGGGAAGAGATATTTTGTGTTGCGACTGACCGTGTGAATGTGTTACAAGTATTTAAAATTAAATTTAATGAAAGAATGATCGCCTTCAGAATTGTTAGGCTCTCGATTTTACCCGCTATTTTTCATTTTTTAAGTTTTCACGCAGACAGTCATAACAAAAAAATGATGTGGGTGGTGTATGAATGGTAGTTTAGATATAATTTATTTGTCTCTGAGGGTCATCCGTTTATGACATCCACAATTTTTTCGGATTTTAAACCCACCCCCCCCCCCCCCCTCCACACGCGTTCACTTACTTTGTATTAATATTAACATTTATAAGATTAATAAGTCGCGAGGCCTCCTTGGGTTCATACCCATATTTCTGTTTGCTTCAGCGGTCGCTTACCAAAGACATACTAATTTTATTTAGGAGTCGTCCATAAATGACGTCACACTCGGAAAAGTCGGGAGGGGGGTTTTATAAAGTGTGACGACACGCTCTTGCAATAATGTTATGGTGATATAAATACAGTGTTTTGTTTACACGCTGGGATGGTTTTTAACACAAGCATAGATTTCAATGCTGACGATTAAAGCTAGACTACCCCGCCCCTCCTTGTAACTACGGTCACTTGTGTGAACTCACCGTGACCCCAAGTTTGTAGTTGGTACTGCTTGGTAAGGAGGGTGGAGGGATAAGTCACATCTCAGTTCATGTTATGACGTATTAAACAGGCATACTGAAGCCTAGACTACTATGACCTCACAATGACCCCTTCACCGTGTCTTGTGGTTGTGGGGGGAAGGGGGGGAGGAGGATACCGGCAATTTTTTTTTATTGCAGACCCGTTCCTCAGCTATAAGTAGTATAAGTGTATAAGCATAATAAACAGTGAGTGATGTGGTTACAGCCTGCAGAATGTTTTTTTTTTGCTCCAATTTTTTTCTTTACAAGTAGCCTATATTAGGCTACTTAACAAGAGCAGACCTAAATTAATACATTACGTTAGTATTCTTTAAAGTAATTAACTCTCACTATTATGCAATACCATTTTAATAATAGTTTAATTGAAAACATAAGCATTTTGATCATGAACAGATTACATAAGTCTAATGTTTAAAACAAAATAGCTGCATCATTTTAATCAATTATTTTAATTGTTAAAACTTTAGGTGGAGTTGAGTAGGCAAACTTAGAAAAGTGATTTTCTGTCAATTTGGCTAGAGAAAGTTCAATATAAATATATCTCAACTGCCTAAAATAAATGTCAATTTAGTACAAGTAATTATGAGAGTACAAATGGTGCATCATTTTATAAATTATTCGCGAACACATTATCTGTATAAAGTCTGGAATTTTTCCAAAAAAGTCTGGAAAATGTCTGGAAAAAGTCTGGAATTTCATTTTGAAAAAGTAGTACGAACTCTGTACATACTATTCACGAGATATTATTTTTCAGCTCAAAGATCAGTTGATGCGGTTGTCAGTGTCACTCAGAAAGTGCCCCTGCCTGGAGCTCACTCTGGTAGTAATGGTGGGGATGCTGGCTCTAACCAACTTCTTCAGCAGACAGAAATGCTGAGTACAATAACAAAACTTTTACAGCAAGCACAGGAGGTCTGTACTTTACAAACTTTTTCTTAAATTGTGTCTATCTATTAATATAATGGTAAAAGTAGAGGCATGGGTAGCAAAATGTATTGACAAAATTACAAATGCTTTTATTTAACCATTAATGTCCCGTAACGCCCGCTGCCGCCCGACACCGTTAATGTCCCGTAACGCCCGCTGCCGCCCGCTTAAAATACGCATAGAAAAATTAAATTTGTTTCATTAAAATTTGGCCTACAAATCCTAATTTTTAACTAAACAGGAAGTCGGATGGTTTCAGCATCCTTTTCCGGTCTTATAATTTCAATGGCGCTTTTGAAAGATAAAAAATAATAGCTTCTTTCGATCTCGAAATTTTAGACTCATCTGTCCTTTTTTTAGTAGATTTAATATTAAAAATAAGATAAAATAATGCCTCTAAACGTATCTAGGCATGTATTTTATGAATTATTTATCTTAAACATAACCAAATTGATATTTAACTGTTAAATTCGATGCTTAGTTGTTTAGACAAAAATAAATAAAGTTGACTACCGAAAATGACCTGTTTTGAATTTTCTCCGACATTTTTTATTTTTTTACTGTACTTTTACCGAATATAATATATTCTATTTAATACTGTTGGAAAGCCAGGTTTATTCCCAACATTAAGCAGTAGTTTTTATCTTAATTTTCAATTTCATTTAGACAAAAACAAATATTTTGTGAAACTATTCACTTGATCATACAGAGTTATGCTCCTTACATTGGGCCGTCATGGGTGGAGTTTTGGTAGAATGAATGGGACATTAATGGTTAAACTGTTTTATTTATAGGCAGACAAAATGTATGTTTTATTTTATTTTTAGAGCATTTAAAGCTTGCTATTTTTAAAGGTTTTTATGCTTGTTTTAAGCATGAAATTTAGGTTTCTTTAGAAGCAAGAAGGATTATAACCCTTCCAAGACTTTCCATTCTGATGCTGTTGTACGTGATAGGCTGCATAGTCATTAATTATTGTGACCCCAACTTTATATGTTTTAGAGATAAGGTATATGCAAAACATCAACAGGACATTACACCACCCTTCCTTTAGTTAGGTTAAATGTAGGTTTAGAGTTGGGGTTAGGGTCAGGGTATTTCAGGGTGGGGGGAGGGGATTGTTCTAGACAGGCTCTCTTGTAAACCTGATACAGTTTCTATTTAGTTATCACTATGCTGTTTTCATAATAGTAATAGTGATCATTGTGTCCCATTGAATGAACATTACAAGACCATATAAATCACCCCTGCTGTTCTGTTTTTAGGGTTCTATAACAGGCACTGCTCCTGAGTCTGAGCTACAGCAACTTCAGCATTTGCAGCAACAGCTGGTGATGCAGACTGAAAGAATTTCTAAACCACAAGAATCAACTCCCCCAATAGACAGTAATCTACTTGCCCAGATTCAAATGTTGACTAACCAGCTGTTACATAAAACTGGGTCTGATTCAGGGGACACTGGGAAGCTACACAAGGCAGCTGAGCCATTGTTCAATAAGGTCAGTTTATTTATTGGCTATTCACTTTTGTGCTAAACTGTGGGGCTGAACACATATTGTCATCTATCTGGCTTTTAGAGTCATTTGTTGTTGTTTTGTTTTTTTTAAATGGTATTATTTTATTATACTATCTGATTGTTGGCAAAACATGGGTCATTTTTGTTGAAATTCTCACTTTTTGTAGCATGGTTCTTGTGCTTCTATGTAAATGAATATCCAACAGGAAAAATAGGTAGTTTATGTAGTGATATTCCTAGTTTATAAATTACCATTATTTAACCATATTGAAGAACCCATACAGTAACAGGTGATTGTTTTTTTTATTTGCAGAAACTTTTAGATTTTGATTATGGAGACAGTGAGGAAGATGATGATGGTCAAGATCATCATCACCACCACCATCACCAACAACCACAGCAAAGATTATTGCTACAACCAGGGTATGTTCTTGCATCGATAGATAGCTTGCACAGTTTTTTGTATTCTGCCTTTTAGCTTGGCTTCCAAATGTTAATTCAAATGTATATTTTATGGTTAATTAGTATCTGAGGACATTATATAGTTATGTTTTTCACTTGTGTACAAATATAATGAAAAATTAAGGTTGTTTTTCAAATGTGTTTACTATGTTAGGCCTGGATTACTGCAAAACTCAGATCTCCTGCAGCAGATCCAGCAAATGTCGCAGCAACAAGAGCAACTTGAGTCTGAGATTGGTGCTCAAGAGCAACTGCGTAGACGGTTGCTGGAGCAGCAGCAACAACAGTTTGATAGGGAGATTGAGCAAGTAAGGTGTACAGTTCTGCTTACACTGAAACTTTTCTTAACACACAAATAATTACTTTGTTCCTTACTTGTAAAGGTGTTAATTTTTTCAATAAATCTGTGTTTAACTGGCCTTTGAAACATTTTCAGGCTGCTATAATGGCAAATCAAGATAATTACTCTAACCAAGATATGGATAGCCGACAAGGGGATGGGCAAGAGCAAGATTTCTCTGGTAGAAGACGGCACAGAGATTCCAAAGAGAGATCTAGGTAAACTATTTTCGTTGTATTTCTTTTATTTCTTTATTTAATTGTAGTATTATTTTATTTTTAAACAATTGTGAATGTAATGATGTTTTTTCTATAGATCACCACGTAGGAGGCCTAGGCGTTCGCGGTCACGTTCCAGAGAAAAGAGAAGGCGATCTCGTTCTAGGGATAGACATAGACGGTCGAGGTTAGTACAGTGAAACATTTTTTCCTATGACAAACTAGGTTAAATCATCATTTTCCTGGTTATTTAATACAGTGCATCATTATTTATTTTATAGATCAAGGGATAGAGAAAGAAGAGATCGTGAAAAAGAAAGGGAAAGAAGAAAAAGAGGACTGCCACCATTACGAGAACGCTACGTTAGCAGTAAGTTTTCCCTACACTTATCATATTACTCTATTTTATGCTTGATATATTTTAATAAAACCACTAATTTTCTAGTATGCAGCATGACTTTATGGTTTGGACATTTGACTAAACACACTACAGAGGAGGAGCTCAGAGAACACATTGAAAAATATGGGACCATCAAAACAATAAATGTAAGTACATCTTGTTTTATGACAATCTGATAAGTTACTTCAAATTTACTAAAAACAATTAAAAGTTTAGACAACAGATGTTTACACATTAAATTTATTTTTTGCTTAGATGATTCCTCCAAGAGGCTGTGCATTTGTGTGTTTGACAAAGAGAAAAGATGCTTTTAAAGCATTGGATAGACTTAAAGGAGTCAAAGTCAATGGGAATGCCTTAAAGGTTGGTAATTATGTGGTTTGCTTGATATATAGCTAAATGATGACTTTAGTGAATTGTTTTTGTATATTGTTTTCAAGCCACTTGATGTCACTCAACTACATCACAATACCATTATTCATATTACCAATTTAAGTCATTGGTTTATAATAAAATACTAAATTAATTTAAATACAACTAGTTTCTTGTGCTATTGCTAGTTAGCCACATATTGAAGCCAGGTGCATTTTTAACATTGATCTTTGAATAACATTTAGACCTTTAAATTTATTCAACAGGTTGCCTGGGCTCCGGGTATTGGTGTTAAAGAATCTATGTTCAAAGATTTGTGGGATGTTGATTTAGGAGTTACATATATCCCTTGGGAACAGTTACCTTCAGATTTGGTACCTTTTGTGGCTGGTGGCATGGTTGATATCGATTCCTTGCCAGAAAAGTTAAAAGGTTAGTTTTTATAGTGGTTAACTGTTACATTTCTGTGCGATGTCTTGATTTGGTACATTTTTTTTACTATTGTAACCTTAAGCATTTTATTTTAAGACTGATAAAAGATGAGTGTTTTTTATTCAGTGAGGTTAGCTTTTTAAAAATGTCTCTACCATCAGGCATGAAAACAGGAGAAGAGGATGAGGGAGAGGAAGTCCAGCACCACCATCACCAACAACAGAACCAGACAATGGATGGAGGGATGATAATGCAGCCTCCTCCTCAGTTGCCACTAAATTTAGGACAACCACCTAACTTTCCTATGCCAGGTATGGTAGACAAGTAAAAAATATTTCATTTGAAATAAAAAGCAGTTTTCAAAGATCATTGAGCAGCCGTTTGAAACTAAGAATTGGCCAGTTTTTGTAGTTTTTTTTGTTTTTTTCAAAGATCCATTTATACTTCACATTAATTGTGGTACCTTAATTTTTTCAAATATGTACACCTATTTGTTACTTTTTTGTATCATCCGCAACAAACCAACTAGTTTGAATTTGTAGTCCAAATAATTTTTGGAATGAATAATGTGACTCCTCCTATTAATAGTAATTTACTAATTTATGTTTCCAGGTCAAGGTCCAATGGGCATGATGGGATTAGGGCCACTTGGCATGCTGAATGCACCACCACCACCAATGAACATAAGGCCTGGAAATATGAACAATATTGGTGGAATACCTGGACTGGGTGGTCCAAGGCCAGGACTAGCAGGGATACGGCCAATGAATATGGGACCACAGGTACTGCAGTCTGTCTTAGACTATTGCTTTTTTATTTTGATGTCTTCAGTGCTAGGGCAACCGCATATGGCTATAAATAGTTGAGCTACTGTAATACTCGTAATAACAAGAATTTAATTATTCCCAGACAATCTTTAAGCAATTTATTTCCTTAATTCTTTAGGGTCCCATGGGAAATGAGATGCTAGGAGGTCAAGCACCAAGTCCGAGAATGGATCTACGGTCTTCACAAATGGGAATGAATTCTCCTCGTGGACCTTACCCTCCTTTTGGGAATATGCAAAGATGGCAAAGTCCTGGTGGCATGAGACCTCCATTTTTCAATCATGATCAGATGGGAGATGGAGACATGCGTGGCATGGCAGAACCCAAGGAGTGGCCACCAGATGATGAAGTCAATGCAGAGGATGAGCCAGATGAAGACATGGATTCAGATGAAAGAATTATTCCACCGGGAGGTCGGATGAACAGACCTGGAATGCATAATCTCCAGGGTCTGGGTCAACCATTTGGACCCCACAACCAAATGTTGCCACCAAACCAAATGCTGGGTATTTCAAGAGCCCAAAGTCCAAACAGTGGCATGCCCTCGTTGCTTTCTTTACATATGATGCCTCCTGGCCAACAGCAGCAGGTTCTTGCTGTTCAAGGAGGTCCAGGAGGGTTTGCCCTGGCGCCTGGTGGGGTTAGGTTAGCTGTTGGGGTCAGGCCTGGTTTGGTACCTACTTCCTCTCACATGCTGCCCCCCTCTGCTGGGGGTATGCCCAGACCAAACTCCAGCCCAAATTCAGACATGCCCAACTCCCCACAAGATGATATGATGGGCTCCCATTCTGCTGGACCCGTTCCACTCATGCAAATTCAGGGTGGCAATCGCCAGCCCAGTGGTCCTATCTTAGGACGAGGATTTGCACCAATGACCATTAGACCCCGAGGAGGTCCGGGTCTCTTAGGGTTGCGGCCTGGGGCACAGGGCATTGGTGGCTTTGCAAGGTTTGGTGGGCCTCGTCCATTAATGGGACCAAGCTTCCATGGAATGGAGAGACCACCATTTGGCAACAGGTTTGGTGGACCTTTGCGTCCTCCTATTGGATTCTTAGATCAGGATGAGAGAGAGGATAAAGATGAACGCAGACCACCACCTAGAATTGATGAGCAAGTGGTACCAGGGGATGTTGATGAGCGCCACACACAAGACTTGGATGAAAGGCAGGATATAGATGATAGGCCCAAGCCCACTCGTGCATCTGGTCGTCCCAGCCGATGGTCCCATGCAGCTGGAGAAACATCAGGTTCCGAAACCAACTCCCAGCCTAGTGGTGATGTAGAAGAAGAGGCTAAAGATGCCAGTGACAATTCAATTCCTGAAGAGAAAGCAATTCCTGTCGAGATAGCAGACAACTGTGATGCTAGTGATCCACCCACTTCAGATAACTTGGATGTGCCCCAGGTCCCCATTGCCGATAACCCAGACACACCTGTAGGCATGCCCCAAATCTCTCCGACAGAAACTTCAGATATCCCCAATCAGACTACAGAATCTCTGGAGGATACTCCTGTTATAACCAGTGTCGGTGTAGACCCTCCTTTGTAATGATGAAAGCTTGTTTTAGTTTTGGGAGTACTTAAGAGTTCTGCTGCCTATGTGATCAGCTCACGTGTTAGATTTTAACCAGTTTATTGTTTGAATGGGGAAGTCAATAAGTTGGGTGGTGTTGCTTTATTCAGATCCTTTCACTTGATTTAATTGTGTCTACAGTGGTCCTGTAAAAATGAAATTCTTCTTAATTGCTTCCTTTACTTTCATTATTTAAAAAAAATAAGTGGTTTGAAATAACGGTAAGTTTGTCATGACAATTGTCATGTTAAACAAGATCTCTACCATCGCCTGCTTATACTACAAACAATGCAGCTAAGGAAAATGACAACTTGTTTTCAACGGGGCGGCAACAAATCCGGAGGGTTAGTGTTACCCTAGGTTTGTATCAGCGTATGCCTAATGTGCGTACTGCTGTTGTCGGTGTAGGAGGGGGGAAAGAGGAAGGTTGTACTTTGCTTTTTGTAATTTTATTTTCTTTCATTGTATCTAAAAACCAGTAAATATTTTTATGAGATGTTCTTGAAATTGCTAGCATTTTTTTAAATAGGTAAAGTAACAGTCGGTACCTTATATTTGGTTCATTTTGAGGTACTGTTACAGTTTGTGAAATAAAATTTTAACAAAGTTTTGGATAGAAATTATTTTTTTCACAACTAAAACTAAAATCAAGATAAAATTTAAATGTACTTAAACTTCGTGGCCTAGATCTGACCTTCTGTAACCTTCCCTAATTTTTGTCCCTTTAGCATTATTTTCTTTTGCCTTACTATTATACTTCTTATCTGACTTAAGTTGTCCTATCTTTTAATTACAGATTATTTAGATCTGTCTCTCAGATCGGAAGTATTCATTTACTTAAATGATTCCGGTAGGTCTATTTGAAATTTATTTGCTGAATATTTTGTGATTCTAATTTCACAAGTAGATCTACCTGGAATCTTATTCACGCACTTCCGGTTCGACGGTACGGGTTTATTTGCAACGCATGTGTTATATAATTATATATAATGTACCATTTCTTTTTAATTTTAACCACAATTTCTTAGACCGCATTCAGTTGAATTTTTGTTTGTTTTTTAAACCCGTGCTAAAGTTAGTGTCAAATTACATTAATTACGGGTAGTTTTTTTTTTTTTAAACGTAGGCCTAGCCTAAAAGTAAAACTAAAACACAGTAGTAAACACTAACTTGGTGGTTAGTTCGACTAAACGGTGTAGAAAAGTATAGATAATTGGAAGTTTAGCTGAATTTTAAATGTTAGGCGGTATCGGTATAGTTTGTTTTACGTTAAAATCAACGAGATCTAGATTTAATTGTAATATATGCATTCGTTTCAGGGAATAGGCTTACTAACTTTTATGTATGGTGGTCTTCTTGTACTTCTACAAATTACAATAACCAGTTTACTAATCTAAGAGTTTTTAAGCAAACTTGACTCAGCAAAATTAAAGCCTTTGTATGGTTATCAATATAATTATAAAGTAGGCCTACACCTTTGTACTAATTGTACAACGAACTATTAAATAAACCGGGAGTGATCTCCCCTAAGCTTTCTCGAATATTCTTATATAACAACACGGGGAAATTATTTTTAATCCCATTTTAATCGCTTTTAAGAATAGAATCTCGTAGGAAAAAAAATTGCGCACCAAGTGAATGGCAAACTGTGTATAATTGTTAGATCTAGTACTTTCATGCCTTTTTTTTTTTTTTTTTTTGAGACATTGGAAATAGCGTAAATTACTCAAAATTTGACAGAAGGCAGGGCGTTAAACGAAATTTCACATAATCTATAAGTAAAAAGTCTTGACTCCCTGCCTTCTGTCAAATTTTGGGTAATTTCCGTTGATCGTGAGTAGTAATCTGAAACAGTACTAAAGTTATAGGCTTTTGAAAAACTAAAAGTTGAATAAGTTCTGTTGTCGGAAATAGCTGATACATGACTACAAATTTGATATAATACTTGTAGGCGAAATTTCATCAACATAGCTCTAACGGTACTCAAAAGTCCAGTTTTTCCGACTCGATTACGCAAAACGTCGAAATTTTGATAAATCTGAATTTAAAATTTTTGCCCGATTAAAATAAGTCCCCTATACTCCGGATATGATGAAGTACTGAGAAGTAATACAGTGAAAACTCAAAATTTCAGTATAAGAAAAATGAAAACTTCCATTTATCTTTAATTTACATTATGGCACAAACATTTTAGAGTAGCCCACTATAAAAAGATCTCCATTATTATTTTTTCACTAAAATGAGAACGTGCCTGAAACTGAAAATAATAGATCTCGTCTGGTCTTCCTTATGATTATCTAGGTTTGGCTGATTCTTTTATGTATTTCTGCAATGATCGCTCCATCCTCGCTCAGTTCTTCTGCCGTTTTTTTCTTTTTCATCTTGGCAATGTTGTTTATGAAAGAATCTACAGATTTTTGTGTTCGGTTCATTATTTCTAACTGAAAAGAAAAGAATGTATATATAAGTATAAGAAATAAGGAGCTTTGCCAAAGTAGTATTAGTCATTAGTGATAGAACTACGCTCTGGTTTATCGGAATGCACATTTCACATGAAATGGGTTTGTTCTTAATAGTGTAACAAGTTAAACAAGACATCAACAAAAGTATTAGGCCTATTACATCACTGCGCGATTAATACAACTTACTGTGGTAGTGTGGGTTATTAATTCGTTATGCCTGCTTACTGACTGCCATTCGATTTTAAAAAAAAAAAAAAATACTTAACATACAAACTGCAAATACACTCCAACTTGTATGAAAAGTTGTGCCGGTGAAACTGGAACGTTCAACATTAACGCTATATCCTGCTCTAAATCTCTTCGTATGTTAACTAAGTCATTTTACAAAGAATTTTTTAAAAGACAAACTGCTAAATCAAGTCACTGTAAAGCAAGGATCTGGAAAACAAGTGCCAGAGTGGTGGATCAAGAGTAAGTATACCAACATGATGCACTATTGGCAGTGTTTTTCCAGGCACTGGGGGGGGGGGGGGGTCGGGGGACGAAATAATGGAATGTATACTTTAAATCGTGTCCCGCCCGTTCCCCGAGAAAAAGGTCTGGAAGAAACACTGGTTGATCATATGACTAGGGAGTTTATCTTGTCTCGCGTTTTTACAACACGGCTACAGTATATGTCGCTATCAATAAATAATAAATTATCAACGTTAAAACTTTGAGTTTCAAAATTTATGTATAGGCCCTAGTATAAATTGAATTGTTGATGTGGGGAGTTAAACTCTTTTGTGCCCACGCAAATTGGTTAATCATAACAATATTTGACAGGACGAATGGACCTAGATTGGCTAATGAGTTCACCGTGCTAAACAAGATATAGTGTCGTCATGCCGTCGTAAAGTACCTGTCTTAAAAGGGTCGTTCAACACAAATTACCCATGAAATTTCTCTTACCTCTTGTTTCTTACACTCTTCGAGTGCGGGTTTCCTTAAAGCAAAAAGTTGCGAAGTCACACCATATCGCATGTTAAAAGAATTATTTGCCTGTTGCAGCCCGCTGTTGCCTCCCCTTGAATCTTTCTCCACTATTTTACTGGCAACTGGTTCGGACATAGTACGCCATCGGTTCGGTGCAAAAGGTGCTGAAGGGCGGGCGTATAGTGAACGATGCTGTGCTAAAATCCCACTGTTGCCACTCCGCATAATATCTTCCATAAATTCCCTTTGAAATTTTTGTACGCGCAAGTCTGCCAGCGGCGCAATACCAATTTTACTTGGGTTCTGCACAAATCCATAGATCGCGCTGGATGGAGCAGAAAACTTTGGCTTTTCAGAAACAAAACTGGGTAAACTTTTGGTGCGGGGCTGCCTTTCATCTCCGTTGGAATGGTATCGGAACCCGTGCCAAATTGTGTTGTTGTTTTCTAGCTTTGCTTTTATCAACTTTCTGTGTTCTACGATAGAAGCGGAGATTGACGAGTTGACGCGATCTAATCCAGTGACGGATAGGGCTCTTCTCTGGCGGTCTAACCTGAGCTGGAAAATTTTAAAAAAAAATTAAATCACTTTAACGAGTCTGTAAAGAAGTAGACTTGTTGGGTTACTTACCTACAGCAGGGGCGTAGCGGGGGGGGGGTGCGGACCGCACCAGGTGACACCATTTAGGGGGGTGACACCAAGGCAAAAAATAACAAATAGAGAAAAGCTTGAGGGGGGGGGGTGCAAATCGAAAGTTTGAGGGGGGGGTGCAAATTGAAAGTTTGAGGGGGGTGAAAATCGAAAATTTGAAAGTTTGTCCCCGGGAATGGTCGCTACGTCTCTGGGGGGGGTGACACCATTACGTGCCGCACCGGGTGAGACCCGACCTCGCTACGCCACTGACCTACAGTGTTTCTTTTAGGCATCTCCTCGTAACGGGCACTCACCCACCCACCCCAATCGCCACAAACTTTCGAACAATTGTTTTTTTTTTTATTAATTAAAAATTAATGGGAAATATGCGACCAGTCTGACTATTTAAATTCTACAAGAAACAGGACAATAAAAATAAAACATGCCCTGATTTTTCTTCACACCACACCGTGCAAGGATGGTGATGTTAGTAAAGTCTGCACCAAGCATAATGCAAAAAAAAAAATTAAAAAAAAAACTAAAATTTTATTTTATGACATTAACGGCAGGTCGTACTTAGTAACCAAATACCATTAGGCCTACTGATAGATGGGCAAAATATATGGTAATGTTGTGTTTAACTATCTATAGTCTATAGTTAGCTATTAATTTAACTGGATGTAGTAGAATTCTCTCTTTATTTGACAAGAATGTCTTTGCAGTTTTTGTGTTCCGTCTCTCTCCCCCCCCCCCCCACCTCCCCCAAATGCCGTCACTCTGTGGGGTTCACAAACTTCAGCCACCTCGTGACGCTAACGTTTTTAAACTACTCATCATCGGGATCCGACAGTTTACGTCACCGTCGCCACAAAAAAGATTACTGTAAACAAACAAAAAAGGGGAACAATTATAAATGTATTACCTTCCTTTCGTTAGGCAACATAAGCGTCGGTTTATTTTTTTTCATTTGTCTAAGGAGCGGCATTGCCAGTTTGTCACTGGTAATCTGTTTTATCTTGATGGTGTCCATTTGGATTGACTGGAGCAGTTTCGGCACGCTGTTCTTGCGGCCTCGGACGATCCCGGCTCGAGCGATCAAGCTTTCAGGCTCGGCCATGACTTACGTACACTATTAGCTGTCAAGGGAATTAAGGACATTAGATGGCAGCAGTGTTGGTTCCAAAAATTTTTTCTCCGAAGAGATGCCTGGAAAAAACTCTGGATGGCAGTGACGTAGATAGTGAGGTTTTGGAGGCTGAACCGACCCCCCCCCTCCCCAGTAGCGTACGCAGGGGGGAGCAGGGGGAGCGGCCGCTCCCCCTCTGGCCATTTTCAGCAAAGTGGCGCCTTTTTGGAAACTTTTTAAACTCAAAGATTTAAACAACGATATTTGTTAAAAAAATATTTTTGGTCGACACATCTATGTAAATCACAAGTTTTCTTTTCATGCAGCAATTAAGCATTATTGTACTAGTCTAGTAGTGTCTACGTTTACAACACCCGACCTCGCTACGCCACCGTATATATGTATGTTTAGGAAAGTCATCTAAAAACTGACGCTATATTCACTCTGAGTTTGTTATCTTCCCCCCCCCCCCCACACACACACACTTCACCACCACAATTGTGTAGAGCAACATTAATGTCACACCTAGGTATACACTGGGTTGGATAATTGACCTACAGTGACCGGACAGTGGTGAATGAAGTTGAACCCACCCCCCCCCCCCTACCCACCCCGAACTGATCTGTTAAGTACAATTAGAAAAACGCGTAATGCTGTACCAAAGTACCATGCCGCCAGAAAATTAACTTTTTAAACGTAAAACTCTGTGAATATGGTTTTTGCAATTACCAGTAAAAAGGTGTGTGATCAATACAGTGATCTAACCCATACCTATCACTATGTTAAAAAATTATCATTAAAGAACACAAAGAAGCAGTAGTTAATTAAAAATATATGATCTGAACTAAAGGACCGAAATTTAGTTAAATGTAGACTGTTATTCCGAATGTTTTTACTATAATAACGAAAAGCGTGGTTTTATACAATCTCTGATTTAAAAAAAAACTTTCATTATCCTGTAATACTTTAGCATTTATGATGATGATATATTAAATTTTGATTATAGACAAAAAAAAATTGTAAACACGAATAGTGTTAAACAATTTGATTATATTCTAAAGTAACTATTTATTTGTTTTGAAATTTATAATTAAATGTGTAGATATATACATATTTATACTAAGAGAGTGATTATTTCCCCTATTTCACTTGTCTTGAATAATTTCCCAGGAATTATTTTGTAAGAAAAATTTTTACAAGAATTACAAAATAGATTGTGTTACGTTCATTGTTTTTGGTTGTGTGTGTATATTTTTTTGTTCAGATTGATACAATTTTTGTTTTGTCGGCCTACATTGTGTGTTTTTCCCCACGTTTTCTTTAACTTGCTTTCGCGTCTGTTTGGTTCTCCAATCAAATCTTGCGATCGAAATTTCGGGCACTTCCCGGTTAGCTAGCGCGCTGAAATTTTCAGGGAAGCTTTGTTTCCGATGACCATAGAATATTCAATTGTTATTATTACTAAATTGATCCATGGAAACATTTTATTGATCATTTTAGGCCGCTATATAATTGTACAAAAACGTGGGGGAAAAGGGACATAACCCAGTAACTGTAATTTGATGAAAACAAGGTTCGGGACTCTCTCTCTTTTTGCTTACTGACTAGTGTTCACGCAGTGTTTGTGTACAAACAACCAGAACGTAACAACTGGTGGCCAGTATGGGGGAGACGATATGGTCGAGTGGTTGGGCACACGATTGCTATCCCACTCGGCGCGGGTTCAAATCTATGTGTTCTAGTCAGTAACGTATTCACACAACGTGTTTTTTTTACGAGTTGTCTTTTTACGAGACTTTAATGCTATACAACTTTTACGAGATTTTAATGCAAACAAACAGACAAAGACTAAAAAGTAGAAAATAATAATCATTAACAATGTTTAAAAAAAAACACGTTTTCTGATTGAACTAAAAAGTAGAAAATAAATGTTATACATCACAATAATGCAAGCGATCACTCTAGTATAAGCGATCAAAAACGTGGGGCGCCGTGATTTTCTGACAGTTTCTAATACTGTTGAATCTCTACAAGCTCCCTAATAAAAGTCAATTCTTATTTCTTAAGAGTGCTACTTTCAGTTTATTTTACATCATAGCGAAGTAATAAAATACAGCTAGTAATATATATATATATATATATATATATATATATATATATATATATATATATATATATATTTTAAAATACACGTATATAGAACGTGTTAAAAATTAGGCGCCTTTTTTTGCTCTTTTCGCTCCCCCTACAAGGAAAACCTGGATACGCCTCTGCCCCTCCCCCACATGTAAACCAAAATAACGTAGTCTACAGCTACACTACCGACGACGGTGCACGGTGCGTTCTTGTTGCCTTCGACGTTTACAAGCAAAACCAAAAAGACAAGTATAATCGAAGGCAACGACCCATGTGGCGCATAACACGTAAAACTTAATTGTGTTGGAGGAATGGAAGAAATCCTGTCCAACATTACAATTAAGAACGAAGGATAAGAAGATTTGACTATGACATAAACGATCTTCTAACACTTCTAGATCTAGGTCTGAATGCTACTGTGTTATCTTTATTTTAATAGTGACAGTCTGTAAACTGTAAGCTATTCGCTTAGATCATTCATGACTTTCAAGTAAAAAAAATTTAGGTTAGGCATTACATACCAGCGTGGCAAGTGTTCGTGCATTTAATCTCAGCTGCCTATAAGAGTCAACTTTAAGTTTAAGTGATTCTGCCAGTGTGAGTGAAAACACTCATGTTAGACTTTGGAAATCTTGTATTTTCTAGTGTTTATTTCATGCTGTGTTTTACATGGTGCGAATCGGGAACGTTAATGGAAAAATCACTCTTGTATGTGCAAACTCCGTAGGCAAAATCAATACATAATTATAAAAATCGTTTATTATTTAAGGGAAAAGAAAACTGTGGCTAGTTGTTGAACTGGTATATAGCCTTTTCAGAAAATGGTAGCGTGTGTCAAACTTTTCGAAGCTGTAAAAAAAAAAAAAAACTCATTGCACAAGGACACGCGGTATAGGCCTCTTGGATTTATAATCAACGAGCCGACCCGCGGCGTATTATACGCCGCTATTTAGTTGTTTTATTTTCTACATTACAGTAATTCATAATTTGTGAATTCGACAGTACCAATGCTGCCACTGAAAATATTTGCTTTAAAACACTAAAACCCTCCTCCCCCCCCCCCCCCACGTGAAAGCAGCCTCCACTTAGTTACTTCCCCTAAGTATAAAATAGTTTTAAACTAAATTATCTGCCCCTAAACCCGGCTCTACGATGTAAACATTTAGCGTGAACTACAGCTCACCAGACCATGTGGGGGTGGTTGCGATATGCCTAGAGAGGAAAAGAGGGGACTGCTAGGCGCGCTTACAGCTTGTTTTCTAACGTCTCCCAGAAGAGAATTATATATATAGATTAAAATGATATTTAACCTCTCTTCTTGAGTTGTCTAACCTTAACTCAATACTTGTCTGACACTTTTGGTTATCAACCTTTCGTTTTGCTCATCTTTTTTTTTTTAAACAGCGATTATACTTGAACAATGTTCAATGTTAAACATTAACAAAACTAAAATATTAAATTAATTTTACACAGGCCATAACCTTAAAGTAAATAAAGAGGCAGACATAAAATCTAGATCTGTCTTTTTGTACACAGTCAATCGTCAGTGAATAATAGGTCATAACCATACGATGCAGAAGTATAGACCACACGTGTTATAACTTTTATCTAAAATCTAGATAGGTTCTGCCTTTTACTTTTACACAATCACATAAAATATGGAAATCTGTATGACTTTATCAGTCCTCACAAGTCAATGATGAAAACTGTAGTAATACTAAAGCGAACGGCAAGGCAAAATCGTGCTGTAGGGGAAATTAGGCTACATATCTCGGGCGAAAAATAATGTATTCAACACAACTCAGCTGAAAGATAATTAAATATAAACTTTATTCCATTCAAATTTACCAACAACACATGAAATTAAACAACTGTGACCTAGTCCTCTGATGTGAACCCATAAACAGAGTCGAGATCAAACCATGCTTGACCAGCTATATCTTTTTTCATTTTACTTTTTGCACTGGCTGCCTTGTTTTTTGGAGATGTTGTAAAAAACACATTAGATTTCTTAGCTGGGGCTTTCCTAATGTTAAGCGTTTTAAGATCATCAGCAATCTGTAATGTTTTACAAGAATATTTTTTCATTAAAACGTAAAAGAAACTGAGCTCATTAAGTTATTAAAATATCTATCAGCACACTAATTCTAAAGTTTTGCCTTACCTTTGCACATGATTCCTCATTTTTCTCAGCAGATTTATGGGATTTTTTTTCCTGCTTTAAGTAAAACAAAAATTGTTATGAAATGAATCAGCTAAAATAAAAACAAAACAATATTGTCACACTAAAAGACGTAATAGGAAGAGAACAATTTTAAATGTTTTAAAAGTATTTTATAACATGATCTAGCTTGTAAATCAAATTTTTACCGGCATAAAAAGTCTAACCAGACAGATTTTTAACAACTGCTTGTTTGTCTCAGCTTCAAACCAAGTTAAAGTGTCATGTAAGCCAAAACAATGTATACAATTATTTGACAACAACATACCAGCTTTTGGTGGTTATCTCTCAAGGTTTTAGTTAAGGGAATCTTGCTTGGTGTACCACTTTTAGGAGTTGACTTTAAAATGGGTGTAGCTACAGGTTTATGTGGGCCTTTTGACTCTGTCTGAAACATTTAATCAAATAATATATAAAGTTAAACTATGTGTTATAGACTTTGAGCATAACTTTTGAATTTTTTAGTATTATTAAACCAATGCAGAGGTTCATAATTTTTTTTAAACTTTAGATTAACATCTATGTATTATCAAATCAGTAAGTGGTCACATTTCTTTTACAACATCCACAACAGTGGTTAAACCTCATCTACATCTATAATTGGTAATGTAAAAATTAGTTTACAAAAACAACACTTTAATGAAAACCGATGATAATATTCACTAAATTTCGATTATATAAGCAGTTTTACATCCAATTCCATTAAATCAGATTCATCAGATGACCCCTCCTTATCACAGCCGTTGTTTGCAAAGGCCACTTTCCTTCTTTTGGTTACAGAATTACATACTCTCAGAATACTTCTCTGAGGTGTTTTCAAACCACATGATGTAGGCCTATTTGAAGGGGTTAGCAGAGTATAAGTTACTGGCATTGATACAGCTTTTGGACTTGAGGGTTCATTCTAGAATGTAAATATAGTGAAATCATTATCTTTAAGCAAATAATATAATAAATATCAACCTATAAAATTCTCTTTACAAACAATGTTAGGTAAAGGAATGTGAAGATGAATGAATAAAATTAAATATGTGACAGTGAAAAGACTCAAGAATACACCAGTGACAACTGCAAATTCTTCTTTTAAATATGTTACACAAATTTCCTTCAATATTAATTTTTCTTTAATATCAATTATAATTATTTGTATTTAGATTTATATATTGCATGTACCTTTTTTTCTTTTATACTTTCACTTTCATTGTCTGCTCTATTTTTAGATGTAGGTGTTTGCACTTTATTGATTGGGTTCAAAGTGCATATGACATCAGGAATTGGATTTTCCTTTTTAAAAAAAGTACAATATAAAAACAACACCTTAAGCAAATTTAAAACAATTTTCTTTACTATGATGTAAAAAATATAAATAAAAACTGTACCTCATTTTTTTGTTTTAATTTGACTGTTAATTGTTCTATTTTCGCTTTACATTCTGTAAGTTCTTTTTCTAGTTTCTGAATATCAAAATAGAATAAAAAGCCTTTTACCAAAACAGCAACAAAAATTAAATGCAACAGAATCCTAGTATCATAAATTGATCAGTTAATCCCAATAAACCCAAATATACTCTACTTTTAAGTAGGATAAGACAAGGCTACCAGACACCTCTAGCTTTAAAGTACTGTACTCAATAGGCCACATTTATTTTGTACCTTAGAAGATAAACATACATTTGTCTACAAATCCCACAATGATCTGACTTACTAACACATAAGCCTTTTCATTATCCATTTTCATGGTCAGACTTTGAATTTCTTTATTCTTTTCACAAACAAGTTTTTCATTGTTCTGCTTGTAGGAATCTAAAGTTGCCATCATTTCAGTCAACTGAGCATCTGTAAGCTTTAATGCATTATCTTTTTCCTTCTGTGCATTACTTTGCATTAAAATTGCCTGTATAAGCCAATTAACATATATAAATTAAAACTTTCAGTATACAAACCTAAATGATAATTTGAAAAGACAGGTTTTTTAAAACAAATTCTCCTGTATTAATTTATAATGCTTAAAAGGCTCAGGTTGAAAATATTTTTCAGTATGCCATATCTGTTAATTTAAAATAAAATGAGATCCTGCACAGTAAAAACTGAGTTAAAAATTTTTTCTTAATAACCAACCTTTTCCATTGCAAGTTGAGTTTTTTCAAGCTCATCAGCACAAAGCTTCTTTATTTTCTTCACTTCTTCTTCACAATTTTTCTTTGCCATTTCTGCTTCTTCTTTTAACATTTTCACCCAGTCTAACTCTTTTTCAACTGTAAGTAGCTTCTCTTTATTTTCACTTAAAACCTTTGATTCAAATTCTAATTTCCCCTTAAGAGACTGTATCTATATAATAATCAAAATGTCAAGTTCATTTTATAAATGCATCATAGAAATATAAGCTTTTAGGAGAAAATATTAAAATTCTGTTTGAAAAATTTGTTTAAAATATTTATTGTAAATGAACTGTCCAACATGAATATTTGTAAATAAACAAGCTTATAATATTCTCTTCCAATGCAGTAACTCACTTTATAATAAGCCTGTATTCTAAAAGCAGTGTTCACTTCATTACATATCAATTTACCCAGATTAACTATAAAATTAGAAGATTAAGTACCTCGTTTTCTAGTTCTTTATTTTGTTCTTCTGTTATAGTAATTTTGCTTTCATGTGATATCAGTGACTTATCCTGAAAGAGAAGTCTTGTTTTAATAGAGATCTAGTTTCTTTTTGGATTACATAAACACAAGAAAGATAAAATATTAGTTTATAATGTTTAAAAGGCAAAAAAATATATGCTGAGGCTACAAAACTCACCATTTCATTATTTAAATTACTTATCTGCAATTTTAGATCTTGGATTTCTTTTAGCTGCTTATTTGTATTAGATCTAAAGACAAAGTTAGAATAAAGGTAAAATCATTTTTTATCCTGGAGTTAAATTAAAAAGAAAAATCATTCTTTTAAAGCTTTGTCTGTCAACACAGTCAAAATATATAAACACCTCAATACTTTTAAGATATTAGACTATATGTATTAAGTTAGCAGACAAACCGTAGCAATTCAAGTTCATCTGTATAATTCTTCACTTCATTTTCTTTTTCTGTGTTCACTGATTTAAGATTCTAAAATGTAATATAAAAAGATAGGTGATTTACAGTTTTAAATTTAATTTATTTCTACATGAAGTAAACATCTTAAATAGAAGTTACATAAACATTTGAATTTAAAAAAAAAAACTAAACTGTTTGGTCATTTCTAACTACAAGTTTTTATCTCTATCAATGTGTGCATAGTACAAGGAATAAACTTTTAATGTTTATTTTAAGTTATTTTAATTAAAATAGCCTTTTACTCCACTTTTTGAAACATAAATAAAATAAAATTCAATTTATAACTATTTACATTTTAAATGTGTATAAGGGATCATCATCTGATTGTTAATAGGGAAATTTAATTTAGAAGCTAGTCATTTCACCAAAAATACTAAACATTTGTAGTATCATGAGGTAATATCTCTTGTGGAGTAAAATAAACAGCATTTTAAGTATCCAAAATCATTAACATACCACTACCCAAAGTACCTACTATGTCATTTGAATTAAAATGGTAGAAAGAAAGATCATTCAAAACAACAAACCTTAAACAAAAACTAATTAACATTCATACCTCAATGGAAATGTGCAAAACTTCTACTTCTTTTTCTTTATCTGCTATAAGAAGTGTATTACTTTCAACCTTTTTTATTAGATCTAATACTTGCTTTTCTAACTGTTGATTCAATAGCCTACAAAAAAAAAGAAATTGTATTTTACAAACTTATTTTACAGACATAAAGCAGCCTTACTTAAAGCAAAAAAACTGCACACATTCAAACTAAAGTAGGTATTGTAAGCATTGTAAGTAAATGTATTTTGGACCTATTTTCAGAAAGAAGTATGTCTATTTTTAGACTAAACAAGAAAATTGTAGACAGATTAAATGTTAGATTCCAAATGAAAAGCAGAGACTGACAAATTTTAAAATAACACACCATAGACCTACCAGAAAAGTGTTCTTAACTTAAGCACAGCCAAAAATAATCAAATCTAATACTCTGTCTAATGACATTTTATAGGAGAAACTAAAAATCTCCCATTACAAACAAAATAAAGAAGAATCAGCAAAAATGAAAATTTAAAAAAAATTCATTTCAAAGACATTGTGAATTTTGAAGTAGATGGAAAATTTTATTTTAGTTATGTATATCACTTTTTTTATACAGTAAAAAGAAAAATAATTTTTTACAAATTTAGGCCTAATGCATACTTTTATAATACATTATTATGCCAAAAGCTTATTATTTGTTTGTACCAACCTTTCTTTTTCAATCATTTCTTCTAGTTTGCCAATGCTGTTCTGTTGTCTAATATTTTTATTTTCTTCTTCAGATAACAGACACTCTAAAGATGAACATTTCTCCTATAATAATACCAAAACTTAACATGATTGAACTTTGACTTAATCTTCAAAATAATTTGAAATTTACTTCTTTATTTTTCTGTAAGAGAAAGGCCCCACTTTAAAGATCTTTCTTGTAAATGGTCTAATAATACAGTGTGTAAAACAGTCAATGAATTTAAAAGCTCATAAATGAATATACTTTAACTTTTTCTATAAAATATTTTAAGTAAATTATCTATTTTCCTTTAATAATAATACTGTAAGCTGAAAATCTGTACCTGTTTTGCTTCTATATCAGCATTCAAATTAGCAATATGCTTGATATGGTTATCTCTCTCAAGAAGCAGGCAAGAAATCTTGGTTTGTAGTACTTCATTTTCCTCCTGTAATGAGACAGCTGTAGTTTTCAGGTTCAATATCACAAGTCTTTAACAACATATGATTACTTTTTAAATTGTGAAATTTCAAAATAAAATTTATAAAAAACTGACCTGTGCTTTTAGTTTGCATGAACTTTCCCTATCCAGTTTCATGGTTAACATTGAGATCTCATTATTAAGTCTACCAATTTCCTCCTTATCATCATTTTTCTCAGCCAACAAATTGTTCTAGATAATGTTATGAAACTGTTTATTTTTGTGCAGCTATAAAAACCAGCAATAGAAATCTCTATTTAAGATTTTAGCATGCAATGTTTTAAAATGATTTTTATGTTAAAAAATTACAGGATGGCATTGTTTATAATTTAGAGCTAATTACAAAACATAGGTGAATGTACAATATCACCACATTCAACAATTCTGGCTATGTTGAATTTTCAGGGAACAAAAAAGTAAAACATGCACACATATTTTTATCTTTTTATGCCTACCACTTGAAACTTTTCAACATCCAAGTTCATTTCACAGTTCATTTTTTCTATTATTAACAAGTCTGTTAAGAGAAAAAAAAAGATTAATTTGAAAAATAATAGTATTTATTTTATGAAAAAAAAATATTTTAAGTTTTTAAAAATATTGTTAATCATTAAGAATGTTTAAAGCTCCTACATAGCGAGATAAAGAGGATGTATTGTAAATCTGAATAGAAATTTTCTTAATTACTTAGGGGTCATCCATAAATGACGTCACACTCGTAGGGGGGAGGGGGGGTCCGTAATTTTGTGACGATGTGTGATGAGGGGGAGGGGGGGGTCAGATGTTGCGACGTCACATTTTTGCATTATAAAAAAGCAATGTTAGAAAACGAATTTTAGACGTTATTTCGCGTTTTAGATAACTGTTTTAATAAATTGTAATAGTTTAGACAAGATTTTGGAAAAATATCGATGTTTTTAAAAAATTCAACTACAATTTTGAGGGGGGTTGTAGGTTGAGGTGTGACGTCATTTTAGGGGGGGGGGGTCTGGCTTTTTGTGACAACGTGTGACGGAGGGGAGGGGGGGAGGTAAAAATAAAAAAAAGCGTGATGTCATTTATGGATGACCCCTTATGAGTATTTAAAAAAAAAAAAAAAATAGAATATCAAGTGTAACCTTTTGAATTCTTAAGTTCTTCCACCAAGGCTATAGCATCTGTTAGCTTAGTTTCACAATTCTGAAGTCTGAAAATTATTAGTTTATAAAATGTATTAAACTCAATGTTTAAAATTATTCTTTATATCATATACATTATTTAAAAAAACAAGCCAGCAATTGTGATATAATTAGAACATACTCAGAAAGCTTCAAATCTAATTTTTCTTGTGTAATTTGAAGTTCTTTTTCAATATATGATAATTGCTCTTCAAGTCTTGTTTGAGACTCTTTCATTTCTTGTTCCATTTTATCTTTACTTTGTTCTAAAGACTGGATGTTAAGTCTTTGTGTTTCTATCATGTTTTCAAGTGTTAGTTTTTCCTTCTGTCATAAAAAAGGTGATAATTTATATATAATCAACCATAATAAAACTGTAAAATACTATCATGATTCATCATTATACAGAATTATATTGAAGGAACTAATATCTTCTACCTGAAGTTCAGATATTTTAGATAAAGACTCTTTTAGTGCACCATCTTTTGAGAGTAAATCTTCAGTCAAGCAGGAAACCTTCTTTTGAAGATCATCTAAAATATAGAAAATAAAATGAGTTTAGGCTGAACACTAATCTCAGAAAAAAAAAACTCAGGTGTGAAAAATAATGAAACAAATAAATGATAAATGCCCCAAACACAAATTAATAATCCTGGTGAGTTTACAATTTTAAAAAATGTAATCCTTACCCACAGACTCCATCATGGCTGTTAATTTGCATTCCTTAATTTCTAAAACTGCATTTTGACTACAAAGTTCTTTTGTGATGATTTCTGTATTATCCTTTAACATTTGTATCTAAAACAACAATTTGTAGTTTCTGAGAGTATTTTTTTTTATAAAACTGCATAAGATAAGTGTTGGCTGGTACCCCATTTAATACACCCCCCTTTTCCTCCAGCATGGCCTATTTAGCAATTCAGTTGCGACCCGGAATGAATGCATCACTATCTCTCTTCTCATCGGGAACCTCCCATTATATAAGTAATAATGACAAAAATATTTGGCATTTAGTTGTGTCAAGCATGAATTGAAAAATACACACATGTATTGTGGATTACTTTTTTTAAAATCAAGCTTGTCAGAATTCTGTATTTAAAGTACTAATTATTTCTTTACTAAAACTTCAACTTATTTATAGAATTATTATAAAAACTAGTCTGTTGTCTTGTCTGAAAGGGAAAATGAATAGAGTAGGCTTTTCTAGTAATCTCATTTAAAAAAATTAGTTTTCAATTTAAAACTCAAATTACCTGGACTCTTTTTCTGGTTTTATGTTAAGTGGGCTGGCATTGGAGTAGGGGGAGGATACTTGTTAAGAGCTAGAATTTGTAAGCTATTCAAGGCCAATCCATGATCTACATAGTTTTGAGATTCCATAGGTATACTAGTCTGACAGATCTTTACAGACATACATACACATATTCATTTAATCAAAATTATTAGGCTGTTGCTAATTACCTCTTTATTATTATCAGCTAATTTCTGAATAATTTCCTTTGATTTTTCTGCATTTTCCTTCCTTTCAGAATTAACTGCAATGAAAATAGCAGTAGTGTAGAATTTGGGTTGTTACCATATTTAAAATTATCAGAAGGATGCAGAATGAAATGTGTTTTAAAGGACATAATATAGAAGCAAGAGTGCTTGTTTGTTTTTAATAATTAACCATTTTAGAGAGTACACCTATAAATAAAAACTTATGTAGTTTATAGCTAAGATTTTGGAATAAGTATTGAACTAGGAGATATAATTCGGATGATGAAAAATATTCATTCTAGTACTTATTCCATAGAAAACAAAATATTATATAATTTATCTGTGTAAAATAAAAACCTTCATCCTGAAGCTGCTTTTCTCTTTCTAGGGCAGTAATTTGTAATTTGTTAAATTTCAATGTCAACTCCTAAGGAAAAAAGTATTTTCCCAATTATTCATAAAAAATTTCAAACATGAAAAACAAATATGTATGTTTTGGGAATTCACATTAAAGAATAAAAATACATTAAATTACAGTTTCTATATATACATCGCAAAAAAACTTCATTGCATTCAGATCAAATTTATCTGATAAAATACTACTTAAAAACTTTTAATTTTTGTTGGAATAAACTTTTAACCCATCTTTATTAAAGCTTCTTCATTAATTCTTATCCCAATTAATAATTTTTAACTAAAATGTTTGAATGTAAACTTTGTATTTATAATGCATAAAATGAAGCTGAAAGACTGTTTGGTCATCTAAAACACATGACATGTCTTAAAATACAAGTGTGTTAAAAACAAATGATATAAGTACCTCAAACTGTTGCATATGTTCTTTTCCAATATATTTTAATTCTGTTTTTTCAGTTTCACCTAAATAAGAATTGTGTGAAACATATTTATGTTAGCAATTTCAAAATTTAAGATCACTATGATAAATACAAAAGCTGAAGCTTAATTTTGAACTGAAACATATTTAACATAAAGCAAAAAAGTGCTGAATTAAAAATTAGACAAAGGAAATATTTACATCTCATTAGTCTATCTTCCATTCTAGCTGCATGGCATTTTAACAAAGTGCACATCTCTCTTGTTGAATTAATCCTTTAAAATAAATTTTATATATTATTTCATTTCTTATTCATAAAAATCAATTCAAATGCTCCTGTTTAAAGAATTAAAAGAAACAGAAGCCAAGCATTATAAGCAAGTGAACCCTTATAGCTATGTATACAATTATTATTGAAAAAAGTTTTTAATAGCTAAATATATATGGGCAGACAAGAAAAGGAGCTGTAATTTTACTAATTTAATTGCTAACCTTCTAAGTACTTCTTCTCTGTTACTAATTTCTTCCTGAAGCATTGCACTTGTTCGCTCATTTTCAAGCTGTAGTTTTTACAATTGTACAAGATTAACAAGCACAGTTATTTTTTTAGAATTTTTATTTATAAACTTTGTATAAATGTAAATGAATACGCAGGAAGGTTTAACCTAAATGACACTCATATTCATATTGAAAGTTTTAATAAAAAGTAACAGTAAATATGAGGAATTCATTTAAATAAATAAATACTTTACATACATTTTTTTTTGCTTTTCTATTCTATTAAATTGTTGATTCAGCATAAGTTAAAAATTATCCACCCAAGCTGCATATTCAATATAATAGCAAAGAAAAAGGAAATAGTCCAATAATTATCTTTTACAATAAACTTAAAGAATATGCAGCATTGCTGAAGTAAAAAAAATATCCAGCAACATCATGATTATTAGCTGTCAAGTCCTAATAAAGAAAAGTACAATCTTTTCTTCTTCAAATCTTTAAATTCATGAGATTACCTGCAGTTCTAATAAAGATTTTTTCATTGTTTCTATTCGCTGTGATGCTTCAATCAGTTTCTTTTCCTAGACAAAAATACAGATAAAAAGAAATTATTCATAAGTTCAGTTACTATAAAGCCCACATACTATGGCACCACAACTGTAAGGTAATTAATGTAAGGTGATTTAAAAAATTGTCAAGTAGGTATATCATTTTATTATAGTTAATAGATATAGGTTGAAAATGCTAATCTATTTATAATAGATAATAAAGTATATAATTAAACAAAGTACAAATGGCTTAGAATTTTTAAAAAATAAAATACAATAAGATCTAATATGACTTTATCCATTAATCTCCTGGTTGTTCCAGCAGGCAAAATTATAGTTCAGAAGAATGTATGAACAGTGATTCAAATGTCAGGCCTGTTAACATTAACCTGACTGATTGTTTGTAGATTCTATGCATGCCTTATAAAAGGATAACACTGAATAAAATAAATCTGCTCTTGAAGACCTTGTTATAATACTTAGCTTATTTGTATTTTTTTAAAAATAAAATAGAACATGAAAACAATTATAATACCTTCTCTTTAAGCTCCACATCAGTTTGTATTTTCCACTTCCTGATCTTATCAGCTTCTTTATGTAGCTTTACATGAAGTGTAGACATCTGTTCACTTTCCAGCTGCTGCTGGGCACCAAATCTTTGGTGTGCCATTGTGGTTGTGCTATGTACATCTAATATATTTAAAAATGTTAAAAATTCACTGTATTGTAAAAATAATGTGTAAAACTGCATGTTTATACCCAAATAAATGAGTACAGAAACAAATAATTTATCATTCCAAATTGATAGATTTTTATAGCTAATACATTTTAGAAATTGTATATATATATATATTTATATATAGATCTATGTGTGTATGCACGATATATATATATATACATACAAACACGCACACAAACAGACTTATATAAATTTAAAATTTACTAGCCATCTTTATTTTTTAAAGAAACATAGATACCCACACCAGTGACATCACTAGTTTAGGGGTCACTCTGTGCTGTAACTGAAGGTGTCACCCCACCCCCTTCCAAAAATGTTGCTTTTTCCGTTTGGTATAAGGAGATTTTATTATTAATATTAAGTGTCATCCCCCTTGAATGGTTTCAAAGCAGTCAGTAATGTCCTTTCCTTTCTCTTTGTGTTGCTACTGCTAACGTAATGTATTAACTAGAATATAATCGTGTTAGTTCGCAGAAAATATATTTTTGTGCCAACTGGAGTTTCATCAAACCTGATTACCTCTTGCATTTTCTTGTTGGTTCTTTATTACTTCAAGCTGTAGAAGAAAGTGAATGAGTAGAATTAATATAAGGTGGTCCTTATATTCTAAAGATTTTTATAGTTTAAACTACAGATATGAAGATCTAAATATCTAAAGACACTTAAGATTGCATCTTAACATTTTTACAAAATTGATGCAATGCAGACATTCAAATTATTATATCATCTAGTTATGTTAAAACTATCAGAGTATAAAAGTATAATAAAGTATAAACTAAAGATTCCTCATTAGACCTAGTGATCCATTGGGCAGATGAAGTAGAGTTCATATGTTTCTTGGCTCAGCATATGAAGGGATAGAAAAAATTGTGGTCAGCAGTATGCCCAGTTGCCTTTACCTTCCCTAATATGACTTAGGTACCCTTCAGTCTGGTGGACTCAGGGACGCTCTACTGATTCGAATCAGGATTCGAACTCGAGACTTGTGTTAGAACTTTAGAAGTCTAGCGCTCTACCACTAGGCCACACCATCCCATGATAAAGTATAATAAACTATAAAAACTAACCTCTTTATAACTGTTATTTACCTGGGGCTGAAACCTGAAAAGTGGTTGACCATTCATAGTGTTTTAGGAAGAACTGTTGAATAATAAAAAAATTAATTTGAATAAGAATGTTTGAATAATAGAGATCTAATATTGTTTCACATGTTTCTCGTGCTTTTTTGGGGTAAGGGATCATCAAATAATAGACAAATATTCAAATATTAATTTAATATCTATACTATATATATGGCCGGCCAGGTCATATGTGATTATAAGATTATGTCATATAGAATCTAGATTAGAAGTTAATAGTTATTTAATAATTATTAATTAATAATTAATTAAGTTATTTAAGTAAGCTAGATCTAGAATCTAGATCAAGTAAGAAGTAGATCTAGATCTAGATCTAGATCTAGATTCTAGTCCCCAATAAAATAAAGTATATTAGTATAAAGATCTAGAATTCTAAAATCACTAAAATGAGATTTTTATTTAAATTATCTTTTTATTGTTTAACACTAAATCTAGTAGATCTAATAAATTCTAATCACTAATCAATGCTAATCAATTCTAATTGTTGACTAATTCTTCTAAATCTAGCCGATTGTTTACATTACATAGTTAGACGTTCTTGTGTCGTCTGCTGTAAAAAGCCGGATGATGCATAATCGAGAAGTAGTGGTTATATGTAGTCGATTTCTCGCTATCATTGAAATAATAAATTGAAACTGGGCATTATCAGTAAAACAAGAATTAATCATAATATAAAACAAATTTATTCGTATTTCTGATCATATTATTTCAATCTTTGAATAATTAATGATCGTTTCAACAATTTAGCTCGAAAACCTAAAAACGAATAAACAGTAGTCGATTTGTTCATTTTTAGATAAACAACGGTCTTGTTATTATGGTACATACCATTAACCAGTAACAATTCTGCATACATAAACAAAACGAGAAAAATTTATTTGAAATAGATTGAAAAAAAAGTAAAGATAAGAAAGAAAATTGCAATTGATTAGAAAATAGACTGTAATTATATAAACTTTTGAGTAGGCCTAATTCTTTTCTTTCTCGCGTTACAGAAATATTCTTAAATAATATTCTTACCGGAACGGTTGGTTGTAGAAACATTGTAAGGCACAGGTGCTCGATTCCGCTCTTTTTTTTTCAAAACTGCAAAATATTGCCTGTTTAAAAATAGTTGATCCTTTGACCTCCCCTAGGGATTGCCAATACATGAGGAAAGGCTTTTTTTTTACGATTTTATTTTCCTTCCTCGTTGTCACAAGTCAGGCTCCCAGCAGTGCCAGCAATGTCATACCCCCCTCCCCCCCCCCCCATTCACCACATTATTTCTTAAAAAAAAAAGCATTAGCTTTAAAAAAAATAGTAAGCGATCTGGCTTTTGTGATGATGTGATTATATCCTCAGATATGCAGGATGCTATTTGCGACCCATCACTTAGTTTATGTTAAGCTTTTTAGAACAGTTTCGTTTCTTTTCGAGATTTGTCATAGCCACGGTGCTAGTTTTAATAATTTATCTTGTTAATACAGCTGTTAGCAGTCAAAAACCTAGAACTAGATTTTCTGATCTAGTATCTAGATTAGATATTTTAATTTTATAGAATCTAGTCTAGCAGTTCTAGAGGGCTTTAGTTTAACTTACTTAAAGAATTAGGTCTTAGCTTAGTTCTTAATCTATTATCTAGATCTAGAATAATTATTAATTAGATCTAGCTAGATATGATATACTGATATAGTCGTGTGACTTTATACATTATACAACGACTCGTTGTATGTCACGTCGTAACGCCAAACGGAAAACTAAAACTCTATTTTTAGTTTTAGCGTATTTCCAATAGATAAAATTTTTTTAAATAGATAGATTGACAGGAAAAATATTAAATATTATAGGGCCTAAATAAACTAAACTTTAATCTTTAAACTAGATCTAGATTAATATTAATAATAAGATTTAGATTTTAGATTCTTATCAACTTAAAAAAATCTTAATTAAAAAAAGGCCGATGCTAGCCGGAAAAAAAGATACGCAATGGACAATGGTGAGAAACTACGACTTGCCATCACGGCGATGTTTTTGATGGTACTGCGCATGCATGTGTTTACAACCGCAGGACCCTTACCCCCATTCACCGGGCCCAATCCTATCCCTAATCCTAATCCTATCCATAACCCTAACCCTAGCCATAGGTCACTGTGCATGCGCAGAACTATCTTTTGCCGACTAAGTGGAGATGTTGGGGAGAAAAATCTTTTTCCGAGTAGTCACTTCGTAAAAAAATGCTGTGCCACCCTGTAAACAGTATCACAGGACAGTAGTAAAACAAATTTCACAAAGAAGAAATACTGAATTAAAAAATAACTAGATCTAGTAACTTTTAGCTAGGGCCGATTTTTACCTCTCCTTCCCTTCTGTCACATATCGTCACAAAAAGCCACACCCCCCCCCCCAAAATGACGTCACACCTCAGCATACAACCCCCCTCAAAATTGCAGTTGAATTTTTCTTAAAACATCCAAATTTTTCAAAAATCTTGTCTGAACTCTCTCTACATAGAGTATTTTAATGAATTCCTATTACAATTTATTAAAATAGTTTTCTAAAACGCGAAAAAATGGCTAAAATTCATTTTCTAACATTGCTTTTTTATAATGCAAAAGTGTGACGTCCCACCATCTGAACCCCCCCTCCCTTCATCACAAACTGTCACAAAATTACGGACTCCCCCCCCCCCCCCTACGAGTGTGACGTCATTTATGGACGACCCCTAACTACGGTAACTAGTAACTAAGTCTAAAGTAAAGTCTAATCTAAGGCCTTGCCGTATAGCCCTAGGCCTTGCAGCTAGTAGCTAGGATAATCTAAAATATTAATCTATTGTTTAGCATGTAATCAATTCTGGCAAAGGCTTCCATTCCAGTATGACAAAGTTGTTTCATTCAGATATCTCTCGGCATAATTGATCATTTAGGTTTTAGGCCTATAAGATTAATGTCAGCTTGGCTGGGTTGATAAAGCTCATGGTTGCTAAACCATGTCCATGAGGCTTGACAGGTGGAGATAGCAACCCACAGTTACAATTAAGAACAACGAAGAAGAAGTCAGAATAAGGATTAATCATTTCTGGGATTTATAAAAACTAATGTCTGACCAAACATTACCAATAGCTCTCTTTTTTTGCACATTACAGTATATATGTAAAGCAGAAGTAGTAAGACACAACCTAAGTCCTGTTTTCAGAACCAGAAATTGTAAATTATGAAACATTTGGGAAGATGCGGTAGGCATCGCCATCGTCAAGTAAAGGTCGAAAAGCAATCATTATGTAAGAACTTTGTAGACAAGTTTTAGCAGGTAGTTTTAGATATTATTTTATTATATTATTTTTGAAGATGTTATTTTCAGAACTATATTTTTCATTATTTAGATATAAACCTCTATTTAAAAATTTCAGCACTATCTCATTTATGTGAGTTCATCAGATTAATCAAGTGGATTAAACTTTCCAGCCAGTGTAGATGTACTAATTTTTTAAAGCCTGCTTGTTTCAAAGGTACATTTTTGGTGTTTCTCTCTTTCTTTTTCAATCTATATGTTAATTTTAAAAATTATATTTATATAGGGCCTACTACTTTAGACGATATATTTAGTTTTTTTAAACAAATCCAATTAAGACTTGACTTTTTTGGTTTCAATAAAACTGTCAACAAATACATATATGTTACTTCCTTATTATTAATCAAAATATTAAATTTAATATTAATTGTGTTCTTTGCTTTTAAAAGAAACAGGGAGAGGAATGATGGCAACTAGGAAGATAAACAAAGGGGAAGTTATTGTGTCAGTTCCTTATAAAATTTTAATCACTGCAAAATCAGTGTTACAAAGCAACTTAGGTTTGATTATTCAAAGGTAAAAACAATTGTATTTAAAGAACCTAACAACTAATATTTGGATAATCTTTGACTGAGCATACATTATAAAAAGCATTATATGCATTATTTTATCTGTTTTATGAAAAATATAAGTTTATTTTTATTAACAATTTCCAAAAAAATTATTGAATTTGTTTCCAGATCAAAGTGGAGTTTTACACCTTATCAACTACTGACTTTGTTCTTAGTGGTAGAGAAAATTAAGGGAGAAAATTCTTTTTGGTTTCCTTACATCAGCACTCTTCCAGATGAGTACAGCACCCCTCTTTTCTTCACACCAGCAGAGATATCATTTTTGACTCCTCAAGCAAAACATTTGGCTGAAAAATATAGACAAAGGCAAGTTAACCATGCTTTTTTTGTAATTGGAATGATATTATATTATTTTATCGAGAAGGCTGGTTTACATTATTTTAATGTTAAAACTGAAATATTTTTTTAGGTTTGATATAGCCAGCCAACAGATGTTGGATTTTCTTGAGATGTTCTGTCCATCTCACTTCTCCCTGGTTAGCCTTGATGACCTAAGACTTGCATGGTCAGCTGTGGCTACCAGATCTGTTTATTTGCTGACAGAATCTCATCCATCCATTTTTCTTCATCCTGATGAGAGTAATGTTGCACTTGCTCCTTTTCTTGATCTACTTAATCACAAAGACACTGCTCAAGTAAGTCAATCAAATTTTTAAGGAGAGTGTTTAAGTTAGTATAATCTAAGTAACTTGGATACTGTTTTAGTTAGCATCTAATAACAAGAACATAGTATGCTAAGATCTGCTGAGGGTACTGTGAAAGTTAATCTATACCACAAGGATTCTAAGTAAATAAATTTTAAAACTATGCACACCTAAATAGAAATAGAACTGCCATTTTATTGAATACCTACTTAAATTTTATTAAATACTTGGATTACTGATGTTGTAAATATATATTTTAGGTGAAAGCAGGAATGAATAAAACTTCCTGTTGTTATCAGATCAGAACGGAGAACTCTTGTCAAAAAAATGATGAGGTTTTTATATGTTATGGCCCACACGATAACACAAAATTATTTATCAACTATGGTTTTACATTAAAACAAAACATTTACAATGTCTTCCATTTTACAATAGGTAAGTTTTATATTTTATAATTTTGTATATATTACATTAATTACATTGGCAGATTTTAAATAGCTTAAAACAAAAAATCTTCATGTAATAAACCAGTCTTTTTGTGCAGAGAAAGCAGATTTTATTTTTGCAATCACAAAATTTGATGAGAATGTGTGAACAAAACACAGTAATGGCAAACTTATTTTCTTTTGAAGATTCCATTTATTAATAATAGAACATGTTCTTTTATTAAGTCACGAAACAAACATGAATTTCTATTAAGTTTTTAACTGAGAATTTTTTCATAGTGTGTCCTCTACTGCTTAACCAGGCGGTTTCCCTTAAAAGTTAATATCTGAAATTTAAATATAATGAAGTGGAATGTCTCTACAACTTGAGTTTCTAAAATTATTTTAATATATAATTTTGCAAAAGCACTGGTTGTAATTTACATAGAATATTTTAGTCTGTTTATCGGCTTAATAATTTTAAGTACACAGAATATTTAATGGTTTTGGTATAATTAATTTAGAACTTTACACGACAATCTGTATCATCTGTATGTTTTCAAATTTAAAAAAAAATTGTCTACAGATGATGTAAAGTTGTGCCTGTCAAATGTTGCAAGTTGGGATAAAAAAGTTGCCATTATCAAGCAGTGTAGTTTAGACGAGTGAGTAGATTAGTTAAAAGTAAAAGCATCATACTATTAGTTATTAGTATGTTGTTTCCTTTAATAAAGAGTTTATATGAATTTTTCTTAAGAATAATTTTGATTCATTTCAACAGAAACTTCATTTGTGGGTCAGATGGAATTTCATGGTCACTTAAGGTTGGACTAAAAATTGCTGTCCTTGAGTGGAAATTGTTGTGAGTAATTATAAGATTTTCTTGACAAATGTGTTTATGTATTTAAGACTTTCTTGGTGATTAAAGAGCCTCAGAAATTGATTTTGTTGTATATTAATTTTATCACCTGAATTAAAAGCTTTCAATTTTTTATTGTTTAATATATATGAGAAGTAAGTATACTGTAGTGACATTTTTAAAATTCAATTTCAACCTAATTGTTCAAGCACTGCAGATTTTGTGTTAAATGTTTATATTATACATATAATGGAAATTTTAAAAAGAGCATTTTTATTAAATATTTAACACTCAGATTTTAACGTTGTAAATTGTAAAGAACACTGGCTAACTATTTGCTGCTTTTAGATCTTCATGGAAATCACTTTTGCAAGATATTCCATTGTCAGAAGAAAATGAGATGTCTGCACTTGAACTGGCAAGAAAACTATTTTCATGTGCTCTCGCAAAAGTTCAGGAGCATTTGCACATTGTGGTAAATAAAATATATCAATCTTAAGGTTTCATGATAAACTATGAGAAATGCATTTAAATGCAATTAAATACTAATCTTTCGATGTGCTGTAATTACATAAATTTTAAATACAATATATTAACTTTTTTAAATCTTTGGCCTAGTTGAAACAGAGTGATTCTCCCCATTTCAACATACTGCTTTCCCTTGCTGAACAAGATGTGTTGTTATTGGAGTCCGCTCTAAAATCTCTAATCAACTCCAAGGTTCAATATAAAGATGTAGCAGGGTGAGAAATATCAAGCAGTACATAATAAAGAGAACTTCTACTACACTTGGCCAATGTAATGGATTATAGCAGATGGTCAGACTAAATTCTATGAGTCATGATGAGCTCATAGTAGATGGAGATTCAAAAGTCTATGGAGTCATGATGAACTGGTGGTCATAGCAAATGGTCAAACACAAGTCTATGGCAGTCATGATGAACTGGTGGTCATAGCAGATGGTCAAACACAAGTCTATGGCAGTCATGATAAACTGGTGGTCACAGCAGATGGTCAAACACAAGTCTATGGCAGTCATGATAAACTGGTGGTCCACAGGATCTAACAGATTTCTATGTCCTATAAATGTGGTGTTAGTTATGCATTAACTATGGAATACTCAGTGAAGCAAGTTCAACTAAAGTTTATTGGTGGACTTGGTAGTGCCACATTATAATGTGCTAAAAACAACCTGAGACAAATTTTACAAACTTTACAGTGACACTAACAATCACACGTTTATTGTAAATTGACAGATACCACAATATTAAATTAAAAATGTATCTAGAAATGTTAATTTAAAATCTGAACTTCTTAAGGAAAATAAAATATTTTTGCAGTTGCCATTTTACTAGTACATTAAGTCTTATTTTAATAGTTGGAAAGAAGTGTGTTGATTCTGGAGTGGATTGTTTTACTGCCAGTTGTTTGTTATGTTACAAAATACTATAAATTAACTTATAAATTACCATCTTTAGAGCCATAAGATAATGAAGAGAATAAAAAGTATGTGTTAAAATGGCAGCTAAATTTTAATTAAATGCTTTCAACATTGAACACACAAATGCCACTTTTCAAATAAAACATCTTTGACAAAAATGTTATTTTATATTAAATGAAAATTTGAAATGTCTATTGGCTTTACACATTGTTTTTATTTTCTTTCAACATTTTCAACAAGCTTGAGGATATTCTTGGCTTGCCTAAGCAAAGGCATGTCTACCATCTGACCTTGAAAAACAAATGCACCCTAAGAGTAGTAGAAGAATAAAACAGGTTATTTATTCATCAAAATAGAATAATACAAGATCATGTGAAGTTACACTAACTAGACCATAGGGAAGGTAAAGGAGATTACCTGGCCAGATTTTTGGTGTTCATCAAAAGCACTGCTTAATTTCCTGGCCCAATCCTGTTTTTCAGGGCTGGGGGTAAATGCTGCTTGCACAGTGGCTATCTGCTTTGGATGTATCACTTGCTTTCCAGTGAATCCATATTGTGCACCTTCTTGTGCTTGTCGCTCAAGTCCTGTTAAATCTGTACAAGATATTTTGCCTAATTAGGCTACAAGTTAAATTTCTATAAACTATATGATAATATGGCCAATATTCAGCAGTATTAACAGGAAAATTATGTATTAAATGCTACAATTCAGGATTGATATACATATTTTAGTAAGTTTCAATTAGTAAGACAAAGACAAAAGCTGTACCATTGATGTCCACATATACAATATCAATAACTTGTAGTCTGAAAGCTTTTGCTGTCATTACAACTTTCTGACGAGCATAAAGCAATTCTTTAGCTTCTTGAGTTTTTTGTGCACCTAAAGAAAAGAAATACTTGCTTTACTGACAAAGAAGATAAACTAACGAATAAAGTCTGGATTCTTTTAAAAATATTGCCCACCTATATCGGCTAGGAAGTCATCAGAACCAAAGACCACTCCATCTATGTGGAAATGATCTGCCGCTGAAAATTCAACAGCTTTATCTAAAACTTCTTTCATATTTAGTAATCCTTGGCCACTCTCAACATAAACAAGTAAAAAGGGCTTATATTTACGGCCAGCTTTTGCAGCCTTGAGGCATTCTGTAAACTGATCAAGTTCATTGGAGTTAATCTGTGGGAGTCTTATGTGTGACAACAGAAGAGTTTAACTGCTGGTTAAAGTAAATATTTACATAATAAATTTACTGACTAGTACTCTTTCAGTTAAAATGCATAGTATTAAAAAAATTAAGTGATAATCCACATGTATAGCTTAGTTTTGATTGAATTATGCATTCCAATTTGACCAAAACCACAATACATGTACACTCACTGTGACCAAGTCTTCAACTGAATCAACTTTAGGTAGGAGCAGAGTCTGGGGTAAGCATGTTACATCTGCACAAGAACCAAGGTCTCCTCCTATAATTGCACCAATATCTGCTTCCATTAGCTGACTAGACCTTGAGTTAACTCGGAGGGCCAGATCCATGTTCTCTATTTTAAGGTAGTCTAGTGCTTCTCTAATATTCTTCCGTGCCTCTGCCTTGTAATGTATGATATATATATATATATATATATATATATATATATATATATATATATATATATATATATATATATATATATATATATATATATATATATACACATATATATATATATATATATATATCGTACTTATAAAAATTTCTCAATGAATTACAATTAACAAAACTGATATGGTATGATCACTGATAAAGACAACATGTAAATACAAATAATTTACTTTCATATTAATTGCAACTCCATCTTCACATTCTAACACTGCACAGTCTACGCCCAAGTGGGGAATTTTGCTCAATTTTTTTTTGTCGTGACCAGGTACATACATAACAGTTCTTCGAGGGATGTAAGGGCATTTCAACATTTCTGTTACTGAAGAAAGACTACGTGCCCAAGTAGGTTGCACAAGAGCACATTTTATTCGGTGTGGATGCAAGATCTGACTTTTAAAAAGGCTTGCTACAGGCCCTTTATATGCCATAGTAGATCTGGAAAACTAAGTTGGAAAAAATAATTTTTAGTAATTGCAATGTAATACTAATGTGCTTTAGATTTATAAGCTATATATATATATATATATATATATATATATATATATATATATATATATATATATATATATATATATATATATATATATATATATATATATATATATGCCTAAATATACATATCTAAACAGACATCCATATACTTATAGTTCTAGGGATACCACTAATACTAGATCTACATGTATATATTTATAATTTATTTTATATAAAAAACTAAATGCAATAAATCACATCACTGTTTTAAAATTATTTTTACCTCCCTTCAAGTTATAAAAAAGCTCAACAGTTTTCTCTCTTTCCCCCCCCCCCCCCACCTCAGTATATGAACCTCTCAAATTGCAGTCTTGTTTTTAAGACATTGTTTTCTTTTTAAAATATTAATGAGCTTGGTCTACAATGAGTATACTAATCCATTTCCTTAATAATTCTGTAACAATTTACACAGTCTTTTAAAATGTGAAACATTGGCTAAAATTGTTTTTAAATACTACTTTTTAAAATGCAACATTGTGTTATCAGACAAACAAAAGTGCACAGAATATTTTGCTCTCCCCCTTTTCCCATCAACTATAGACTATCATGCAGTCTATTCCAGAGCCAGCATTAGGAATATGCAGGGCCTAGGGCCAACCATCAGTGCAAGGCTTGAGTTTTTGGTGTCTAAAATATGTACAGTGAGGCTGTATCAATTCAATGAAATAGTGTAAAAATGTAGGTGTGTGTGCAGAGGTGCGTGGATGCCCAAGAACGGATGCGCCCCCCCCCCCCCCCCCCCCCCAAAAAAAAAAGATTATATATAATAGCCAATATATCATATATATATACATGCACACATAATAACACATAAATGTTTAGGAGTTTATAAGCTAATGCTAAACTTCTCAAATTGATAACATGTTTATCTCTCCCACAGTTTACCCAATGTTTTTTAACCTTTTACTAAGATAGTAAATCACTTTTGACAGTTCTGTAATCAATACCAATTCACTAAAGAAAATTCAACCACATGCCAACAAATTAGGACAATAAAGTTGTTTGAATTGTTTGTTAATGACCATTAGTTAATATACAAGTCATGCGTTTTAAGTGTATTTTAAAAAGAGACTGTTAGTAAGCTCAGAATTTTAGACAAATTACAATATCAGTTATGAATATCCAAAAGAAATGTAATCATGGAAGCTCAGTAGGGTGGAACTTTGGGGTGTGTGACGGTGGGGTAAGGTAAAGGATAACTGTGCATTTAAATCTATGGCTATTAGATTGCAAACCCTAAGAAAAGGGTCTCCAAGTTCGAGTACTACGTTATGGATCTCTGACTGGAGACATTCGATAGGAGGTTTGTGCTTATAGTATATAGAGCGTTCACGTATTACATTTCCTGTCAAGAAAATAAGGAGTGTGTCACAGGACCGATAGCTACACTTATTTATGAGTTTCATGATAACATGCTCGGGGGATGCCATGAATGCCGGTAATTTTGACTTGTGAGAAATCAGGACAATAGTACAATAAATAATAATAAATATTTAGCAAAACTCTGCCTGATGTATCAAAACTATTCAAAACAGTAGGTAGGCCTATGTTTTTGTATTATTGTATTTAATTATTTATTATTTATATTTTAATTTTAAATTTTATACCCAACCTTAATTCAATAATTCTTAATTTAATTATTTATTGTAGGCCTTAGTAGTATTTATTTAATATATTTAATTTTAATAATATTTAATATTTATTATTTAATATTTATTATTTAAAATTTATTAGTTTAGGCCTAATTAGTATTACTAATTAGTAATTTAGTAATTTAATTAAATTTATTATTATTTTATTACTATTTATTATTTATTAACTATTTATTTACCAATAGTCAGTGAGACGTAGGCCTAAGTAATAGATCTATATTATTTTGTCTATGGTCTAGGCCTAGTATTTAAATATTTTAAACCGAGCTTTGTTTACTTAAGTTTACTAACTACACTAAAACTAGTGTTTACATTTCATTTGCTAACCTTGAATAAATAAAATAAAATCGTTATTTTTATTTCAACTTTTTGAGTTTCTATAAAAGGGGGCATTTATTGTTGAAAATGCTGCGATTTTTTGTAAATTTATTTATTTGTCGATTTACTTTGATAATTAATGATTTTAAAACAAACATCAACAATATATATACGATTTAAAATACTTATATATAATTTGAAAGTTGTAAATTAAATTAAATTATAAATTAATGAACATGCTAGTTTACTTTCTAAAAACAAATGAATGGTCCATTTGAAGCCATTGCTTCCCTAGCGACAGATGTATTGGTGATTTGTATAGTAATGTAAACAGTTCATAAATTCATGGATGTAAATAATATTTTTGAAGATTATTGAACAGGTTTAAGGTAACATTTAAAAGTTAAAATATTGAGACAAAATAAATGACAAACCCTTTGGATACATTCATTTAAGTAAGCTGTAATTTAATAATTACTTAGTCATTTATTTTTAACAGACCCTGAATAAATATTAGGCTAAATAATTAAATATGAATAATGATGTAGATCTAGTTGCTAGCTATTCTAAAACTATTGCACTGATAGTTGTATTTAAATTTTCAAAAAGCATATTTATATTCAATTAATAGGCTTACATATCGAAAAGTACACAAATTTATATTATATTGGGTTTCTATAGATCAAGATCTTTTTGAGAGGGATATTATTTTAATTTTTAAAAATAATATATTAAAATTATATTTAGAACATCAGTTGATGTACAATTAGCTCTAGAAAAGGTGAGCATTTCAACTGTCATGGTGGATTAGATAAAACAGGATCAGACAAAATTTGTTTTTTAATTACTAACTATAAATGTTTTTTCCAACTATGAATTGCTTTGGCATTTAAATCTTAAATGCTTACATAATATGGCCACTCCTTAGCAACCAAATAACATAAAATAAAACTTTATCTGGAGTTAGATAAAACCATAATAGATCTAGTTAATAGATACTTATAGAATAGGCATCCATGCTTGAAATGTTTCACTTAGACTAAGTCTTAGTTCAGTTTTTTTTTTATTGACAATATAGGCTTATACTTGAAAAAAATATCTTGCAGAGAAACAATGGCAGATGAAAAGTTGGTTGAACAACAGTTAAAGACAGAATCTTACATTACTCCATCTCCTCCTTCTAACCCTCCTCCATCTTATAGTAAAATTGAACTGCCTAATCAAGGTTCTGAAAATAATGGAAGAGACTCAAGGATAAACATGCCTAATAGAGAGAATAGAGTGAGATTGGCTCACCATTCACCAACAATGTTTGGTTTAGTGCCTGAACGCTGTGTAACATTTTGTATAGATACTTCAGGAAGTATGTTTCAAAGTCTTGATGTTGTGAAAGAACATTTGATGGAGACATTGTCATTGATGGCATCACGAACAGATGAGCCAATGTTTAATTTAATTGAATTCAATTCCCAAGTGACTCAGTGGGCTGATAAACTTGTTCAGTGCACACCAGAGATAGTTTCAGTTGCAGGAAAATGGGTGAGTGAGCTGCAGGCCAAAACAGGTACAAATACACAGGATGCTTTACTGACAGCATTGGCTGATCCTTTATGTCAGGCTATTTACCTGGTCACAGATGGTTTACCAGATCAATATGCAGAGGAAGTGTTAGATAATGTTGTTGGAATGTGCAACACACAGCGGATTCACTGCATTTACATCACAGGAGAGAAGGCAGATGATGCAGCTACAGATTTCTTAGAAGATTTGGCTGTTGAAACATTTGGCTCATTTCATATTGTGACACTTACCACTCATGGGTGTGTTGAGAGAATTACACCCATATACCGTTCTGATTATACACATGATAAAGTTGTATACACTGTCAACAACACTCTGAGGCCAAACATAAAATCTTGTAGTGTAGCAACAACCCTACAAATTGATCCTGATGAGGTGTTAGGCTTAACTCCCCATGCCAGGTCACTACTGCTCCCTGCAGCTCCTCTGTTGACATATCCGGCATCACAACGCTATTATTACCCATATTACTGGTCCAGATATCGGCCAGCCAAGGCCTATTTGAAAGCACAAGATAAATTGGCTGATCCTTTGTTTGGGCTGTCACCATCTGCAGGAAGTTTACTTGTTGGAAAGAAAGTAATAGCCAGGAGAATAGAAGATGGATTTTTCTACCGAGCAACAGTTCAAAGTCAGGTATGACAGTAACTCAGTTAGCTGTAGAATGTCACAAGTTTGGTATTAAGCCCAGTGTTTCTTCCAGACTTTTTTCTCCGGGGGGGGGGGGGGGGCACTTGAAATTTTCGGGGGGGGGGGGACACTGTTAAAAGTATATATTTTCTATATAAATTTATAAATTATATACATTTCATTTCGTTCGGAGGGGTGGTAAAAATTTTTTGAACGGGGGGGGGGGGGGGGGGGGGGGGGCTTTGCCCTCAAAGAGATGCCTGGAAGAAACTCTGATTAAGTCTCAAAACAGTAGATAGTCCCTTGACCAGACAGTCCTCTTCCCTCCCTCATATACAATTCATAAGGAAGTAGGACCTTTAAAAAAAAATACATCCGTATTTGGGTGAAAGTAATTCTAATTTACCATAGCAATAAAAAGAGATGAATTATATTATACTAGCTAAACTTAAATTAGATGGTAAAATTTGTCTATTGTAAAAATTTGTTATTAATGGTATAGAATAGTTAAAAAAATAAATGTTTTATTCAACATAAAGTGATTTTAAGCAAAACTAATATGATCTAATTCATTATTTTTTCCAACAGAATCTTGGAGAGAAATTTTTGATTGCTTTTGGACCTTGCAAACATGGTAGATATCAGCAGACAGAATATCAGGACACCTTTGTCTTTGATATAGTGGATTACTATGATGCTATTCGGCACACCATTATTACTGGTGATGAGGTTTTGGCTCCCTGGGAGCCAGAAGGAGAGAGATTTGCACCAGGAATAGTCATTGATGGACAGGAAAAGCGTCATGCTGAGGGTATGTGTTTCGGCTATAATAAAGCTTGAAATAGTTATTCAGTTATTTCGTTATTTTCACTTTACTTTACCATGTTTTATACATTAAGGTCCAGATGACAAAATGCTAACAGTCACATTCAGCCATGGCTGCACCAGTAAAGTTGCTCTCAATACAGCTGTATGGATCCCACCATCCTTATACGACAGACTTTCTCTTGAGCTCCAGATGCCAAAAGAAACCAGACAGAAAATTTTGTCAGTAACAGACCATTATCCACTAGAAAATTTGCCAGGTAAATAGATTTTAAATGTTTTTCAGTTGTTTTATATCTAAGTTACTTCGTTGTTTTTTTCAACCTAACAATTATTTTTATAATCTTGTCAGGTTACCCAACATCAGGACCCCTGGCTGATCCACCAGAATATCCATATGTTAATCCATTCCTTGTTGAGTCCAGTCCTCTTTTGTGGGACCCTTATCTATACAGATACTCTCCATATCTACCAGCTTACTTTGGGTACCCTTCTTTTGTTGTAAAAGCAAAAACAGATAAGAAAATGATTACTACAAATGAGGATAATACTAAAATAATACCTGGAACTGAAATGACCAATCAAGAGCTGGAAGAGCGAGTAATGTCACAGTTAATGGAACATCGCTTGACAGGAGACAGCACCAAAAGTGATAGTCAACTAGTGGATAGTACCACAGATAAATCCAAAGCTGAAAGTCTATCTGCTAGTGGTATTAAAGAGAGCTCAGCATCACGGCTTCTAAACAAGAGGGAATCACTAAATGAAAATGCTGTGAAAAAAAATGTTCATTTTAGTGATAGCAAAAGGGTAGAAACAGTTTGTGATATGGAGGATTATTTAGATGATTCTGCCTTTGATGAGTATGGAAATCCAAAGAAGAAGGCAGACCTTGGAGTGAATACAGATTCCAGTTTGTTATTTTATCATTCTAAAGGCATCAGTGGCAGGCCAAGGTGGAACAAATATTGTTATAACAACTCCTGTTGTAGTGGGGAATCTAAGTGCTCAGGCTGCACAAGGCCATTTAGGGAGACAGCACTTCAGGCACCTTTAGAAGCACGAGATCAAAGAATGTATCCTTGTAGTGGTATGTAGTTGTTCTGGGTTTTGTCTGCATGTATGTTGTATAAGCTGAGTTTTCTTTATTTTTCTATATGATACAAACTAAAATTTGTCATATTTTTATTTAAATATTTGTTTTTTCTTGAAGTTGAGTGGACAAGTCCTGCCTTTAAATATGTGGACACTTTTGCCAAACATGAGAGAGCAAGTTCTGTGCAAGAATGTTTACAAGGTGTCAAAGCACCAAACAAATCCCACAACAATTTGAGCCATACTAACGTGGCTTTGAAACCCACAGTGATGCTGACTCAAGAAGAAAGGGAAGAGGCTCGCAGGCAGTATAGGTAAGTTATCCCAATACTTACTAATTCAATATTACAATAATGGTGAGTAGCAGAGTTTTAAAAAAACCTATTTAGCTTGGTTCCTATATAACATCCATGTCTACCAATCCCTAATTGGTATCCTAGAACAATTTTAGGAATAGATTGTGGATTGATAATGTACTGACCACATTATCCTTGCATATAGAATAGCTTCAGAAACATGTCATCTGCTTTTTCCCCTAAAAGACATCCTAAGGTGCCAAATGTAAGAGCTCAATCTGCCCTTATTTGTTTAGAAAAAACAGTATGAAGCACTTTTAATCTGACAGTAATCTTGGTGCTGATTTATTTTATTATTGAAATGTAGGCTACATTATATAAAATTGTGAGCTTAGTCAAGTTGAAAATATTAGTCAGTAATAATTACAAAATTCTTACTAAATATCCAGGCTCAAGAGAGTGATTCAGCGTGAAGCAGAATGGCAACAAAGATTAAAAGACACTGATAATGTCAAGGCTTTAATGCAGGACCATCACAGGGAACGTGTCTTAAGTCAGATGGAGAGAGATAGGCAGCGCCAAATAAAAGAGCAAAACGATATACAACGAATTAGAGAAGCCAAAAAGCAGATCAGTGCTCAACTTAGAACAAGAATAGAGAGCAACCAAACTGTGGAATCACAAAAAGAAGAAAAGTATGCTTCAATGTGCTATTTTTTTTTAAATAAATTATTTACCAATTAAGTTTTTATTGGTAATATATGTAATATTGATATTTAAAACTATACCATGAAACCGTCACCCAAAAACATTTAAATTTTCTATCTACTTTTAAAATAAAGGCGTCTGGAAGCTTTGAGAAGAAGAAGAGAAAGAAGGGAGTTAATCCAAACACAACATGATAAAGAAATAGAGAAATCAATTGAGAGAAAGGAGGTTTGTAATTGCTTTTTACTTCTATGTAGTTGAGAGAAAAAAAAAGAAAATTAAAAGAAATTAATATTTGAACCTCCAAAAACTTGTTTATCACTGCATGCATGAAATCTCACAATCTATTTGATTTAGTACTCAACTGAACTTTTAACGTTGACATCATAAAAAACAATACATTTTTATTCTAAATAGTTTTGCGTAGTTTGAATTTTGTTTTAATATCTAAAGCTAATTCGCAAACAAAACAACACTGCTCGGCTGAGTGCTTGGACCACTCATCTTGACGAAGAAGAGGCAAAAACAGCAACTTTAAACAAGCAGCACCAAGAGGCTAAAGAGAGGCGTCTACAACAATTCAGAGAAAAAGAAAAAATTGCCCAGCAGAAGAAAGATTTAAGAATAGCTGTGACACAGCAAAGTCAAGCTTTGTATAGATCTCAAATATTTGCATAGTTATTTTGTAATAAGTTTCCTCTAGCCTCATTTTAAATTCACTTAATTAATGTTACACTTAGTTTATGTAGACCAAATGTACTAATTTATTTATGTGCCAACATTTTTGTCAAATTAATAATATTTGAAATGTATTCAAGTTTCTTTTTACAATTGCATCAAAGATACAAATATCTGCTTGTTGTTATTTTAAAATTCCCACTCTCTGAATTTTTAAAAATCATACATGAATATTTCTAATTAATTAAAATGTTTGCTAGTCATGCTCATGTGAAGAACTGCCTTAATTTATACAACGATTACCAAAGCCTAAAAAGCCTCTGGGCTGTGAGTGGCATTAAGTAATATGACACTTTTATCTGTCTCATTGATTCAGTACAAGCTGAAGACATCTGAACAAGGATAAAATACAAGCCAGCATGGCTAGTTAAATTTAGACTCAGTCTGCTAAAATATGTTGAGTCTCTGCAGTTGTCTTGTCTTTGCCATAAGAAATCAGTGTTTGAAATAATATCAACTTATGTTTTATTTGAACATTTTATGTGGCTTGACTAAAAGTAACATCATAACGTAGAACATTAAAATGCTAGATATATAATGTATACTTTTAAAGCTCATAATTTTCTTTTTTTTTTCAATTTTCAATTTTATATTATTGTTATATCTGTGATAGGGTATATCCCAAACATGATCACCCGGTGTATGTATTAGTTTTGTGTAGCATAACATCTGACTACCAAAACAACTATCTAGAGCTGGCTATATCTTATTTGGGGAAACAGCTGGTCATTCATCAAACCACCATGAACTGATAACAGAATTTAATAAACTTACAGTAATATTGCTGACAATTGAATTTAATAAGCTTACTGTAATATTGCTGAAAACTGAACTTGATAAACTTACTGTAATATTGCTGACAACTAAATTTCATTAGCTTATTGTAATATTGCTAACAACTTAATATAATAAACATACTGTAATATTGTGATGTTCTTGTTTTTGAGCATAGACAAGATTTTGATATGCTTTGTAAATTTTAAGTCATCTGCAACCTTACACATGTTAATTTTTGCACCTGGTAATGGTATATTGGCTCTTTGTTAGTATTTATTTTATTTTTCTAGACAAAAAACTACACATTTTTCACCGTGTACACTTTTTTATTTATATGTGTAGGAAAATAAAAACCTCTCATTCACTTATGGCTTAGTGTTTCATTATTGATGGTTTAGCTGTTTTGTAGATGTCTGCAAACAAAAGAAGTCTTACATGATACCATATACCATATGGAATTTATATAGAAAATATATACTTTTAACGGTGTCTGCCCCCCCCCCCCCCCTGGAAATTTTAGTCTGCCCCCCCCCTCCGAAAATTTCAGCCTCCCCAGGAGAAAAAAGTCTGGAAGAAACACTGCAGCTGATCAACGGAGTTGAAGTGAATCAAACTGTTAAAATTTAGTACTGAACAATAACCAATGCAAGAGGATAGGATTTTTTCTTTTTTCATTCATCACAAAATCTCAAAACCACCCAAATATAATGTCACATTCAATGTTGCACCCACCTCCTCACACACACACACACACACACAATTGCAACATTATTTATTTCTAGAATACAAAACAAGCTAGGTCAAATTTATATTAACCAATTGCAATTTTTTTAAAAAGTCTTTAGACTTGTTTTGCTAAATAATTGTAAATAGACATATTCACTATTCAGTTTTAATTATAAAATGCAAAATAGTGATATCACAATTTTACCCCTCCGCCTTAGTTTTAATTATAAAATGCAAAATAGTGATATCACAATTTTACCCCTCCCCCTCCCCCATTTCCTTCATCATACATCTCAACGGTCCGGCTCCATTACTGTATCTTATTATTTCTCCCCCTCCCCCACCAGGAGATGACGTAATACGAAGTCTGAACGTGCCTCCCATCCCCTAGCCTAGAGATATCAGTGTGACGACCCCAACATCATTATTATCTTGTAGTACTCATGTTTTTACATAAATGCGATACTCAATTTCTATTGTACAGGATAGACAACCCTTATTAAATTTTCCTCTACTGCACCGGTCAGTAGATCTGTATTAATTTCCCTACTAAGCGTCCTTGGCTACAATAACAATAAATCTACACAATTCAATCAACATCTTTCGTGTTGCAAACAAATGTTTAACTTACTTAAATATTTATAGATCTAGATTAGATCCAAATATTTCTTAACATCATAGGTTTAGCTTAATTAATAAATTAATTATTATTAAATCTTGACAAGTCTAAAAAATTAAAAAACTAAAAAAAAAAAACAACTTTATAAGTTTACTTAAGGGATTAATGATTAATCACTGTTAAGTTAAGTGTTAAGTTAATCTTGTTCAAGGCCTTGTCTTTTATTAGTAGATAACAGCTGCGCTAGAGCTTGGCATTTAAAGGTAGGGCCTACTTAATTTTTTTTTCTCTGCTAGTGCTAGTTTTTTTGTTATTTCTTTTTTAACAAAATTTCAGATGCTGTTAGTACTGTTAGTGTTATCTTTATAATTATTAGGCCAAGTGATGGAACTAGGTAAAGGAAAGCTCAGAAAAGTTGGGGTAAATAATTTATTTTCAGGTAAAATTTATATTCATAGCTCTTGTCTTAACATTACAAGTATATTTTTTGAGTTAGTCCACTTTTCTTAGTAGTAACTAGTTAATACAATGAAATAAATGTTTAAGTTCTGTATATTGCTACTTACTGTAATCTAACAACTATTTTGTACGTAATGACACATTGTGCATTACACATCTTATGCCAAAAATGTTTATATTTTAAACCTAGCTTATCACCCTAAACATGGCATTGTTTGGACAGATGGACAAAGAATTTACTTAACCCCCATTCAAATAGAAACAGATCATCTGAAGAATGGGACATCGATACAACTTTTTGAGTTTGAGTGAGCTCATAATTTAGCCTCATCATTTGACATAGAAGCATAATAAATGTCATTAGTACTTTCATTATATATTTCTTATTTTAAACAGTCTGAGTCCAACTGTTTCTGTGACCTAATCATATGAAAGTTTTGTATAGTTAGCACTTGGTTTAACCAAATTTAGCAAAAAAATTCCAAAGTAAAAACACATTTAGTTACCTTTTTGTTGGGTGGGCACTACTTGACATTTCAGAAGTGGTGTAAGGTAATATCATATCTCCTCAGCAATGTGCTCAGTGTCCACTGGAGTGCAGTGAGCAAGTCATGCTATTTGTGTATCGTACATACCCTACATGTGACCATATGGGCTGTGGGTGGATCATGGCCACAGTTCAGCATGAACCAATTCAGAAAAATTAATCATCAAGCCATTCCAGCAGGTAGACTTTTATTAACTCTTTTTGTTTTGTTGCTGTTTGGTAACTTTTCCATTCATAACAACTGCTCTGGATGAGGTACAATAAATCAGTCCTCTCAAGCCAAATAGTTTACAATTTTTTAGCCTTATACTTTTCTTTCAATGTTATTTTTCCAAGTTCTTCATAGATTAACTGTTACTTATTAGTCCTCCAATTCGATGTCAATTTTGTTAGGAAATTTATCAACTGAGATTCCCAAACTGTTGGTTGCTATTTTATTTCAGGCTGTCTATGGAATCCTTGTGAAGATATATTGTGCATTCTTCACAAGCAGCAATGCAACCTTTATTATCAGCAAGAAAGCTTTTCTTTCCCTGTTTTGCAACGGTAAAAAAACATTTTATTCAGTTTTTATCATTAAAGTGAATTTAGATGTGAAATAACTAAATTTAGTCTGTGAATTTGATGGACTTACTACAACTTGCCAATAAATATTTGATTGTGGGATTTTAGAATTGGAATGTGTTATTGGCTAATTATATTTTAATTTCCTCAGTGGCAAATATTTATGTGGCTGTTGGAGTAGTGATGGAAAAAAATTGTATTTGTCTACAGGATCTTCACTTTTGGTGAGTAGCAAATCCAGTGGTAAGATTGGTTTAATTTTACTTTGATTCTTTCATATCCACTTAGTTAAGCATGTCACCAGATACATCTAACACTATTATTATTAAAGGCAATTTAGTTTTTAAGCTGATTCCTGGACCCCTTACCCTCAGATATACCAGTGGCAAGACTTGAAGCTGATGGATCAATTTACCTCTAGCACATGGGAATCACCTGAGTATTACCTATTTAATATTTTTCTTGTTTTTCTTTATTGTTTTTTTCTTTTCATATTTTGATTACATTTTTTCTTCTCATTTTCAGACTAAAAGCAGAAATAATTTCTGTCATACCTGTCATGGAAAATGCCATATTGTTTACTGCACAGGTTTCACTGGAAAGTTTGATCTGTACGCCAGAGATGTTTTCAGGTAAACCAAAGCACAAATGCCTTATTCAAATATTTTATGTTCTGTACACAATCTTGATAAAGTTGATAGAGCTAATTACTACATACATGCACACATGTAGCATACATGTGCTAATTTTAATAGTCTAGCCTGTTACTTATCCACAAAAATAATAGACTATAAACCATGCTATTGAACATCTTAAATTCCCTAAACATAGACATGCAGCTGTGCTGTTCAGGCGTAAATTGATTTATGCATACTTAATTTCAAACTTTTTTTTTTTAGCTCTGAATAGTTTTATTTATCTTCCAGAAACTAGCAGCTCATTTGAATCGAGTCTTTTCAACATGTCTTCTCAGGTAATGTCTAATATCATAAACATATTATTTATTTGTAGTAAAAGTTTTACATTTTGTTAATAACTAAGATTTTTACAAACACTGAACAATCCTTATTCCACTGTGCACAAGTTTATCAGTTCAAATAATCAATGGCAGTTTTCAGGTTTTGTTGAACAAGTCTTTCTGTACAACAATTTCAGAAACTAAAAGAGAAAATATTCTTGAGAAGATACTGGTCATTTCTTTTGTACATCTGGACAATCACAGAAAGTTTTGTTACAGGAATTTTGTGTAGGCTCAACTGAGTTAGAATGTATTAACATTTTTTTTTATTAACAGTATTAGAGTATCAAGTTGATGGCTTTATAAACTTTAATTTGTGGCAGACAGTAAGAAAATTGACTTCTATGTTGATGCTGGTGCCTGACAGTGGTGGGGAGCCAATCAGTGTTTCACTGCAAGGAATTCTCAATCCTGATATTATAATATATGAGGTCGGTATGCTGATAATGGTATATTTAGTCTGAAGTTTCTTACTATAAGGAAACATTTTAAGCAACCTGTAATTATTTCCGTACTTAAATAGATTTTGTGTTGTTGTGAACTACTGTTATTCTAATAAGAACATTTATTCTCCAGCATTGGAGTCGGTGTATAGTGGTTGGCAGCAACACCCAAAGTGTTATGCAGATTTTTACTTTAGTCAAAGACAAACTGATTCAGTGTGGGAATATAGTGAGTATAATAGAAAGCATACATTTTAAAATCTTTCAATGCATCCTTTACTTGAAAAGTAAAGAATGAATGAATAGCATGTTTGGATTGTAGAGCAGACTGCTAAACTGAAAGTCTTGAGTTCAGAGAGTCCACCCAGCTCTAATGGGTACCTGACCACATGGTTCCTTCATTAGCAGAGGTCATAGAAACAGGTGAATTCTACTACATACGCCCTTTGAACACTGATTTTTCTTTAAAAAAAAAAACAAAGCCTCAAAAACAAGTGAACATATAACGCATCATGTTATAGTCTTATTTTTGTTCATTGTTTGTTATTTAAAAAATGTTCAAGGGGTCAGTTTATTCCGATTATGCTATATAATTATAAAGTTAATTAGTTCAAATTAGCATGGTAAAATAATGCTATTTCTTTGTTCCTCAAATGGTATATAATGCTAATGATACTTCAACTCTAATGCCAATTGAAAACCTAAATTAAGGTGGTCAAAATTTAGTAGGTTGAATATTAGTAGTAAAGCTTTGGCAGAAGTAGAGCTCCACTAAACATTTTTTTGAAACCCCATATTCATTTATAATGTTGATACTGTTGTGTAGAATCTAGAAAATAATGAAAGGCTGAAAGGCCTTTGCACTCACCTGTTGACACCAGGCATACTAGTTCTGATTGGTGAAAAGGATGGAGCTGACATCTTTGACATAGCCACCCAGTCACAGTTTAGTCTGACACTCAAGTACTTTAGTTTAAAAGGTTAGTTACTGGTGTATTTTTAAGACTATGTTGGCCATTTTGATTATCTTTTAGTATTTTGAATGATGTTATTACTCTTTTTAGTTTTGATGAGAAAATATTAATCTATAGGCCTATTATTTTGTTTGTTAGCATTAATAATTAGGGCTTACAACCAGAATAATGTTTTAAATATCTTTTTTTTTTGTGTAGATTATAGTAATATTGCCTCTGATAGTCAAGACACAGCAGAGCCTGTAAAATTTGAATGTCCAAATTATCTAATAAAAAGCATCAGCTTTAGCTCAAACAGTCTACTGAGGGATGAACTCACTTTGCCAGGTATTTTTAAAAAAAGGTTACATTAAGCTTAAGTAAATTGAGACAACCTGAACTCTAATGACCACTTATCAAGGTTTAAAAACATTTTTTTCACTCTGACAAGACCTAAAAATTTAAGCCTTTCAATATCAGCAGTAATATTTTAAACCATGAAAATTTTAATTTTTTTATGTCAGGAGAATCACTTGGCTGCAGAAATATCAGCAGTCTAATTCAAGAGCTGGATCACCAACCGGTGAATCCTCAATTAGAAACTGTGTCATTTTCAAGTCAGGCTCCAGTCTTTAATAACACAAAACTATTGAGTCTTTTTGAACTGAGCGCAAAAACCAGTTCTGACCAATTGCTTGACACAACCAGTTGTATGTCACACCATGTACTTCAACCTGTGACTGCTGAAGTAAAGTCTGGAGAACAAGTGACATCTCATGTCTTGGGTAAAGATAACGCAAAAGCTAATGTCAAGCCCAAAGTTCATACGACAGATGTTAAGTCTAACAAGGAGAAACCTGATGCCTTAGCACAACAATTGCAGTTTCAGGTAAACAGAACAAATCATATTTTGCAAACTGTTCGAACTTAGGTAATGTTGTATTTATATCAATGTTTATTTACCAATTTTTTTATGCAGCCTCATTCAGTTAAGAACATTAGTGCTCAAAAATTTGTATCCACAGGAACTGTCTTTACTCGCATTACAGAAGCAGCTACAGGAATTATCTCAGTAATTTTTAAATTTCATTTAATTAAGCCATTTTTAATTTTACTGGCTGGTCCTCTGTACTGGTTTTGTAATTATGCTGTATTTAATCCTCTCAGGTGTGTGAAGCAGACATGTTTAATTTTACCCTCCAAATATCAAGACTTCAAAAGACCAGGTAACATTATGATTGCTAATTGTATAAAGCAATTAACTTCCCAGTTATTCATTCAGATATAATAGTTAGTATTATAAGACTTAAGTACTGTCTACATACTTCATTTATAGTTAATGGAAATAAATCTACTTAGTAGTGTAAAAAAATAAACTGGTCAGTTAGTATAACATCAAGAAACACACTTTTTTTAAGAGAGCTATTTTTTCTTAAAATTTCAAAGTGGAACCAGTGAATGTTTTGCATTATATATATTAAACCATTTTATTATGCCTAATATTAATAATACATTTTAAAATTTCCACAGAGTTGGTTGAGATTTACTGTACAAAAGCTGGTGCCACAGAGAGAAAAAGATTTTTGTTGGATGATGGACGCTTACACCTGGATACAATTAAGACAGCGTTTAATCTATCTTCAGTTGAAATTTTACTAGGTAAGTATCTTTTGCAGAAAAATTTACTGCACAGCTTACATTTGATGTAAATTACTTGAAAAGCACCATTTTGTCTCATTTGTAGAGTTCAATTTTGCTTAAAATTTTTTAAAACTGTTTTATGTATCTAATATTTATGGCTAAACTAAAAACAGAGATTATTTTTATCAATGTTCCTTTATTCAAAAACAACTTTCAATATTTACTTTAAAGCTGAAATAAAGCCAAAATTGGATTTACATGCATTTTTTTCAAATAATCAATCTCAATAATAAGTGTCAGTTTCAGCAGGTAAACAATAACTCAGATGAGTAACATTACTCTTTCAGATGGTGAATATTGTGTTGTCAGTGCAAACACAGATGGCTACATTCCAATGAAATTTTCAGCTGCCCAAGAGTTACAAATATCAGGATTTTGATTTTAAATGTATTGAAATTTGCTTTTGTTGGTTGTCTGTAATATGTAAATACAAATGCAAGATGATTTGTGTTTTGGTTTATTCTATACTTCATTAGAAAAATCTTTTTAAAAATAGGTAGACCTAGTAAAATTTTTTTTAGTGTTTATTAAAATTTAAAATCAGAATGACCAATATTGACATTCAAACAAAAATTTACAGTAGATAAAACAATAACACAAATGTCATGGCCACGAAATTTTTGTGAAATTCTTTTTACAGCTTGGTTCCTAGGAGGAAAAAAAATAACATTAATTACATGACTGCACAGTTACTTAAAAATTATGTTTACATATTTGCATAGAAAATGTTTTAGACAGGTAAATAGGCAGTTGTTAAGAAATACTAATAATCATGTACTATTTACTAGTGCCTACCATGTTATCACTGGATGGTTCCTCGCCTGACTTTAATCTTTTTCTTGGTGAATTTACTTGATTTCCATTGCTAACAGGTGCGTCACCTGAAGGTTTGTCGATGCTTTTTGAACACAGTTGTAGTTTTTTATCAAGACTGTTTTTACAAGGTGGTGGCTTTAATCTGGATTCATAAACTTTACTTTGACTAGCTCCTTCCCCATCTGTTTTTTGTTTTCTAAAATAAGAAAAATGAGAATAGCATGATAGCCTATAATTTGAATATTTTAAATAGGAAATAAAATAGTTAAAACTTTTAAATTAAAGTGAGTCTGTATATAGTTGGATAGATTTAGAAGATATCAAACAACAGACTGATACTGATTACAATTAAAATACCAAAAGCCAGGACTTATTTTTGTACTAGATGTTCATAGGAGCCCAAACTCTACCTGGGTGAGACAGATTGAAGTCTCAAGAAATAAAATTGAGTGGACAAACATCTGACACAGGAACTTTCATGATTCTTTGATGTGTAAAACTAGTATAAGTCTTAAGTAATCATGCAAAAACGAGCATTTAAAATAGGCTCACTTTTTTAATGGATCCTCTTCTTCTGTTCTATTATGATGTCTTTTTGTTGCTAAAATTTGCTCCCTGGTCATAGATTGTCCACGCCTGTTGTTTCTATATTTCCTTTGTGGCAAAGGCAAAATGTAGCAATTGTAAAGTTCAACTAGAGACTCTTTGTTAAGATTTTCCAAATCTTGGTTTGATGATCCAATGTAACGCTGAAAATACAATATTAATGTAAAATGAAATTAACAAGCACATAATACTCAAGTCCAGTAGCACAATACTTTTATTCCTGTCCAACAGATGATCAAGATGAGATTATTTAAGTTAAATATCATTTCTCATTCTAGAACTAGATCTACTAGGTTGTTCATAATTTACTTATTTTTGTACTGACTACTTGTACTTAGACTATAGCCTACTGGTAATTACTATTTGCAGTATGGCAAAGACCCATGGGTACACTTGTCATTTGTATCTGTTATAACTTTAACCAACTTACATTTTGGGGGCTCATGAAAGAGGAGATCCACATGAATAGTCAGTATTTAAGAATTTACAATAAGTAGTAGTAAGCGCATCCTAATTTCTAGTACTCAGCTGATTGCAAACTTTAACTTAAATATACTAATCTTGTAGGTACATTAGTAGACCTAGAGTGTGTAGCAGTTCAGAGTTATTCTTGGATGTAAAAAGGGGCGGTACTAACTAATCTGCCTTTATGCTTTCCCTTGATAAGCCATGTGTGCTAAACATTACATAACATGACATAGTGGTGAGAAATGTTGAGGGGAGAGTAGTGGTAAGCCTACTGATTTATATAAATCTTTGATCTCCTCCCTGCTGGACCATGATGGTGAAATATGAAATAACAATAACATGCCATCTCTGCTGGTCTGAGATCTAAGAGCAGTCATCTATGCTACCAACAAAAGGATTAGAAGATTTATGGTGGGTTAAAAAAAAGATAGGTGCAGGGGTGCTTCAAAGATTAACTTATAGAAAAGACAACAAGAGCCTGGTAGTCTCACGTTATAGCGTCGGAATTAATCCAGTAATGTTTGTTGAGTATCGTTAACATTCGTTTCTGTAAACCAGGGGTCTCCAAACTACAGCCCGCGAGGTCCTCTCAACCGGCCCGCGGCAATCTTTTTGTTCACAGATTAAATGTTAGTTGGAGGTGGCTGAGGAACTTTACCCAGAAAATTCAAAACAATTTGAAAATGTAGCTTTGTGTGCAAATACCATTGCCTGTCGTGTTGCAAACATTGGTGATTACATTGTGATTCAAATAGCGAAAAATGCAAGCAAGTTTCGCCATTTTCTATTGCAATGGATGAGTCGCTGGACAGCTGTTATACCTCTAAAATTCTTGTGTTCATTAGAGGTGTGGATGAAGACATGAACATAACACAAGAGCTGGCTAAACTTCTTGTGTTCATTAGAGGTGTGGATGAAGACATGAACATAACACAAGAGCTGGCTTCCCTACATAGAATGTATGCTACCCGAGAGGATATCTAACAAAAGATAGCTCAGAGACATGTTGAAAGATACAAACACAGAATCGCAAGATTTACCATATTTCACAGCAGTAATATGGCTAATTTGCGAGAGATTTCTGAGCAGAGTATTTAAGTTAAGAAAGGAAATAGGTGACTTCCTGGAAAGTATAGGCAAGCCACAGTCATTAATGTCTGATGAAGAGAGGTATAGAAATTGGCCTCTGCTGCACACATAACTAGTCTTTTAAATTTTCTAAACCTAAAATTAAGAGAGGGGAATCTAGTTTCTGATCTATACACCCACTCGAACAACACGGATCACCGGCTCAGGAGTTGCGCTCCTGGCTTGGTGTGGGCTGTTGGCAGCCTCACAAAGATGTCGGTTCGAACAATGCATGTCGCTTTGCTTCCGTGGGCTCTCACCAGGCTTGCCTTCCCCACCACCTGGCGCAGGACGTTGTCCCACCGTCATGGTACCCAGCTTGATTGTGGGTGCTATACACCCACTAAAGACTTTCAGATCCAAACTTATCATGTTTTTGGAACAAGTACAGGCCAACAACTTGACGCAGGATTACTGCAGCATGAGTGGCTGCATGCACACTTGTGGATGGACACTAAGACTACACACTACACTACATACACTTACTACACTTAACTACACTAACTCTAACAACTAAGATTTAAGACTAATATTCTAATACAATACAAGTGGAGTGGACACTGCTAGATCTAGAACAGGGGTCGGCAACCTGCGGCTCCATGCGGCTCTTTTGATGTCAAGATGCGGCTCTCCAGTTCCATGTACAAATATTAATAACGAGCCGACCCGCGGCGTATCATACGCCGATATTTAGTTGTTTTATTTTCTAGTTTTCAGTCATTCATAATGTGTGAATTCGACAGTATCAACGCTACCACTGAAAATATTTGCTTTAAAACAGTATCAGTAGGCCGTTACCCCCCCCCCTCCTTTCCCCCAACCCCTACCTTAAAGCCCCCCCCCCCATGAAAGCAGCCTCCTCTTAGTTACCTCCAATAAGTTAAAAATAGTTTCAAACTAAATTATCTGCCCATAATAGGTGCACTAAGCCCGGCTCTATGATTGTAAACATTTAGCGTGAACCACAGCTCACCAGACCATGTGGGGGTGGGGCAGGTTGCGATATGCCTATAGAGGAAGAGAGGGGACTGCTAGGCGCGCTTACAGTTTGTTTTCTAACGTCTCCAAGAAGAGAATTATATATATAGATTATTTTATTTTATGTTTAAAACTCATAAAAAATATTACAAAGAAAAACAACTTTAAACATGTTAAAAACACTATTCAGAGAACAATGAGAGTAGGTGGAGTAGAGAGCACATGGACAGCCGCTTGGGCACCAGGCCCAGCCCCACAGCCGTGCTGTGACCAGCCCCGTGGCGACGGTTCCATGCTTGCCACTGTCGAAGTGCCGACTTTTTAGAAAATTGTTAAATGAGGAATGTTATTTTATACATAATGCATTTCTCTATCGGTCGTTGTGCATTAATTTGACCTGAGTGACGTGGTTTTTTAGTTATTGGCTTCCTACAGTTGAGCCGGGTACTGGACAGTGGGGTACGAGTTTACCCTGCTTTCAGTGGGCTGGAAGATAAGCCTGGTGAGAACTGAAGACAGAAGCGACCATTATTAAAATTAGTTAGTAGGAGTTGACCGTGTTGAGGAGTGCCTGGCTATGGGAGACACCTCCTGGACCAGTGGTGTCCGTAAAGAAAGTAAAACAAGCTATTGGCTTCTAAAGTGGATTGGATAGTCGTATAGTTAAATTATTTGATTACTAATTTAATCAGAGCAGAGCTGGCTAAAATACTTTAATATGTTTTGTGTGAAATATTAGTATGTTTTTTAAGTATAAATATTCTTTCATATTTAAAGCTATTTAGAATTTAGTAGTATTTATTTCAAATAAAAAATCAAATGTATATATCTAATCCCAATCAAATGCCAAAAATATTGAAATAAAAATGATAGTGGCTCCTTAAAAACTGGGAACATTTGTAAATTGTAACTTTTGGCTCTTCCAATGGACACCAGCGAGTTGACGAGATTCCTTCCATAATGTTGTTGACATGGAATAAAAACGTGCTTTTTAGATTTAGACCGTAAAAAAAAAAAAAAACTTAAGCCTAAAATTAATTTAGAAATTTTATATTTTTAGATATAAATGCTATATAAAAGTTGCAAATCCAGAGAACTTGAAAATAATTTGTTGAGTTTAAGGCTACATTTCTATTTATTTTCATCAAGCCTAAGTTATAACCGGATGTTTCACTTTCGTAAGACAAATATTTATTGGCTGTACAGTAACTTAGTGATCGATAACTATTTGTTTACAAAACTTTGCAGATCAAGTTTTTAAATAACAATGCAAATTAAAAACCCCATGACCTAGTTTTCTATTTTTAGCTTACAATGTGTACAATAAAATTTATGGCGGCCTATCCAATAGCAGGATGCCATTGTTTATGTCGCCATTACACATGAAAACCAAATTGTTTTTGCTTTTTTTTTTTATTTTTATTTAGTAACCGAAAATATTAAAAACATCAAATACATCCAATCTTTAGTAAAGTCCGAAAAAAAACCAGACAGGCAAGATTTTATAACCATATTAATTGTAACTACGCTGTGCATGATTTTTAAATTAATTTATGGACCTCTCAAATACCTTTGAGACTTTACTCGCTGGTGTCCATTCAAAAGGTTGCCGACCTCTGATCTAGAATCTAAAAAAGAATCCATAAAGATTGCCGCTTTGGCAAAGCGGCTTTGAGTGGGCCAGTCAGTTGAGTAAAGTAAAGTTGAGTTGGCGTTAGAAAAGTTTAAGTAAAGTAAGACAGTATGAGTAAGGGTAAGGTAAGAGTAAGACTAAGAAACAGAAAAGTGAAAAGAGATTTTTTTAATCTAGAATTCACATTCTAGATTTAGTTAATTCTAGTCTATCACTAACTAAACTAAGAAATTATTAGGCCTGTGCATTCTTCGAACCTTTCTAAGAATATGTATAAGTCCATCTTTTGAAAGTAGATCTGGATACAGCCAGTCAATTTTTTCACTTTGTTTTAGGAAGCTGCTGCAAGATATCGTATCTGCCATTTCTTTAGCCTGGTCTAATTTTTATATTTGCATTTTAAAACGCTATCTTACCCTCCTTCACTTGTACAAATTTAGCAATATTGATTGTGCGCTCAGCTGTGCTGGCGCTATGTAGCAGTAAAAAAAAATACACTTAGAACTAGAGATGTAAATTCTAGTAATACCAAGTTCCGCACACATTACGGCAACGTATTGCGTTACACTGCTGCAACACATGAAATATCTAGGCTACGATAATTCTTAAATTTAGAATTCTATGTAGTTATGTAGATCTAGATCTAGATCTAGGTAATCCCTTAGTTTAGCGTCGGTTATTATTCCGGAATCGTATAGCAGTAAAAAACAGTAAAACAATGTCAAAGTCTGTCACACACTTCCGGAATTCACCGGAAGTACTGTAAACCATACTTTATTTGGCGTCATCTTTTATTTTTATACAGAATATTTAAAATTTGGATAGATTTATTTTTGTAATCATTTTTACATTTTGTAATCATTTTTACTATTTTCGTAATCTAGATTTTTTTAACTTGGCCTAGCAGCTAGATATCTAGCTAGATCTAGATCTAATTAATTAATGGTCGCAAATCCGCTGCAAGCCAAAAACATTAAATTATTACATTTGACTTCATTATTTATATTTATATTAATATATTTTTTTTTTAGATCTACTAATTTAAAACTTCTATTAGATTTATATTTATTCTTGTTTCCTTTTGTCGATTAAACTTAAAAAATTAAAACATTAGTTTACTACAATCAACTTTCAATTTATTTATATTTCAATGGTCAAATAAACCATGGTTTACCGTAACTCTAATTACCGAGACTCAACAAACATTACCCGATAATTTCCGACGCTAAACTAAGGGATTACCTAGATCTAGATCTAAGTAAGTAGATTCTAATAATTCTATTCATCACTTGGCAATAGGTCTAATTAATTAGGGTAAAGGAGGGCGTTAAGAGCCGTGTGGTATTAAGCCCCAATCAACAACCCACCCCCACAAAACCCCCAATAACACTGCTAATCTACTTCTGAGGTAACAACCACTGCTGTTCTTTGATAACAGAGAAGCAGAGGATTCATTTTATGTAATTTATGACCCACTTGGTCCAATAGGGATAGGATGAGACAAGATTTAATCTCACTGCTCTTTCCTTAAAATTTTTCATCTCCATAAAACCATTTTGTGAACTTTTTTTCCAAAAAGACATAACTTGCGAAACTTCACTTTGTAATAAACCAAATGAGTTTTTCAAGCCCATTCTTTGTTCCTGTATTAGAGCATTGGTTGTTGTACATTTTAACACTATTTTTATAGCTATGGCTAGAATAGTTTTATTTTGGTGAATTTTTTTTGCACAGTGATTATTGGTGCCAAAACAAAATGGCCGACATTTGTCCCATTTTACCATGCTATAAAGTTTTTATCATTATTAGAGTAAAACTTGACTGATCATTACCATAATGGTTTTATTTGTTAGATAATAACTAAATCTACATGAATACATTAATTCTGTCCACTAGCTTGCCTGTTTAGAAAAGTTATAACAGATACTGTTATGTGGCTCTTGAAACCCTATGTGCAAGTTTCTCATTTATTAGACCACTGAATATGACACTGGTATAGGAATAGTTAACACAAAATGTATTAATTGTTAAACAGACTTGTGTCTAAATGATTGAAATACTATTCTAACCTGCTAAAAAGTAAAAATTCAGTCATCTGATGTTAGCAAGGTAATTTTTAAAATGGTACAAGTACTTATTACCCCTAAGGGGCAATACAGCCGACTCAGCCCCCACCTGTTTCTAACCAACCATAAAACTTCTAATCTCTTTGTAGGTAACAGGAATAAATGTTCTTAGGTCTCAGCCAATCTGGGGTGGTATGTTATGTAATTTATGACCCTCATGGTCCAGCAGGGAAGTGATCAGACACATTAATACCACTGCTCCCCCCCCCCTACAATTTCTTACCCCCATGATACCCAACCCCCACCAGTTTCTGGCCCACCATCTCTTTGTAGGTAACATGGATTACAGTTACAGATCTCAGACAATCTGGGGTGGCATATTATGTAATATATGACCTTCATGGTCCAGCAGGGTGGAGACCAAAGAGGAATCAGTACCACTGCTCTCCCCTCACAACTTCTCACCTCCATGATAGCCAGACCCCACCTGTATATAACCCACCATAAAACTTCATCTCTTTGTAGGTAACATGGACTTAGTTCTTAGATCTCAGCCAACCAGAGATAGCATCTCCTTATGTAATTTATGGCCCTCAGGGTCCAGCAAGGAGAACAAAGAGGAAACCAGTACCACTGCTCTCCCCTCATCATTTCTCACCCCCATGATACCCAGCCCCCACCTGTATCTAACCCACCATAAAACTTATCTCTTTGTAGGTAGCATGGACTTAGTTCTTAGATCTCAGCCAACCAGAGATAGCATCTCCTTATGTAATTTATGGCCCTCATGGTCCAGCAAGGAGAACAAAGGGGAAACCAGTACCACTGCTCTCCCCTCAACATTTCTCACCTCCATGTCATGTTATGTAATGTATAGCACACATGGCTTATCAGGGGAAAGCATTAAGGCAGATTAGTTAGTACCAACCCTTTTTACATATAAGAATGTTAACTCTGGACAGCTACACACTAGTATACTAGCTACACACTAGGCATACTAATGTGCCTACTGTAAACGACTAGACTTTAGGCCCTATGTACACCTGCAATTGTATCAATTGTAGACTGGGCCCATTGGGGCCTAGTGATAGCTAGTATCAGTTAAAGTGTGTGTACACAGCATTAACTATTTTGGGGTTAGAAATTAATTATTTTTATTGCGGAGTTAGTCTAAACTAGGAGATAATACTTATTGCCCCATTGCCCGGCTCCTTTCACCCCAAATGCTGATTTTGGGGGTATGACAATAATGTTCAATTAAACCCATTTAAATTATATTTAATAGACTTTGTTATTAGTTTTATATTGTGTAAGATATGTTATAATAATTTTGCCATATTTTCATTACTAAAAAATTCTTAGATTAGTAGAAATCTTTAAAAATGTACAGGTGCTAAAAAGTGTGGCTCTTAACGCCCTCCTTTACCCTAATTTTATTAATTAATAATTAGTTTTTCTCACTAAATCTAGAATTTACGCAATTATCAATTTAAACATGACCACTGAATAATAGACATCCATATTTAATCCATTAGGCACTAACTTTGGAGTTTTTAGTTCGTTTTAAACTAAATTATTTAATTTAATATTTATTGTCAATCACTGCCATGTCCAACACATCTCTCCATGACAACGCTTCTAACCCTTGAAGGTAAAGAAAACCACACATCAGGTTAGACTTTTTAAGTGGCCATGCACCCAGAGTTCCTCACTAGTAATCATCAAATAGCGGTCACGTGGTTTTTAAAAAATAAAAATAAATTGGTTGTGATACGGACGCCGGTCTTATAAAAAAACAGCTCACAATATTTGCTTTCTTTTTACATAGACTGATAGACTTAATAATGCTTTACTTATATGATCATTTTTGTACCTATATAGTTGATATTTTTCAAATTCTATTAATTTTAATGAAACCAACTTTTGAATTTAGCCTCCGTTCTCCAAACCAAATTTTAAAATGCTTTTCTGGCATATCTAACCCTGCCACCTATGGTTTGTTGTTATGACACGGAAATCCCGCCATTTTGCGCGTGGTAAACATTTTTAAATATAATTAGTTGAAGGTCTCTGGAATTTGGCCGAAAAATCGCCGGAAATCAAACGTCCGGTCCGGGCGCCATATTGTTGTTAGCAACCGACCACGCCTCCAAGTTAGCGAGAAATACTATTAATAATTATTGTAGGCCGTAGGCCTTAGTTTAGAGTGGCTTAGTTATTAGTTTATTAGTTAAAAAAATAATAAATAAATTAAAATTGTTGTACACTCAGTCTCAGCGGCTTTTGGGAGAATGGCTGGCTAAAGTACTAAAGTCAATCTATCTAACCCTGCCCTAACGGCTAACGCCAACCTGGTCCTACCATCATACACCTAATGCCGGCTATCGCCTAACCCTAATTTTCTAACCATAAAAATTAGTCGAGATTACAATACTACTAACAACCCAACACCCCTTTTTTAAAGAAGATTCCATTAACATTATAATTATTGGACACAGGTATCTATAATCATCCGCTTATATTATTCTCTGAGTCTAAGACTCTAAAGTCTAAAGTCTCTACTCTCTAATTGAAATATTTTGGTTCAAGACTTCAAGAAAATTTTATTTTATTTTTCTCATTCATTTATCTATGGCCTAAGGTATTAGAATCTCTAAAAAAAAATTTCACTTTCAGAAATAATCTTTGTGAAAAGAAACAATGCAAATATTAATGAGATTTTTCTAACTTGGAAATCAGACAAGAGAAAATGCCTAAAAAATTACCACGTACTAAAGGAAATACTAAGGTAAATTAAAACTAGATACCTTTACTATTAATCATTAATCATATATTATAAAATCATTTTTAAAATTTGAATTGCATGAAAATCCAAACTAGCTGAAAAGCAGTAACTTCAGTAAGTTTTTAGCAGTTGCCTTCTACTATGTTATAACATTTACCCAATGTTACGTTTAATACTTTGGTTGTTTAGATATTAAGGTAAGGATGATATAAAATATTTACAATCAACTTAATTTTTATTTTTATGAACTATTGAAATAAATTTCATAATATAACTTGAAACCTTTAAAGAATTTTATATAATGTATAAGCCTCTGTCATTAAAATGAGGTGTAATAATTATAAAGCCTACCTTACTGAAAAATAAATATGACAACAATTTTTTTCTTTCTGTAAACAGCCTTCAAGTAGTAGTGAAGCTGCTAAGCTTTTAGTTGCTTCAGGACATGTGGCATCCAAAGGATTCATTGGATTTTCTAATGAGGCAAGTTACGTACCAGCAAGTGAAATATTTGATGATGCTGAGGCTTCACTTGATGCAGAGTTTCGACTTGTACTTAGAAAACTTTCTAAGCGGGACACTGTTACTAAAGTCAAGGTGACTTGTTCTTCTTTCTGTGTTATTTACTGGTCAGTCCAAGTGGGATTTTCATTCTGAAAATATTTAACCATATTGCAGTTTGGGACAGAACTCTGTCTTGTTTTTTTTAGCATACACCCTTTTCACTCCTCAGGCTCTTCAAGAGTTTATAACTCTGTGTGCAAGCAAAGAGGAGGCTGATATAAAATGTATAGTGCCATTTTGGCCTAGAATCTACAATAAACTAGTCCTTGTAAGTACCACTGTTTAAAACAATAATTATCTATCTGTTGTTTAATTTATTCTCTATATTCCTGTTTAAACTTTTACTCTTTGTACTAGGCTTAATACAATTTTGTGTATATATAAATACTTTATTTTTTTTTCTCAGGATATTGACCACAAAGTTCGAGAGTTGGCACAAAGAGCTTTGCAATCATTGGCTGATAGAAGTGGTAAAAGTCTGGCACCTCATCTTAAAAGTATAATGGGGATGTGGATGATGACTATGTGTGACACATATCCAACTGTTTCTTCTGCTGCAAATACAGCTTTTACCAGCACATTTTCTGGGAACAAGCAGAGAGAGGCAATCCATTTCTGTAGGGTTGAGGTTATCGAGGTAAAAGAATATGTGTTTTAAACAGTCCACAATTTGAGTCCTAGTACTTGATTATTGTAGGCTGCACAGTTTAATGGAAAAAAACAAAAATATTCTACCTAAACCATTACTAAACAGCTGAACTTATGACTGCAAACCCCAAAGTCTCAAGTTCGGATTGCGGTCAAGCTTTTATGGGTGCTGACCCAGACCCATGTTAGTGAAGCAAAGGTGGTTGGGCATAGTGCTGACAATGCTATCCCCCTGTATGCTGAGGTCATTGAAACAGATGAACTCTACTTCATCTGCCCCATGGAGCAAAAAAATATGATGATTAATGAATAGGCATCAATTCTTATGCACAAACTCAACACAAATAAAGTACATTCAGCTTAAAGTTGTAGTCACTGATAGATACATTTTTTTCAACTATTACATAATAGTTAATGGTACTGATAACACATTTAAATTAAACATGACTTTTTCCCAAATTTCAGTGCCTATTAAACAACATTCTTAATGCAAGTCCTGCAACTCTCAGTGATCCTGCGTAAGTAGTACAATGAATTATTGTTCTTTACATTTTTTTACATTTCATTTGTCTGTGGTGATACCACTACTAAATAGTGATTTAAAAAAAACATTCATCAGTAATTTCAGGTTATAAAAAACTCCTGAGATGGCTGAAAGCATGAACTTTGATAATTGTTGATGTATATTGTAACGTCTATACTCTTCATTCATGAATTTTTATGGTTTAAGAAAAATGTTTAGATTTTAGCTTTTCTCAAATAATATGGAGATAGATATTTTAATAACTAAACTGTTTGAAAAAGAATTTAAAAATGCATTGCTTGCCCATTTTGTACAGCAGTTACTTCTTATAAAATTTTTGTGTGTGTTATATTTGTATTACTCATAGACAGTAATGGTCATTTCTTTGTACTAATGTGCCCTGCTCATTCTTTTATACTAGGCCCTGGTCCTTTCCACTATTTATGTGATCTGTCTTGTACAAAGTCTGGATTGTGTTTTGTTGACAGATCAACAAGTGCAGAAGATATGGAGTCCAAGTATATGAGAGTTGTCTGCAGCAGTCTACAATCAATGTGTAAGCTCTTGTCAATGTTACCAGCAGAGACACCAACACTCCAACAACACATGACTAGTTTATTACAGAGTCCACAGTTGTGGAAGCACACAAAGTCAACCAATGCTATGGTTTGTATTGTCCTTTCTTTACATTGGTTTTGTTCATTTCTTTGTACTATTTCCTTTTGTAGAGAGAAATAAGTAGTTATAATCATATTCATGGTTCATGCAGATTCCTGATTTTCCAGAAGGTCCTGGAAAACTCATTAAACTAAAAACATTATAAAAAACCTCCTGGAATTCTCATTGGTTCACCTGACCAAGTGACGCCACTGATTTAACCTGATGCCTAATACTGTATTATATGCAGAAAGGACTGTATTTGCTCTTGTCTATGTTACTAGCACAGAAGTCAACACTCTGATAATTAACACTGTATGCCAATATTACTAAAGGAAAATAAGCATTCAGGCGTACAGCCGTACAATATATGAATTTTTTAATTTAATAAATGCCCTGAAATAAATTAAAAAAAAACTCATGGAATTTTGTTTTTAATTTCGGTGCATGAACCCTGATAATGACAGCATTTCAGCTTTCAATACATGATAAATCTCAATTCATCAGACATGCTGTTTGAATACTGTAGGTCAGAAGTAATATCTTATTTTCACAAACTATTATTAAACAGAATATTTTTGCACTTATAAATGTATTGTTCCTTTCTGATTCAGGTTAAAGTTTCCTGTTTAAAGCTTATTTGCATGGTGTGCCAGACTTGCCCAGAGGCTTCTACTGTGGTTGTAAACAAAATCTCAGCATTTGTCATTTCATGTTTGGGCTCTAGTGATCCAATACTTACAGCACCTACATGGGAGGCCTTGCTGTCTCTTACCAGTGCTCATAAGGTATGTTAAATTGGGTGTCTTACAAAATAACTTTTTCAGAATAAAAATTCCCTAGGGCAAGTGAGGAAAGTACCCTTTTCGAAACTGTGTGTAGTTTGATTGTGTAATTAGCTCAAAAAACAGGTTAGGCTGAGGGAGGCGTGGAGGCGCATAGCAAACAAACGACTGACAATAGCCAGGTTATCTTGGGGAAATGCCAAGAAAAATTGCCAGTCCGGCAAAATTGGAAAAAGCCTTTCAATGGTGGCCCCTGGGTACAAAAGGAAAAGACAAGATGATGAGTTAGCTCAGGTTTTTGCAGCAGGAATGAGTGTTGCTACGGTAAACTTGCATGTAAAGATTAGTGTGATCTACCACTAGATTATTCATCCTCATAAGGTTTCAGGACATAATTATTATATTTGGCATTGTTTCAAAATTGGTATTAGAAAAAGCAGTTTTGAAAAATTAATAATCATATTTGTATATTGCTCACTCATGTTCTGAATGAAATTGATAGGATTGCTGGCAGCATATGAACTGGCAGAAGGCTGTTTGGCCCAAGTTAAAACATGTTTTAGAAACTGGCTGTTCTGGTCAAGCACGAGTCATTGCCCCTTCTTTGCTGCCTTTTTACAGTCAGATACCAGAGAGAAACTACAGGCTCTTTTTTAATTCTTTTTTTAATGGGTAAGTTAAAATATTTCTGATGACCATATATGTTAATGTTTTTCAGTACCTTCTTGGTGCAATCATATTTTGAAGTTAAAATAATTCATTAAAAAAATACCCCCCCCCCCCCCCTTCCCTTAGTATTTGTGCTGTGAGTGAGAGTAACAATCAAGCAGAGATCTCAGCATTTGTTCAAAGCTATACAGAATGTCTCCAGTACACCATCAAATGTATGGCACAAACAGAAGAGCACTCAGATTTAAAATATCTCATCACTGAACAGGTTGGATTTACATTTTATGTAGCTATAATACTTCACCTCCTTAAGGTTACAGGGCAAGGGTTCTCGTATAATTTTTAGGGTCTATTGCTTAAACTGTGTTGATTTTATATTGTTCATAGTTTATTGTTCATTGATACGTTAATAACGTGTCAATTTATTATTGTTTCCATTATATTTAGTGTTTTTTAAATTTGTTTCTAGCTTTTGACATGTGTTCAAACTGCTGTACAAAAGCCAGTATTGTCTAAAAGCAAACTTTACCACTGCCTGTGCCCAATGCTGGATTCAGTATCAAAGATTGATCCCAGCACTGAGAAAGAGTTCTGGTCCCTGCTAACTACATACATTCTAGACAAGCTGCTGGAAGAGTTCAACTCAGGAAACCAAGAAAAGCCACTTTTATTTGACTGTGTTACATTGTTAGTGAGGGCCATGGTCTTTGATGCTGCGTCCTCAAGAGTGAGTTTCGGAGAGAAGGAAAAGACTAAAACTATGAAAAAGCAAGTGAAGAAAAGTTTCTCAGAAGCGGCAGAAGGTTTGATCACTGACATTTTGCTGTCTGTTTACCAAAAGGCTGTTAGTGTGAATTCTCATTTCATGAAGCTGTTTAAAGATGTGTCAAGTGTTCATGTGCCATCAACTGCAGCTGACAGACTGACAGAATCAAACCTCAACATTGACTGTACGGCTCAATTGGCTGAGATTGAGATGGAGGGGACAAGTAACCCACACGAAAGATTTGTTCGCCACCAACTGCTCAAGCTACTGTGGCACCCACAGACATCATCAGAGTTTACACATGATGTAGTACTTACCATACTGGCTTATCTTTCTTATGTTGATGCTGAACCTGGTGCCAACATTTTATCTTTTCTCATTGATGTAAGTCTGGAGCATTTTTTACAAGGTTGATTATTTAATTGTTTTATATTTAAGGTAAAAATTATTGGATCTTACATAGAAGCTGGTAGGACACTACATTATGGCAATAATGATTGGTTTTTATATAGCAGCTAGTAAGACTACACCATGGTAACAATAATTGTTTTTTACATAACAACCAGTAGGCCATTGTACAGAAAGGGTGTATTATCTCTGAGAGTTGATTATGGTTTAATATATTTTATTTAAATCTAGTAAAAGAATTGTGCTAAAACATGTAATGCTAGTGAACTGTAAACACAAATGTTATGTTTTATCCTTGGTTGTTTCTGTAGAAGCTGGAAGATGAAAAGCTGGTATGCCAGGTGATAGAAGACTTGCTGACCCATGACGTACCTGCTAGTGAGCATCTCTTCAAGACAAATGTGCTGCCACAGAGGATTGAGACATTGTCGCCTTCTAGCACCTGTGTATGGGCCATGATGACAACTGTAATCAATAGTTTGGATAATATTGATGGTAAACCCACACCAGTGGTTACATCTTTATTTGTGATTATGTCAATTGACCAGTTTACACTGAAATATTTGACTTAAACATATTTTACTTGTCTTATATGAGTGGTTGATATCACCTTTTTCATCATTATAATAGTTATATAACATGGTTTAAAGGTCAAATGTTATTCTTTATATTGTTAGATAACCAGTTTACACAGTCCTGTCTTGATGTCATCATAAAATATTCCCTGAATATATTAAACAAGAAAATTGTTACCTGTCCCATACTGGATTTCCTCAAAATACTTGTAGAGAAAGAAATGGTAAGAATTTTATATGGGTAACTTAGTACTGACAAGTGAAGCCAAGACAAATCATCATTCAACTTGGTTATGCTTACAGTTTTTATTTTCATCTGGATATTGAGCTTTTAGTTGGTATTAACTATTAAATCTGCAAATGTCTCCAAATGTTATAATACTCACATGGAAAAAACTGAATAAAAAAATTAAAATGTTTAAAAATTTACAAACTAAAAAAAAATAATGGTTATAAAAATTATCTGGACAGCATTGTTAAAATGTATTTAATAAACTAAAAATTATTTTGCCATGAAAATGTAAATGGTTTATTATTATTTTACAGGTCACAGGCCACCCACAACTTGGGGAACTTGTTTTAAGTCTTCTACATTTGCTGCTGGATTACAATTTTTCAGGTAACTCTCTTGAATTGTTTAAAATAAATATTTAATTTAGAACTAAAGTAATTAAATTGATATTGATCAAATTATTAAAAATTTCAGATATTTGGCTGGAACTTGAAACGATTTGGTTAACTGGATTCAATCTGGTTAAAGAACAGCACCAGTATAACATCCAGATGTCCCAAGTTATCAAAAGCTGGGTACTGTCCCCTGATGCAAGTCTGAAAAGGTTGGTGTTGTTTATGTCACTTAGTTTCTAGTGATATCACTGTGATCATGCAGTGATCACCACACCATGTTGTGGTGATCTTAGATATGTTTTCTTGATTTATGCGGACTGAAATGAAAGTATTTTATTTTTTCAGCCTACCTCAAGTTTTTAAAATTGTTATCTCTGCTGTCACTCCACCATTGTCAACTTTTGTGGATCGTTATTTGGTCACAGAAAATTTGGATATGGATAATGCCAATGAGGTATGTTACTTTTGTATTGGTTTCCTATGTGGGTAAATTATCTACAAACCTAGAAAATTGTGCTAGTCTACAGAACAGAAACATGAATAGCATGGCCAGATTTTTAAAATGGTTTTAGCTCTTTGTAATTATTCTGCTTGTATTCTGACAGATTTGCCACTACCTATACTTAGATGGAAGAGTATCATGCTGGCAGTTGGAGACCACAGCTACCCCTGTGTCTTGTTTATCATATTTGCTCATCAGCCTATACAATGTGCATTTATTAACAATGATTAAAGAAGAGAACGAATGGTCCACTTGCCAAATGCAGTGTTTGCTAGATCTTATTTATAGCTTTGCTCTGTTGGATGCTTGCTTAGAGCTAAAATTAAAGGTAATTATAACAGGAAATCTTTTGTAGTTTATAGAGTTTTAGTGTGTTGTTTAGACTTACTGTTTACTTACTTTTACAGCAGTTTAAACTCATAATAAAATTTATATTGTAGGATGTAGAGGAAATCAGAATAAGTGAGTTGAAGACGGGAATAGTTGATTGCTCTACCCAGTTACCTCAGACATTTAACCTGATCCAAGCAAGGTAATAATAAAAATATTCAACTATGTCTAAATATTTATTTAGGTGAATTTTAACAGCTAGACAATTAAGTAAAACTTTATGTATTTAGTCAGGCGGATCTTAACAATAAGTTTTACATATTTCTAGACCCAGCTCACAATGGAAGATAATCCAGTATGCGCTTGAGCTACTAAATATATCATCTGATGATTTTCTCTTGAGGGCAAGACTTGAGTTTTTATCCAGGTAGGTTAAAGGTTCTAATTTGTTTTTATGCTTACAATTTAATAAAAAATAAGATTTGAACATATTTTAGTTTTTTTGAAATCCTTGGCTAGTTGGCATTTCTGCTTGGGTTGTATGTTTTTTTTCTATATTATAAGGTGTCTAAAAGGTCAAGATCTTGAAATGGGAGAAATTTTGAAAGATGAAAATGAAAGACAAAAGCATTTTATTCAGTGTGTCCAGTCCAGTTTATCTATACTTTTATCCAATAGTCCAATCAATCAGATGGACATAGCAGGTATTTTTTAAATCATAAAATGTTAAAACAGGTGTCAGAAATTATTAATGAATTTATGTTACATTTGTGTTTTAGTGGATGTCATTTAAATATTTTCATTTTGTTTTAGCATGTTGGATTCATATTCAATTAAGTAATTAAGACAAGTTCTGTGCTGTTTAAGATTGTTCATATAGAATTTATTGTTCTGTTCAGATTGTCTGTCTGGTTGGATGACATTTGGTACAAGCTACAAACTGCTTGATGATGAGGCAAAGACAAACCTGCTGCATCTGTTGAAAGATGTAGTACAACAATTAAAAGATAAGGATGCTCTTTTGCTCTCTGCCAGGTAGGAACTTATAAATTTGGATTACATAAAGTTGGGTTGTTTTTTTTTGTATTCATTTACACATTGATCATTACATATCTATGGGGTTTTTATGGTCAGTTAAAACAAAATTTGCTCTACGCCCCGAGGAACGGTCAACTTAATTAGTTATTTATATAATATTGTGTACCAGATGTTTGTTTTATAAGAATAAACTAGAAGTTAAATTAAATTGTTTTTTTTTTTTTTCACTTTTGTTCTAAAACATGGCATGCTCATCATGTGTTAAAAAAAATTATAGCCTAAGGCATTAAACTTTTTTTTAGCACCTATCAATTATATTTGCATTATTTTTATGATGTAATTCACTAATTGCTTACATGTTTCAGTGATAAATCTTACCATCCAGAACTTATTTATCTAAATATTGTCTTGGCTGATGTTTTAAAACAAGTAAAAGTTGATTCCAGTGACAAATACTGGGAGTTTTCACTTTGTATTTTGATAGAATGGATTCAGGTATGTGCTTTCCTTAGAAAATCTCACTAATATGGATTTTTTTATTTATCAGGCATAAAATGTATGCTATTAACTGACAATAGCAGCTCAAACATATTTTTAACTGAGATTAGCAGTTCAAAGATTTTCTGATGTTAGCAGTTCAAACTTATGTTGTTGACTGACAATAGCACTTGCCCACCAACATACTCTCACCAATTAGTCACAAGATTTCTGTTTATTTTTTTCCAGTTTCTCTCTGAGTCAACAGAGACCAGTGTCCAGACCTTGTGTTTACTTGTGAAAGTTTGTGATCTGGCCTTTTTGTCAGCCGAAGTATTTTCCAGCTCAGCTGCATCTGCTTCAGCTCAAACTGAGTGGGAGGAGTTTTTTGCTGAAGGAGTTTTCTCCCCTTTGTTGCCGCTCTTTGTTTCTTATGGTAGGATTATCTCTATACATTATTCTAGCCTATTTAAGTAGTCTATAGTAGGCCTATATTACTTTAAGTACTGTATTTCTTTCTATTAATTAAAAATAAGTTAAAATAGTGTTTATGTATTTCTGGCTGATAAACATTGATCCAAACAGTTTACAATGTGTTTGTATTTTCAGCAAACGGCAACACAATAAAAGATGAGGCCAAAGCAAGTATAGTTCTGAGCTCCCTGTCCTCTGTGGTCAGCTTGTGCCCACTAGAGCTGCTTCTTAAACATCAGATTCCAGCCTCCCTAACATTGACAGACACATCTTGTCTACCAGACAACTTGAAAACATTACTGAACCATTTGTCCCCCCTTGTTGTGTCTAAATATAGATCAGTGCAAGTTGCAGCATTTACATTACTCTGGAAGTAAGTGTGCACTCACCTATAGCCGACGATATTTGTTTTTATATGTTTGATATTTATGTCCATAAATAGTTATTCTGTTTATTAGTTATGTATTATTAAATATAAAATTAATTTTACTATTATTTACTTACTAAAGCACATAATGTAACCAAAATTTTTCAATAGAATTTTGGATGAGTTGGTCAAGTTTGTACCTGATGATGATGATGAAGAAGAAATGAAAGCACCCCCTGAAGCTCTGATCTGCCAAACTGAGCAAGCTCAAGAGTTCCTCGAGTGCATACAAATTGTGCCAGTGGACGAGCATGTTGTTATGGACATGGGAACTGATGAACATGCCCAGGTTATGGGATATCTTTTGCTGTGGAGACTTCTGCTGCAACTTTTTCACTCGTCACCTAGTCAGGTTTGTTAGCACTGGGGTCTGCCTGCTGTTCAGTGACTGAATAATGACCAGTTTATTTAAATAAGAGTGGGCTACAGGAATAATGAATTAGTGTGTGTGTGTAATAATTTATATGATCACTTACAAAGTTAAGAAATAACTTAATACTCAAATAACATAATGTCAACAAGTCTCTTTACAATCTTCAAATGCACAATTGTATAGCCATTGCAAAACCCCTGCCTCTTTTTTTTCCTTGTCACATTAAATGCCCATTGAGTTGGGACAATAAACAGCCTCAAGAGACCAGTTTATCTTAGGGATTTTGACACTAGATCTTTAGGATTGTAATAATGTTCTCAACAATTTCACCACATTGACATATTCTGCAATAATTATTACTTAGATTTAAGAATTAGATATACATTTTTTTATAAAAAAGGTGTTTTTTGTTTGTTTTTTACAGCTGCGAGCTAAATATGCATTGTACTACAAGGATAAGAAATCAGTGAACCATTTGTTGAGTAACATTTTTAGAGTTATGCCACTTCATCCTTCTGCTACAGTTGTCAATTTTGATGGAACACTTAATGTAAAAGGTAAGTTATCGAACTATATTTGACTTCTTTTTCATTTGTAAAGTTATATAAAACTGATTAAAAAAGTCAAAAGAAAATGTTACTATTAGTCAAGTAAGAGTCAAGTTACCCTTTTGAACCTGACAGTCAATAGGTCACCTGTTTCTGTGACCAGCATATTAAGGTATAGTGTAGTCAGTTGGTTAGCTGGCTTTAATATTCTTAACACAAGCCAGGTACCCATCAGCTAAGTGCAGTCAAGGATATACTGCAGTCTAGATACCATGATCCTAACTCAAGATTTGGGGTTATCAATCATGTATGCTGTTGCACAACTGCACCATCTCACTGATAGTAGGAAAACACAGTAACTTGGGCACAGAAAGCAATAAATTCAACTATATCTGGTTATTAACCATATTTCTTGAAGTTAATTATATGTTTTTTAAGTAATTGTTGTGGTAAAACAAATCTAATTGCCTATCTTATTTTCAGATAACATTACAGATTCAGAGATTGGAAAAATTGCATTTTATGTGTATCGTCAGTGTTTAGAGATCATTCCTGCTCTTGTAAGACACTGGTGGGCAGAACAGGACAGGAAAGCTACTAACTTTATTGATAGGTGGGTACATCTGAATTCTACAAGCTACTAAAGCCTAGTTAAAAATATGACAAAATAAAGTCCCTAATATCCTGACACGGTTAATAAAATAATCATTAAAACAAGCACTAGTCTTAATTAAACAAACTGTCTTGTATTTGATTTCAAGGTTTACAACAGATTACATTAGTAGCAGTCTGATACGACAACAGATCATTTCATCTCAGAACACAGACATGAAAGATATCACTGTAAGTTGTCAATTTTACCTGAGACTTTTTATTTATTAATTATTGGGCCTTTAAGTAAATTATATAGTTTTTAGTTTTAATTGGTTGTTGACACTCAAATAATTTTAACTGAAATACTTGGTTAGTAACTGATAAAAATTGTTTATTTCTAGATTCTTGCTCGTCCAGCTGCTAGAGAGGTGTCTGCTACATATGAAATGGCCGAAGTGAAAATCAACATGAGTATTGTGCTGCCAGAAAATTTTCCACTTGGTAAACTGGAGGTGACATGTGACAAGAGGGTTGGTGTCTCACAAGCACAGTGGGATCGTTGGTTGCTGCAGCTGAATATTTTCTTACAGCATCAGGTCAATAGCTTAAGTGTTTTAGTGGATGTATTTTGTTTTAATTGATGAGCATACTCAGCTGCTTTAAAAATGACAAATTGTTTTTTAATGCTACACACAACATAATTGAAAAATGGACTATTATCTTCTCAATATATTTCACTACACAACTAGATCTTACATAAAATTTATTTTTGACTAATTTATTTTTCAGAATGGCAGCATTTCTGAAGGATTAAAATTGTGGAAGGGAAATCTGGATAAAAAATTTGAGGGCATAGATGACTGCATGATTTGTTTCTCTGTGATACATGGCACAAATTTTCAGCTGCCTCGCTTAACATGCAGAACGTGTCGCAAAAAGTTTCACTCTGCTTGCTTGGTAAGTAACAGATCTGACTTCATGGATAGTTGTCTACTAGTTGGTTGTACTGATATCTAAGCCTGCTGTTACTTTCAACCTCCACACCCCAAATGATTATCTGGTTTTGAAACTTTACTAACCTTTCCTAAAAGTGTTATTCTCTGTTCTCTAAATTCTATTTTATTGTTACAGTACAAGTGGTTTAACACAAGTCAAAAGTCTTCATGTCCACTGTGTAGAAATTTGTTTTGAACACAATGGAGCCCAGGGAATCAAAGAGAAATACAATTTTTAATTGTAATAATGAAAAATAAAACTGTTTTTAAATTATTATTACTGTTGGTTTTTTTATTATTGTGGATACAGTAACATCACTGGCTTACATAAATTTTCTTTTTGCTTAATGTTATTAAATTAGGCTTAGCAATTGTTTTTAGCCTGATGAAGATAGATGGAGTGGAAGGTTAAGAAATATATATATATAACATACTGTTAGATCTATAAGGATAAAAATATAGTTTTTTCACCTTTCAATTTTTTGTGTTATAATGTTCATGATCCTAAATGGATTTACCTGCAGTAAGAGAGATATTTTGGAATAACAACAGCAGTGAAAACCTTACATTACATTCACTTTCGGACAACTGTTCATGTTCTTAAATCATATTCTACCAGCTACATGAATAGTAAAGTGACACTGGGGTGCAATACTCAAAATGAACTATCAATCGAAATACTAATTAGTTCTATATCTAGCTTAATGAATGTACTGTTTCAACCGTTTAGGCTTATGTTAAGTTATTACTCTGCCAAATAGCATCGTCACTGAGCCATTTTAAAGACTTAATAAAATATAAAGAGACAAACTGCAATGGTTTGACATAATTTATGAAAGAAACCTGTGTTCAGTTGTTTTTATATAAACGTGTATTGCGACGTGTATACTAAACGCATTTAGAATCTAGATCTACGTAGTACGTAATGTTACTTTGATTATTCGCCCCCTCATTTCCTAGGCGTACTAGGCTACATAGTCTGAATTGAGGTCGATCCTATTTAAAATTAGAGGAGTGGTTCCCCCTGTTCAGTCTAAATTTAGTAACACCTTCTTTGGGAAGGAAGAATGTGTAGCAAGTAGATTTCTAGTCCAGTAAACTGGTTTGCGGTTCTACTACTAAAACAGCTTCTTAAACCATCTTGGAGTATGCAAAATATTATAATTACTTCACACTTGGGATTGTGCAATTTTGATTATTCTTAACAATAAACAATATTTTCTGTGGAACACCTTTAAATTAGATCTAGATCTAGATCTATCTTTTGCTTTTTTTGGCCTAAAATATTACTCAACGAAAAGTTATCTTCGTTCATGAGAAAAGTTGTCGAACTTGGTTAGGTACCGTGTAGAAGTTGGAACACATTTAATCATTTGTAGGCCTACTGCCCAATCTAGATCTAGTTATTCTAGTTTCTAGAGAGTAGAAGTAAAGAGTGAATCTAGAGAGAGAGACAGCTAAAAGATTAAAGTTAACTCAGTTGAGTCACAGTACTGTAGACTGTAGAGCTACAGTACTGTAACAACAGTACACTTAACTGTGTGTTTAACACTTTAACTGAGTTTAACAGTTTAACACATAGCACAGGTAGAATCTAGATTCTAGATTTGGTTCTTTTTTCAATTTTTAATTAAAATCTGTTACTTGGACTTGTTTAGTCTAAGATCTGTATTTAGAAAGTCTAGTTAAGACTTCAGCCTAAGTAGTAAGTGTACTGTACTGTAAGTCAAATCAAGTTGTAATAAGTAGTAGATCTATCTAGTAGTAGATCTAGATTTAGATTTTAAATTCTAGTGCTTTATTTAATAAATTAATACTAGTGTTGCAGTCGTTAGAAGAAAGTCTGTTGAAGTATTTTAAGAGGATTTTATCAGTACGTTACAATCCTATAATCAAGTATATTCTTAGACATGTGACCTTGTTTTTTTAAAACGGAGTTTTTTAAATATAAACAATGCCTGCACTTTATTTCTTGGATCATATTTTATTATTTACCTACACTATGCCCCAGGCATGATGTATGAAAGCCTTGAGTGTACGTTAATCACTCTCCGTTATATGAGGTGTAACACATTTCGGCGACTGCCTAGGTGTCAGGGGCGATCCTGGAAGCCCCTAGTTTCACTACTGCAGAGGCGCCACCTACGCTCCTGGTTTCACTACTGCAGGGGCGCTACGTACGCTCCTGGCTTGGTTGAATCATCAAATGTGGTGTGCCACTGTGTCAATATTGTAGGGTGCTCCTTGGAACTAACTTGATGCCATAGTGCTCACAGGATAGTCTGGGGTTCGCCTGATTCGATTTAGTGAAAAAACTATAATACCACATCTTATCCATATTCTAACACTCTTTAAAATGAACGTATCCAAATATCACCCAGCGAGGCACAGCAGGACACGCCTGATTTAATTTAGTGAGTGACTGTATCAACCCATTGTATCGATTGCCAATCGCACTCCATAAAATAAACGTAGGCGCTATAGGCTCACGGGCGAGCCCGGGGCGCTGGGGGGCACGTCTGATTCAAAATAATCAACAGTTATGGTTGCCCATCGTGTCTTAAGTGTATAGCATTTTTTAAAACGAACATAGACGCTGGGGCGCTTTGGGTTATGCTAGCGCCCGGCTGGGCCTGTTGAAGTTTTACAGCTGAATTTGGTAGCTGAATATTTTTCTTATAAAACAAAGGCAGAGCATTATTGAGGGTTTTTTGTTTGCTAATAATGTATTGCTGCTTCGTTCAGGGTTGGGTTAGTGCTAGCCTTATGGTAAAATAGAAAAAAAGAAAAATTCTTCCAGGCGACATTTAATAAGTAGCAAAAAATTATTTTGAATAATTAAAAAATTACATTGAAACATAAAATGAAATACAAAAAAAAACTAACATATAAATTAAAAGTACAGCTATTTATAAGTTGATCTACCTAAAACACATCTGTAATTAATTAAAACTTTAGAATGTATACCTTTATTTATTTGTCAATTTATATTGTCAATTTATGTTTATCAAAAGCATGCCTGCATTATTGCATAACATCACAGAATATAATACACCTAGTCTGTGCTACTCTAACCCAAACCTCAATAGGCTCATTTTGTTGCCCAAAAAAGTAAACCTTTCATAACTGGCTGTCCTAATGAAAAGCTGATCAGTTAATTTGACCTTGGACATATAAAATGATTGTGCTGTCAGCTAATTATTAGCTAGCCAACATGATAAGGGCTTCCTATTGACTCAAGCCTTGTTTGTTTAAAGGTGTTCACATAATTCATAACCCCCCCCCCCCCCCATAGACCCCTCGGTATATATATCAAAAGTATGAGGGGGGTGCAAATCAAAAGTTTGTCCCCGGGTAAAAATTGGACCCCCCCCCTTGAGACGATCCTGGCTACACCACTGATTCTATCAATGTATTACTTAATTTGTTTTTTTAACAACTTCATCTTTTCCCTGTTAGTGCCCAAATTTTGTGGGTCAAACAAGGTAGTTAATCTTTTACAATGACCAAAGCATATGAGGGATATTGTGTTCAGCATTTTCCCCAGCTGCCTCACCCCCCCCCCCCCCCACCCCTTAAAATGTGAGTCAGGTACCCATCAGAGTTGGGTGGACTCAGGGACATCCTACAGACTCTAGCCTGGGATCCACTCTTGAGACTTTCAGGTTAGCTATTATAAGCTTTACTATCCGACCACGCCATCCTCCTTTAACCATTTAACGTGGCACCAGAAATAATCAAGCCTCATTCTAATAAACCTCCAAACCTAGTTCTAACCCAAACTCAAGTTTTCACCCTATCCCTAGACCTTACTGTAACTCAGTGTAATATTTCAGCTTTAAGAGAAAAAACTAATATTACACTTAAAAATAAACTTCTAAAATACAAGAGTATGCTTTTCTTGTTAACAGCAAACACCAAGGAAATGTATCAGATCTTACTGCTTGTTCCGGTTCTACTTGCACTGGCTCAGTCAGAGGAGACCAGGGAAGAGTGGCTGCCTGATCATATGTATAACCCTCTACTTGAACCAGAAAAATGTGGGCTCAGACCTGGGGAATTGGCTTATGTTTGCGACCCAAATGGAATCATTGGTAATCACAGTGAGTATGGTTTTTTATCAGTTTTATATTGTTGGGGTAAAGCTGATTATGATACTTTAACACTTGGCATTAGTAGAAGAGGTTGGTTTACGATTGTAATTGGGGTTGTAATGCGGGCCTCACCAGCATCACTTGTATGAAAATTAGTAGTTTAGGAAAATATTTATGCATATAAATGACATATCAGACTTCAAACAGTAATTAATAACTTAATTTGGAGTTGGATGTTAAATGCACTTTTTTTTTCTCTAAACACTAGTTGACAGTGTAAATTGGATATTAAAAGATGCAGCTTACAACAACACCAACTGCCCCTGCAGTAACTTCAACTGTGAGCATGAAAAAGGACCAACTGGATATCGGATAGGCCTGGCTCTGGTCAAACGTATGATCATTCAGTATAAGTAAGCATTTGATATAAATGGATAAATTACTTGATTAGGTACTTAGCATATAAGTTACTCTTTGATACGTTATGATATTTTGATACAATTTATTATGTACATTTTCATTGGGATGTAGAGTGGTGTTGTGCTGTAATTGTTGTAGTTATGACTTAATTCCTAATTACGTGACCACTATATGTTTATTTCTAATTTAATATGTCATCTTCTTGTACCTGTTTATTGTGTGGTCATATCATCATCTTTTCCTGTTTGTGCCCAAGACACATGGGGCAGATGAAGTAGAGTTCATCTGTTTCAGGGACCTCGGCATATGAAAAGATAAAAGGTAGTGTGGTCAGCACTATGCCCAGTCACCTTTGCTTTCCCTAACATGAGTTAGGTACCCATCAGAGCTGGGTGGACTCTGGGACGTTCTAAAGACTTGAACCCGGTTTTGAACTCGAGACTTTCAGATTAGCAGCCTAGTTCTCTACCACTAGGCCATTCCTTCCCCATGGAGGATGAGATATAATTTATCTACCATTAAGTATCTTAAAAAATTATTTTCAGCACTGATGGTCGCTTAAATACACCCAAAGATCAGGCACAGTTGTTTGCAAACAGGCTGGAAAATCATAAATGGAATATGGGCAGGTGTGAAGAAGACATTGTCATATTTTACTCTGCGGAAGACAAAGTGGTAAGATCACCATCATAATAATGTAATAATGGTTTCTGTGTTACATAAAGTGGTAAGATCACCATCAGCCGTGTAATAATGGTTTCTGTTACAATTTCCCACCTATTGGTATTCATTGGAAATGATTTACTCTTTGAACAGATGTATTTCTTGGTGTTAAAAGAATTGCATGTTAAAGAATGCTTGTACAATTCTAATATTTTGTTAGCATTGCAGTATTAGTTTATCTCAGACAATTTTTCAGTTAATCTTTTTTGTGGAATGAATTCCACTTTAGTTGGTTGTGTGCATAATATTTCTCTCCTAAGAGCAGTCCAGGTTTTTCTGTAATTTCTGCTAAATACCCTTCTTTAATTTCAGCTTGCCTATTAACCTTCTATAATTACAGCTTATTACCCTTCCATAATTTCAGCTTATTACTGCCCTTCTATTATTTCAGCTTAGTACTACAATTCTATAATTTCAGCTTATTATCTTTCAATAATTTCAGCTAATTACCCTTCTATAATTTCAGCTTACTTGTTACCCTTCTATAATTTCAGCTTACTTGTTACCCTTCTATAATTTCAGCTTACTTGTTACCCTTCTATAATTTCAGCTTACTTGTTACCCTTCTATAAATTCAGCTTATTACCATTTTATAATTTCAGCTGGCTCTCTATGGTGGGTCTACAGCAACAGCTAAGCTGACACCATACTTTAGGGAGTTACTGACATACAAAGTTGCCAGTCGCTTTAATGATGGACGGATTATTGAAGGGATTAACAACCTTCTGTATGATTTAAAGTAAGTATTTTGGGTTTAATGTTTTGGATATATTGCTAATCACTTGCCAATTAAAGGTCACAATTACAAACATCCCTGACATTTAATTGAAGTTTGAAGGCTTACATTTGTTCTAATTTTAGGTATTACTTTTTAGGTTCTAGGAAAAGTTTTCTCAAAGTTAATGGTAGCTTTAATAACTCTTTCCCTCCCATTTATTTTTCACCTTACCCAATGTTCAGACATAACATTCACCTTTTTAAATGTAATCTAATAGAAAATATAAGATAAAAAAATAAAGCTGAAAATGCATGGTAAATGAAGTGGCCAGATAGCTTGCAGTCGTAAATAAAATGGTCTGTGAACTTTGTGGGAGGGAGAGAGTTAAATCATGATTTAAATAAATATTTAGTCAAATTTTAATCCAATAACTATTGAAGATAAAAAACTTGTTTTGCAAGAAGGATTTGACAAATTTTAATCCATTAACTATTGAAGATAAAAAAAAATGTCTTGTTTTGCAGGAAGGTTTTGACAAATTTTAACCCAATAACTATTGAAGATAAAAAAAAAATGTCTTGTTTTGCCAGGTTTTGACAAATTTTAACCCAATAACTATTGAAGATAAAAAAAAATGTCTTGTTTTGCAGGAAGGTTTTGAACTGTCAGTCAACCCGTGAGATGGAATGTGGACTCCATGAAATGTATAGCTCTGCCAGTCTCTCTCAACTCTCCTCAATACTGCTAGCAGCAGTTGCCATCTTCTACACAGCTTTTTGAGAATCTACAACAGATGACCAGAGACGACTATCATCCAAGCTTCCCTAAACTGGACAGCATCATTTCTTCAGAGGACTGGACAATAGTGTATTCATTGATGTCAACATTCTCATTTTCTCCACAGCTGTTTGAGAACCTCAACACTTTACTAGGCTTGACCATCTTAGCTAGTATCAAACATTACTATTTTCGGATAATGTAGTAATTGACTTGAAAACACTTCTACTATACTGGGCTTAAAATTCTAGACATAGTGTTGGGCTGTAATGGACACACCTGGCAATAAAGTACTGCATCAGTCAAGACAACAAAGTACTACATCAGACAAGACAATAAAGTACTACATCAGATAAGACAATAAAGTACTGCATCAGACAAGACAACAAAGTACTACATCAGACTAGATAATAAAGTACTACATCAGACAAGACAGTAAAGTACTACATCAGACTAGACAATAAAGTACTAAATCAGACTAGACATTTAAGTACTACATCAGACAAGACAATAAAGTACTACATCAGACAAGACATTAAAGTACTACATCAGACAAGACATTCTATAATTAAAAATTCAGTATAAGTATAATCAATATTTAACTCGTTTTAAAATTTTTTTTTACTGGTTTTATTTATTATTTTTGTGAAAATTGTGCTGTGTTTTTAACTCTGGAACATACATTTTTTTTTATAACCAGTAAATACATCTATTCCAGTTATAGATTTTTCTTTACAACTCACAAGATGAGCACTATGCAATATTTGTATTTTTGAGTGGAATGCTATTTTCTTTTATTTTTCATTTTATGTATACTTAGATCACATATGTGCTTGTAATTATGAAGGGTTTGAGTGAGTCGAATAGTTTCCAAATAAAATATTTATAGTTTATCTATTTTAATCATGAATATTTATATGTAAAATTGCTATAATTTTATGAGAAATTTTGTCCCCGTTATGTAACTTAAATATTTTAAATTTTTAACAGGTTGATTGTTAATATCACATGTTGTCTCCAGCACATAGTGCCTTTTTTATTTTAAAATTGTGAACCCATTTACTGCATAGAGATTTTTTTAAAGCGTTAATCTAAATGCAACAATAGATGCACATTTAACTACAGACTATAGCTGTATTTATTTCTACATGTGGTATGTATGTATTTTACTGTATGTCAGTTGTAAATAATTTTAGCAATGAAAGTTAACAGTTCTATGGTGCTATCATTTTTTTTTTATTTATTCATTGTATATTTTAATTTTTTGTAAAATCTCACTCCTTTTATCTTACCTGGAGTTAGCAGGTGTTTAATGATAATTAATCTCATCAGATGTATCAGTGAAGCTTATGATGTATTTTACTTTATTGTCATAAGCTCAAGCCTTGCCATTTTTGGCAAATAATCCTTTCATTTTTTGTAATGTGGCCAAATTCCATTGATTAAAAAGTAGTATACTTTGGCTGGCATTAATTTAACTTGGAGGTCCTAGAAAATTAATGTTTACATACCTGTAATGCTCATAGAGCACTTTGGCTCCAAACAAACATTAACATAGCTGGTTAATGTAGGATGTTGGCTATTCAATTTTTACTTAAAATGGCCAGTTTGGAAGTTGGTCACAGCTATTTGTTTCACCGGTTGACTAACTCTTTAGGTACATAATTAAATGTATGACCAGGTGGTACAAGAATGACCCAATCCTTTCAGTTTTAACACGTTGACATTGTCTCCTTCTTCAGAGCCAGTTTACCTGTTTCACTTGTAGTCAGCTATCTAAAGTCTGGTTGTAGATTGTTTTGACACCAAACTATATAGTCCACAGGTGTCATGTTTTCTTTGTGTGACTTTCTTGTACTTGTTTTATGGTATGCTAGCCTAAATAAACTGTATTCTGCTTGTATAATAATTTTTTTTTTGTGCTTTAATATCAGGGTTTTAAAAAATAATTTTTTTTTTACAAATAGTCAGCTATACTTTAGTGAGCTGACTGTACTTGTTTCACTTGGTCTACACAATTTTCCAAGACCACAAAAATACAGTGCAAAGCATACAAAATTATATATGCCCACTCTTCCTGTCGCATCCATATAAAGAAAAGGGCACATTTCACATGTAAAAACCAAAAGTGGGTAGCATTGCTCTCTGAATGCAAGCAACAAATATTTTTAAAGCATTTCAGTGTAATAACACACTTAACTCTTTAAAAGTAATTTGGGTTTTATTTTTTTTTTAAATGGACAAACAAGGAAAACAGAAGAAACAAAACAATTTAATTACAGTGGATTAAAAAAAAATATTACACAACAGTTCATTGGTGTATATCAGATGTGTCAATAGGAGTGACACATCTAACTGATATTTTTCAAAATGGAGTTAAAAATTTTAAAGTATTATCTCCAAAAGTTGTTAACAAAACTTTACATATTTACATAATAAAAAAAACGTTTATGAAACAAAAAAAAACGTAATGATTTTCTGTTGTATACTGGTTTGTCAAGGTTATACACAGATTTTACAAATAAAATCCAGGATTCTGATTTAGTTAGGAAAACACAATTTATCGTTAAATGTGGAGAAAAATAATTCAAGGGAAAAAACAAATTGTTTAAAAGGGCAATTAATTAATTAAGAATTTAAAATATTTGTTATATTATTTAACATGAGCTTTCTAAGGAAGTGAAAATCAGAAAAAAAACTGTTTTTCAACAAGTGGAGCATCTTTTCAGTGTATAGTCTTAACATTGGCCATTTTTAACATTGTAAAATAATAATTATAAAATTATTTATTACTTTGGCACAACAATAACACAAAAATAAATCCCACAACATGAGCCTATGGAGATAATGGAGAATAAATGCAAAAACTTGGTTGCCTAGTGTAGATTTGTTTTTCCAAACAGAGTTTCTTCCAGGCATCTCTTGAAAGTCTACCTCCCCCCCCCCCCCCCCCCCCCAAAGAAAAAAGTTTGGAAGAAACACCGTTTACAAAAAATCTCAGAAAGTTTTGAGATTATTTTCCTGGAATCAAATGTATATGTTCATGTCTATCACATTGTATAACATTTTATTATTTTCACAGCATGTGCTTCTATTCCATTATCCAGCAATAGAAAACATTACATTAATTAAAATCTTCATGTGTCTCATTGCATTTAATGATGCTTAATATCTCTAAAATAATAATTCTGATGTGTAAGAAGGTCTAGCCTAAATCAAATTTTGTGCACAATTTTGTCAACATTCTATATAATTTATTATCTGCTGTTAATTAAAGCATTTAATGTTCCTTATGCTGTTAGCTACTCAAGAAAAATGTGATGGCTATTTTAACTACTTAGCAATTTACAATGCTGCATTAGTTAAAATAATATGCTTAAAAGAACAACTAAACTACATGCATTGTAAGCTAAATGTATAAATACTTCTGGGCTTAATCTATAAATTCCCAAGCATTAATATTACTACGTATCTTTCTAAATTGAGTTTATACATCTTGATAACATGCACGCTTATTAAAATAATATAGGAAAAGTGGAATGTTAAATCCTAACAGTTTAATAATAGCATGACGATGATCAAATGGTGGCATTTTGTAATCATGCGCTTTTTCTTATAAAAAAACTGTAATGGATGCTGTGTTCAGTAATATTTGCTGCGGACTATAATAAATGCTGTGGACTGTAAAAACTATCATGTACAGCAGTAAAAGAAAAAAGAAATTATATCACTTATTTATGTACAGGTGCTTTACATTATACAATTCATACTTTACCATTATGACACATTTTTAAAATTACAAAAAGCAGTACAAAAATGAACAATGTAAATATCTCACTAAACAGTACGTTAGTTCTAGTTAGCACACCAACACAGAAAAATATTGTCACATTTTTTAACGTCCATTTTCAAAATGTAATTAGCCTGGTACTCAACAAAATATGTTCATTAAAAAAGGCATGTACTAGTACAAAAAACACCATTATGCTAAAAATGTAAAGACATAAACACAGTCGATGCAGTTTATTGAAACAATTGTAAAATAAGGAAACAATATCAATTTATCCAGATTAAAATTTTCAAAAGCTTAAAAAAATAGAAAAATATTATTTTTTTATTTAAATTTCAAAACAATCTGAGCAACAGAAATATAAAATAACAAATGTGTCAATGATCTTCTACATTTAACTGCCCCAAGTGTAGCTGAGCTACATTCACCAGGTATGAGAGTCATTAACACTTTACAAATCACAAAACATTTAAGCCTCCACATTGTCTTGTATGTGAACCACAATCTTTAAAATAAAGCTCACCAGAAAGTACCAACTACATTCAGGTAAAATGTATTCAATAAATATACCATCGACAAGTTTCCGCATACATCTGAGATTTTTGTTTCTGTCATGTCCATCGATTATTAATGGGCTACACAACCCTGCCAGTTTGTATATTCAAGCCTAACAGGCCTGCATGTATATTCAAGCCTATGTGTATTATTAAGCTTATAAAGCAGTCATGTAATATCCCATAATGATTAACTCATGTCATTTTTTGTGCTTTTTTGTTTTTAAACTACACTGACCAGATTCTCACATGGTGCTTGTATTTTTAAACTAAACTGACCTGATTCTCATAGCCGAGAATAGGATTACAGTTTTCTGGATACACCTGACCCCGTGACCTTGAACCATGCCTCTGGTGCGGGTGGATGAACTCAGCAGAGTTGTAGGAATCATTGTCCAAAAACACATCATCAAGGTCGTGGCAGTTCTCCTCTGCCAAGTGGGAGAACCCCGGCTTTTGCTGGTTGCTGCCGCCAGAGTTCTGCCGCCTGCTTGACCCATTATTGTTGCACTCGACGGAAGCGTAGCGATGGTCATTTGAGGAGTTGGACTGGCGGTAGGGGGCGGTGCTGAAGTAAAGATCCTGGTCTGAAAATTTTCTTTGTCTTTGAGATCTCACCTGTAGGTTTTCCTGCGGCTGTGGGTAATACTGACTAGTTGAATCTGTTGAATAGTGGCGGCGATCATCACAAACACGTGAATAAATAGGAGATTCTTGCACTGACCCAAGTCTATATACATTGTCAAATGCTTCCTTCGGAGGAGCGTATCTGTAATCACTAGAGCCAGAGACATCATCTGGAATATAACCTCTGACCTCATCACCAGCACTGTAACCCCTGACCTCTTCCCCAGTACTGTAAGCTCCCACCTCATGAGGTCTCAACAGAGTATAGCTGACATTTGACGGATGGTAGCCTTTTCTAGTCACATGGACAGAGCCTGGTGTGACTGGGCTGTCCAGCAGATGGCGCAGCTCTGGGGCATAGTTTATCAGCTCTAGGTAGCCTTCACCTTTAGCACCTCGTGGTTCCAAGTAACCATTATGGTCATAATCTGAAGCTGCAGGGAAGGAATTTTTGGCCTCCAGAGAGTGCGTCCTTTTTCTTCCAATTTTGGTCAAGTCCACAACAAGCTGGAAGAAAATATTTGTGAAATCCATTATATTGGTGGCTGATTAGAAATTAACTGTTAATAAATAACAATCAAATTACAATCATATCAGTAATTCTGTCAAGTAGGTCCTACCTTTTCAGGAACATCAGAGGAGCCTAGCAAATCTTTGAGGCGTTTTTGTTTTCCTGTTTGAGTCAAACGGACAGAGCCACCCCCTGTAGAAAGAGAAAAATTGAAAATATTTTTAAAATTTACATTATCCTTTTTTCACAATGTTTTTTTTTAACTCTTTAAATGATGTAAATATATATATATACATTGTAATTGAAAAATATAATAACCATTTCACAAAATTACACAGATTTCATTCCAATAATTATAAACCTGATTTTAATGTTAGCTAAACATCCAAAATAAAATTTGTGCATGAAAATGTTTTATCAAAATAAAACAAACAAACTCATGCTTGGTGACAATAATTAACTGAAATCAAAACAAAAAAGGGATAAATTAAAGACATAAAAGATTAATTTAGGTTGCATGCTATTTTGTTATGAGGTTTGTAGCTGTAAATTGTCTTTCTGTTTTGTTTATGTTGTATTATTACCAGGTTAGAATTTTTTTCTGTTTTCTGTTCTTTAGTGGAACACTTAGGATTCATATAAGCCTACACTACTTATTGTAATAAAATTAACTATACAGAATGTCAATGCACTAGTCTTAAATAACTTTTCAATGACTAAGTTTCCTTGTTGCATAAGACAGGTTTTTTAAATAAAAGATTTCTAATAAAAATTATTAATTTTGATCTAAAAAAAGTTTGAATACAAGTTTTATATTATTGTGTTTTTGCAAGAGCTAAAATGAAACATTGGTCTGATTAAAAAAAAACAGATTAAGGATTACAATAGCCTGCAATGTAAAACAAAAAATACTTTTAACAAAAAAATCGTACATAATAAGATCAATAAAATTACAGTTCTTAAGTTCAGAAAAAAAATATAAAAAAAATCAATATATCACCTGTGGATATAGGATAAGGAATAATAACCATAAATAAATGTGTACTATAAGTCAAATACAATTGCTGCATTGCTGAATGACATATTTTTTATGTACACCAGAGATTATTCCATCATTTAAGATTGTTATTTGAGCAGAATTGTTTTAAAAACAATGTTCTTGATGTATCGAAGATGGCATGTCAGCCACCAGGCTCTTGGCCCAGTCATGACAATCAGTTAAATGTGCAGTACATTGATTGATGGTTAAGATGATTTTGTGCTAAAATTGAATTGACTAGCTAAATTAAGTTCAAGGCATATTTTAAAAAAATTTCATCCTGTAAATAGAGGATATGAATGGAGGGCTAATCCTTTAATGCCATCTTTGTCAGTCATTTGTATTTTGTCTGCTAAAAATGTAAGTTCTGTGCAGATGGAAATGAAATTGGCAACTGGCTCTCGTTCCAATACAGATGTAAATACTTCTAATCAGCACTTTGTACAATTTGCATTAAACTGCTTTTGTGGTCAAGTCACATGAATCATTCAGATGATTCAAAGATTTTTACAGTGATAGCATTTCAAAACCAGTATGGGAACATGTCATTTAAGATTAGCAATGACTGAAAACAAACATGACTCACTGCAAGGAAATACAGTGTAAGAAAAGCAGGTACAATACAGTGTGAGGTATGACCAAATCAACAAGACATCTACAAAAAATCCATGCTTAGGAATTACTCAAACACATCAAACATTAAGAGAAAAAAAACGTTCTCAAACATTCTCGAAAAAAAAAAAAACACACCACACCATACCAGTGAACTAAGAATATTTAAAACACAGAGGCAAAAATAAGCACATCACTTTTCTAATGATTAAAAAAATAATTTTTTAAAATAAATTTCACATGGACAAATTTTTAAAAATACTTTAAGAAAAACTAAAGATTTAAAAGAAGTTTTTTTTTCAAAAATTTTAGTACACACTAGTAGCTCCACACAACAACACAGCAGCTATGACTGCTTTATCAGTGGGATACAACTGTAAGAATTTGAAGATGTTTAACATTTAAGTTATTAAGAAAATATAAATTTTAAATTTTTTTAAAATCGAATTTGTATAATATTTTAGAGGGTAATCGCAGAGACATCCCAACTGATAGCTGCAGTCATAACCTCAAACCCAACTGGTGTTCATGTCTACCTGTCAACACTCGGCTGTTTGGGGTAAATAAACTGAGGTTTGGGCTGTCTGGGGCCAGCAGGCTCTGAGTTTCTTCCTCAAGCAGCTGCACAGCATCGTTGTTCACTGCCTCATCAATGAATTCAAGGTTAATTTCATCCCAGGCACACAAGATCAACTAATACCAAACCAGGCTGTGGGGTTTCATCAGCAGATGCCAATCAGATCTATTTCCTTAGCCTGTGTTTACTTTCCCCACCAGTTTTCTAGATAAATTATCCACACATCTTCTCTATAACTAACCAATCTCTACTGTTTAAATTCTTACTCTCTAAATTCTCTTTACAGCCACGCACTCTATGTTCCACATTCAGTCATGATTTTTTTTATCGATTGCTGTTGCCGTAAAATATCTTCATCATTGTTAAAGAAATTTATCGTAACTTTATGATGGTAATAGCTCTTTGAAAATATAGCTACCTAAATAGAATGATCTACATATAAAACTTAAGTAAAGTAGCCAAAATACAAAAAGAAACATTGTATTATTTGCTACAAACAGAACTATATGAATGCAGAATCTTTACTAGTAGTACTATTTGATCCATGGTAAAATATAAAAAATACAATCTAAAATAATGTACACATATTTTATTACTGAAATGGATTAGCTATACTTTACTGACTAGATATGTCAGTTAAAACCTAATCTGTTCACTAAGAAATGTGTTCTTTTTTATACTAAAAATAAATTCTCTCACAGAAAAATAAACATTGTTTTATATATTAGAAATTAAAAAAAACCCACACACAATCATTAATAAAAATGAATAAATGATATGCCTACTCAACTAAAAAAAACTCCAGAAATAAAGCACTAATAACAATAGATTGGCTTCATATTGTATTAGGGTAATAGTAATAGTCTTCATTAAAAAAATTACTAATACTGTTTGCTAAAAGCTATTGTCAGAACTATTAAGCTAGCATAATAGAAAGTAAGAAAATAAATAAGGAAGGGCTTGAGTGATGATATATATTGTCTAATCTAAAAGAAATATTGGGCAACTTGATGAGTCACATTAGTTTTGCTTGTTTAACATATTGAGTAGAATATATTATCATTACAAATACAATAACTATTTTTATTAGACAGGTAAAGCAGATTAAAAAAATATGATAATACAGAATTAGTATACCATAAGCTATGTTATTAATAAAATGGGTTTGAAAATAATTAAAATAAATAATTAGTAATATCTATCATGTCAAATCAACTAGGGGAAAGAAGAACAAAATTGAAAGGCTAAAAATAAACATTTTCAGCCAATAGCTTCTTTTAAAATATTCAGCTCTTAAAATAAACAACTCACCATCCATAACAGAAGGCGACAGCTGGGCTATTTCTTGTGGGCTCATGGTCAAACATTTGTTCTGGAACTCCTCTAGGCTTGCAAGCAGTTCAGCAAAACTCGGCCTGTTATCAGTGCTAAAACACCAACACTTCCTCATCAAAGCAAACCTGAAATTTAGTACATTTGTCTTGTTGATATCTGTGTAAAACATGGTTTAGCAGAAAATGTTAAAAAAATAATAGAATAAATAAAAAGGGCATTAATGAAAGAAGAATTGCGTAGTTATCTCCCATTATTAAGTAAAATATTAATAAATATCTCACATTTCATCAGCACATTTCTCTGGCCGCTCCAGTTTGCCTCCATCACGGACAAAATGTAAAACTTCAATGTTGGTTCTTGCAGGGTACGGCTGTTGACCCAGCGTAACCACTTCCCACATCAGGACTCCAAATGCCCTGGACATCACATAAATAAAATGTTTATCTCATGGTAAAGTACTTACGCCTATCTTAAAATTTTGCTATTTGTAATACACCTACCAGATATCAGACTGGGTAGTAAAAAATCCATCAACCAAAGACTCAGGTGACATCCACCTAACTGGCAGAAGGCCTTCACCTTCCTTTCTGTAGTAGTCATTTTTGTAGATGTCCCTGGCCAGGCCAAAGTCACCAATCTTCACAACCATATCTAGGGGAGACTTGGAGGAAACCAGACAGTTTCTGGCAGCCAAATCTCTGAAAGCCAAAAGTGAAAGAGATCAGTGAAAAATCTGGCACACAAGCAATGCTGTGGCAGGTTACTGCAGCTGTTGTGAGTAAAGTTGCACAAACCTGTGTACAAAATGCATTTCCTCTAAGTATCTGCACCCCTTAGCAACATGGACACAAATTTTAACAAGATCAGGTAACATCAATTTTGCTGGGGTTGTCTGAAACAGAAATAAAGTTGGATGTAAATAGCTCATTAAAAAAAAGAGCTAATTTTTAAAAAAAAGAACTGGATTTAAAAGAATTAAATTAAAAAATTGATTTAATAACAAAATGAAAGAGAAAAAGACTAAAATAAATAAATTTTAAAATGTAAGTCCCTACAAGAATAAACAAACTTGATAAAAAAAAAAGAAATAAATGGAAGAAATAATTAGATTAAAAAAAAAAAACGATCGATATATTAAACAAAAATGACCATTCAAGAAATATTTACTAAGGCACAATAAGTATCATTCTACTTACTGCTGTAGCCCTGCAATAGCGCAGGAATGACAAAAGATCTCCTCCCTCCATCAGCTCCATAATTATAAACTGAGGGTCATTATCAAGACATACACCAAGCAGTCGAAGAATATTTTCATGTTGAAAATTTTTCATCAACAACGCCTCTTTCAAAAACTCTTCTTTTTCATGATCTGATGCACTTTTCCGTAAAGTCTGAAGATAAAGTTTTGTATTCAACAATAGGCAAGTTTTTAATTTAGAGGTTGAGTGAGTGGTTTTGTAATGCCCTGAAGTGGTGGTGGTGGTCAGTTAAGGGAGGCACTTTTTTCTATATGTAAAACTTAGTGATGGGGAAACTGTAATATAGTCAGCTATAATTTAAAAGATGAAAAAAAAAAAATCAACTTACCTTTACTGCGCATTTAGTTTCGCCTGTACTGTCACCCAAAATATTTTTAGCAAGTCCCTCAAACACTTCTCCAAATGCACCACTCCCCAAAAACATAGTCAGTACTAGCTGATTTCTGCTAAAATGTGGCAGCTTTGCAATTTCCTCATCTGTACATTTGATACTGTAAAACAAGTACTTTGTTTTAGAGACAGTCACAGATGAAACATGAACAACGGAATGTTCAAACAGGTTAAAGATGTTTACCTTATAGCATATAGGGTGTTGCTCTGTTGGAATGTTCAAACAGGTTAAAGATGCTTACCTTATAGCATATAGGGTGTTGCTCTGTTGGAATGTTCAAACAGGTCAAAGATGCTTACCTTATAGCATATAGGGTGTTGCTCTGTTGGAAGGCTGTATGAGGTAGCTCACGTAGTGTTGCTAGTTCAGTGTCAGGACCTCTTATGATGAACTGTCTTGTTTTTATTTTATCTTGTCGTTTGCGTACAACTAATTTTTAAAATTAAATAAAACAAATTATAAACAACAGGAACTTAACATTTTTTAAATTTTAGGTTTAATTATGTAAACATATTCAATGATCATAATTATAGTTTAGACTTTAATCATATTTCAAAATGAGCTTAACTTAATCAAATTCCTTACCTATAATGAAAACAGCTAACACAAGAAATAGGACAAAAACCACCACCCCAACAGCAATTCCTGTAGTGATTTGTTGACTGCTGATAACAGCTGCAAGGTGAAAGGTGAATAAACAAACATGAATTAATTGCTTAGTAAAATATTTGTATTTAAACAATTTTATAAGCCTATCTTTTGAGGCAAGTCAGTGAAATATTTTGGGTATTAAAAAATTACCATGAGGTGCCAAAAATGTTGTGCTGTTATCACTGTAAGGTCCAAGTCCTTTAGAGTTCATGGCTGCTACTCTAAAGATGTAGGCTTTTCCTGGGTCTAAATCTGAGGTATCCACCAGCCATCGCTGTTCAGTGCCATTGTAAACAAGACTCCAGTTTCCTGTCTCTGTATTTCTGGAAGGAAAAAAAGTAATTCAACATAAGAGCTGGTTTATGTTTTAATCAAATGGATGAACTGATCACAAAAGGGGGAGAGGTGTGATTTGATTACAGCCCTTTGCTCCCCAGGGGCCAAAAAGAAAAAGGTCATAGTAAGTCATGATACAAAGTAAAAAAATAAATTGTTTTTTGCTTGATATATTTAACACCAATTACCGTATTTCTAGATAATAACTGAGGATAGGTGATCCATTATCATCAGGTTTGAGCCAGTAGACCTCATACATGCCATTCTTGGGTTGTCTAATGCCAGGAGAAAATGGACGATCAGGGGAGAAATCTGTGGACAAGAACATTCTTTAGTTACACAGGAATCAGTTATGGGTTTGTGTCAGTACAGCATCCCTGAGTCCACCCAGCTCTGACTGGTATCTGACTAACATTAGGGAAAGTACAGACGGTTGGGCATAGTGCCTACTACACTATACCTTAATATGTCTAGGTCACTGAAACAGGTGAACTCTACTTAATCTGGCCTATTAACTGTCAAGTTTGTAAGGATGCAATTATAGTCACAGAATAAAAACTATTATTAAAAAACAACATTGTTCCCAATAATTATCACTCACCCTGAAACAAACTTTGTGAAACCTCTATATGATAAATTCCGACCAAATAGAACAGTGACAATTTTTTTAAATTATCAGGCAACAGTCACAATTTTCTCTTTATACATTTAAAAACTTATGTAAAATACTGTACATTAAAGTGAAGAATTAGTTCAGCGTTTGACAATTCAAGTTAGTTTAGACAATCACAAGTTCAAGTCAGATCTGCTTCCCTGTTTCAGTTTGACAATAATACACAAAAGCAAATGGCAGACAGTACAGACCTAGAGTTTTTTGTACAAATTGCCTTTCTTCTGGAGGCCAAACATAAACAGCTCCATCAAACGGCCTGGATTTGTAGGTGGCCTTGATTCTAAATGCATACAGAGTGTTGGGGTCCAACGAATCGATTTCTTCAAAATAATCTGAGGCGTTGTTCGTGATACCTGGGAGTCCAAAGCGATGAATCCACTCTAAAGGTGATGTATTAGCCTGCGTCATGAAGAAATGGGTAACATACAAAATTTGTAAGAAAATTTTGGTTCACATTACAATGTTGGTTAAGTTTTTGACTGTCAAATTCTGAGTAAGAGAGAGGATCAGTGGTAAAGCTTTAGATAAATGTACCAGTAAAACATAGGCTTAATGCATGTGAAGTATACTAAAATCTTAGATGGAATTGGCCCTTAATTTATAAAAAAATAATTAAAATTAATTATAGAAAAGTTTGACCTCAGCATAGATAATCTGGTGATTAAATCTTTCCTCAGCATAGATAATCTGGTGATTAAATCTTACCTCAGCATAGATAATCTGGTGTTTAAATCTTACCTCAGCATAGATAATCTGGTGTTTAAATCTTACCTCAGCATAGATAATCTGGTTTTTCAATCTTACCTCAGCATAGATAATCTAGTGTTTAAATCTTACCTCAGCATAGATAATCTGGTGTTTAAATCTTACCTCAGCATAGATAATCTGGTGTTTAAATCTTACCTCAGCATAGATAATCTAGTGTTTAAATCTTACCTCAGCATAGATAATCTGGTGCTTAAATCTTACCTCAGCATAGATAATCTGGTGCTTAAATCTTACCTCAGCATAGATAATCTGGTGCTTAAATCTTACCTCAGCATAGATAATCTGGTGTAAATCTTACCTCAGCATAGATAATCTAGTACTTAAATCTTACCTCAGCATAGGTAATCTGGAGTTTAAATCTTACCTCAGCATAGATAATCTGGTGTTTAAGTCTCACCTCAGCATAGATAATCTGGTGTAAATCTTACCTCAGCATAGATAATCTAGTACTTAAATCTTACCTCAGCATAGATAATCTGGAGTTTAAATCTCACCTCAGCATAGATAATCTGGTGTTTAAATCTTACCTCAGCATAGATAATCTGGTGCCTTGAAATGCTGTCATCAGGTGGAGACTTCCATGCCACAACCAAGGAATGAGATGTCACATTTAGAAACCTCAGACCATGTGGCGTCTGGAATGTGGACACCTCCACTGTTTCTGATGTGCTACAGTTGGACTCATTCACCATACAGGAATGGACCTAAAACAGAATAAAAACTTATATAATAAATCAGTGTCTTCAGTGGCTATGTACATGCATGTCTACGTATATAAAATAAAAACTTAAGTACTCTTTCAGCTAATGGTCTATACTAAAGATGGCTTTTATATGCTATTTACTCTATATTTCATATGCCATAGTCAAAGAAACAGATGAATTCTACTTCATCGGTTTCTTATAAGAACCAGTACATACAATATATCATTTACAGCTACACTGCCAGCCCTAGAGCAACAGTTTCCTCCAGGCACCTCTTGTGTACCATGTGCCTCCCCCCCTCAGAAAAAAGTCTGAAAGAAACACTTTACAGCACATACCTGTATCTGGTAACGATGCCCTGGTTCTAATCCTCTTAAAACAGTTTCTATCATGCCTTCAGCTGTTTTGGTGTTGAAGATGCTGTCAGTCTTCTTCTGTAGCAGGACATTGTTTATGCTGGTGGAGAAGAGAACATTGTAGCTGATATTCTCTGCTGGACCATTCAGCCTCAGGGGAGGTAACCATTTCACTGTAATCTTCTCAGGAGTTCCTACAATAGCTACCACATCTCTGGCAGGGGAGGGAACTGAAAATTACAAATTAATTAATTTAAAATGTTGATAGATAAACTTTTGGACTCATGAAAAAAGTACCTTAGGTTTAAAAGAATTTTAAAAAAAATTTTAAATGGGTAAAAAAATATTGATCTTACTGCCAAATTGGGTCATCACTTTGATGGAATCCTTTTCCTCTGGCGTATACGTTTTGTAATAATTACTGACAGCAACTTGAATAAGATACTCTGAATATGGGTCAAGGTCACTGATGGTGATTTCTTTGGACAAGGATATCTGTAAGGTTTAAACCCAGTTTTGAAAAAAACTTTCAAAGGAACCACAAACCAGTTACATAACAAAAAGTTCCTTCCAAAACAATTTGCTTGTGTTTAACACATGAAGTACGAACACCAGAGCAGAAATCAATAAAAAGGGCTACCTTTTGAAGGCAATTTGGATCAGTCTGACAGTATTCTCCTCCTGATTTAGCGGTGACTTTTCTGTAGGAGATGGTGTAATTGTCTTGTGGTGCACTGATGCTCCGGCACTCCTCCTGTCTTCTCAAGGGAAATAAAGCAAGTGTGATCCAACTGTCGCCCACTTTCTGTACTGTGTAGTTGTAAGCCCCTGGCTCCAAACACTGTAAATCTTTTTTTAAAAAAAAAATTATAATTTATTTTAATGACAATTGATTTAGAAGAATTCTGTGATAATTTTAAAAGTAGTTACATGCTTATGAGAAAATAAAATGTAATCACCAGGTAAGGGCTGGAGATGAGATCCGTATGTTTTGATGTCAAGAACGTCACTCAACTCCTTTTTGATAAGGCCTTGACCAGATATTTTATTCACACTGTAAAGTTTTCCTTCAGAATTGTTGTACCAGCTGACGCGGAGGTGATCGATGGCTAACAAGTTTGGGGGAAAACCTGCCAACAAAAATTAAATTTTCAGACACTGAAGTTAATATGCAATCATCAAAAGTTGATAAGTTTGGGGGAAATCTTGCAAACAAAAATTAACACATTTTCAAGCACTAAAGTTAATATGCAATCATCAAAAGTTAACAAGCTTGTGGCAAATCCTACAAAATAAACTTATTCTAACAACCAAATTTAAATGAACAATTCCTTTTACTCAAATATATCTTTTTAGTGGCTATTGAATAGGGAAAATTGTACTTGTCTTAGTTTCATAGTTGTTTACATAAAACTGAAAAAAAAAATATGAGGAAAACATGTTGTACATACCAAAGTTATTAGTATATGTAGCCTGAAGAATTTTGTTGCATTGACAACCAGCAGCATCAGATATGTAGAGTGCACCTGCAGCGCTGTCCACAAAAGCTAATTCTGTCTGTCCTTCATTCCTTGCATAGGCCAGAGTTGGCGCTATCTTAAAACTTGGAGAGCAGTTGCATGTCTTGTTTCTGGCGTATGCATTTGAACCAAGGACGGTGCTCACCTCCTTACTGATAACATTTGCAGAGTTGATCTGAGTTTCTCCAGTGCTTGTTATCTCAGTCCAAAAAATGGTACTAGAATTTGTAAATAGAATAAAATACAATGTAAAATGCAAGAATAAAAATTGAAAAACAAACGCCCCAGTAAGGTTTTTAAAGACATCATATAGATTCACTTATCATGTATTATTCTGGCAAACACGATTCAAGTATTTCTTTTAAAAAATAATGTTATATACAAATTTAAACATTTAAGTAATGTCATAAGAATTATAAACAAAAGTCAGTAACAAAAAGACGTTAGCTACAAACCTGCTGTAAGGATCAACGACAATACTTGAGATCCGACCAGGTCGAGTCAAGAAGTCTTCACAGGAATTTCTTTCAATATCGTACTGTTTTATGCTGGTCAACTTTGAGTCAATTATGTATAGAGTTCGGCTGATCCAATCTATTGTTAGTTTTTTCCCAGGACAGTTTAATGGCTTCTCCTGCATGAAAGATAATTGCTACTTTTTAACTATTACAAATGTGGGGAGTTTCATCCAGAAAATGGAACTTTTAAAATTTTTGTTTATAAATTAGAAAAATCAACTTGAACACAACTCATACAATGTTCATTAAACTAAAATAAAACATAGTAAAATAACGCAATGAGACTTAAAAAAAACGTTTATAGAAATAAAAAAAATCAAGCTAGATATTACTTATCTTTAATCACCACCAGGAAATATATTATTAATCAGTTAACAACATAAACAAAATGAACATAAAAAAATAACTATAATTGCAGATTCAAATCAATTAAGAAATATATTTCTATAACTTCAGAAGTAGCATACTCTAAAGTAAATGTCCACATACAGTATAAGAATAGATGCTCAGGTTTTTACAAAAACCCTGGCCTGTGTTCATACCTTGGGGTCAGTTAATGAAGTGGTCATGAACAGCTGGTTGAGCTTGTCCAACCAGAAGAGGCTGGTGTCATCTTGACTCAGGTAAGTGATAGCTTGAGCTCGCCCGTCATTCAAGAGGTTGCTGGAGTTGAACTCACCAACCATCTCCAGTAGGGACAGAGAGCTTTTGGAGGCAACCATTAAAGTTGGGATGGGACTCAAAGCTGTAGAAAAAAACATTTTAACGGTAAAAAAATGTATGTTTTTCATTGTTTAAAAGTAGGAACATACTCTGATTCAATATACCAAAAAAATCATGGCTTTATAAGATTAAGAATTACACATGAAGTGTGTGAACATTTCATCGTAGGTGAACTATCATGATGACTACAAAGCTTTTATACAGAATGAATGAAAATGGTAGCTGCAATGAGGTATATATGGGTTGACGAGGCCTAGTGGTAGAGTGCTAGACAGCTAACCCGAAAGTCTCGAGTTTGAATCTGCGTTAAATTCAGTAAAATGTCACTAAGTCTATCCAGCTCTGACTCACAATAGGAAAAGTTAAGGAAGGTTCAAAAAGGGAACTTAAGAGGTATATGAAATAATTATTAATAAAAACAGAACAATGGCAAGTACAAGGAACACTGTGATGTTAAACAGCACAACAGTGTGGTGTAGTTACAAGACTAAGCAAAAAGGATAATAGTGACACAATTTTAGACATAGCTTAACAGTGACAATTTGTCTTCTCTCTAGGCTATAACTTTCATGAAAAGACAACAAATATTTACCATCAATGACAACTGTTTTTGTAGCAGATTCAGGGCCACATCCAACTTCAGTGCATGCAATCACCTAAACAAAATTTTACACTTATAGAAAAAGGAAGATCCTTATATAGACTAGACTTAAATGTTGTCTTAATTAAATGTTTAATTTTGCAAATACTAAAGGTATGTAAAATTTTTGTATTTTAAATGTGTTCGTAAACTGACCTTGAAGTTATAAACTTGACCTTTGACTAGAGAGGTGAGTACAAAATTCCTAGCAGTGCCATTGACCGTGACATTCGTTGGCCTTGGGTCAATGCCCTTCCCCATCCAGTAAAACACGTAGTGGTGGCTTATGATACCATTGGTCACTGTAGGGGTGGCCCAGCGAAAATCAGCAGCCAGCGCAGGCTGGGAGGAGGGATTGTTTTTATGTCGAATGATGTAAACCTCTGGCAGGCCAGGCGCTGATGGCTCTGTACAAAAAAAAATGCGAATCAACATCTTGATCTACACATAACACATAGATATAGACATATGCACAAAAATTGTGAATTAAGATCTAAATCTATACATATATACAGAGCTAGATACAAAAACAAAAAATGTGAATCAACATCTTGATCTACATGTAACAAAAAATATGAACCAAGACCTAAATCTATACACATATACAGAGCTAGATACAAAAACAAAAAAATGTGAGTCAACATCTTGATCTATACATAACACATAGAGATAGACACAAAAAAGTGAATAATATACTGATTTACTCAAATACATTAGAAATATAAATGTACAATAAATGTGAATCAAAATCTTGGTCTATGCACAAAGAACTAAACACGACATAGAGAGACTTACTATACAAGATAACAATATAACAAAGCCATAAGACTTACTTGACATTGGTGATCTTATAGTGACCTTTGTTGGGTCAGCATAACCCCAGAAGGTGTATGGTTGAATGGAGACAATGAGCTGAGTGAAGGGAGATAATCCTAAAACCTCACACCAATGTTTACTTGTGGTCTGTAATACATGAGAGAAAAATAGGCTGTTATAATTGACTACAATTACATTTCTTTAATTATATAAGCTAAACTATGTTAACTAAACTAAACTCATTTTAAAGCCCACATGTCACTAAACCAACATCCCCAAAACTAAGTTTTTGGAAATGAAAAATTGTCAACATTCAAAAGTGAATTACAAATACATTATATAACATTAAAAACTAACTGCAAGTTTTATTCCGATAGAATCATTCTAAAAATAGCTTTAATAATATGTGTGAATCGAGGATTAACATCACTGCAACTATAATTAATTCCCATTACAACTATAATGTGAATGTTTGACAACAAATTTTAATACAGGCTGCACCTACCGTGGCTTGTCGGGTATTTCCATGTTCAATAAAAATTTTATAAAAAATAGTTCCATGGTTGACCCCTGTAGATCTGGACCAGGTCAGGTTAAACCTGGATGATTCCCCTTGGGTGCGAATATCCTCTGAGCGGATTGGATTAGGGATGACATCTTTTTTCACTGCACAAAAAAAATAGATTTTTTACTAAGTAAGAATAAAGTTTGAGGTAAATATAAAGCTCCTGATGGTCCCGCCTGTTTCTGTAAGGTGATAATCAGCGGTTAGAACTATGCACAGCCGCCTTTACTTTCCTTAACCTAAGTCAGGTAACCATCAGAGCTGGATGGACTCAGAATGTTCTACCGACTTGAATCCAGATTAAAACTAGGGACCTTTGCATTAGCAATCACATGCTCTATTCGTCTACAACGCCGTAAGAATTAATATAATCAAAATAAAAATATTGCATTCTGCAACTTATGTTTTGTTTCATGGATGAACACGAAAACTATTTTTTTAAATATATTTCAACAAACCTGTTGTTCTATTTATTATGGTAAAAGATGTGATGTTTTCCTTGAGACTGACAGTTGAAGAAAAATTACAGTTGACATCTCCGACCATTAAAGAGTTCTTTTCTGACAGCCAAAATAAACGATTTGAAAAGTATTGCAGGCCAGATGTGCTGAAACAAAGAATATGTTTTGAAGCAATTGAAAATATAATATACATTCAATAAAATGAAATAAAAATAGGATAAAAATAAATACCTTGAAATGCTTCTGAAATCTCCAATTTTTTCAACTCCTGCTGACACATTTAACTGTGTCCTATAAATACTCTGCATGTCATAGCCTTTAACATACCAGTAGACCTAAGGATGGGTAATTTTTATTTAGATAACTCTGATGAATACAAATAAGACAGCTGGTTAGATTGCCAAATACTTTAATTAGATAAAAAGAGTCCTAGAAATAAAATGCACAGGAATATGTTAAATTAAGAAGCTCTAATAATATTTTAATGTTACCTTTCCGGAGTTGTCATCTAAGGTCAAACTGACCACATTTCGTCCACCAAAATACGGCAGCGTAAATAATTCCTTGTGGTCATCACCATTTAGGTATGAAGATTCAACAGAGTGCATTGTGGCCCAGTACAGCCTCCCTGCTATTGCATCAATGGCCAGATCACGAGCAGCTGTGCGGCGGACTAGTTCAATGTTAATACCATTCAGGTCAGAGCGGTAGATCTGTAAATTTATGTAACATGGACTTTGTCAATTTCAACACTTTCTTCATTGATACATTAACTTGTGTAGTAAGACCAACATTAAATACAAATTTCTCTTATACCTCTATGTATCTAGTGAAAAAAATCTGTGTTAATTATTTAAACACTATGGAAAAGAGGGAACTTTGTTTACATTCTACTCAGAGAAAATACACATGCTCTTTAATACATGTAACTGCAATCTTTAATAATAATCCATAACCTAAACATATTTTTTAGACATTACCAGTACCCTAACTCTAAACTGTTTTTTTTGTCTCATTTAAGTAACAAAAATAATCCTATTAGATTAACTATGATACAGAAGTAACAAAGAAATAGAATTACAGCAATTTGTCTTGGATCTGACCAGTAAACTTTGTTGCCTAGCCAGTCATAGGCCGTGCAGAATGCTGTGATACTGTCTTTTACGCTACGCTTTTGCTTGCTGGTCTGATTGTAGAATGACAAGTTGCCTTTGTCTGTTACCCATAATATGATATCATTGTACCATATGATATCTGGACCAGAAAAAAATGTCACATTAATTAAATGTTTATCGCAGCATATGAATCAATTTAAAAAAAATATTATGCATAAAAATGTGTAATTGGACTTAAGCTATATCATTATTAATTAATTAATTCAAATTGTTCTAAGGATAAAATAATGAACTTAAAACAGTCACTTATTTTGTTTTAGTAAAAAAATGTCTGGATTTACCAATGGGTTTAGATAAAAAGTTAACAATAGCTTTTTCAGAACTGTCAGTTAAATTGTTTTGAAGAATTTTGCCATCTGCTATCCCCAACAAGACAGTGAGGTCATCTAAAAATAAAGAAACAAGTCAGACACTGAAAATACCTCAAACAAACAGAAGGATTTACTTTTGTGATTTATTTCAGTATTATTTCCATGTTCAATTAAATCAGCTTGAATTTTGTAATCTCTAAATCTTAAGCTTCATAGACAATTAACTGGATGACTTTAAGAGGTAATAATAAATATTGTGACTGAGTATTAACTCATTTTATATTTAAATAATTAATTACTCTTTTAGCAAATAAAAACTAAATAAAATACTTTATAAAAAATATATTCCATAAAATCTAAATCTAAATATTATAACAAGAAAATAACTATGACCATAGAGTGAAAAAAATGTGCCAACCTTTTAAAAGGGTAGTGCCAACAAAAATTTGAGACCAGGGTCCATCTGTCTTCTGTGTCTTTGCCCTCACTCTGATACTGTACTCAGAGTTTGGCTGCAAGTTGTCAACAATCAGCTCCTGCTGTGTTACATTATATGGTCGGCCAGTTTTCTCCCCTTTTTTAAGGATATCAACTTCATATGTCCAGTTGGACCATGCTCCTGAACCTGGTTTTATACAAAAAGTCAAGTTTGATCATTTAAATATTAAAACTTACTTGAATTTAACAGTAATTACAAAAAGTTGAATCAGGTAATGCATTTTATGTTCATAATTCTGTGTGGAAGTGGGGAGCAGGATAAACTTGCAAAATTAACAACAAAAAGGCATTTAAAAAATATTTACTGTATACCTTGATACTGAAGTAGTGGTGGAGGATTCCATCTAATGACAACACGATTCATCGAAAATAAAGCCTCTAGGTTGTCAGGAGCACTAGAAGGAACTGTGAATACAAAAATTTCACAGAATGATAGCTCCAGACAGTAAAGGGTTAATATTTCAACAATCAGTCAAAATACTTTTTAAAAAGGTAAATATATGTTGCTTGAACACAAATATATTTAATTTCAACCCTCTTAATATTAGTCCAAAGATAAACATAAACCAATGACTCTAAACTGCACTGAATCTCTTTGCTGATAAAATGCAGCAAATGTAAGAAGCTGTGGAGAAGATAATTGAACATTTACCTGGTGTTGGTTGGGCACTTGGGTGGAAGACATTGATACCAGCAAATGGAGGCCCAAAGCAAAGGAGTTCATTGTGATAGTAGACCTTGCTAGGATCCTTGCTCTCTTCATAAAACATTTTTGTTTGGTTGGTCCATATAAATGTCTGCCAAAAATTAAATTTATTAATATCTTTTTTTGTGTGACTTCTAAGCAAGAAATTTTCAACCTTACCCCCTAACATTTACATGTGTAGATATATATCTAAATTTTTCCACATAACTCCAAACTGCTCACTAAGAATAATACTTCTTAAAAACAAACTTGAAACTAAATGAAAATAAATTGCAAAAACCAGTGTTCATAGAATAAATAGATAATAAGTTGGTTGAAAATGGCCAACCTAGTTTCATAGATTACCTGGTTGAAAATAACCATGCTAGTGACGTTATGGAATTTGGAGGCAACAATCTTCTCCCTCACTACTTGCTTGTTGGAACCATCCAAGAATGTACTCATCATTTTACCATTGTTGACCACATACAAGTGGACATTGCTGATGTCAATGATGTAGGTGTAGAGGTCATTGACAGAAAGCACAAACTTGGCTCTGTCCAATGACAGAGGCTGGCGAAAAGTCATGTGACTGCCTTGCAGGTCACTTAAGTTAAACCTGTACAGGCCTTGGCCGACTATGATCAGGTAGAAGAACCTGGAAAAGTTAAATTGGCTCAGTAATTAGAGGGCCAACAATAAGGTCAGTGTTGAGGTTCAGTAATTAGAGGGTCAGTGTTGAGGTTCAGTAATTAGAGGGTCAACAAAAAGAAGGTCAGTGTTGAGGTTCAGTAATTAGAGGTTCAGTGTTGAGGTTCAGTAATTAGAGGTTCAGTGTTGAGGTTCAGTAATTAGAAGATCAGTGTTAAGGCTCATTAAATGGAGGCTTTCATTGATGTTAGTAATGAGAGGGGTCACTATTAAAAGTAGGCTTATTAATATTAAAAATTAAAGAATGTGAAATGCTTGTGATAAATGAGAGCTATATGGGGAAGAAATGAAGTTGAGATAACTCACAGAGTGAGTGTGGAATAGATATGAATTAGACAGCTGAGAGAGAGACTGACAAGATTAAGACAGCTGAGAGAGAGAGAGAGAAAGAGAGGGGGGGGGTGATTAAAACAGCATAAGAAAATAAAGTGAAGGGTGACAGATGAGAGTTTATAGACAAGACAGACAAAGCTGAAAGCTTACCCATTCACTGGGTCCACCTTGATGTCTACAGCAGTACTGACCAATCCTTGGATGACCACAAAACACAGATCTTTAAACAGCGGACAACTGTAGATCTACAAGCATCAAGAGAAAAAAAATGAAACAGATGAAACACAATATAAGATACAAATTACACATCAACAGCACTCACTGCAATATAACATAAAAATGTAACACTGCGCAACAAGGTACTAGTTCACAACCTGCTGGATGAGATCGTGATATACTACTACAATGTACTTGTTTATACCACTACAAAGCTATGGCATGTACTTCTATTTATTTGTCAATATAGATTTTAAAATAGATCATGATGTAAGCCTTGGGTCTAGGACATTACCCTCTCAATTACCCCCCCCCCCCCACTTCACAGGTAATATCCCCAATCCACAAACCTATCCCTAATCCTAACTCTATCACTATTAGGTATAGGGTCACTTACTTATTGACTAGTTTTTTTAGACAGGAGAAGGGTAATGTAAAGGGGGTTAATGTCCTGCTTCTGTAGGACTGTACAAGATTAAGGTTCATAAAATGGCAGAACTAGGTCCTAGGATACAGCTATAGAGCAATACATTATATAAACCTGCTTTGTTATATACTAGTACAAATTCTAGTTCAGTATGCATTCTGTTGAAGCAATGACACTAAGTCACACCTAATTGTATCAGGATTTTATTCTGATGTGGATGTAAATGTAATGATGCAAGTACAAACATCAAGTTATAATCTGTCAAGTAACTTCATTACAGTTATAAAAATATATTAAAAGTATTTTCTTGATGCCTTTAGAAAGCTCTGCTTCACCATAACAAAAGCCACCCAAGCAAATATCTATCACCCTATGATACTTTTAAAAAGAATCAATGAAACACATATACATAATAGCTCTGTACCTTATCCTCACTGGCAACATAGACTCTGTCAGACAACCAATCCAGAGTGATGGCCCCTGGGGCTGGGATGCTTGGATAGTGATTAGTTCTGTTTGTTTCGCTGGTCAAGTTTACCAGAGTTACAGTTCCTGCGCTGTCAGAAACTAGCAGGAGATTTTGGGACACATGCACGGCTATATCTGTTTTAAAAGGTCAAAGTTAATTCTGTTATAAAAAAATATCTAGGTGACAGAGAAAAAAGTGAAAGTAAAAATGAATACACAATAACAATTTTTAACCTGATAATGAAACAAGAGATCTGTAAAAAAAATAAATGACAGCAAGAGTGACTTAAACTAAATATATATTACTGCTAAAAGTTATACAAATGCTATAAAACTTGAATGTCAAGTCTAGCTACGCTAAATGACCTCAGTGTACAAAATAAAAAAAACACACATGTCAAGTAGAAAATGTTATGTAATTTATCTGTCTAGGAAATGTTATGTAACTTAAATGTCAGTAAATGTTACGTAATTTATTTGCCAAGTCACAAATGATTTGTAACTTCTGAAAAAAAAATTCTGACAACTATTTTGTGGTTTATTTTAACATTTGTTAAGTTATTTCCAAAGAAACGGTTAACTAAGTTTCTGAAGGGAGGCAACCTTGTTGACAAGAAACAAACATGCAAAAACTTTTTTTTTCTTTTTTGGTTTTCTTTTTTTTTGTGTACTTCACTACATACAGTTATACAGAAGCCCACACAGCTATAGATCTGAATTTTACAAAACTGTAACTATAGTTCCCAAAACACAAAACAATTTTTAAAGAGAAAATGGACACAATAGCCAGCTAAAATTGAACAGTTAAAGGATAGCTTAGGGAATTGACAGCATCGTTAGGTATTGGTAAGAAACTAGACAGTTCACACTAAATAGTAAAAGAAGGTATGCAAATTAATGTAGCGGTGATAAGAAATAGATCTAATCTAGATCTATTTGAGCCTAACTAAATGTAATAAAATACTGTGTGTAGTGAAAGCTTAAAAATGAAATTAATTATTATTTTATTTTATAAGGGACATGTTGATTATTTAAGCTGATTGATTGAATATTGATTATTAATGATTTAAGTTTTTAAATAAAATAAAAAATAAAATAATAAAATAATTAAAGTGACTATCATGCAAGTCAAATGTAAAAAAAAAAAAGATTTACAAAATTTCCAACTAAATTTCGGTACATTCAACAATATATAAATTATAAACATATTTTTGTCTGCCAATATCCTAAGTCTGCACGCCCTTAACTTATTAAAATTGACAATCAGTCACATGATCGGTCAATCAGAGATTGGCATACAACAGTTGGTTTTTAAAAAAATAATACAACAGAAATCACTTTCCAGTTTGGTTATTTTTTGTTCTGTACATAAAATTAAAGAGACAAATAGTTCGTCAGAAACCTGACCAAATCAACCAGGCAAAAATGAAAAACTCAAAATTTTAGTGGCACTACAAACAATAGGGTTCAAAGGTCAAAACAACATCAAAATGCAATGACAGTCATTACCTTTGACCTCGCCGTTACTAATAAGATAAATCTCGACTCCTTGGTTTATAGAAAAAGAAAAGTGTCAAGTTAGAATTTTGAAATGCTGATTTGATGAATATTTTAGTGGACAATTATTGGAACGATAGTAGACATCAAGTTTGAAGTTTGAATGAACACCTGATGAAAGGCGGAAGTGAACATTACGAAAGAGTACAATGTGGCAACAACTTTAGTAAAATGAGACCCAAATTTAAATTAAATAAAAATATATTATTTTGGTTTCGCTGCCTGTTTCCTGTAGAGTTAAACAACCTGTTCAACAAAATCTGGAGGTAGCCAAAACATGGACATGTGGCATATGGCATTGTTTTGACAATTAAATGATAGCATACAGTTTTCGTATTTAACCTCAGCGCTGAAAATAAGACACGTAGAGTAGATAAATATAGATAAATAATTAAGACGAAGAATGAACAGCAGAGCGCAGCTGGATTAGAAACCACGACTCCCTTCGGTAGATATTCGACGAAGATGACCTGTAAACACGTTTTCTACGCTGGGTCACATGGCCCTAGTCTCAACGAAGAATGACTAAGGCGGGGTAACCTTTGAACTCGACCAACGCCCCGCGATCCGTTCTTGAACACACAACAACAATACACTCTTGCACCACAGTGCGAATTGATAAGACAAAGAAGGCTGGAAGAACACATCATGAATCATATGTGCTTCATAGCTGCTTAGGGTCATGAAATTCTCTTTTATGCCATTTTGGAGGCATGGGTGGGTTACGCTTGCGTGGGGTATAGCAAGAAAGATGGTAGCAGTGAATAATATAAATATGATATACCAATGCATAGTAAGAAAGATGGTAGCAGTGAATAATATAAATATGATATACCAATGCATTTTTATACATTTTTATACGTTACAGTTATATTTTATAAGTATAAGTCATATTTTAAAATTACGAAGGGCTCGTTCCTGCGAACCTGTCATTCTCCCTTACCCTTTCCAATCCTCCAATGTTAAGCGAATACTGATTTTTATATTACCATGAATTATCAATATTTTCTCGCCAAATCTGGTCAAACATTAATAAGAAAGATTGCGTTTTTATTTTTATTTTAGTGTGAATTTATTCCAAGATTTCCGCGTGGTCAAGGCCAGCATTCTGATGTTATGTTAAAACGTGGTCAGTGTACATGACGCATGTAATCTGCATAATTTTTCGATTAATAACTTAACCCCTTTTCGCTTAATTGTGTATTGTTCGCCCAGTGCCTTGTCCGTGTAATCGGAATCTTGATTGAAAAATTAGTGCAGCCACAGTTTAAAGTGGGCACTAGACGAATAGCCAGTGTATTAAATGAGGGGGTTGGAGCGGCTGGACAAATAGCCGATGTACTGTTAAGGGGGGGGGGGGGTATCAAATAGCCGACGTACTGTTAAGGGGGGGGGGTATCAAATAGCCGATGTACTGTTAAGGGGGGGGGTATCAAATAAGCGATGTACTATTGTTATGTTATCGAGATGAGACCAGACAATAGCTAAATATATTAAGGACGGGGCCTAAACAAATAGTCAATATAGGAGGGGCGGGAAGGGGGGGGGGTTAGATAAACAGACGACGTACTTAGGAAAGGTTGAATAAATTGGCAAAAAAAAAGTGCGTGGCTAGGAGCATTTTGGCTAAAATAATTTTTTTACAGCTTCTAGAGTAGAATCTGTGAAACAGTTTTAATGACAAGATCTTCTTAACTTTAATATTTGTTGGTGCATGTACAGACGAGTTCTGGCACCTGGGTCTGGTTCGATTATGTTGTATCTGTTTGCCTTACACCGTCAACATAACCAACACAAAAAGCCACCATCTCATCAATTCACCTATTTTGTTTTAAAAAGGTAAATTATAGGGTTTAGGGAGCGAGTAAAATGGGGTAATATACTAATACTAATATGGCATCTGCGAATCGGTCTACGACAATGCCCAAAAGACACTTGCCCGAAGGTCGTCTGCTAAAGAGCCGTATGCTCAACTGGGACAAATGTCAGAAAACAAATTGTCCGAATGGACAATTAGCCTGAAAATGGCGATTGTCTGAAATCTAATTGTCCCAATGGAACAGTGATTCACTTAAAAAAAAAAAAAACAGAATCTCCTCTTGGAGTTCAAACTCCCTGATTTACACGATATAGTCAAAGCTTCGCATTAAAATAGAAGTGATGCTTTACAATTCGCGACTTGCATTAGCCCGCGCTATTCTTTAGCACTAAACTTGTCTGCGTTTTAAGCGGATTGTAAACTGCTGGAGTAGACGTTAGAACTGTTTTTTTTTTTCTTGATTATGGCTAATTAATTTTAACTAATCATAATTTTAAAGCATTTATCTTATCGCTTCTGGTATGTGTTTTCAATTTTAAAGTAGCTTTCTACACGAAGAATAGATTTTTATATATTTTATACCGGTTAAAGTCTATTGTTTCATTGACTCTACTCGAATCGTGTATCCGCTAGAGACACTGAACCGGATATGTCGTGTCTCTATACTACTCACTCTATAGTATAGTTTAACATTAAAAAAATCTTGAATAGTCAGAGATCCTAATGAAATGATATTCAAATAATGAAAGATCTGGCAAAGTGAACGAAACAATTGGCTATAGCCGGAAATCAGTGTAAAAACTTTTTTTTTTTAAATCTGGATAGCCAGGGACTAGGCAGATGTGGTCAAAGATTTCTTCAGATAATTAGAGCATCAAATTACCAAAGCTCTGACTAAAATAGTCAAAGATCTGTCCCAGTCAAAGATCTGCACCAGTCAAAGATCTGCCCTAATCAGAGATCTGCCCTAATCAGAGATCTGCCCTAATCAGAAATCTGCCTAATCAGAGATCTGCCCTAATCAGAGATCTGCCCTAATCAGAAATCTGCCCTAATCAGAGAGAGATCTGCCCTAATCAGAGATCGTGAATTTGATAAGAATCAGGGAGCTGTATTAGGGACCTCAATCGAAGGCATGTTTATCACGTTTAGTGCGTGTGCATATATGTGTCCGTGCTTTTATATGTGTGAGTGTATGTGCGTATGCATAATGTATATATAGGCCTATATTTGTACATATATGCCTATGTATATATATGTGTGCGTATGTGTGTGTCTCTGTAGATATGTGTGTATACATATGTATGTGTTTGTGTGTATTTATGCATTTGTATGCGTATATGAGTCTGTATGAGCGTGTCCAATCTTATTTTAAAGTACTCACCTTTAATAGTTCCGTTTATAGACCCGATGCAATATTCCCAGTCAGATTTGATTTCCAGCAAATTTTTTTTGATGACTTTATTCCCAGATCCCAGGATTAAATATGGCGTCTCATGCTCAGACACTAGACGGGGTTAAAAAAAATATTGAAAGGGAAATTATTTTAAAACAAATCCTTTACACAGATTTGGTTTGACGTTAGACGATTGATTCTACAGAAGAAATTTGAATCTGTAAAAAATTTGATTTAAAAAAAAAAGATATTTGATTATCTTGAACTCAAGCGCGTAATTAAAGCTGACACGATATATTCATCTCATTTTCACGTAAGATATATTCTTATATCCCACAATTAATAGGACCATAATTTTGTGTCCATCATTTCCCGCCACAACTTTTCTTAACTTGATCTGGCCTTATTTTCATATATAAACTCACACGCAAGCAAGCAAAAACACAGACATTAGTAAACCTACTCCGGTCACCACCAAGCAACCATCCATGATAGGAACACATTAAAAAAAAGAGACGTTATCAAGTTTCTTCTGACATTTTCCATTAAACAAATAGTGGCGTGCGAAGAAACATTTTTTCTGGCCCACCGACATAGTCTTTAATCAGCGCGTCGGTTCACATGACTACGGCAGATTGGCCACATTGGAAGTAAGGATAACAAAATAACATGACAGCTAGGCCACAATGCCAGCATGGGCATCATGACAGCTGGGCCAGAGGCGTAGCGATGGGGGGGGGGGGGGGCGAGGGGGGTACAAATGCCCCCGGACACCGATCCTAGGAGCGTCAAAATAAGCTAATTTTAGCTGCTATTTTGAATTATAAATATACAAAATATATTGGGGGGAGGGGGGGGGTGCCAAATTGAAAGTTTGTCCCCGGGCGCCCGGAGGGGTCGCTACGCATATGAGCTGGGCCAACATGACAGCTAGGCTAATAAGACATTTAGGCCACCAGCAGCAAGGCCAACGTGATAGCTACAAGGCCAACACGATAGGTAGGCCATCCAACACAACAGAAAGGCTAACACGACAGTTACGCCACAATAGCAGCTGGACCAACATGATATCCAGCACCCCCCAACATGACATCTACAGTAGCATAAGCGTTCATAAACAATGCTGTACACTTTAAGTACTTGTTAGACCGATTTCATAAATGACGTTACGCGGCCCTCCCCTTTCAAATCTCGACCCTCCCTTAATACTGGCCATATAAAGTATAACGGGAAAAATAATTCGAATTAATCATACCATCATGTCCAGGCCGTCTTGCCCTGGGTGGAAGGTTAGGTTATCTATACATGTTAGAGACGGCTAAATCGTGATTCCACTCTAGGCTGTTGAATTCAGAGCTACGCCGACGGTCTAATGTATTAGCATTTACTAACTTGGTTGTGAAAAACCTGAGACTTATCGTCAAATTTTTAGTTGGTTTATTATTGACAGGCTTATTGTCGCAAGACATGTTGAGGTAAATATACATAATTGAAACCATGTATTTATAATATAGGCTAGAAATAGATGTTTTCCGGATTGTACTCAACACCCCCGCTATCATCCACTGGCTAAGATGCAACGTTTTTTTTAATATAAAAAAAGAACATTAGGCTATCTATGTGTCAGTTTAGGGTGAGTACATGGTCGACCCCGCTTGATTGAAACCTCTGGCATAACGCACGCACGTGTAGTGCAGCGACAAACACTCGCCTAGGGGGGGAGGGTGCCTTAGACTTTGACGTCCGAATATGTTGGTTTAGATTCCATTTAGTCGGACTCATCATATTTCTATAGTTTAAAAAAAATTACCCAGCTGAAGCTTACTCTGGTAGACATTTTACCTAAAACCTAACCTTAACCCTAACATGTGATAAGTCAGTATTCCTGACACGTGGGCGGGTTACGACTCTCGCCACGCTAAGATAACGAGAGTTCTGACACGGCAGTGGCAGCACTCTTTTAGCTGAAGCCGTTAGTGGAGGTTTGAGCAGTCTAAAGATAAAACTAATGTCGTCAGTGGAGGCTTGAGCAGTCTAAAAATAAAACTTATGTCGTCAGTGGAGGCTTTAGTAGTAACAGCAGTCTAAAAATAAAACTAATATCGTCAGTGGAGGTTTGGGTAGTCCAGCAGTCTAAAAATAAAACTTATGTCGTCAGTGGAGGTTTGGGTAGTAACAGTCAGCAGTCTAAAAATGAAACTATTGTCGTAGGTGGAGGTTTGGGCAGTAACAGCAATCTAAAAATAAAACTAATATCGTCAGTGGAGGTTTGGGTAGTCCAGCAGTCTAAAGATAAAACTTATGTCGTCAGTGGAGGTTTGGGTAGTAACAGTCAGCAGTCTAAAAATGAAACTATTGTCGTAGGTGGAGGTTTGGGCAGTAACAGCAGTCTAAAAATAAAACAAATGTCAGTGTAGGTTTGCACAGTAACAGTCAGCAGTCTAAAAATAAAACTAATGTCGTAAGCGGAGGTTTGGGCAGTAACAACAAGATGTCGGTATGTTGAGGTTTGAGCAGTATCAGCAGTCTAAAATGAATATATTGCAGTAAGCTGATGCTAGGATAATTAAGCTGAACAGAACTCACAATTTCCCAGGCTTGGTGTCGTGATGTTCTGGCTGTCACGTGGACCCTCCCCCTCAGCGTTGAAGGCCGAGACGGAGATGGTGTAACTTTGGGAGGGCTGAAGTTGGCTCAGGAGCCAGGTGGTCACGTTCACTGGGATCTCTGGCAGGGTGAAACAGGATCATGTTAGATGGTACGTGAACTCACCCTCACGAGAGGGCAGAGGAGTAGCGAGAGAGGGGGAAGGGGGCGGGGTGGTACATATGTCCCCGGGCGACGACCTTAGGGGGCGCCAAAATGGGTTGGAAAAACAAATTAAAATCTGATTTTAGCTGCAGTTTTGCATTATAAATATAACAAATATATGGGAGGGGGGTGCAATTGAAAATTGAAAGGTTGTTCCCGGGCGCCGGGAAGGATCGCTACGCCTCTGCGAGAGGGGTTGTGGAAGTTGTATCTATTCAACGAAATCCCAAGCTTGCTTTGTTTTAAATTATAGTAATTAGTGAAAACTTTATCAGAAGAGAAAGTGCTTTCAGACCTTGCAAAGAGAAGTTACATACTGACTTCTAGAAGAAGTAGAGAAACTAGTACTGACCACTAGAGACGAAATAAATAAACACATACTATTCACTCGATGAGGAAAGAGAAATTCGTATTGATTACTAGAGGAAAAAGAAACTGTTATTGACCACGGGAGGAAAAAGCAACTCGGTACTGACCAATGGTTGTAGGCTTGAGGCTGGAATGATTGCTAGGTTGGACGTAAATTCGGTAGCTCAGCAGCTTGCCATTAGTGAAGGGGGGCGGAGACCAGGTGAGCGAGATGACCCGTGGGGCAGGGGCCAGCAGGGAGGTTATTCTTGGTGATGTTGATGGCACTGTAAGAAAAATTGCACAAGATAATATTAATTAGGAATTCGTCAACGAAAAACAAAAATTGAAATGATATTTGACGTTTGCTTGAAATTTTTACTTGAATAAACATGAAACATTTTGTAAGCAGAAAAAGCAGTAAAATATTGCGGCAAACAAATGGGGCGCCTATAAATGACTACATCATTTTAGCTATCCTTTCCCCTATCCATTATCGTCACACGTTGTCACAGTAACAACAAACAAAAAACCCAATCATAACCCTTCTATGAAGACGAAAAAAATGTTACCTAACACATGCTCTAAAACAACTACAATTCTGAATAGTAGGTTTATTATTTATTGATTTCTTAATTGATTTTTTAAATTATAAATTAAAAATAAAGGCTTGGCCACGTTTTTGAGTGTCTCCCCCCCCCCCCTCCCCCTTGTCACAAAAATCTGAGTTCTCTTCCCACTAGGTGTGTGGCGTAACTTAGGCGACCCTTAGACAAACAAAAATTGTGTACAAGCCACAGATCTCAACAACGTCAATATAAGTATACAAGTCGGGCAACAAAATTTTCCCAACTAGGAGTCAGCAAAAAAGTTTCCCTTACCTCCGTTAGCTTGGGTTGTGATCTCTGCAGTTTCTGTCGTGTACAGGATGTGATCAGGTAGTGACGTCAGCAGCACCAGAACTTTAAACTGAAAAAAAAAACACTTCAAAAGTTATCTCTAAACTGGAAAATATACTTGAAAAGTTATCATCAAATTGAAAACGATAGTAAATACTATCACTCCACTGAAAATGAACTAAAATCTTATCATTAAATTGTAATAAAGACTAAAAAAAAAACTACGCACAATTGTAAAAGATACAAAAAAACTACTACAAAATTGTAATTTTTTTAACTACACGTCAACACCAGATGTTTATAAATAGTCAAAATTTAACTCCACTACTGCAAATATGTATATTTAGGGCCTTCAGTTGTGTAGATAAACACAGTTGCGTTGATTTCGGAACCCTGACCACCCCCTCCCACCCTCTCCACACTACACATCACTCACCCCCTACTCTATATATTAAGAAAACGAAATGCCTCAAGGGGCTAAACAACACAAACCACGCCCACATTTACGACATCGATGCCGTCTTTGTTATCTCCTACTAAGTACTTTTTTATACAGCTACTGCTCCCCAATGCATCGCTGTCATACGTCCATATACTCACGACAAAAAATAAGCTAAGGACACGAATGATTGTGTATTAATTCTTGAAAGAAAAGCACAATAAATAAAGCCTGGCCAACTAGGTGCACTAGAAACGATCTGTTACAGACGAAGGGGCTTAGAAACGACGCATCAAAGATTTGTTTTTAAAGGGGAAAAAAAAACTAAACACTCCCTTCACCCCCTTCCCTCCCCCACCCCTAACTAACCTCCAATATGGACACACGTGTGTACAAGTTTTAGGTTCGTCTAGTTTAGCACTGGAAAATGTACCCAGTGGGTTATGTGGTAACTTGTCTTTCGTTTTAAGCAACTGTAACGGGTTTTTTTGTTTGGGTTCGTCCATCTATAACGTCCACACAATCAATCGGGTAGGAGAGGAGAGACAAAAGTCTTGAGTATCGGGTACATGTAAGTGGGGGGGGGGGGGGATATAAAAATGGACGTGTGTGTAGACTTAGAAAAATGGCGGGGGAGGGATTTAAATTTCCAATCTTTGTAGACGTTAGATTGGATGTCATCTAAACAGTGTTTCTTCCAGACTTTTTTCTCCGGGGGGGCACTTGAAATCTTCGGGGGGGGCGGTAAACTTTCTTCGGGGGGGGGGGGGCGGACACTGTTAAAAGTATATATTTTCTATATAAATTATATAAATTTCTTTTCGTTCGGGGGGGCGGTAAAAAATTTTCGGGGGGGCTTCGCCCCCCCGAAGAGATGCCTGGAAGAAACTCTGCATCTAAATAAAGCCGCGAGTTCCACCACCGCACACACGACAACACCATTAGAACATGTTGATAACAACAGCAGAACCGTCAGCAGCCTCTCTACTCTGGGTTTCCGGGGCATTGATGTTCATCCTTTTTATCGCTAACATCTTTCACTTGTATCAATAGCCCGTGCCTTGTGTTCAGTATTTTTCTGGTTTAGGAAATTCTAAATGCAGACTTAAGTAACTTGCTCGGTTGTTTTCTTAGAAATCCGATTGGTCGGTAGTTTCCGGACAACTTCGGCATCCACTAATCAAATAGGTCGGTCGTTTCCGTATAACTTCGGCATCCACTAATCCAAAAGGTTGGTATTTTCCGTATAACTACGGCATCCAATCCAAAAGTGTCAAATCATATCCAGATACCTCCAAAGCCAACATTTTGTAGGCCTCGGTCGAACGTTGATCGCACTAAAATAAACAGTTTGTAGAATACTGTCATCCTATGATTGCCTCACTGAGCTAGTTAATTTCATGGGTCACAAAAGTCGAATAAAACTTTCTTTACCTCCGGCTTTGTCAGACCGATAACAACAATTTCAAACAAAACCTAGCCCTTCATTGTGATGTTGAAACATGTTATGTTAAGCGTTGCATGTTTGTTATCTTTTATCTACTGACAACTTCTGCCGAAAAAAACCGACGAAACGGGAAACCATTTTTGTTTTCCTAATTTCGTTTTGAAAATTAGAGAATTTTAATCTGATGGCCAATTTACAGTGTTGTGTAGAAGATAATGTAGATTATTTTTTTTTTACTGCAAGCGAGGAACGCTTTAAAGATCTTTCGATTCGATTCCCCGACAAAAAAGTTTTCACCAGACGAATCCAATATTTTAAAAACTCACTTCAAGACACCCGACACATTCTAGTTTAAAAACTCAGATCGAGGCTGGGGACACACTTAACAGTTTTAAAACTCAGAACGAGGCAATCTCAATAATATACAGCTGTGTAGCGAGTCATTTCGAAGAAAAGGATAAATTATCCGGTGGTTTCAATAGCACATTTAAAGGGTGAAGACTCGATTTTACCACTCGGCCACTTCATGTATATTTACATAGTATTTACATAGAAAACTAAATGTTAAGACAATGCTACAGTTTAAAAAAAAATATACTTGTTCCAAATCTAACTTGATTCAATATATTTAGGCATATATACTATAACAAATACTATTAGTTTCGAAACAAAATATGCATTGACATTTTGAAAAAAAATCTCCTAAAAAAAATGAAACAAATTTCACGATTCAATGTCAGCATTAAGCAGGGGACGTAACTTTGTGTCCAATAAAAGGGTTCTGCCGGTAGTTGAACAAAATTACTGTCAATTTAATTGGCGTCCAAATTGGCATGGGAAATAGCTCTGGAACCGCGGCCAACATTTCCGATATTTTTTATTATAAATTAGATTTTATTATAAATTTTTATACAGGAAAATACAAAGCCATGATATCAGCTATCGTGCTCAGATAACCCTAGGCAATTGTATTAGTGTTTTCACAGTAATCATAGAGCATATTTGTGGAGGCACAGTGGCATTGCACTGGACGTAGACACAGTAAGGCACATAGACACATCACTGTACATAGACACATCACTGTACATAGACACATCACTGTACATAGACACATCACTGTACATAGACACGTCACTGTACATACACACATCACTGTACATAGACATCACTGTACATAGACATCACTGTACATAGACACATCACTGTACATAGACACATCACTGTACATAGACACATCAATGTACATAGACACATTACTGTACATAGACACATCACTGTACATAGACACATCACTGTACATAGACACATCACTGTACATAGACACATCACTGTACATAGACACATCACTGTATATAGACACATCACTGTACATAGACATATCACTGTTCATAGACACATCACTGTACATAGACACGCCACTGTATATAGACACATCTCACATGACTCCATACTACATACAAGGTATGTTTTAGGTTATTCTCCTTTTTGACGCATATCCAAGGCATTACCAAGGTAATTAAAGTTATGTATTATACAATATGCAAGATATATTCTAGGACATTATAGTTGTCCAATCTAATATGTAAAGCATATTCAATAGCATTATAGTTATGCTCCATTTTGTCTATATACAAGGCATATTCACAGTAATTAAAGCTATACCGAATAAAAAATGCAAAAAAAAAAAAAAAAATTCAAGAAAATTATAGTTATGTCCCATCTTATATATAAACCATATATATAAACAATATTCACGGACACCACAGTCATACCACATACAATAAACAAAGCAAATAATTCACGATGAGTCTCCTACACGAAACACCTGACCACGTTCACACTGGAACATTCCTAACCAAACACACCCAGACTCCCCCCCCCCCCTCCCCACCCCCAACCAACCTTGTAGGTCACGTAGGGACACAAGTTCTGCAACTCAATTCTCTCGTCGGTCCGGAAGGTGGCGTTGAGGTGCTCGTGCCAGCCGCTGTCAATGCCAATGATTCGCTTCATGACTTTGTAGGAGACGTCCTCCAGGATTTTCGCCTTCCATTTTAAGGTCAAGGACGTGGAGTTGAGCGTCGAGATTTCTAGTAGGGGTTTCTCCAGGCTGCCGATCTGGTCTTAAAACAGAAAGCAGACCCTAAGTAACTTGGTATATATATATATATATATATATATATATATATATATATATATATATATATATATATATATATATATATATATATACATATACACACACACACACACACACATATATATATATATATATATATATATATATATATATATATATATATATATATATATATATATATATATATGATCTAATCGAGTATATATCCTATAAATGATTATACAGATATACATATATAAGGTTTATGTATCAATGTATACTCTATTATATGATCTGTATAAACATACACACACACACATACATATATATATATATATATATATATATATATATATATATATATATATATATATATATATATATATATATATATATATATATATATATATATATATATATATATATATATGTGTGTGTGTGTGTGTGTATACATATTTATATAATCTAACCGATTCTATATTATATAATCCCCTACATCGCCATCAACCATCATCGGTCACAACACCAACGCTTCACATACCACACCATGAGTCATAACATCGCTTATTTTACTTATAACACCACCATCACACCACACAAAACACCATCATAATAAAACATGCTGACCAACCTTTTATCCGTGTATAATAAATTTCCAGCCCAAAGATACAGCCCTGCATACAATTTCTTATCTGTAAAATAAACAAGGACATTATCGCCTTAATTATTTGTACCAACAATTTCTTATCCGTAGAATCAACAAGAAAAATATCGTCTAATTACTTATACCAACAAGCAGGGCTAGTTCTTGTGATACGCTGCAAAAACGACCAGTCAAAGTTTGGATGAAGTTGCTAGACTTGCCGCACTACAACATTATAACTATAACAACATCACGATAACATTAACAACATCAAGACAGCATTATCAACATCTCGACAACATTATCAATATCACGATGACATTATCAACATCACGACAACATTATCAACATCTCGACAACATTATCAATATCACGATGACATTGTCAATATCACGACAACATCATCAACATCACAACATTATAGATATCACGATGACATAAACATCACTACAACATTATCAACATCACTACAACATTATCAATATCACTACAACATTATAAACATTACGACAACATTATCAACATCACGACAACATTATTTACATAATGACAACATTATTAATATCGGTATAAATAACATTATTATCATCGATATAACGTTATCATCGTCATTATCACATTATTAGAGTAACTATAACATCACAGTAACATTATTAACAACACCATAACATCAACTTCACTATAACATTATCAAAATCAAAATAACATTAGCAATATCACCATAGCATTATTATCTAGTTGGTGCTACTGGCGAAAAAACTGGAGGATCAATTACAACATTATGCACCATAAACGATATAACTATGTAAAGATATATTATAAATCACAAAACTATACTCGAAGAACGATATATTGCTTTCTCAATTAGCATTATTGTTACCATTACTAAGTACTAATTTGTAGTAATTTAGCTAACAATAATTAGATAATTTTAGAAATAAAACAACCTAGAGAAAATTATGGAAACTTTTCAAATTCACGAGTGCACCAAAGGTTGCCTTGATGCAGCTACGCAGGTGAATTTTGTGTCTTACAACAAGGTCCATCCCCTGATGGCCAACGATGTTAACCAGTGTCCCGAAGTAGATCTGCTATGTTACATTTTTTTCTATTTTCCATATTGTCCAACCCTAAAAGGGGATTGCGCCCCCCTCCACCCCCTAGTGACGCCACACAATCAACATGTAGTACAAGTAAATGAAAGTTCACGCTCGGGGATTTGCATATCAAGATTTTTTTTTTCTTTATAGCCCAGCCGTATTGCCCAATTCCCCCCTCCCACCACACCTTCTAGAAAGCCCTACCGTCTTGCTCAATCCAATTTTTGCTCTGTGTTGTTAGGACGAAATCCCACAGGACCAAATCTCCATTACTGCGACAATAATCCAACGGACATACCACTTTTACCATACAACACCCCCCCCCCACACCTAAACACACAACGTCTCCTTTAAAAAAATATGTTGAATTATGCAGTAAAATTGTGAGTGGTGAAAATAAGTTTAATTACACTATTGGCGAAGTTTTTTTTAAACGAAGTAAATGTTTACTGAAACTTCCATATTCTCCGCATAAGTCAAACACTAGACTTTAAAGCGGGTTACTTAAAATATGGTATCTTGTACTGCAGTATGTATTCATCACTCAACAGCGTAGCAGCGTTTGCTCCCTTTGACTCCTAAACAGGTGAAGTAGAGTTTACTAGTTTCTCCTGACCCAACTTATGAAGGAAAAATTGTACCATAGCTTCCCCTACCCAGCGTCCTTGAGTTCCCTATGGTGTAGAAATACATCCGACACTGCCGTGATTCGAACCCAGGTTTGTCGGGCTTAAAACTGTGTGCATACATTCACACACACATCCACACACACACACACACACGCATCCACACACACACACACACACGCATCCACACACACACACACACATCCACACACACACACACACACACACATCCACACATACATCCACACATACATCCACACGCACACACACACACACACACGCATCCCCACACACACACATCCACACATACATCCACACACACACACACGCATCCACACACACATCCACACATACATCCACACATACATCCACACGCACACACACACACACACGCATCCACACACACATCCACACATACATCCACACATACATCCACACGCACACACACACACACGCATCCCCACACACACACATCCACACATACATCCACACACACACACACGCATCCACACACACATCCACACACACACACATCCACACATACATCCACACATACATCCACACGCACACACACACGCATCCACACACACATCCACACATACATCCACACATACATCCACACAAACCACACACACACAAACACACACAGCTCCACACTCGATCGATCTACAGCCATTTAAGGCGGGATAAGAAGATGACCAACAATAGACTTTTTACACTGGTGGGCAAGTAACTTAATATAAGACGAGTAAGTTAACATTAGGCAAGTTAGTTGACATTGGGCAAGTAAACTTTGTGGTATCTTAAATGGTTATACGACCAATTAAATCCGGAGTTTACTTACATTAACTATTGTAGTTAAAATTAACCTAAGGTCAGCCTCAAACAAGTTTAGATTGACCTTAACTTTAACCATTCTAGTTTAGATTGACCTTAAGTCAGCACTGAACAGACGAGCATAGAAAGCCCATAAACACTCGTTTAGATTGACCTAAGGTCAGCCCTCAACACTCTAGTTTAGATTGACCTAAGTTCAGCCCTAAACACTCTAGTTTAGATTGACCTAAGGTCAGCCCTAAACACTATAGTTTAGATTGACTTAAGGTCAGCCCTAAACACTCTAGTTTAGATTGACCTAAGGTCAGCCCTAAACACTCTAGTTTAGATTGGCCTAAGGTCAGCCCTAAACACTCTAGTTTAGATTGACCTAAGGTCAGCCCTGAACACTCTAGTTTCGATTGACTTAAAATCAGCACTTAACAGACGAGCACAGAATGCCCTTAAGTCAGCCCTAACCATTCTAGTTTAGATTGACCTAAGGTCAGCCCTAACCATTCTAGCTTAGATTGACCTAAGGTCAGCCCTGAACATTCTAGCTTAGATTGACCTAAGGTCAGCCCTAACCATTCTAGCTTAGATTGACCTAAGGTCAGCCCTGAACATTCTAGACGAACTATTGAAGAACTCACCAAATCTTGTCGTGGCAGGTCCGCCTCCGTAAAATTCTGGAAAGAAAAAAAAGTTGTGCAAACAATGGACGGCTATATTCAATGTCAGGAGTTAGGTTTTAACCGAATTACCAAGTTACAAAAAGGACAGACGGTCTAGAGACCTTACTAGAAGGGGAAAGAAAACACGATATATTATTAGAGCTCTATATCCATAGAGAAAAAAAACGACTAAAAAATAAAATCAATCAATTGCTTTGAAAAACTGCCGAAGGATAATAATTCTCAGACTGGATTAAATGAGGACATTTTTTTCCCGTTAGGTTCGTTTCGTAATAAAGTGGTGTCCTAAGGAATGGTGGTTTGTGATAGGGGTATAGATGGTGGTTTGTGATAGGGGTATAGGTGGCGGTTTGTGATAGGGGTATAGGTGGCGGTTTGTGATAGGGGTATAGGTGGTGGTTTGTGATAGGGGTATAGGTGGTGGTTTGTCATAGGGGTATAGGTGGCGGTTTGTGATAGGGGTATAGGTGGTGGTTTGTGATAGGGGTATAGGTGGTGGTTTGTGATAGGGGTATAGGTGGTGGTTTGTGATAGGGGTATAGGTGGCGGTTTGTGATAGGGGTATAGGTGGCGGTTTGTGATAGGGGTATAGGTGGTGGTTTGTGATAGGGGTATAGGTGGTGGTTTGTGATAGGGGTATAGGTGGTGGTTTGTGATAGGGGTATAGGTGGCGGTTTGTGATAGGGGTATAGGTGGTGGTTTGTGATAGGGGTATAGGTGGTGGTTTGTGATAGGGGTATAGGTGGTGGTTTGTGATAGGGGTATAGGTGGTGGTTTGTGATAGGGGTATAGGTGGTGGTTTGTGATAGGGGTATAGGTGGTGGTTTGTGAAAGGGGTATAGGTGGTGGTTTGTGATAGGGGTATAGGTGGTGGTTTGTGATAGGGGTATAGGTGGTGGTTTGTGATAGGGGTATAGGTGGCGGTTTGTGATAGGGGTATAGGTGGTGGTTTGTGATAGGGGTATAGGTGGTGGTTTGTGATAGGGGTGTAGGTGGTGGTTTGGTGATGGGGGGGCATATATGGCGTTTTGTGATAGGGGCTCAGATGGTGTTTGGTGATGGAGGTATAGATGGTGGTTAGGGATAAGGGCTTAGATGGCGTTTGGTAATAGGGGCATAGATGGCAGTTGGTGATAGGTGTGTAGATGGTGTTCGGTGATAGCGGCAGAGATGGTGTTTGATGGTAGGGGAATAGATGGTTTGGGTGATGGGGTTTATGGGTGTTTGGTGATGGGGGTTTATTGGGGATAGGGGCTTAGATGGTAGTCTATGATAGGGACTTAAATGGCGTTTGATGATAGGTTTATAAATGGTTTATAGAAGGGGATATTGAGGGGGTTATTTCTTTTAGTTTGGACAGGACGTGTGCTCTATATGGTGACTATGTAACCGGAAGTCAAGTAACAGACAGGTTGCACTCTACTTCATACAATCTTCTTTTATTACATCAAAATTTTAATTCATCCCTAATCTGCTAAAAAGGTATTATATATATATATATATGTATATATATATATATATATATATATATATATATATATATATATATATATATATATATATATATATATATATATATAATCGATTTTTAGCGTATTGTCCAACGAACTGCATCACTTCTCAATGTGAAAAAAATACTTCCCACTCTAAGCCCTAAGCCACCTAGAGTATAATGTACCCCCTAGTGAAGACATCTCAACTAAAATGCATCCCTGCCCTTAAGGCATCTAGTGAATCAAGTTCAGCCGTCCCTTCACGCCAAGATATCGAGCAAATGCCTGACAGCCATCTATTGAGAAAAAGTGTGACCAATCCCCAATTCGAGAAAATTCGGATGGGGTCAGAGTCCAGTCAAGTTGGCAAGTGGCAAAGAAAAGTTCCAGACTAAGAGGAAAATCGATGCACAGGCACGAGCTGCGAAGTTTTACTTGGAAAGACTGGTCAAAATTTGCATCCAAATAAATAGACAGAAGGCCAAAAAAAAAATTCGTTTTTTTTTATCTAGGCAAAGACTATGCAGGTCTAAATTTTGTAGGCGAGCTAAGAGATTCTGTTGTTTTTTTTAGGCTAGACAAAACAAAGATAAAATCAAAAGAATATTTTTCTTTTTTTTTTATCCAAAGGAGGTTTAAATCTATAGTAGGAGACATTTTTTGGAC